TTTATTAGTAGAGAAATAATCAATTAAAATTACAAGAGATAAATATTAAATATTGTTATAAAATTAAGATAATATATTATAATAGTTATACTTGACATTGTATTAGTATTAAGAGAATATTATGATATTATATTTGAAATAGCATGGTTATAGATATAAAATCTGATAATCAACTGGATAAAAGGAATAATGATTGTTGATAAGATAAAGCTGAATATACAAGTGATTAAAAAGAGTATTGAAGAAATTGCATAGTTATATGAAAAATTAGGGAAAGATCTCAGTACATTATTAAAAGTTAAAAGATTAATATAAAAGGTAAAAGAATAGGAATAGAAGATAATATTTACTAAAGATATTAAATATATTAATAAAGAAAATAAAATATAAAATATAAGAAAACTATAAAATAGTCAGAGAGATTTAAGTGATGAAAATAAAATATAAATCAAGAATAATAGAATGAAAAAGATTAGGATAATCTAATAAGTATAAATAATCAAGAAAATAAGAATTATAGAAAGAATGTAGAAGATAAAGCTAAAATTAAAAGAATTATATAAAAAGGAACTTATAGAAATATTAGCAAAGTTGTTTAAGAAATATTATAAATTTATTGAACTATTTATAAAAAAAGAATAGTGATTATTAATATATAATAAGAAATTTAAAATACAAATCAAATTGAAAGAAGGATTTATGTTATTCTTAGTTAAATAATATTATAAATCAAGAGATAAACTAAAACTTAAGAATAAATTTATTAATAAGTTTTATAAAGTAATATATATATAACCAGAATATAGAAAAGTATTAATATAATTAATATTTATTAATAAGAAAGATATAATTAAATAAATAGTTATTAATTATAGAGTATTAAATAATAAAATAATAGATAACACAAATAAGGTGTTTTATTAGAAATAAAAGAGAGATCTCTTACAAGGAGCAAAGATTATAATAGTCTTTAATATTTAATAGGATTATTATAATCTACAAATAGCTGAAGATAATATTTAGAAAATAGCTTTTCTTATAGATAAAGGATTGTTTGAATAGATAGTTATATCTATAGGTTTGAAAAATCTACCAGTATAATTTATATAATATATAATATATATTCTATAGAAATACTTAAACAAGTTTATTATAATTTACTTTAATAATATTATTATATACTTATAGAATCTGGAAGAATATAAAGAATATATATAACTAGTTATAACAGCATTTATAAATAAAGGATTAATACTTAAGATTAAGAAGTGTAAGTTTAATATTATAATTATTAATTATTTAGAAATAATTTATACGCTAGAAGGATTAAAGATTTAGTTAGAAAAAAAAAATATAATACTTAACTGGTTTATTCTAATAAATATTAATAAAATATAGTAGTTTCTAGGTGTAATAGAATATATTAGAAGATACTTGAAGAATTATATAGAAATAACATGATTAATTATAGAATTATTAAGAAAAGATTAAGAATTTAATTGAATAGAATAATAATAATAAGTATTTAAGAAAGTTAAAGAATTAGTTAGAGAAATATTAATTTTTATGTTTTATAATTTAGAAAAATTGAATATGATTTGATTAGATATATTAGGATATGTATTAGGGATTGTTTTGGAATAACTAGGAGATGATAGAAAATTAAGATTTATTACCTTCTACTCTAGATAATTTATTACTATAGAAAGGAACTATGATGTTTATAATAGAGAATTACTTGTAATAATTAAAGTATTTAAGTAATAGAGATATTACTTGCAAGGAGTTAAAGAAGAAATAGTTGTGAAAAGTGATCACTATAATCTGAAATATTTTATGATAATAAAAGAGCTTATTAATAGATAAGTTAGATGGTTAGAATATCTATTAAGGTTTAAGTTTCAAATTGAATATATTAAGGGAAAAGAAAATGTTATTGTCAATGTATTAAATAGAAGAGCAGATTATGTAATTAGAATATAATAGCCGCGAATGAATATATTAGTGGAAGATAAAGATGGAATCTGCTATAATGATAAGGTAATACTAGTAATAACCATTATGATAGAAAGCAAAGGTTTTTATAAAAAGATGGTAGAAGCTATTAGGAACGATAAAATACTGCAGATAGTACTATACAACAACAAAGTAATAATTGAGAATAGATTAGCCATTTAGAGAGAATCAATATTAATATTATTTTCAATGATTATAGAAATCATTTAAATGAACCATGATTTACTAATTAAAGGACATTATGGAATTAATTAAATAGTAAAAAAGATACAGCAAACATATTACTTTCTAAGAATAAGAAAATTAGTTAAAGACTATATTAAGAAATATAATAGTTACAATCATAATAAACCAATCAACCACCAACTATATGGAAAAATACAGATTCCAGAAATATTAATGAAAGCATGATAAAAGATCATAATAGACTTTATATAAGGCTTACTAGAGTTAAAAGATCCTATTTTAAGAATCATATACACTAAAGCTATTATTATTATAGATAAACTTATAAAATATATTATCCTAAAGCCAATATTAAAGAATTTAATAGCATAATAATATACAACACTAATATTATAAGAAATATTTATAATATTTAGATTACTAAGTAAAATCACATCCAATTAAGATAAATTATTTATATCTAAATTTTAGTAGATAATTACAAAAAATTATAAAATAGAATATAATCTATCAACCATATATTATCAATAAACTGATAACTAGACTAAATAAATAATTTAAGTAGTTAAACAATATCTAAGATATTATTTAAATTAGAATTAAGATAATTAAATAAAATTACTACCAATTGCTTAGTTTATAATAAATAATATAATAAATGCATCAATAGGACAAGTACCACATTTCACTAATCTAGAAAAAATTCTAAAAATGAGCTAGAAAAACATTAAATAAGAAAGAGCATTAAATAAAGCAAATATCTAAATAACACACATATAATTAATACATAGTAACTTGTTAAAAGATATTAAATAAACAGAAATAAGAATAAAGAAATATTACAATAAGAAACATGAGGATATATTAGCACTTAAAAAAAAGAAAAGAGTTTACCTTCTACAATAAATACCAGAATTAAAAAATTTTAACATTAAGAGCATAAAACTGAGTAATAAATTCAATATAGTTAAATTTAGGCTATTTACTATTAAAGAAAAATTTATTAATAATAATTACAAACTCCAGCTACCAGCAAGAATATAAATATACTTAATATTTTATATCTTATTATTAAAACTAATAACTAATCTAATAAATAAAAATAAAGTAGTAGATAATAAAAAATATAAAGTTAAAAGAATACTACAACACAAGTTAGAGAAAGAATATATCTACTATCTTATAAAATAGAAAGAATATAGACTTAAAAAAGATATATAGAAACCTGTTAGGCATTTAAATTACCCTGAGAAGATTTAGAAATAGAGATAGAAGTATAATTAAAAAAGGTAGAAGAATTAAAATTAATATTAAGAATAAGGTTATTATTTTATAAAATAACAGCTAGAAGCTCTTTAGTCTCTTATTATTTTTTTATTTATTTTACTTTTATCTTCTCTTCTATCTTCTCTAACCTTTTTAATTCTTTAATATCTTTAATATTAGACTAGATAAATTGATTAGCACACTTTTATAATAACTTCTATTATTTATTAAAATAAACATGTTTTGCTAAAAGAGTCTTAATTTTAGTATTTACTTTATTATTATTCTCTTCTAAATACTTCTAAGCATAAAGAAGCTTTTTCTATATAAGATCTAATAAAATTATTAAAATATACTTATAATAATTATTCCACATATATTTACTATAGTATAATAATATTTCTGATTTTATATAAATCTTATTTAATAATAAATAATAAAGATAAGATAAAGGTAATTCTATGCTAGATTGTTTAATTTATAGCATAAAATTATTCTTATTAATATTCTGTTTTGAAGATATAGTTAGTATAAAACTATAAGATTATATATTTAGAATATTTTAGGAAATTAGAATTAGCTATTTATATTTTAAAGAATGCAAGCTATTTATTAAGCTATTGAGATGCCAGCCTTTAGAAAAGGGGATTATTAAAGAATTAGAATATTATAGCTAATAGATTAGGTTAATCACTATAAGACTAATATATATTGGAATAAAGGATTACCTGTGAAATCTTAAGATTAAAGTAATAAAGCCAGTAGAGCCGTCGCTATATTAACTATATCAGTCAGAATAAAGTAAATAGAGCCATTACTATATTGGCTATAATAGAGGAAAGCTATATAAGGATGCTTATTTATCATATATTTAGTTTTCTTCTATTATCTTAAATTAATTATAATAACTTGAGTATATAATCTTCTATTAATTAGGATATTCATAATCTTATTCTTATTTTTTTCATCTACTAAGACCTTTTGACCTTAGAAGCCTATTAACTTCGCCTGTTAATAGCTATCCTAGCTATACTTGACGGTAACCCAACCGAAGTTTCTAACACAAATAAGAAAGAAAAGTAAAAATATTAAAGATTTATAAAATAAATAATTTATAAGCAAGAAATTACTAAAAAAAAACTTAAATACTTATAAATTAGTTAATTAAAGCATTTCAAGTTACTACTACTACTCTAGCTAAGCCAGAGCTTCCAGCCTCTCAATCACATATACGCCGCTAATTTCAATATAGTGAGTGTAGAATTTTCAGGTATAGAAGACCTCAATGCCCTAATTATACTAATAATTAACTTTTTATATATAATTATTATTTTAGGTTGAAATTTCGGGTTAAAATTAATATAGAGCGCGTTTTTCAGCAGAAGTGGCGGGTCGGTGGTGGTGGCGGTTCGGGGGTGGATTACGTTATACATATTTAGATGAATATTACATTAGCAGCCATACCACGTGCTCTAACAAAAGCCTTCGGTATTTGTTCGAATTAGACAGAGAGATCTGAGAAATAAGCAGTCTCAAAAATAGAAACCTGATTCTCCTCCCAACTGGAACCTCTTCTTCTCAAACTTGGACATTTTAGTGATATCATACTGTGTGCCACCGATTGTCTTCCTCCCGCTTCGAATGTGACCTTTCGCGTAGGTTTTGAACTGCACCGGTCGGGCATAATTAGCATGCTTCAAATAGGATTCTGGGCGGACATACTGAATCTTTCCACCCCTTTACTGAATAGTCACCATTGTCCTTAATGTCATCATCGTCATCCGAATCAGCGTCCACAAGGGACACGATTCCCCAGGTACCTTCCGAAAAGTGAATTTTCTTCTTCCGTTTCTTCAGCTCGTTACGGGGACTCGAGTCTTCCTCAGGCTCAAGTAACTCTTGGTGGCGCTCGTGAAACTTGTAAGACCCCTTGATCTCGATGCTGTTTTCCTTCGCCAGCTCCCCAAGCTTCGGCACCCACTTCGTCTCTCCGAAATGGTCGCCAGCTATGTTGGTCCACGATCGGGCAAACTGAACGAACATTGCCAAAACAATTGAAATGTTCCTAAGCCCGCCATTCTCAGGCTGATAGGGATTGAGTAGCTGGTGGTTCTTTAATATATGGAGGCCAGTCAAGAGAGCCTTGCCAACAAGGGCAATTGTTTCAGCGAATCCGCGACAGTCATCGCCCTCTAAGAGGTATTAAACCTAGTATACAGTGATGTACGGGGGTACCATGACTCACGAAACCAGATATCAATGTAATCCAGCTGTAAAAACATAGAGACAGCTTCAAGTTCGGCCCATACAGCATATGGAGACACTGTTCTCCTTGAAACCTCTGTGTTGAAGTCTTTTAGCTGCGATATGTTAGCAAATATTCCTGCAAGGCATTCAGGTCTATCTCCATGCATCCAGCCTACCCAATTGTCAACGACCTCATTGATTCCATAGGCAGTGTAATCGTTGTAAATCCACAGGCCTTGCGCATCCTGATCACGATTGAGAGCCTGTTTCTCTAGCTGTTCGTACTTCCTCAGGCCTGCCTCGGTTATAGTCCAAGCCCATTCAGAGCGATCATTTACCGAAGCCTTGCAGACGAAGTCAGCGGGGGACGTATCTTCATCGTCAGGAGTCTCGTATTCCATATCAAGCTGCTCTGCTCCAATGTCCCAGTGGGGTCGACAGATAAAAATGAACTTTGGTTCAGTTGCAGAGTTCACGGTCGGGGGGTTAGTATTCAAAGAGGAGCATTTACGAAGTGACGAAGACCCTAGATGTGAGCAGCTAGTTTCACTAAAGGCATTATCGTCCTCGGTTCCTTCATTTGATGCATCGATACTGTTTGCAATGGTGGTTTCCGCTGAACCGCTGGTAGCCCTCTCTTTCCCCTTGGAAGATTTTTGGGGCATCGAACATTCGGAATTGGGGTCGGCATCGACCAAAGTGCGCTTTGTTCGAGGCATGGTATTGATTGGTATCAGTCAATGAATGATGTGCCAATTTTGATGTACGAAGTCTCTCCAGCTTGGTAGCATAATAAGGGGTTGGGAGTGACCCATTACCAAGTCTACTAGATACTGTTGTGGACAACGAGGCTAAGTCGTAGTTGGAAGGGATTGGATGCCGACGAACGGCGTGAGCCAATTAAAAATGATAACTAAATATAGAGCTGTACTAAAGAATTAATCTTCGCCCGAACAATATACAAAGGAAGAAAGATTGTCTCGAGAAAGATAATGAACAAGGAAGAAACGACAGAGCAAAAAGAACAATTGAACATTACCAAACAACAAGAAAGGTGGAAGCATTACAGATCTCTGGCCGGATGAACAGTATCGGCGTCTAGTTTTAAGACGGGAGAAAAGCTAATTCTTGATCTTATCAAAACGTTCGGGCAAAAATGAACGATTCTTCCCAGATAAGAAGGGCAATTTGCATCATGGCTCAAGTCTATCGAACTCTGACAGATCCAGTATCTTCATTGGTCTCGTTTTGATGTCAGCTCAAGAGAACCTACGGAGGCTTGCCAGCCTAATTATTACGACTCTTGGCCTCTTACCGGTATAGAAGAAACTAGGCAGTTAGCGGGTAGTAAACCGGATGGTATTTCCGATGTGGCAACACGTAAATCTCGACCACCAAATCGGACCTAACATGCCTGGGGTGGAAAATGAAGATGACCACCGTCTAAAAAGGGTATCGGCGCAACAATTTCATTTATCAAAGTATACAAGCACGTATGCATACAGTACAACTCCGGGCATGAATTTCTTCCTCATCTAGAGATATGGCAGATTTACTTGATGCGATAGTTGTCTTTCATACAGCGAAGTATGTCACGAGACCATATCCTAAATGGCAGTAAAATTGCCCACAATCTCTAGCATTACCCAGACGATCTTACCGGATACGAACGAAACACTCCGTAAGTAGCCGAAAAAGAAAATGAAAGAACGGATTTTAAGTCCATGGCCTTCTCGACAGCTGGGCGACTGGCATATCTCCATAGAGGGGGAGCCTGGTATTAGTAGCGCCTAGCCAAGGCTCAAACAGTACTAAAATAATTGATGATCGACAACTAAGTCTTGCCACCTATCACTATTACTATGTAACTTGTATTTATGATTGAGGGGTTGACTATATTTATTTCTTAATAGTTTAGCAATATGGATTTTGGAGTAAGCCCCAATCTTGTCTTGTTCAGTATACATACCCGATAGCAACTTCACTCTCTAGTGACATACTAATTATAGAGATATTAGGTACTAGAGGCTTCTTCATGCTACAGGTGCGAATTACGGAGTACTATCCGGATATTATTGGAGGAGGGCTTATCATAGTTTGTGTACTCTATATAGGAAAAGTATCAGGGATGGCGTCTGACTCTGACCTGACTTCGGCACGGTTGGCGCGCGGGACGACCCGCTGTGCCGCGTGCCGTAGAGGCCGAGCCGGCACTTGCCGGTGTGGGACGCCAATTGGAGGATTGATACATACTAGATTTTGTTAATGTATGACTTTGCCATAATATAGCAATCAATCAAGTTGTTAAATTTATGTGGATGTATTATCCGTTAAATCATTAATAAGTTGAAGAAACAATTCCAAATAACACATTCTTAGCGCCTGTCAATCATAACTATAATTGTTTTAAAACCATAGTTAGCGGTACCAATTTGGCCCCTTCCCAAAGCAAGTGGTTGCTGTACATAGTTAGCAGATAATCTTCCTTGTTTCGTATATAAAATTTCTGCACGTTCATCAGATATGTTTGCCTGTCTAATTTGTACCGGGTATATCTCCCTAAGCCGGTTTAAGTCTGTGTACTTCCCGATCTAGAATTTCGTACTTTAAGCAGCATTTCGGGCGCAGAAACGAAGCTTATTCCCAGCCAAGGCTTAATGCTGCCTGATCTAGACCATTGTGGGGAATATTAAACAAACAATGTTAAACGCACAAGGACAAACAAGGAAAAAATTCCAAGAATATCTGCCCAATTCCATTGAAATGCTACGGGATCATCAAACTAACGATAATTTCGCTTCTCACCAGCAAAAAGTCCTTGCGCCTACACATAAACATTAATCATCGCCAACAATTTGATTACTGGCCCCGCATCAGAAGAATAGAGAAACATGATACCACCGCACCCCAATTTTAGTCTCAAAACGAAAGAAATTTAGAAGAAAAGACCGGAAATAAGCAGATCCTCCCAGCAACGCCACATTATTCATAATCAAACAAAAATAGAAAACGAGAGTACGGAGTAGAAGGGTTGAGCTTGAAAGGGAAGAAACGGGGGAGGGGATTTACTTCCCCGGCAGATCCTCAAACGGACTGCGTGGGCCCACCATCCAGTCTTCCATAGCAAGCCACTCACTCCAATGAGTCTCCGCCGCTCGAAGTTCTTCTTCCTGTGGATCGCGTAGTGGACGCAAAAAAGGTACGGTTTCGTGCGGTGATAAATCATATTGAGCCTTGGTTTTTAGCCACCCTCCACTTTTGGCCGAGAAGAGATAGTTCACCCGTTCCTGTGAGTGGACTGTGCCAACGCCTTTGACCCAGTCATTTCCAAACAGTTCCTGCATAATGGCCGGCGCATCTGTTGCTGTAATCACCAGGCGCCGAATGTATGGAGTAAGCGAGATTAATCTGGATGTTGAACTTGAAAGTTGCTGTTTCGTCGAGTTAGATTCATTTGCGATAGACTTGGAGAATTCAAGGACGGCATCGGTGGTGCGTTGGTAGGGGAGGAGGATATTTATGTGAGCAGCAAGCGACCGTGCCAAGGGCCGATACTGTGCCACGTTCACGAAGTGCTCCACGCAACCCTGGTAAAATGGAAACCATTCTACAGGGTTGATTTTGCCGGCATCAGCATAAAGGGTCGCGGAGGTGGCAGTGGCCGTAGTTGTTGTAGAAGTGACGGTGCCTACGCCGGGCTGCATTGTTGGTGTTTTGACGTTTCTTTCGCGTCTCAATCTAACAGCGGTATAATGTTAGTATTTGAACTCGGATCATGTAGCCACCGGCTCTCTCACTCGTGGTGCAAATGCGCACAACCTACCTATGCGATAAATGGCGATTGGACTCTGGGATGAACAAACGCCTGGCTGCGAATGTTTTGAAGGTACGCCAAAGTCGCGATCTTAACCCAAGTGGTGCTGTTTGATCGCCGTATGTTGTCGACATACACGCACTCTGACAACACGCAATAGCCACTACGGTCTGATTGCACAAACAAAGCAAGGCATAAACGAGTCCCAAGCAGGGCAGGAGGGGCGCGAGAGGAAAGGATGGGCTGGTTTGTAAAGAACAAACAACTGATGAATAATTTATTTTTGGTCTGACAATTCACCAGTGGCTCCATTCGGGGCTGAGACTTGGTTCTTATATGTGTTTCATTTCCATGGAGGGATGAGCAGTGGGGGGACTGCCTTGAGGCGGGACGTGAAAGAAAAAGTCTAGTTTGGCTCTGCAGGTTCCAAAAATGGACGCTGAAGGCATCGCGGCATAGAGTGCATTTCCGCAGGATCGTTTCTTGTTGGCCAACACATGAAACGGAACAGACATTTCACATCCAGGGCGCTTGAGAACAAGAATCGAAGCTGCATAGCTCATCCCGGCTGCCGCTAGTTGATGAGCAGGGGGTAACGTGGAAGAACGGGAGAGCAACTCGAGCGCGAATCAGTGGCGCCTTGTTTGAAAGGGCCGGCGGGGGGAGGGGACAAGCGCGAGGTCTGAAGCTATCGAGAAACTACCCAAGACTATCGAGCGATGGAATCAAGCCACAGAGAGTGGGTCGTTGAGCCACAACTTGCGCCACAGGATGGAGGGGCGGGGCAGCAAACACGTGCTCCCTATTGGTGGACCGGCAATTCTAGTCACGGAGCGGCCGACAAAAAGCCGATCGCCTTTTTTTTTTTTTTTTTTTTGCCTTCCTTTTCATTCTTGATGACTCGAATATGTCCATTTGCAATCAACGATAATCCTCGGTTCAAGGGCGGAATATCCCGTGACTTCCCATGGGTTCAGGCAACTCAGTCGTTCAATAATGCGCAATATCATTGCCAATATCCCGACTATGTACGGAATAGCCTTTAGGTCCAAATAATGAACTTTAAATGCTTTCTCTCGGCCTGAGGGCCTGAGGCGGCCTAATATTACGTAGCCCGCATCGATCCATGGATGTCTTTGTGTGCTATCCACGTATTTATGTATGAGCATTGCAATTCTTACTGCATACTGTCGACTGCAACTCCCTCTAACCGAGTCTTGCTTGCACATGCAATGCAAAGTAATTAATTTACCATGCAAGTACTAGTAGCCAAGCACTTGCATGCATGGACTGGGGCTAGCCTGTTAAGTAAAACCCTTGCTGTCAGTAAATTCCTCTGGTCACGTTCTTCAGCATTCCGTCTGTTTGATCAGACTGAATCGCGATGGAGTTATGAACCGACCTAACCAAGATGTGAACGGACCTAAGAGTACCCCTGCCCGACGTGGCGTCATGGTTCAGCTTGTTTGGGAACCCAGGATTGTGGTTTCTACGGACAGGGATTCTTCTCCTCTTCACGTTTGTTATATTAATTGCCCTTTTTAATTTTATTCTTCCATTTCTAGCGCACGGAACATCTCCCTTCAGAGGATGAGGTACGGAGTTCAAGTAGGTATGATTTGGTTTGCGGCTGAGAAGATTAGTGCTCTTAGGCCTCCAGACTCCCGGCCACAACTCAAGAGTCGCTTAACCGGACGAATGGATGGTTCCTTGGGTATTTCCTCTTCTGTGAATCTCAAAAGTGGTGGGTAGAAATGAATTATCACAAATAAGATGGGATTCAAATCAGAAGATCGGATGCCCGCAGGAACACAGGCGGCAAACAAGGGAAAATTTGAACTTCCCCCTCTTCCGTGACCAGTATCCAATTCTAGAGATGAGTGAAGTCATCGGGTAAAGCAGAGGCCCCATGCAAGCAAAATCAATAGATCGAGAGTCCGGGCCTACACTAGCCAAGGGTCATCAGTGTAGCTGTGGCAGAGCCGTCGTGGCAAGTCACGGAAATGGGTGGAAGCCTTGTGCGTCAAGGCGACACAGCGCTAGCATTAGCGCATCAGGCTCAGTGGAGCAGACATCGGCCAATAACAGAGACAGATCTCAGGCCAACAGGGGAAGAGCTGGGGTATCTGCTCTCTTGGGGCTGCCGTATCTATAAATCATCGACTGCTACTATTTCCAATCGGTCCAAAATGACCGACGTACGAGGTACGAGGTGCTACTACCAGATCTGTGGTCGTGATCCTGTCACTGGCATTGGCTGCTGATCCTCTAATTCGCTCCTCCAACTTAGATCCGATGGGGTAATTACTACCTAAGCAAACAGACCAGGAACTTTGTAAACAAATGATAATAAATACGCTTCGATCCTCAGATGCATTGGTCGTAATTCTATCTTCTACCTGTCAGAAAGACAAAAGTCTCTCAAAACATACATTTTTTCCCTTGACCTGAGTGCTCGAAAACGATCAATATGGCATACAAGACCAACTACGAGCTGTGGGTTAGTTTTCCAATGCCTATTCCCATGATTTTCAACAACTAATCAACTCGCAGAACCCCGCACTCACATCCAGACGGCCATCGCAAATGTCGGATATTGATATCATTCTATCACAAACATATCCTCATGTAGCTATGCTACCATACATGCAGTGTCAACACTGCAACCCGATCAATAATGAAGAGCCAGACAGTCCATCAGGCTCTACCACAATGTCCACATTTGAAGGTTCAGAAGACGGGTCAGACTACCTATTCACGCCAACAACGAACCCAACTGTCGACAACGGTAAACGCAGAAAGATTCGACAACGACTGCGACAGCTGTTGAAGCGTTGGCCCCGGTCAAACAATTAAAATCACCATTTGCGAGGAGAATCAGGGAAATTGATGTTCCCGCTTATATATATCTCTTTTGGTTACTTTTTTCGAGTTCTTCATACTCAATCACTTTCACTTTTCAGGTTTTCATTTGTCTATAGTGGTGCATGGGGATGGAGTTCTAATTCGAGAAAGGCGTTGGCTGTGGAGGATTCAAAGGGAAATACCACGTGCAATCATAAATTGTACCTACCTGGGCGTACATATGGGAGTTTGCTTTCTTTCACTATTTGTTTTTTTTTTGGCGCAGGCACGCTTAGCTAGTTCTCAAGAAGAATGAAACATGTAAGATCTTATCCTGATCGTGCTCGGTCACTAATTGAGGATACAGAACGAACGACTGCAGCTTTTTGACAACGAGTGGCAGATCTAGAAACTCATGATTGCCGGAATTGTGGGTCTAGTTTCTATTGTTGGACCAAACAAACGATTCGATGTTATCAAGTTATACGAAGTTTGAATGCCGTATCTAATGAAACAGACCGTATTAGCCTGACTACGGCTGAGGTGCCATTCCTTTGCACAATTTGTCGTTCTGTGTCATCCATGAGCATCGTATATACAATGAGTTTTGCTCTATTTTTTGAAATAATCAATAAAAGTATAACCCTACAAGAACTGCACTTTGTACGACGTTTTGATGCGATTTATGTCTCAAAAAATATAACTCCGCGCCGATCTACATGCCGTGACACACGACGCAAACCTCAGTACTGTCCTGAAAAACGGAAATAAAATTAGAAAATAGTTTTCGCTTTCCTTTTGTTTTGTCAAGACCACGCGCGTCAAGCACGTGAATCATAATTTGACTTAAAGTTTGATATGCAAGAACGGTAACCTCCCTGTAACTAGATAGAACACAAACGGATCTCGTTGATTCTTTCAGGTATATGGAAGGTGGCATACAAACGAAAATTATGGTTTTCCATTTCCTGCATCAACCGTTACTGTTCGTAGTTTGCTTTGTGGTACCTCGGCAGCGTTACATTACATACAACATGCAGCTATCTACATATGGTAGCTTTCAAACGGTAACTTTTCCATAGCACGGCATATGGAGAATACACCGTTTTTTGCTCTTACTCTTAGCTAAGAAGGTACAGTGATTTGCATGACGCACGTCGCACATACAACATCGATGTACATGTACATGTATGGATGGTAAGGGAATAACTCGGCATTCCAGCGGCAACTTTTCGGCACAGTGTATGATGAAACTTTTTTTTTTCTTTCTTTTCTAACTTTCAGCCTTATTTCTCACCTCATCGAACATATTTTCGGGGGCATCCCTGTAAAGCCAATTGGCTATCGCCAGTTCGTAGTGGCGATCGGGCATACCGATCTGAGCCGCTGTGAACCAAATCTAACCAAGCTAGCCCCAGCCTCAGCCCCACAAGTACCCACATTAAAAGTCTATAGTTTAACCCAAACAGGCTTGAAGCAGCTGTGGCTCGTAATAGTTGTGGCTTGACCGCTCTTCACACGTGTTGGTTTTACTATGCACCAGCCACATTTGACATCCGTATGAATTGTCCCTTGCTTCTAGTTATGCATATGAAATGCTGTATTATTATCATCCCGGTAACCCAAAAAAAGGAAAAAGAAACTATAAACTTACTAGTGAAGTCAAGTACGTACATGATATTACGTAGGCTTTTCGCAGCTACAGAGCTTTAGACTCTGCAATTTATGGGTCTGTTGCACTAGCCACAGACTTTTCCAAAAAAAATTGCAGAATGATGTGGCTTGCTCGCTTTTGGTATGCAGGGTCCATTTAGTCTGTGGCTAGTTTCTTTTACTAAAATCTAACAAAGCGTGCATGATTGCCAATTTTTTCTGGTTACTTCTTCGTCTCGGATACGTCGTTAGTTGCATCTTCCCATATGTAACGAAATTCGAGACCCACGCACACTTTCTGCTTCTGATTACGACATGTCTGCCACAGCTGCACGATTTCCAAGAAATCACAGTCGTACTAATCAACTCATGGTCTTTGACTAATTCTTATCTGTGTGACCAGCGACCAATGGGGTCTTTAACGAGACATGGATTCCGGGATTCGATGGCCCGGAGTCGAATCAAGTGATCTATGTGTGATTGTTTGCCCCGGTGTACCGAAATGACGGAAGTTGTTCCTATGCGGAATACATTGAGTTCTATATTGCAATATGACGTCGATGATTTATCGATAATCTGATGCGCGCTATTTTCTAATATGTACTCCGTAGTATGCACTGAGACACTCCGTCCTATGCGATGTAATTTACCGAGTCATTGACACAACAATTGTGCGATTTGACGTATATGATAGAAAGTTAGTCCTGGACAGCTCGCCAGATCTCCTTTCTAATTACTCGTCTAATCCAGAAAGGAGTCGGCTGTCATATTTTGACTCCCATTGACACTATTGACATGTCTAATCCCGTTCCGAGTTTAGCTGATTACGCTATAAATAACGTAATCCACACCCGAGCGGATCACACCACCGAGCGGATCACTCAACTCCGAGCGCGTCAAATGAGTCAACTCTCTATATTCAACGCGCCAATATGCCACCAATTCCTAATAAAAATCAATCAAATTCTCAGGAACAAGAAGGACGAATCTTATTAGCTATATCCGATTTTAAAAATGGAAAATTATCATCAATTCGTCATGCAGCACGCACTTATAATGTGCCATATACAACTCTCTCGCGCCGCCTCAATGGTATCCCAATGAAAGCTGAGATACGTGCAAATGGGCATAAATTGACTCAATTTGAAGAGGAATCGCTTATTAAATGGATATTAGATCTAGATAAGCGAGGATTACCTCCCCGACCCTCTATGGTACGAGATATGGCCAATATTCTTCTTTCTCAACATGGAAATCAAACAGTTGGCGAGAACTGGGTTTATAACCTAGTCAAACGTCGCTCAGAGCTAAAAACACGATTTTCACGAAGATATAACTACGAGCGTGCTAAATGCGAAGATCCGAAGATAATTGAGGAATATTTTGATCGCGTACGAGAGGCTATAGCCAAGTATGGAATCCTATCGGAGGATATCTATAACTTTGATGAGACTGGCTTTGCAATGGGCCTCTGCGCGAGCGCAAAGGTTATTACTGGAAGCGATCGATATGGCCGTCCACATCTACTACAGCCTGGTAATCGAGAATGGGTAACTGCAATTGAGGCAGTCAACTCTACTGGCTGGGCCTTGCCCTCGTACGTGATCTTTAAAGCTACTAAATACTCCCAGGAAGGCTGGTTTGAGACCCTTCCAGATGATTGGAAGATCAATATTAGTGATAATGGGTGGACAACAGATCAGATTAGCATGGATTGGCTCATCAATCACTTTATTCCTCATACAAATGGCCGGATAATCGGACAATATCGAATGTTAATTCTCGATGGCCATGGAAGCCATTTAACTGCCGAATTTGATCGTACATGCACTGAGAATAAGATTATCCCAATCTGCATGCCTCCACATTCCTCGCATCTCTTACAGCCTCTCGATGTTAGCTGTTTTGCAGTTCTAAAGCGACAATATGGAAAGCTTGTTGAGCAGCGGATGAGACTCGGCTTTAATCATATTGATAAAATCGACTTTCTTACTGCTTTTCCAGAGGCCCGTACGATGGCATATAAAGCTGAGACTATTCGGAATGGCTTCAAAGCAACTGGATTAGTTCCATTGGATCCAGATCGAGTTTATAGTCAACTTACTATCCGATTAAAGACTCCAACACCACCTCCTAATCCACCTAGTGATTCTCAATCATCATGCTTACAGACACCTCAAAATCCACGCCAATTCAAACGCCAATTGAGTACGATTAAGCGACGAATCAGCCGGCGTACAAGGAGCCCCTCTGAAGTTATTGATGAAGCAATTAGTCGCATGTCAAAGGCGTACGAGACCAGTATTAACGAGCTTCTTATTATACGGAAGGAAGTTCACGATTTACGAGCTGCACATGAGAAAGAGAAGCGAAAGCGTACACGATCTAAAAAGCAGATATCTCATGAGCAAGGAATTACTAGAGAGGATGCTCAGGCACTTATAAATAGGCCAATTGAGGCATCTCAAGCTCCTACTACTGCTCCGGCCGAGCCTGAGCTTCCGGCCTCTCAACCACGTGTACGCCGTCAATTTCAATGTAGTGAGTGTGGAATTTTCGGGCATAGAAGGCCTCAATGCCCTAATCGTATTACTAATTAATTTTTTGTATATAATTATTATTTCGGGTTGAAAATTGAGGTTTAAAATCTATACAAGACGCTTTCTTGGAGCTGAGTGATCCGCTCGGTGGTGTGATCCGCTCGGGTGTGGATTACGTTATTCAATGTGGGCCTCTGTTACATAACCCGTTATCTAATGACCCTGATTGGCTGATAATTCGATCAGAACAAGGTCATCTAATTGCTTGGAATATTGCCTATCTAGGTAATACTTTGTCCGTCGAGAATGGCCAGAACAAAGTTAACTGATCATCCGTTACCAAAGCCTTGACTATGAGTGTGCACTGTGCAGATACTATTGGTCGATCGCAACGTTTTACGTTGTGACAAAACTTGCTTTAGGTTCAGGAATAGCCTTGCCCTCCACTCTGGAGCACTGACGATTCGGCAGCCGTCACCGTAAAACTGAAAACAAAAGGGATGCTAGTTCGATGATTCCAAGGTTATCATATCACATTGGGTGGATATTGACACCCAACAAATCTCAAATCATGCAAGCATAGCATAAACCTACCTAGCGATGCAAAATATGCTTCAACATCGTGCACACATAGTAGAGCTAACGGTAACTAAAAGCACGCCCTGTGGTAATTAGTTGCCTATTTGGTAGGTGAACAGCTTAGATTAAATCTAGAAAAAGGAAACTTGACATACTACCTGATTAGGCAATTACATGATCATCCTGTTTGAAATCAAGGCAACCAAGGCGAGAAGATTCGTGTGACAGCCCAATTATTGGCACGTTTATCTCATTCCTTATGTAGGTCGTGTACGATGTAGTCGTACGTCTTTTGGTGGTAAAAAATTCTGGTCTCTTGGGTTAGAAATTTTTGTCTTGAGCGACTGCTTCTTTTAGTGTAAGAATTAGACGGTGGAAACTCTAACATCTGAAGTTAAATATGATCGGACATCAAGATTAAATCTTATCAATCATCTGTTCAATATAAAATTGTAAAGTTTCTTTTTTAATTTAATAAAGTCATGCTTCTTCGAAGCAAACTTAGGAACGCTATTTTTTTGACGTGCTATCAGTAGGAATCTTTCATTCTAGCCTCACATATTAAACGAATAAAGTTGGGAAGAGAACTAGAGTAACTTGATCAGGCAATGTCACCCGAAATGATAGCCTTCAAAGCTGCAATCTGCTCGCGGACAGCTCGCTTGCTCGTACCGCCAATAGCGTCTTTCAGTTCAACAGCCCGCTCATAATCCAAACACTCGCGAACATCAGGCCCAAATCGGCTATCGATTGCCTGTAGTTGTTCGATGGTAAGTGTGTCCATGGGAACATCATTCTTCTCTGCCAATGCAACAACACGCCCTGAAATGTGGTGGCCCTCTCTGAATGGCACGCCTTTGCGGACAAGGTAGTCCGCGAACTCAGTGGCAAGCATCTCAGGTGCTAGGGCAGCGACCATTTTCTCGGGATTGACTTTCAATGTGGAGAGCACACCGGTGGCGATCTGGATGCTGTCACCAACAGTCTTGATATGGTCCAAAAGAGGCTCAACACTCTCCTGGAGATCTTTGTTGTAGGTGGTGGGGAGACCTTTGATGGTCATCATAACACCTGCAACATGCCCGAAGGCACGTCCAGCTTTGCCACGAAGAAGTTCCAGGCTGTCTGCGTTCTTCTTCTGGGGCATGAGCGAGGAACCCGTCGAATATGCGTCAGCTAATCGTACAAAACCAAACTCCAGGCTGCTGTAGATGATGAGATCCTCAGCCCAACGGGAGATTTTGAGCATGAAGGAGCTACCCCACTGCATTGTTTCCATAGCAAAGTCTCTGTCCGCAACAGTGTTCATGGAGTTAATAGTAAGGCCATCGAAGCCCAATTCCTTGGCCATGCCTTCACGGTCAATGCGAAAAGGGTTTCCAGCGAGGGCACCAGTACCCAAAGGTGACTTATTAACTCGCTTAATAACTTCACGCAATCGCTCTAACTCCGAGGCGAATGCTACAGCGTGCGACAACAGCCAGTGGGACCATCGAACGGGCTGTGCTTTTTGCAGGTGCGTATAGCCAGGCATTAAGTACTCAATATCTTGCTCTGCGCGAGCCACAGAGACCTTGATCAGATCCGACAAGAAAGCATCCAGCTTCCGCAGCTCATCCCGCAGCCACAAACGCATATCAGTTGCAATCTGCTCGTTTCTCGAACGACCCGTGTGCAGTTTGCCAGCAATGTCTTTGCCAATAATCTCACCCAGGCGACGCTCATTAGCGGTGTGGATGTCCTCGTCATTTGATTTGACGACAAAGCTATTGGTGCTCCATTCTTCGGCGATTTGCTTGAAACCGCGTTCGATCTCAGAGAACTCGTGTTGGGTCAGAATGCCGCCACGGGTGTTAGCGCGAGCAAATGCAATAGAGCCGAGAATATCCTGCTTCCAAAAGATACGATCGTAGGGGAGCGATTCGTTGTATTGAACCATCAGGGGGTCCAGTCCCTCTAAACCCAGAGATTAGCTTGTTGATCGAGGTTTTCGTAAATAAGAATGAGTTATACCTGTGAACCGTCCCCCCCAGAGCATATTCTCAGCAACAGCTTTTTGATTGCTCATTTCAGCGACTTGTGATACAATTGAATGAATGGATGTTTGTTCTGGTGTGTTTTGCTGCTTGTTGGTATGACTCAAAATTTTTGGAAGAATGCGGAGAGCGGGATCGGAGGCCTCAGGCAAATGATAAGAAACCACGCTAAGCCAGATGAGGATATCTACGAGAAAACTGCAACAACAAAAAACAAAGATATTAATTATTTACAACCGTCAGAGGTGAGAGATGAGAGCCGATGATGGACAGGGGAAATTCTTCTTAGATTCAACAAGCGGAGTCTCACTTGGTTAAGTAACAAAATTCTATGGTACATATGTCCTTACTACTATATAAATCAATAAAATTCAGCCTTGAAGGCTTTCCAGAAACATATTTTTATTGCTGTATATAAACCAGTTGATATTCTTAATATCAGTTTATACGGAACCTGATATGGTGGCTGGATCTTATTACAATTATTCGGGTTTTTGAAGAGAACGACTGCGGTGTCAATATTGGCAGGATTTAATAAGATATAGTGAATGGTTACCAAATAATGACAAATATATATGAACTGATAAGAGACGACACAATATCAATAAGGTTTAGTTTCTTACTGAATAAGGGACTGGACTTTTCATTGCTAAAGCTTTTTGAGATGTATCGAATATCTGTGACGTAGACCGGGAAATCTACAAAGAAGACAAAAGTGCTTGCTGGTTAATACTGCCCTAACAAACCTCACAGATCTACAATACCTAGTCAATGACATCACTAAAAAGAATAATTTTTATGTTCTTTATATTACCAATTGATTGTATCAAAGTTTGTATATCTGAATGGTAGGGGCAAGCTGAGTGAATGAGATGGCTACATATTGTAAATGGGTATGGAATATATGATCGTATCTCTTTCTTCGACGCTTTGAAAACATTTATATGTTTACTTAGCCAACCTTCAGCAGGAGGATATTTGAGGAATTTTGTGTAGTACCTTAGAAACCTACCCGTATCTCTAATTTGCACTCTAACAAAAAGTAAACATATTGTACATCAACTCATGGAGTTGTGAAACGAGGAAGAAAATATTGAAATGAAAACTGGTCAAAGCAGATGCTTCTCAAAAGAATTGGTCAAGACTGGTCTTACGATTATATGCTTTGTGTATTTCCTGCTCTTCATGCTATTTCATCACGCCACCATGACTAAAAAATCAGATGTTACATCAAATAAGCAGCTAATATAACTGCAAACCTTCAATATGAATTTTTTTCTTTTTGCTTTTAGTTTAATTTGCATTGCTTAAGAAAGACCATAGAGAAGACTGATTGTAGATTCCGAAAGGATTTAGATCAGAAGCCCTTTCAACTTTTTGAAACACAGTTATGAGAAACCCCTCTAGCTGAAAGTAGTCCTATTATGCTCCATTTTTCAAGAGAACTGCATACATGTGTTCACCTACCAAGATGGCAGGTCCACAAGAGCTTCAAACCAGGAATAATAAAGCATCAGGTACACATACTTTCATGGACAAAGGGTTTTTGTCTCCATCTTTAAATGAGACCAAAGACTCATTCAACTTTTTTCACACTACGAACCCCTTGTTTATTTTCATCTTGCAACCACTAGGAGCTCATGTTGCATACTGAGGTTATTAGCTGGAGCAGATCGTAGGCTGGATAGTGCGCAGAGACTTGTCCTCGCGGTTTTTCAATATCAACTAATGCGGAGAGTTAGAGCATGAAGAAGACGTCCACACACACCGCAATTGATGACCGGCAGCTGGCTAGTGTTCTGGATTACTGTACATTTTCCTAAAGATACTATATTCCTCAGGAAGCCTTGCTAATCTGTGAAAAACCAACAGGTCGCCTGTGCCACCGATATGACATTGTTCGGCTACGATCAAGGCGTGTTCAGCGGTGTGGTGGTGACGCAGGATTTCCTAAACATATTGGACCTGGCTGGCCCATCCAAGACGCAGGTCCTCTCGACCGTCACGGCCATATACGACGTGGGATATTTCCTCGGAGCAATCGTTGCCTTTGGATTGGGTGAGCGGTTGGGCCGCAAGAAAGCCATTCTCTGGGGCACGTCTATCATGGCCATTGGTACAATATTGCAGTGTAGCTCGTATAGTCTGACGTAGATGTTTGTAGGGCGCGTCGTCTTGGGGTATGTCATCATCTTTGACAAGTCTGCTTTGGTAGTACTACTAACAGTACATATCCCAGCCTTGGAAACGGGATTAATACCGCAACAGCACCCATCTGGCAGACCGAGACTTCAACGGCGAAATGGCGCGGCAAGCTGGTCATCCTGGAGATGTGGACTAACATTGGCGGCTTTATGCTCGTTAACTGGATTAACTACGGTCTGTCATTCGCAGGCGGGGCCATTGCCTGGCGATTTCTGCTTGCACTTCAGTTCATTTTCATCTTCATTTTGTGGGTGACCGTCCCTTGGTTACCGGAATCTCCAAGGTATTTATTCTGGAGGCAAAACCTGTCGACGACCCCTACATTAGGACCCTATACGAGGACATCTCTTTTAGCATCGAGTACGAGCGTCAGAATGCCATGCGTTGGCGGGATATTTTCCGGCATCCGGAAGGCAACAATACCAAGCCCTTACGCCACCTGCTGCTGGGTGCTGGCACGCAGTTCATACAACAATTTGAGGGCATCAACATTATGTCGTACTACCTGCCGACGGCACTAGAAAGTGTCATAGACCTATCAAACAGCATGGCACGGCTAATATCGGCTGCGAATGCCAGCGTTTATTTCATCTTTTCTGGTGCTGCGGTGCCGCTTGTAGAGCGTATGGGCCGCCGCGGCTTGATGATGATGTCTACCGCAGGACAGGGGTTGGCGTTGCTGATCATCACAATCCTGCTGGCAATTACCGAGAGGACTAGTAACTCTACATACTCTAGCGCATCGGTTGACTTCTTCTTCGTCTTTTATATCTTCTTTGGGTTGGGGATGTTGGGCGTACCCTGGCTATATCCGCGGAGATCAGCTCGGTTCCCATGCGCACCAAAACCGTTGCAGTGTCAACAGCAACAAATTGGTAGGGAAATCTAAGAAACACTATGATTTAACAAGCAAAATAGCTATAGACACTGACTTGAGGCTGTAGGATTACCAATTTCGTCATCGTTGAAATTACTCCCATCGGGATCCAGAATATCGGCTGGAAGTTCTGGATTGTCTGGAGTATCTTCAACGTTATCTTTCTCCTAGACATCTACTTCTTCTATCCGGAAACAGGTAAGATATCTGCGCCTAAATCTTTATATTAAGAACTTAAGCGAGATACTGATGAATCAGCCAATCGCACTCTTGAGGACATGGACGCTTATTACAGGTCCAATCCCTCGCTAGTCGTCTCTTCGGATCTAGATGCTATCTCGGTGAAACGACCGTCCAAGTATATCGAGAACGAAGAGGAAATAATTAGACAGACCGTTTGTGTAACGGGGATATCCGCGAAAGAAATTGGAGAAGAGGCTTTTGAGCATGTTGAGGGTGCGTAATTGGGAGTGAATATAAACAATTTCAATCAGACTTTTTCATGCTACTTCTAGTCTAGGTTCATGACAAAAGATGCTTCAGCTTTTGAAGTTTCTCTTCAATGCCTTGATCTTTTTGTTACTTGGAATATCATGTTCTATAAGGTGTTTGATTTATTAGTCAGTCTTGTAGCACATTTCACATGTGTGATCTATCCATGCACATTTCCTCATGGTGTAGGAAGAAGTGATTCTAAAATAAATCCTGGGTAGACTGTTAGAGAAAGGCAATTAAATTCTATACTCAGTAACCAGGATATTAACCTCACTAAAAAGCCTTTGCAATATTTACCTAGTATAGGAATGAATAATATGATATACACAGATCTAACATTCTTGCCGGCGCTGTCCACTAAAGCTGCCCTGCATCCACTCCTGCGCCAGGTCCTTGACTCAATAATCCGTGAAGATACCTGGCCACTCCTCCCTCTGCTGCTGTAAGCGAAGAACCACCCACCGCTCGGCATCTCGATCAACACGTCGCCCGGCTACGTAGAGCGGCTGCAGGAGGTGCTTCTAGACCGTCGTATGCGGCATTCCTTGCATGAGGTGGATGCATTGAACTGCATATCTCTGCAGACCTTGGCGTGGTGAACTATATGCCCAAAAGATACCTGAGTGGTTGGCTGCATGGATCAGCAAAAGCGCTCGCGCCATAACACACGCATCATTGACAAACCATATTTCACCATCAAGGCTCAAGAATTCCTGCTCCGCGGAATTGGGCTCTGGTCAGGCAATAGCAATGATCACTTCAAGGAAAAGAGTGGGTGTGCGGGAGAGCTCCGGAACGTTGACCAGGAGTAGACGGCCGTGTGCATCAAGAGGAAGTCACATCTGACACCATAACATGAGATTCTCTGCATATGTTCGTATCCGACGTTGGAAGTATCTGGTTTCTCGTAAGCATATCTCGAAAATTGGGTTTGGACGGCAATGTGGACGGGGGATACACTTCGTGGTTATTGTCTATGATGCGTACTATATGATGATTAATGATATACTTTATACATATGAACGCTTTAGTCCAAAATGCATTCTCATAGATAATCATGGCTGTAACACCTAAAACCTGCGCTGGTGATATTTATACACACTAGTGTTAAGGACATTATCAACGTATAGACACTAATATTGGGAACTACTGTAAAGTTCTATCTCTGTTATTGAGAACACCACTAGGACAAAAAATGCTCCATTCAAAATAACACCATTATAATCCGCTCCACGCCATATGTGACTCTCGACCAATAAGAATATTTCGAAAACTTCTCTCATAATACTGACCAAGATTTAGATGATAGCTGCTTCCCTTGAAGAATCTATTAACGGGTATTCATATCAATGGACCCGATAGTCTTCTGGGTGATGGACATAGCCCTCAGAGGAAGGGAAGTAATGGTTGGTTGGGAATCAATTCTTATGTCCCTTGACGTTCTGCTCTCACGATCTGCTCCAGCGTTTCTGAAATTGTATTCTCTGATAAACGCTGGGTTGGTGCTGTGAGTCTGAGACTCTTGTTAGAATCTTCTCAACGCTTGTGAACATGACACTCACAGTTACTGGAACAGAAGTAGGAGCAGCTATGGTTGGTCATTGAGTAGAAATTGAGCTGCTTGGGCAAGTGGTGAAAATCGTTACTTTTTTGTGATATGTTTATTGGAAGGAATTCAATCCAAAACGTGCGCTGCTGGACGAATTTGGGTATTTTTTTTGTATCCTTGATCATTGGTCCTCTGGCACTGGGCCATCGACACTGTTGAGATTTGAGCCGGCTGGAGCTTGGTTGACTGTGACCAGCCCACAAATGGAAAATTCTCGCCTCAAGCTTGACGTGTGTTGTAGCATTCTTTTGAATAAGCATTATTAGTCCGTAGCTGCTAATATTTGAAGCCATTTTGAATATTTTATACCCTCTGAAGAAGTCTAAGATCTCTTCTAAAAATTCATTCTTTCCGGCTGGACAGCCCTATAGATTTGGTCAATGCATCGAATTAAAGATATATGAATAGCTACATACTTGAGAATCGCAATGAGATGCCTTTCAGACATCAGTAAACCGCAATAGCAATGGGCGACGGGAACAGTGCTAGCAACACCACTAGAATGATATTCGCACATCTCGAAGCAAGAAAAACTTGATGCATGCAGTAGACTTCTTAGTATGGTGGGATAATTCAGCCGTTTATCTGAGGGCCAAAAGGAAGAGAGCTGGAGACAAGAAGAAGGAAGGAAGAAAAAGAGGGAGAAAGGGCGGTGCGGTGCCTAAACGAGGCTAGCACGACTTGCTGTTTGCATCTTTCAGGATATTCCTCGTCTTGAATCCATTCCAGCTCTCTTATTCTTTCTTGAAGAGTACATCCAGTACTAAGCCTTGTGTTTCTTCTCTTCCCTGGTCTCGATTTACTCCAGCATTGTGGGATAATTTGCCCGAGGTTTGCCTAACACGAAACGCTTTGGGGGAATATGGCCGAAGGGATAACTAAGAAGGCCAGTTCCTCGACAGCTATCCATTACCGTGTCATGAGGATACCCAAAGCTACACGAGACATGGCGGTCCTGATTTATCAAACTTACGAGGGTTATTTTCTGAGCACTCTGCATGATATCAAAGCTAACTGCAGTTAGCTTTAACCTGCCGCCGATTCGCACACTTCACAGTCCTTGAGCACATTACATCTAATCGTTGGAATTTATTGGTTTATTGTATTATTCTCAATAAAACTCCTGAATGACATGAACCATCACCACACACTGCTCCAGCAGCCAGTTGATAAGTTGTTGCAGTTCCCTCCTAAGCCCTAATAACATTGGGAAGCCTGCTACAATACGCCTTATGCCGGTCAACCCTTGCAGCTATCCAGGGTTTGGTGTTTACCAGCTTCATACTTTCTCTATGACTGGTATAGGGTAGTGCTTATCCTTGTCTTGTGAGTATTACCATCATCATAAATAGAAGAGCGGGAACACATACAAGACTCTGATGAGCAGGTGGCCATTCCCCTGATGAGTCTGAATTCAAATAGTGAATCTGGCCAGTCTTTCGGTTTCGGACAATCAGATACACATCAGAGTCACATTTGGTGATAAACTCTTTTGCTTTCTTGAAAAGACCCTTTCTTCGCCTCAGTTTCTGCTGGGCTTTGGAGCGCTTGTTGGTTGGTTCGCGTACATCAGGGCCAGGGGAGGGAGATGGAGATGGAGACGACATGACAATTGTCCCAGGTGAGCAACGCAATATACTAGTAGTAAGTTGCGAGAGGAGAATACAGAAATAACCCACAGCAGGAACGAGGCTGATACTTATAGTCTTGTACTAGTCTTGCACCTTACCCAAAACGTGCAACTCTTTCAGCTAAGCCTCAAAGGGATATGTACCTCCCTTGCTGCCTGAAAAGTAAGGTATATACGCTGATATCAAGCCACAGCTTTTTGCAGGGATTCTCGTGCCACTTGCTGAGAGTCAAGAAAAGATGCTGTAGAGAATTGCCGTCAATATTTCTGTCAGTGACTACCTCACTCGAGAACGATCAAAATCCTGGAGTTCTATGAGTTTTACCAGCGACTTTCGTTGATGTATAGTCGCATCGTAGAAACGGCGAGTTGTGAAATTGTAAGCCGAAGCAGATGGCACATCTTTGCCTTAATAACTGTTCGCTACGTTCAATACGAAGTGGTATAACAGGCCCTTGATCCTACAGTCTGGGTCAAAACTTTCAGGATCATTGCACATTTCACCCTTGCTCAGGAATAGCCAAGTTGTTCTGTAGCAGCTTTCATTCCCAATAGCCTTTCTTTTATGGCTGTATGCACTTGCAGAAGAATTGGGTAGATAGGCTCTTGCATAGGCATCTGACCTTGCTGGTGACGGCCCTTTCGATGCGGAGTATATGCGCTTCCCAGATGCCTAACCCTAATTCCGAAATTGGTAATAGGAGGCTACACTTATTGTTATTAGATTGAAATAGGAGTATGTCAAGAATCAGTTACCCAAAGTCATGCCATATGACGAGGGATACTATTTCTTACTAGAAGAAAAGTAGGCATAGCTAACCTTATATCGACACTACCTAGGTACCATACCGTACACACCTCTCCCTCTCCCTCTCCCCCTCTCTACCTGGTCTCTCACTTCGACTCTCAGCTGTCTGTCCTCGCTCGAGCACAAGAGGCTTTTGCTAGATGTGAGAGAGGGGCTATAAATCTTTCTTGGCGCTTCACTCTTCCCTCACGTACACTTCCATCCACCACCACTGCAACTCCCTCGAACGTACCTGGGACTTGGTTCAGCTACAGTCATCTACCTAGGTCCTTCTACCCCTCAATTTCTTCTATCCCACTTTCTGCTTCTTCTTCTTCTTCTTTCCATCTTGACTTCCTTCTACTCTCAATCGCCCGCAGTCAAACAATACCCTTCAACTCAAGCCTCAGACTTTTTCTCCTCTCAGCGTCTTCTGTCATTCACTTCTTCCTGAGCTTCCAATTGTTTCTTACTACCATTGGTCCACTCAATCAAGAACACATAACGTGAGCATCCGATTGTCTTCAACTTTCTAAGCTGCCATTTCCTCAGCTTCAGCATCTTTTCATCTCTTTATCTGTCTTAACAAGATTCTACTTTTACTCAGACATGTCCGTTCGACAATGGCTCCAGCCCGGATCTTTCGTCTGCTAGTGGATGACGATTCCGAAAAAGGTGCGGTATTTCTCATTATTGAACTTACAATTGCTAATTCAAGTACGAATACAGACGAGTCCCGGAAACAAAGTCCCAGAAAGAGGCGCAAGACACCCACGAAACCCAAACAGAAGAAAGAGAAAGAGGAAGATAGTCGGTCTTTCTAGTTCTTCTTAGGATATTCGCCTATTTTCGAACTGGCTGTTAACTGCTTTTCTTGTCTAGCGACGAATTCAATCGTGACCATGGTGGTGGGCGTGGATTTTGGCACGACGTATTCTGGTGTGATTCCTTCCCCGCATAATAATGATCAGTGATGCTCACATGCAACCTTCGACTATTAGGATTCGCAACGGTCTTAGAGAATTGCTCCTTTAGCGATGTGAAGCTCAATAACGATTGGCCGGGCTGTTCGGGCTATCAGGAGAAAGCGCCGTCAGTTTTGACTTACGACTTGAGCAAGCCTGAAAACCCCAAGGTAATAGCTTGGGGGTACATGACCAAATCCTCTGAGATCACATATACCTGGTTTAAATTAGGTCTGGCGGAAGGTCAGGTGCCGAGTGAGCACGATGATGCGCTTTTATTTGAGACTCTGGGATCAATCAGGTGCCCTCCAGATATGACATTTCGCAAGCTCGTGACAGACTACCTCGCCCAATTCTACAGACACTTCACCGCAACACTCAAAAAGCAGTCACTAGTTGATACGTATAGCATGCTGAAATTCCGCTTTGTTCTCGCCGTCCCGGCAGGATGGCCCGACAGAGACAAACAATCTATCAAGGATTGTGCTGTTGAGGCAGGGTTCGGAAAACGCAAAGAAGACGAACTTTGTATAATTGAGGAGCCTGAAGCCGCTGCTATTACTGCTTTATACTCTTACGGAGACAGGTTTAAGGGGGCAAACACGCTAAAGGTTTGCTAATCCCTCCCCTGATTACTATTGTGGCCTCAAACTGATAGAAACTTGACCCAACAAAAACAGATCGACACGAATGTTATGATCGTCGATATGGGAGGCGGCACTGTGGTATGTATTATCTCTCTCGTGCAATTTGTAGAAACTAGGGTTTAACATGCGAAACCAGGACTTGATAACGTACACGATCAAGCAACTGAAACCATTGAAAGTTGAAGAAGCCTGCGTAGGATCTGGTATGTTTTCTGTTGCTGCTTGCTAATCATTCCTTCTGTCCATGATGAACACGACTGACGCAGGGATCTCCCAATACCTATAAGGCGCCAAATGCGGTTCCAGCACAATTGACCGACAGTTCTTGAAGTTCATGCGGCAGCGGTTTGGAACCGAGTTCACCAGCAAGTCGGAGAAAATAATTGGGCCCAAGAGCCGTTTCATGGAAGAGTTTGAAGGCATCAAACGACGGTTCGACGAGCGGACGGAAACGGAAGGATTGCGCCTACAAATGAACTGGGATAACCAAGATCAATACGATTCAGAAGATGGCGAAGTCATCTTAAAGCGGTGTGTGTTGAGTGGACTTTATCTGCTCGCTCATAACTAACTCCCCTACAGGAACGATATCGTGGAGATGTTCAAGCCCGTTATCGATGGTGTAACGGGCTTGATTCAACAGCAAGTTGAAAGCACTGCAGAGGAAAACAGTCTACCGATCACGGTTCGTGAATCATGGCGAATCCTACCAGCCCCCTTCTGTTTTGAGTATGTTTTTATGCTCCTGACTGACACACTTTTTGAAGGCCATCATTCTATGTGGCGGGCTCGCGGAATCTGAATACATTCGAGCACAGCTCACAGAGTGGTGCGAAAAGAATACGCCAGATGCGGAAGTCATAGTACCAGACGGCCCGTGGTCCTCAATCTGCATAGGCGCAGCGATGAGTGGAGTGAAATCAACCAGTTTCATCAAGAGCAAAAAGGCTCGTCGGAGTTACGGCACAGTAACATACGTGCCGTTCAATCCGAACGAGCACGACGAGGACAATGCAGTCACGCTTCCAGGCTTGGGGAAGCGGATGGAGAAGATGCATTGGCATGTCAAGAGAGTAAGGCATTATCTTTGGCATGTAACACATGAATGATTCTTACTAACCCTTTCCCTTTCCCATCAGAATGACCCGCTGCACGCCAATGAGAAGTATCGTTGGTTAAAGAAAGCCTCTATTCAGGTTGGACGCGACACTAGTTCCAAGGGAAGAATCGAGCTATTTGAAAGCGACACGGCCGTCGCGCCAACATGGAGGTCCGACAGAGGTGAGTCCTTTTTTTTTGTCCCTCCTTCTACAAGGGTCTTGACTCACGGCAAAACCAGGAATACGGAAACTCGGCGATCTTTCCATTGATCTGTCAGACACGCAAGCTTCACCAGCCAAAAGGAGAAAATATAGCAGCAACAGCTGGGTTCCCAATGTTGAACAAATCACCCAGAGGCAGAAGATTGAGGTGGGCCAGGTGATTCTGCCTCGACAGAACAGCGTCGAGTTCATAGCTCGTATTGGCAGAAAGAAAGTCGGCGAAGCGTCCTTTGAGTACACCCCACAGGCAAATCAAGACGGGTATGGGCACCGCAGGGGAGGCGAGGACGACGAAGATGGCAATCCGGATTTTTGGCTTCATCGCCCATTTGATTATTACAACCCCGTGGACTCATTCGAGGACGAGGACGAGAACATCGACGATGACGATGATTAGTCTTGAAAGCAGGTGAAGGTCGCCTGGACTTTGCTTTCCTCGACTTTTGAGGCGAAGGATCGTACTACCTGTAGGTTGCAGAGACCAAGGATTACAGGCTCAAGTTAGCCAGTCACACAGTCCAGTCAGTATCAATGGGTATGACAGTATTTGGGACATGATCTTGGATTCTCTTTGGAGTGTGCCATCGAAACGTCATTTATGTTTCTTTCCTTTCATTTGGTCTCTGGTTCAAGGATAAGATAACTAGAAGGTAATGCAACCATTCTGAATTTCAGTCAAAAGGCTAGGTACTCATACATATGTCAAATGATACCGACGGGTTAAAACGGATAGCGTACACGTAGTAAACTGGCACTTCGTCTGTCCATTATGACCATACATCTCCTCGCTTGTCTCCATCTGCCAACCCCTATGGCGCAAAAATATACACTTCAAAACAAGAGAAACATAAAGATATGACATGATACAGTAATCTGAAACTCATTGGACTCCGTTATACCACGATGACAACAATCTGTGGTGATAAGATGTTGCTGGTATGATGCTGCCGCTGCTGATGATGGCTATAATGAAAAGAAAGATGGCGAAAGATCGTACACGATCATCTGCCGAAATTCTGGGAAAAAAAAAAGTTGTTAATACACACACAATCTTCGAAGGCTTGCACTTGTGAAGCCTCATGTTGTAGAAGTGGAGAGAATGTTTCCAAAAAAACCCCCCCAAATTATGAAATGTAACTCCGTGGCGCCGCGCTGTGAAATGAATAAAATAAACGAAGAGAAGAGATGGTGCATGTTTTCGGTCACTTTTACAACCTTTCCATGAACTGGCTGAAAGGATGCCTGTTCAGTCATCGTCATCGTCATATTCCAAATGTGTCGGCCGTTTGGCATTACTATTGACACCCTTAAGCCAGGCTTGCCGCCATGCAGTGGTACTTTCTGACTGCATAGGTCCGCCCGCGGCAAGTGGAGCAGGGATACCTTCACGGTCTCGACGCATTCCTTCAAGAACTGCGACGATGCCACCATGGCGAAGTCGTTCAAGGACAACATTCATGCCTTGCTTGCTTCGAAGGATGGCGTCTCTAGTTCGTGTCACACCAATCAGCTCAATGGTTCGTTGTATTCCGGAAGTAGAGAGCGATGAAAAGAAACCCCTTTTTGGTGCCTCATCATCGAGCTCCGAGCCGGAAGAAGACGACCCATCAGCTGCTTTCCGTGCGCGACTGAGTAGCTTCGATTGACCCAGGCGAGATATGAAAGTAACAGTGGTCCGGACGTTCACCCTTTCGCCCTCAGGTGGCATCTCGCGCTCATACACCTGCTTCTCGATAACACTCAGAATGCCCGTCCATTCCATGTTTCTCGATTCGGTGTGCATCCATCCCTCCTTAGCATCGACCACGGTCTTCTCGAGGATGTAGGACTGTCCGGAATTCTCGCTCCCGCCAATGCCCTTGGGCAATAATCTCAATAAAGCGGACGGAATCTTGGACTTCTTCAGGTGTAGCCGCGTCGTGTGCAGTCGTTGGGTGTCGGGGTCGACATAACGATCAATAACATCGGATGTCAAGACATGCGTGGAATAGGGGTTCGGATAACGAAGGAAATAGGCGAGCGAAACAGCGGGGAAGGAGTAGTCGTAGGTTGAGATGTTCTCGAAGAATTTCATGGTGATTCGTCAGCTGGTTAGCTACTGCTGGTGCTGCTGTGGATGTGGATGTGGATGTGGATGTGGCGGCGTTCAGGCATTCATGGACCGGCAGCAATTCATTACTCTCCGAATTTCAATGAAGATGCACAAATTGAGAGAGCGACAGAGCTCGATTGGTATAGAGTGTCTATGATATGATGATATCAAAGGTAATGCTGGATGGCGAAAAGCGCTTGGGGGCTTTGGGGCTCGTGCTCTTTTTCCTTGACATAATGGCGCTACGCCGTGTTGGGACTAGCTACGAGCTCACGTGGAGGACGGCCCCATGAATTTCTATTGGCTAATGCCTGGATGCCAAGCCTCGTGAAAGAGATGAAATAATACACATGGGACATCTAGTAAGGAATAACATTGAAGATAAAGATAAAAGCACAATTATAGATCTTTGTGGAACTGGATTAGTGCACCGCCTTAAGATCCAGTACAGCTGGGATAAAGCCTCTGACCCCGTTACTTAGCAAACATTGTTCCCCGTCAACAAGCTCGTCCAGGCGAATCGCCTTCTCTGTACAGAGCTCATAGTCCAAGGCATACTGCCTGCTCACACTGATCATACAGCCGCTGGCAAGAGGAGGCGTAACCCATTCCGTCGTAGCGTCTCCGTGGTTTTGATGCCGCCGTCGGAAATATACCGTTGTAATACTTCCCTCCATTACCTCGCCCTGGGGGTTGACTAGCAGAACTTCCGTGGGATCCATCGGCGACTGAATCCCAACACGCTGCCTCGCCGCGTCGTAATGACTGCGCGATGTGGTCTTATAAGTAGTGAACTGAGACGGAGCAGTTCTCTCGGGATCAACAGCCAGCCGCCATGGAAATGATGGGTTCAACGAGGCCAACACATCGAAAGATGCAGGCAGAAACATGCCTGGCAGAGGCCATGGGGTTGCAGGGTGCACATCCACAGAGCAGCGACCTTCAACATCCACCACGATCCGTAGTCGCCATGCTTTACTACGATCAGGTATGGCAGAATCAAGCTTCTGAGTAAATTGCTCCAAGGGCTGCTGCAAGAGACTGATTGCCTTGTGCCACTGGAAATTGGTTGCGGCTTTTAGGAGGCGGTCTTGGTGGTATCGGAGGAGATAGTAGAGCGAATCATGCGGTTCGGGGTACGACGTGCCTGCATGTTGCCGAACGGCGCTTGGCAGATCAGGATCAAACCTAAGAGAAGATATCAATGAGAATGTAGAGGCATTGATAGAAGAATCTGGAGGATTTGCGGTCATGCTTTGAAATCCGCGGTGTCAGCGGGAAGAGAAAACGAAGTTCTCGCATCATAATTCAATATGTAAAAGACGCTAACCTGATACGCTTGCGGGTCACAGTGGAGTTGAGTAGTAGAGTAGTTACTCAGTATGAGCCACAATTGCTAAGCAGGCAGAAAGATAACCGGACATACGCTAGTAATCCTTGTCGTATAGGAATATAGCATGTAAACGGTACCACATGTCTGTCTGCAAAAAAGACGTTTTCTAGAATTATTTAGACCTTATTTCTAGACTTGGTTTGTTTTAGTACTCCGACTCCGACCCCCCACCCCGACCTATGTATGCATTTTATCTTTCAAGTATAAAAGACGGACACCCCTCACGAAGATTTAAGTCTCGTGTCTCTGAATACAATTCCTTTGCAATACGTTTTCTCTTCTCAAGATGGCATACCAACTCCAAAATCTTCAGCTCCCAGACGGACGGAATCTGGACTATTCCGTGGCAGGTCCAGAGGACGCCAAAATCTCCCTCATCTGGATCCATGGTACTCCCGGCGCTGCGATACCAGTTCCAACCGTCGTGACTGCCTGCGCCAAGAAAGGTATCAAAGTCATTGCATTCTCGAGACCTGGCTATGGAGGCTCTACCCGGAGAAAAGGCAGGCGAGTCATCGATGCGGTTGATGACATTCAATACCTCAAAGAGCATTTGGGAGTGAAGCAATGTCTCGTTGGAGGTTGGAGCGGTGGCGGTATGTGATCTACTGCACACCCCGTTCCTGGATCAAAGAAATGCTAATTCTTACAATTACGCTTTTCCAGGCCCCCATACTCTTGCTTGTGCAGCGCGATTGCCGGGTTGTCTGGCCGCAGTAACCTTTGCCGGTGGTGCCCCCTATCACGCAGAGGGACTAGATTACCTAGCTGGCCAGGGAGAAGACAGTGAGTGACTTGAACCAGTTGAATTGCCTCACATATCAAACTAGTATCTAAATCTTCCCCTTCATAAAAACAGACGTCCAAGAATTTAGCGCCGCTATACAAGGTGAAGCCCAATTGCGCGCATTCTGTGAGCCTCAACGCGAGGCGCTCATACAATCAGACCTCGAGGCCGTCATGGCAGCACTTGACAGCCTTCTACCGCCAGTCGACAACGAATGTATGAAACAAAACCGCGACACAATAGGTCAAAACATGGTCGATGTAATGTGCGAGGCCTTCAGGCTCGGTTGTGACGGCTGGATTGATGATGATCTAGAAAATATCGGTGCAGATTCGTGGGGGTTTGAGCTGAGTGAAGTCAAAGTCCCCGTGTTAATCTTGCAGGGAGACCTGGATAAGATGGTGCCGTATGCGCATGGTAAATGGCTAGCGGATCATTTGCCGCAGGACAAAGTCAGAAGGCATTTAATGCAGGGTCACGGGCATATATCGATCCTTGCCAATGTCGATGATATTATAGATGAGCTTTTGACGGAGGCCAAGTTATAGGCCATGTTGAACATAGACAAGTCCGTATATAGCTAGGAAGCCGGTCGGGCAGTGAATGATACTGAAAATGAGATCGTGTCATATTTTCCTTTGGCTAACGAGCTTTCCATGCATGATTGTATCTCTCAAAGACGTCTTAGCTATAGCTAGTTACTACGTATAAACTATATAAGAAGCTTTCTGTCTGTGCCGTGATTGGCCAGTGTCAGCATCTTTCCCGAGAGAAGCGCGGGCCAATCAGAGAGCGCGGCTGCCATCCGACCCAGCCAGTTCCGGATTCCTTGAATTGCATAACAACTTTTCATCCTTCCTCACTACCAAATAGTTGAGCCTGGCATCATCCATCGCTCGCCATTAATAATTGCTTTGGTGCTTTTCTTGAACAAGGACTTGTTCTTCTTTTTAATAGGATTTTTTAATTGTGTATTTCTTTTTCCCCGTCCCTTTTTCGTTGCGTCGTCGCAACAGCTGCCCCCATCCAAACGAAAAATCACTCCATTCACTCAAAAATGGCGAACACATTGCCCCCGGCGACGCCTGCGAAGAATATCGTTCTTGACACATCGTCTCTGTCCGAATCATCGACTTCTTCCGTATGGAACCGCATCTCGAACTGGGTCTCGGAAAACAAAGCTGTCGTCTATACAGTTGCCGGCATCGCTGTAGTCGTAACCGGTGGAACCGTATATTACCTGTCAACCTCAAGCAAACCTAAAGAACCTGCACAGCCTAGAAAGAGCAAGAACCAAAGGCGAAAGGAGAAGAAGAAGGCCGAGGAAGAGAAAAAGGCTCAGGAATTGAAAGCTGCCGCTGAAGGTGAGACGAGACACAGCTAGCTCTCTCAATTTTCATGTTCACTTTGGGTTTCTCCCTTTCTAACATACGATGCCAGCAACCAAAACAGCCACGGTTGAAGATGTCGGTGAAATTCCGGAGGTAGATGAGAACACCGTGCATTCTTTATCGGAAGAGGTACTTGGTCCCCGTTCACAATTGGAGACGCGTATGGGCGCATTCCCTAACTAGCAGTTAGACACGAAAAGCATATGCAGCAAAGCTCAAGGCTGCAGGTAACAAGGCTTACGGCTCGAAGGATTACAACCGCGCAATTGAATTGTACGGCAAGGCCATCTTGTGCAAACCAGATCCTGTCTACTACTCGAACCGCGCCGCCTGCTGGAACGTTCTGTCTGAATGGGAGAAAGTGGTCGAAGACACCAACGCCGCTCTCGCCATGGACAATGAATACTTGAAAGCCCTCAACCGACGAGCTGTCGCTTACGAGCATTTGGATAGACACAACGACGCTCTTCTTGATTTCACTGCTAGCTGCATCCTCGATCAATTCACCAACCGCCAGAGCCGAGAATCTCTAGAACGACTGCTGAAGAAGGTTGCTGAGAAGAAGGGCAAAGAGATCATGGAAGCAAAGGGCAAGCGGCTCCCTGGTGCCACTTTCGTCACCAACTACCTTCAGAGCTTCCGCCCCAAGCCAATTCCTGCCGGTCTGGATTCTGAGGACTTGGATGAGGAAAGTGGTAAAGGATTGTTGCGTAAGGGTTATTTGGCGCTGGAGCAGAAGACAGGCGAAGGATATGAAGAGGCCTGGCACTCCTTCGAAAAGGCGCTTGAGTTGGGAGATCTCGGTGAATATGAGGGAGACGCATTGAACATGCGTGCTACTTTCACATACCTGCAGGGCAATGCTGTGGGCGCGCTCGAAGACCTCAACAGGAGCGTTGAACTTCAACCATCATTGGTGCAAAGTTACATCAAGCGCGCCAGCTTGCATCTCGAGATTGGTAGGTTATGGCTCTATTTCTCTTTTCCAACGGTGTTACTAACAATACGCAGGCAACAAGGAGGCCGCTGTCGATGATTTCGAGCTTGCTATTACGCATAACAAGGATGACCCTGACATTTACTACCATCGCGCACAGCTCCACTTCATCCTTGGTGAATTTGCCGAAGCGGCCAAGGACTACCAGAAATCGATCGACCTCGACCCATCATTCATCTATTCCCACATTCAGCTTGGTGTGACACAATATAAGCTCGGCTCTGTTGCGTCAGCCATGGCGACATTCAAACGATCGGTCAAGAAATTTGAGAATGTGCCGGATGTTTACAACTACTACGGCGAGCTGCTCCTCGACCAGCAGGATTTCCCGGGGGCCATTGAAAAGTTCGACAAGGCGATCGAGATGGAGAGCAAGATTAAGCCTACGGCTATCAATGTTTTGCCTCTCATCAACAAAGCTCTTGGTATCTTCCAATGGAAGCAGGATTTCAAGGAGGCCGAGAGTCTGTGCCAGAAGGCTTTGATCAGTAAGTGTTCATTTCGTTCCATTCCGATCCATATTATATGTTTAGCCTGCATGCATAGGTACTGATTCGTAATAGTCGATCCGGAGTGTGACATTGCCGTCGGTACCATGGCTCAACTTTTGTTGCAGCAAGGCAGAGTCGCCGAAGCTCTCAAGTACTTCACCAGAGCCGCCGAGCTGGCCCGTACAGAGGGTGAGGTGATCAATGCTATCTCCTATGCCGAGGCCACCCGCACACAGCTCGAAGTCCAGGAGAAATACCCCCAACTGGCAGCACGTCTACAAACTATGGGCGCTAGCTTCGGTGCTCCACCAGGCCTGTAAAGTGACGGATGCGACAAGGGAAGCTTGCACAGATGCCCGACGTTTTTCCCATCTCTTTTCTCCTCACCTTCGACGGGTTCTCTAATTGATTTTTCTTTTCTTTTTTTTTTTTTTTGCCGACCGTCCTCAAGTCTTTTGTCTCGTCCGGAGTGATATCACCATATCTCCTGTTTCTGTTCCTGTTCCATGTCGGAAAAATCATCTGTTGGATTTCTTGCATGTAATACATCCCGGTGAGTCACCGTGACTCTTTTTTCTTCTCTTTCTGTTTTTCAGTTTTCTTATGCACTGGACGGACCATGGCTCTGGTCCCTCCCTTTTGTTTTATTAGTCGGCTTTGGAATATGGTGGTATCCAGGGAATGGCCTAAGAGAGGGCTGAGGGATCGGTAAATATAGTTAGAGCATCTCTTTGTTCCTATTTACTTTTGTACAATACGCAAAACTGAGATTGGCATTTGATTTCACATGACCGCATCCAGAAGGAGTGCTAGCCGATGACGCAGTAGAGAACTTTGTAGTATTAGAGTTGAGGCCGCCCGTGTTCCTGTCAGTAAAAAATTATCCTTCTAAAGGTCTGCTGGTAAATATTACATGGAACACTCTATTGTCATGTACCCATGTTTGCTGGCAGCCTCAGGCAGCCATAACATGCTTTATCGCGCGGTGGGCCCGTGCTTATCGCATCAGATGACGGCATTGATAAGACTCGTCATGGTCACGAGGCAGACTTGTTGATAGAGCATGTGTAGAATCTATATTTGTTTGCAGCAGTAGTGGAAGTCGCGCTGTAACCAAAGAGCCTTGGAAGTACAAAGAGCAAGTTGGACACCTGAGGTTGCCCATCGCCAAGTGTCCGCGTCATCGTGTACCTAAGGAAGGAAGGAGGGAAGTACCTGCGCGGAACATCTTACCGGGACGCTCCTTCCACTCGAGCACCTTTGCTCGGTGTTTCACAGGGAAGGACCAAACCTTAGCTAATCCCTTCCTTGTTCGGTGTCGGCTCTTATCGGAGCTGAGGATTCACCTTCAACTCCTACTCTTCCTCCTCCTCCTCCTCCTCTCTGTCTGTCTCTCTGTGTGTTCCACTCGCTTTCACAGCCTCCATCCACTTCTCTGCTCCCCTTGCTCCATCGATTGCTTCCAACACCGAGCCAGGCTCATTGTGTTCGTTCATCTCCTGCTCGCAACTGAGGCTCCGAGGTTTACCCTTCGAACGTCACGTCACTTTACGAAAGTCGATACCCCGCCCGTACCCAAATCGAGCGAGTCATCAGCCACTTCCTCCCCTTCCATTGGTTGATCGTCGACCTGCCAGCAAACCAGGGCCAACTGCAAGCTAAACTTGCTACCAGCATCTATCTGCCTAATCTGTATCAGCCTACCTCTTTCCCGCCCCCTCTGCCTCTTTTATCTTTGGATTACTCGCTCATGGACTGAACGTCTTTCTCTTCTTCGATCACCAGACCCGTATTATCTTCTCCTTTTCTCCTGCCACCTCTACTCTACCTGGCTATCCTTCGACTCTCTGCATACTCTGTCTTGTTATCAAGAACAAGGTGGGGTATACCGCTCTTGACTTGCAGCCATCTTCTGGACTCATCCCCCTCAAACCCCCATAGCTCTTGTTAGAGTCAAAGAGGACTCCAACGCCATACTCTGTGGGATACAGGAGAGAGAGACACCCGACAAGATGCATTCCGAGCAAGGTATGTTGCCAACCACCAACCTATCCATCCAACAAGATGAGAGTATGAAAGGCTGATATGATGTCTACATGAAGTCGTAATTACTCTCACTCCAGTCTACTCCCCAGATACACTTCCCTTCCGATCACTCACCTTTTCTTCGAATGACGACACCATACCCATCGGTCGAGCGTCTAAGTCGGAAGCGAAAAACCTCGTCCCGGATCACGATAATGGCTGGTTTAGTTCTCGTGTGATGTCTCGAAGCCATGCTGTCTTAAGTGTTCGTATGGAAAAACAGGTAAAAGCCTTCATCAACCCTCTTGGTTCAAATGGCAATCATTGCTGACTCTGGCTTTCTTTGCAGGCCGTCTATATTCGCGACCACGGCTCCTTACATGGGACGCAGTTGAATGACAATAAAATAAAACCAAAGGAGAACGTCAACGTCAAGAGCGGAGACGTCTTAACCTTTGGTAGTGAAATTTCACGCGGTACTGGTACGTGATAGAACTTGAATATTATCTGTTTGTTAAATTCCATATCTGACTATAAGATGTCCAGAGACCTTTCGACCTATTGCTGTCCGTCTCGATTGCCAGTGGCATGAATCGAAGCCAGTCGCCAAAGACACGGCAAAGGCAACAACGAATACATTCTCGGTCCCCGAGGATGAAGATGAATTGATCGAGGTTGTCGACTCCAAGGAGGTTCATGATCAGCCGAAGACTCCACAAAATGTATCTGACTCATCCGACCTCGACTATGGAAGTGATATGAGTCGGCCTCTGGATTTAACTTCTCCCGTTACCTCGCCCGAAGTCAAGACCTCCGAATTACCCAAGTCGAATCCTGCTGACTCGAGGCAAATTGATGCTTCTCAACATGATTCAGCCTTGGAAGGCCGTGATACGAAGTTTATTTCACCCGAATCTCTTGGTAACGAAGATAATGAAGACGGAAGCCAGTTTGACTCCGAAGACGATGATGCCAATAGTGAATCAGACGACTCTGCAGGTGACCAAGCAAGGGGAAATCATGAAGATGATTTAGAGTCCAACCAAAGCGAAAACGATCATTCCGAGAGCAATGACCTAGATGAGCAAAATCCCACGCCCGGATTGTACAATTACAAACGTTTCCGCGTTATGGGATTTCCTACACCACCTAAAAGAGACGACGCTCCTAAACCTGGCTCATCGCAGGAGTTTCTGTTGCCTGAGCAAAGCACGTCTGCTGCTCAGCCAGATCTGACTGCTGATATTCGTGGGCCAACTTCTAACCCACCCGTCACAAGCTCGGCAAACTACACTGTTCCGTGGCCAGAATATCTCATCCCACGTATTCCGAGCCCATCAGACAAGGCAATGGCAAAACCTATGAGCACTCCTGCTCCTAGCTATCAGCCTTACAGTGACTATTCATCTAACTTTGAGATCTGGACAGGCAATCAGGGCCCTTCTCATGCTTCCTACGCTGATCCCGTCCATATGGCCAATCCTTATGGTTCCATAACCGCCAATGAATCTTTTCCCTTTGGTCCACACCGTTCATCGGGATACTTGCGCCATTTGGCAGGCGATTTCCTAGGAGAACAGGCACCACCTGTTAGCAACGAAAAGCCATTTGAGCTTCCCAACTTACGTTCGAACAAGGAGAATGCTGCAACCGTTAAGGAGGTTGAGAAGCCTGCAGAACCGTCAAAGTCTCGTGTATCGATTGCAGATATTGTTGAGAAATCATTTGCGAATACTGTCGTCTCTAATGGACTGAAGCGGAAAGCAGATGATTTTGAGATGGATATGGCTGGTGACTCTAATGAGACCAATGGCGATAGCCCGGATAGCATTCCAGACGCACAGCCACGGCCGGACATGCAGAGCATTCAAGTCTCTCAGCCGCAAATTCTCGATGCAGATTCTACTCGTGGAGTCCAGCCTAACCGCGCGCTGGAGCACCGCCCCAAGCGGATCAAAACAAAGGAAGTTCACAGCTTCATGAAGTATGCGACAGTTGCTGCTATCGGTGCTGTTGTTGGAAGTATTGGCACTATTGCCGGTCTAGCTTCTCTTCCGGCAGATTTCTTCAACTGATTTATCAACTCTGCTTAAACCTTGGTCTAGATGTTCATTTTCATCTCATCAGTGGTTCTTCCTCAACACACACAGCTCCGTGTTTCTGACTACGTGAACGGAGCACGGTCAGGAGTGGGCAACGATACCTTTTATTTATAATCTTTCTTCTCATTAATTGCTACTATTTATGATGGCGCTAGGCGGATTTCTAGTCACTTTAGTCGGTTCTTTTAGGGCGCACTAGTATGGTGATGAATGACTGGATTTTGGAAAGCAACAGACGGACCCTTGCAACACGACAATGATTGACGTAGGAGTCTTCGGGCGTTTTATTTTATATCAAGGATGACGCCTGTTTAATCACTCCCCGGGAGGTCGAGAGCTGAGGGCAGTTAGTTTAGCGCTTTATTATGTTTTATGAATCCCAATTCTTCTGATTCTCATCCATTCTTTTAATGCAAGAATGCATAATATTATGTCGGTTGAGTCGAATAGGGGCTGGCTAACGCGATGCCTAAAGGCTAAGGCCCACCGAGAGGATCGCCGGGTGGCATGAGGTAAAAAAAAAGTGTGGGCTGATCGATTCTTAATACTTCTGTGTTCACTGTTCGCTGGTTGAAACATATATGTGTTTATAATATATATATGTATCTGGTGTAAGAGATGAGATTCTGAACAAGACAACCGCGGTCGTACAAAGAACTTGGCCGGCATCATGGATCTGCAGACCTTCGTGGACCCAAACCTGACGGAGCCCGACCTCATTGTTCTCAAGAATCTGCACCACGACATTGCCGAGTGCCAGGGCTCTTCTGCAGAGGATAACAAGGATACCAGCACACTCCGGAAAAGGAATCCGTCTGCAAAGACCGACGACCATGAAGACGAAGCCGCCATCTCCAAGCTGGAAGCTCTCAACGATCCCTCGAATGCCTCGTCCTTCGAGCCCACGGTCTTCGTGACCTTCGACATGGCCCATCTACGTGCCCGGCTGCCAGCAAGCATATACAACAACGTCCTTCTGCCCTACATCTCCTTTGCCCAGAAGATCGTGCGCGTCGAAACCGACGTCGTGATGCTAACGCATTTGCTCCTCTACTTCTCCACATCCGTGCCTTCCGCCCTCCTGCTATACCGACACTTCACCTACACGCACGGCGTGCTGCATTGGCTCATGCAAAGCTACTACGTGGGCACGTACACGCTCATGATGCACCAGCATATACACATGGGCGGCATTCTGTCCAAGGCAAACCCGCTCATCCACGCTTTCGACGTCCTGTTTCCCTACATCACAAACCCGCTGTTCGGGCATACCTGGAACTCGTACTACTACCACCACATTAAACACCACCATGTCGAAGGCAACGGACCCGATGACCTCTCGTCAACGATCCGGTATCAGCGCGACTCCGTGCCGGATTTCCTGCACTATGTGCTGCGGTTCATGTTCTTCGTCTGGATCGAGTTGCCGCTCTACTTTGTCCGACACGGGAAATATGTACTGGGTTTAAAGGCGTTCGTATGGGAGGTTAGCAATTATATTGTTCTCGCCGTGCTGTACAAGTACGTCAATGCGCGAGCGACGACGTTTGCCTTCCTGCTGCCCTTGCTCATGCTCCGGATCGGTCTCATGGTTGGCAATTGGGGCCAGCATGCTCTCGTAGACGAAGACGATCCGACGTCTGATCTACGGAGCAGCATTACCCTTATCGACGTTGCAGTGCGTTCTCTCTTTCTCTCTCTCTTTTTTTTTTTTATTTTTTTTTCTCCCCTTAAAGCTAACAACCCACAGTCCAACCGCTTCTGCTTCAACGACGGCTACCATACCTCGCACCACCTCAACCCGCGCCGCCACTGGCGCGACCACCCAGTCGCCTTCCTGCGCGCAAAGGGCAAATATCAGACGGAGCGCGCCCTCGTATTCAAGAACATAGACTATATCATGATGACCGTGAAACTGCTGCAACGAGATTACATGTACCTCGCCAAATGCCTTGTTCCCATCGGCGAGCAACAAATTCAAATGTCCCTGGAGCAGAGGGCGGACATGTTGCGGACGAAGACGAAGAGGTTTTCCGAGGAGGATGTTAAGGCCAAGTTTGGGCTGTGAGTGGGATTATTGAAATATATATATACGTAGCAGCATGCTGCACTATGTAATAGGTATATAGATAGAATGTATGTAGATAGAATGTAAGGATATTGATCATATAAAAGAACCCTTTAACTAGGTACCTAGGTAGTTATACGTATATACAGACAAAGAGAAAAAAAAAAAAAAAAGGAAAGGGGCATGATATTGGAATATATTATGATACACCACCTCCCAACGTTCAACCATGCCCGACCAAGAAACCTAGATAACTATAAGAAGGAATCTTCCCCCCCCCCCCGGCATGACTTGCACAGAGAAAACGTAAGGCTTAACTTAACTCTCTTTTCCCAGCTTCGCCAATGCGTCTATTAAGAAGTCAGAAGCATTCATCAACTCCGTACTTCCATACACAACTCTCTTGGCATGGCTTCCTGGCGCTGTGGCTGTTGGATTGGCACCACCACCACCAACACCAACACCAACACCAACACCAACGCTGCCTCCAGGAGCACCACCAGCAGCGCCAGATTGTCCGCTGGTGCGAGCCACCCAGTCTTGCAAATTGCCGTATTCTTCCATACTGCCACCACCAACCGTGAACACGATGGCTTCATTGAAAGCTTGGCGGCGTTGCCCGAAACTAGCGTTGATTCCTGGTGTACCAGATCCACCGGCTGGTTGCTGTCCACGAGCCGAAGAGGATGTAGGCATGGCCCCGCGCGCGTTGGCGCTGCGAGGATCAAAGTAGAGATAGTTTTCTGTCTTGGCAATCGCTGAACTGGATGCCGCTTGAGGATCCATAATAGACTCTGTGATTTTTGTAAGCGTAAGATCTTTGTTGACTGGAAGGAAGTTTTTGACGCCGGAAATGAGTGAATCAAAGTTGGCCCCGAGCGCGCCAGATGTGATACGGTCTGTCAGTCGGTTTGACAGGGAAGAGAATCCCTTGAATAAGTCAGATGACTGTTGCTGGGGAGCTACCGTCGAGCTTGTCATCATAGTCATTCGGGTAATCTCTCGTACGCGCTTGACGTAGGCAATAGAAGTGGTATCCTGGTTACCTGCTTTCTGCAAAGCTTCCTCAAAATTCGTCATTTCGCCGCGCGTCAGTTCGGTTTCTGTGGTCAGAAACCAGATAATGAACAGTCGGAGTTTATCTGATGGGTCTGTCCCCTTGCTCGGGTCGTTTATCAATTCCAATATCTGACTCTTGGTTTGCTTGCCGATATTTTCCTCGAGTTGGAAAAAATTGTCGAGTTGGCGGTCTTTAATCCCTTGTAGCAACGCTGTGGCAATGTTCATGTGCATATCGAGGGTTGCCTTACGCTCGCGCAATTCAGGGAGGAGAGTTATGGCCGCTTTCAAATGTTGCGCAGACGCGCTAGTATCGTTTTGAAGGTCTTCAATCGACGATGCCCCGGTCTTCTTTGTGATCTCGTTGGCATCCTCCTTGTACCGTGTCAACTCCGCGTCAATGTCTTCTGCCACCTGGGGGAAGGGCACATTGGCATTGCGTTTCCAGAAAAAATCGGTTGCGTTAAGGTCGTATGCTTTCTTGGTCTTCCCTTTAGAAGCATCTGATTCATCCACAAGTGTCTCCACAGTGATGCGGTTAAGATGCATGTTGAGTACGTCCTGCACCAGAGATTGATATGTCCACCCGTGGGACAGCATGGGCACCAGGTCAACATTCCGATCCACAATAATCATAACTGGCCGTGACGACGGCACAGCCACCCCCGGCCGTTTGTTGCTTGAAAACAAATTATCCTTGGAGTTCAGTATATGATCGCGAAGTTTGCGGTCTAACTTGGTCGCTATGAGCTCTGCTGCGCCGCCTTTCGGACATCTAATAATAGGAATGGCACCTGATTAAAACAGTCAGTAACAGAGCATATTTTCCGTACGAGTCACTTATTAGAAGCTGCATACCCATGGTGACGCTGACGTCAAACAGCCCACTAACGATCTTATCCACGATACTATCAAGATCCTCGTCGCTCGTTTGGGCACTGTTGATTTTCCAATATGAGTCGTTACCCAGACCCAAGCTAAAGAGATCCGGCTCCGCCATGATAAAATTCAGGTACTGGTCGAAAACCTGGGAAATGTGTTCCGCCGTGCCCGTAGACGCAATCTGCGAGGCGAAGTCTTCTAGGAGCTGGCGGGGCACTGAGGATAAGAAGTTAACGTAGGCCGGGGAATAGAGTCCGCGGGATAGGTCAGAAGTAATGAGCTGCGCGTTCACTGGAGTAGGTTCAACGAGATAGACCACAGGAACGTCGGGAATTGGGTATCGCGCGGAGTTTATGTTTCTTTTCATTGTATCAGCATCGCCATCCACAAAAACACGCGCACAGAACAGTGGAAATGGCATACAAATGAATAGTCACACCCCAGGCCCGCAGGTCGTTGACTCGCAAGACACTGCTGATCACATCGCGGCCCTTATTATCGAACACCAGGACCTTCCATATGGGATCGCCGTCTTCGTTCAAGATGGGCGTAGACTGAGGGGCGGCGCCTTCCAGCGGAGCATCTCCAGTGACGTGGATATCGTGGTTCAGGTTCAGGATTTTCTGGATCGATGCTGCAGTCGTCGCAGTTCAGCACCAATGCTCAGTTCGTAGCTACAAATGACAACTCACCGACTTGCCGGTCCCGCAGCGACAAGGCTAGGGAGGCCATGGCGACAGCACGCAGATAACGACAGAGTCTTTCGGTCTTTCTCTTTCTCTCTCTCTCTCACTTGGCCGGTTTTCCGTGTGCAAGAGCAGAAGCCAATGATCCCATCGTAGAAAGCAACGTTCGTCCGCAACGCAAAGCGAGCGTCCATGTGTCTTCCTGCCTTTCGGCGGGCCAATCAGGCGGGCGCTCAGACAAACGCAACAAACAAGCAACGGCAGCCCGGTCTTGGCAATCATGTGCCGCGCTAGTCCCGAACAGGCGGCGTAACAAATCTCATCGCTCTCCTTCCTTTCCTCCTTCTCTCACCTTAACCTCACCCACCTCTGTAAAGCGATTGATGATGCTGCCCAGAAGCAGCCTTCCTCTGGTTCTCTGTATTAGAGCCATTTCCTAAAAGAAGAAAAAGCAAAAGAACCTCCCCCTAAGGCAAGTTTAGCGCTGCTTCGCCAAAGCTCCCTGTCAGTCCAAGTCAATCAACGCGGAAGCGAGCAGGCCTTTGTGCTCTTTGCTACCTAGAGACGGAGGAGTCGGGATAACGGGACAAGGAGAACAGGAGCAGAAATTAAGAGTCCTTTCGCATTGTCTACTCTTACTGTACATTGCTTGCTTGTATCGCAAGGGTTTCCTGCCCTCAGGGACAGCGATTATTTCTCTCTTTTTTAAAGCGACCTTCTTCCGGCGGGCTATACACGATCCGCCCGCAAAGGGGAAAAAAAAAAGAAAAGAAAAGAAAGAAAGCACGCCCCTAAAGAGCATCTCAGTGCTGCAAAGTCGGACTGGCTTAAGTTGGAGAGGGGGGAAATCCGTCTTGTTGGGTGGAACCACTGTACAGCTGTCTCTGAATTCATTCTTACGACCGACTGCGTGCCCGACCTCCTGCGAGCCTAACACGCGGAGGGCCTTATTGCCACGAAGCTGCTTCTCTTGCATGCTGACTCTGGAACACGCAAGCCGCTGCGTGGTGCTTAAGACTCCACTTACATCGCGTCAATTGGGCCAGCTGCGCGCTCTCTTTTAGGGCCACGCAGCGTTTTCTTAGTGCCACACCCGCTTGGTCCACGTGACCTCTATGCTTGCGTCCGGCAACATGGAGCAGTCAACAGCGCCGTCAGCACCGCCGCAGAGTAATAATCCACAGACTGCCTTTCCTGCTGAATATTGGAGTAGCATCGATGGCCTCTATACGGAACTGGATGCCCAGCAGCAACAACCGCAGCAACAACCACAACAACTGCAATCCCACCAGCGAGAGCCTCCGCAGGGAATCACTTGGGACCACCCAATCCTCTCTCAGTCAAACCAGCAACATGAACGACAGGCCTCTTTCCCGCAACAGCATGAGCACGTCCGAGATTTCTACTCCGGGACGCCTCAGGGCTGGGGCCAGAGCCCCTCGGCTTCTGGTCAACCGTACGGACTCTCGCACCAGCATCCATATCAGATGCAACAGCCTTTCCCTCAGGATCAAGTGGCCTATAATCCCCGGCCATTGAGCCCTGGTAATCTTACTTATCCGAACTATTCGCTGTCCGGCCAGTATTACCAGAATCCCGGTCTGCAGCCTACAAATACATACGCTCAGCATCGGCATCAAAACATCGCCCCACGGCCTCCTTCCGCTCAACAGCAACCTATTTTGCCTGCTGGGGCTTCGACAACGTCTGGCCATCAGTATATTCTTCCCGCAACAAATATGACCGAGAATTTAGAGACGCCTAGTTTCAATCAATATGCGGGTGCAGCAGCTCCGGCCCTAATCTATCAAAATACGATCAATCCACAATTTCTATCATCACTCCAAGAAGCAACAACGGAGCAGCCTCGATCAGGACAGAACCAATTTTTATTTTATAATCCAACTGCCTCCTCTTACGAGCGTCCCAATGACCCAAAGTGCGTAACTTCTCTTCCCTTTCGTGGCAGTTCTTCACAGTCTAAGCTAACCTTATTGCAGAGCTTATCAGATATATCCCGATAATCTGGGTCCGCTCAATGCCGAACAACTTAATGCCCGACAGCAATCAGGCCCCGGTCTAATGGCCCACCTACCGGAGCTAGCACCTTATCCCATCGCTCCTAGTATGCTAAGTAAGCTTGGGAATTTTCCCCCCTTCGCAAGAATAAATCGCCATATACTTATATTTCCGTCCAGTGTCCAATGGGGTCTTAAAACCTCAGCCCATCTCGTCCAAGAAGACAAGCCAGGCAAAGGCAAAGAAGCCTAGGGCTAAGGCTGGGCTCAAGAAATCAGACGGCAGGGCCATGCCGGAGTCGGACACTGATAGTTCAGATTCAGACTTAGAAGTGGAAGAACCTGAGGAGCCTTCTCCACTACCGGCTGTGCGCCCTAGTGATCCAGAAGAAGCTATGCAATACGACACAATCAAAGCCGTCTGGTCCCCCCGCAATAGGTATCCTAATGTCGACAGGATAAAGTCCGCCCTTGTAGCATTCAAGGATGTTGTCAAAACAGTCAGAGACCAGTGGAAAGCCCAAACCCAGGCCATGAAAGAGGCTGAGAACCAAAACAACAACGATAAAGCCGCAGAGCTCAGGCAAAAAGTCGTCCAGCAACGGAAACTTATCAACGTGGTTATAAGCACAACATTAGATAAGGGCCACCCTATAATTGTTGAGAAGTATGTTCTTTTCCCTTCACTCCCTCTCACACTCCTAGCACATCGTTTCTCTCGTATCTGTAGAAGTCTGATGCGGAATACGAACGTCTACCGTGTAATCATCTCAAAATGGATAGTGAGCGAGCTTAAACAAATAGTTAAATGCCGAAAAAGGCATCTGTTGAGCACCGATCGTACACCAAGGTGTGCAATATCGTCTCTTACTACGAGGTTTCGCAAATAAACTCTTGAGATTGGATTACGTGGAGAAAATGGGCCCTCATTCTGACAGCCTTAATCCACAACACTTTCAAACTACTTTCCTTCCCTCCATTCAAAAAAAGAAAAAAAAAAGGCCAAAAAAGGCAATTCTTCATTTGGAAATGCAAACGTAGCTGACAACTTCATAGATTAGGAGAACATCCCATGGCTGTGGCTGCATTATATTCTTTCCTTCTCGATCGTCACCAGGCTTCCGATTATGAGGGCGCTTTATTCGTGAACATTCTGAAGGTACGCTGCTTTAATCCTCTGGGATGTATCAGGCTAATCCCTAGATCTAGCTGCTTGCGCGCTTCACCACCTTGGACGATGAGGTTCTTTCCAAGACCAACATCTCGAAACTTCTGCCAAGGATATTGAAGAAGGGCGTGCAACCCAGCAAAGACCTCGCCCGGAAGATTATGGAAAACGCAGCGCTCTCGACAAAGCGAAAGCAGGAGTCCACGTCTGGCAACGCAACTAGCAGAGATGCCACTCCAGACAAAGCCAGCGAGCTTGTTTCGGGAACAAAGCGTAACCGTGAGGGAGAACTCAATAGTCTTCCTGCTACCAAGAAGATGGCAACTCCTGGGGCGGCCAAAAACGGTCTCCATCCCAAGACAGCCAGCGCAGGCACGGCCAAACGCTCCGAGGGCGTCGCGGACAGCAAGGCCACTTCCACTGCAGGAGCTGTGCGACCCAAGGCCAGCATTGTCCCCCCCAAGCCAACCAGTCTCTTCGGCAGTCTTGCGTCCGCCTCGAAAAAGCCCGGAACGTCGAACGCGGCACGTGCTGCCGCTGCCGCTGCGGCCGCCAAGGAGAAGGCAAGCGCGCCTGCTGAAAAGAAGGCGTCTCCGCCACCTCCGCCACCTGCCAAACCAGCTTTCTCATTTGGAGATATTCTGGCAGGCCTCAATCAACGAGAGGAAGCCAGCACCCAGAAGGCATCAGACAACCAGCCGCCCGAGACAGAGGAAGATCGCCAACGGCGTTTGCGGAAGGAGGCACGCCGAAAGCTGCGCGTCAGCTGGAAGCCCGACGAGGCGCTCACCGAGGTTCGGCTGTTCACTCACGATCCCGAAGAAGTGGTCGGCCTAGGCGATGACCTGAAGAGAGACGTGGGCGATCTGCAAGGAGAAGGTCGTATGCTCAAGCTTCATAAGGATCTAGACGTGGAAGACGACGAGGAAATCGAACCACAAGAGGAAGAAATCCGCCCCTGGACAAGTCTGCCAACAGTTGACCATGACACTTTGAGTAGCAAGGATCAGGAGAGCAACTTCATCAAGCGAGGCGGTTCAAGAGAACCAGACAGCCCCGAGAAAGCAGCACAGGAGAACAGGGAAGCCATGACTTTGATGGTCTTCTACACCTCTCCTGCAGACGTACCCACCTCACCGAAAGAACCACCTGCGCCTATTGATGACGACGAGCCTCCTACCACGGAACAGACTTTTGGAGAGCCAGACGACAAAGTCAAGGTATGTCACTATGTTCAAGATACTTGGTATATAGGTATTCGGTCGTGCGCTAACACCAATTTGCTTCTAGGCCCGCGCTGCTCGTTATTTTGCCGTTATGAATCCCCAGCCCGCACCAACACCTGCGCCAGCCATGCCCAATGGGTCTCTTGACATTGCCAACTTGCTCAAAGTCATTCAAAACGGTCCCCAGCAGGCTAGTTCTACACCTCCACCCGCTGCACCACCTCCTCCACAACCAGTACAACTACAACAAAATCCTCTTTCGAGCCTCGAGCATACAGTCAATATGTTCCGACAGCAACAAGGGCAGCAAATCATGCCTCAAATCCCTCAGATTCCTCAAATACCACAAATACCGCAGGCGCAGGTTCCCGCTGCATCTAACCAGCCGATCGATTTTCAGAAGATCCTTGCGGTGCTAAATGCCCAGAAACAGATGAGCCAACCACAGCAGCCCGCTCCTTCACCAATACCAATGCCACAATCACAGCCAGCAGTCATGCCTAACCTCGCTGCAATAGTTTCTCAACTTAGTGGCAACAGGGCAAGTACACCTGTTTCGCAGCAACCGACTCAGTCCTCGGGACCTTATGAAGATGCAGAGCGCAAGCGGCTTCGTGATATTGGCCGCGGATATGATAATGGCTATGGACAAGGAAATTCCAAACGCCCGAGGATGTATGTCGATCCAGAGGCAAAGAAACATGTAAGTTTAACCTTTTCTATTTATTTAGCATTTGATCCCCGCTAATAACTTCTATAGCCACGAGCCGGATCTGTGCCGTGTCGATTCTGGCGCGAAGGCAAGTGTCTCAAAGGCGAAGACTGCACCTTTCGCCATGACCCTGCTGATTTAGTCTAATCCACTTCAATCATAATGCCTTGGTTTTTTATGATACCCCCACATCCGGCTTATTTTCTATCGGTTATTTGTTTTGCTAGACACATGGTTTTACACTACGGTTTTTCGCCAGCATGATACATCGTTATATCATTGCATATATCAATTACACCAACGTGGGGGAGTTCTATCGATTCTTTCTAATCATGGCGTTAAAAAAGAAACAGGCGGGGTCCTGAACGAACGCATGCTAATGCATGGTGAAGCTCGATTTTTATTTTTATCTTTTCTCGTCGGCCTGGCAGAACTACATCTTGTACATTATTTCCAGATGCAGGGCTTTGTGGAACTGGCGTTTCATTGACATTATCCAGACTTAGTTATTTTTTCTTTTTATTTCATTGATTTGGTGTATCATTACTGCTTCGTTCTCCCTGGAAACAACTATCTAGGTCGTGTATGTAAACTTAAGTATCTAGTTTCACTTCTTTAATCCTATTGATTTCCGGGCTTTTCTCCCATCACCCCTATACGAAATTGGTGAACAATTGGTGAGCACGAAGTTCATGCGTAATTTTACCTAGGTATATAGTCAGGACTAAGTGGGATGCCTTCCGCAGACCAATCTTATACAACCTTAGGGAAAAAAAAAAACATCACAGCGACAGATGACGACAACGAAAATACAACTTAACCTCCGTCGTCAAGATTTATACAAAACAACAATGTCCCAACCGAATCATCTAATAATCGTATGCTGCCACGCAATCTACCTTGGAGGCGCAAGTAAGGGCGCCGACGAGAACGAATGGTACGTCAAACCATTGCAAATGTATAAATTGGATGATAGAACATGATTCATTGCTAACCCTATATCCGCCTGGTATGAGAATGGGATGTGTATGTATAAAGGCTCCTTGCACCATTCCAGAAAGGCGAAACGCCAACATTCGTGGAGCATATCAAAGCTGGTCTGCGGAAGTTTGGGGACAGTCATGGGACGGGCGTTTCGGTGTTCTCGGGGTATTATTATCAGAGTCTTCAATTGTATCTATGACTCATGATCCAGACTCACAGGTACCAGAGGAGCGACGAAACGAGACCAGACCTTCCTGTCAGAGGGAGAATCATATCTTGTATGAAAAATCTCAGCCCGGACTAGCGACTGAATACTAACTACAACAATAAGAATCTTGCGCGCGAGAACGATTTCTTTCTCTCTGAACAACAGCACAATACAGACATATTCAACACAGACAACATCCTCGCAGAACCGCATGCCACAGACTCCTACCAAAACATCTTATTTTCCCTCCTGGTTTATCGACGAAATACGCAGCGCCCATACCCGAACAGAATCAGCATTGTGACGCACGATTTCAAGCGGGATAGGTTTTTGCATTTGCATCTGCCTGCTATCGGCATTGTGGCGTCGCCCGGCACAGAAGCGTTGTCTTCTATGATCAAGGTTGATATCATAGGTATAAACCCACCGGAGCGCATAACGCCTTTGGCGGAGTTGGTAGAAGGCGAAAAGAAGAGGGGGTATGGACTGTGGAAGCGCGATCTTTATGGTACTGGGGAGCTGTTGGGTGAAAAGAGGAGAGAGAGAGGGTGGGCATTGGGCACTGGGGAAGAGGAGGCGGTGCTGGAGGGGGAGGAGGACGAGGTGGTGAGGAAGTTGGTGAAGTGGGATGGAGACGGGCTGTTCCCTGAGATGGATGCTTTGCCGTGGGTGCACGAGATATCCGGATGAATCCATGGCTCATATATATATATATATATATATACACATCATTATGTATATGTGTATTACACGTTGCTAATGTCTGAAGTCCCGAAACTACATAACGCCCGTCCTGCTCAAAAAACCGAACAATCGTGATCAATCAGCAAGCCTATAACTAACCAACGTATCAACGCGATGATTATTCGTGCTGAAGCTCCGCAGCTGCACTTTTTCTCCATTCGTAATCTCCTTGGCATCACTGTCCCCCCATTCAACTGGCACATCCGAGTCTGCATCGGCGTAGACAAGAACATTGAATGTGCAATTGCCGTCGAGAACAGGCAAGAACGTCACCGAGGCAGTGATTTGTCTGAATATAGCCTGGATCTCCTGCTGGATTTGTGCTTCTGTTTTCTCCTGCACGATCTCCTCTGCGTTTCCACCTGCTGCTGTTGTCGTTGTTGCGGCTGTCGTGGAGTTTTCCTTGTCAGCAGTGCTGCTTGTTGGTTTGCGTGATGAGGATGTTTGCTTGGAGAATATCTGGACGTCAAATTGCCATCGCTCCACGTGTTCGCCTGTTTCTTTGCTGGTTATTACCACGACCAATTTCGATATTTTGCCGCCAATCATCCATTTGTTCAACTGGGACATGATCTTTTTGATATACGCTCTGACCTGGTCGTCGGATGAGACTGGGCCGGTTAGCTGGTAGGTAGGTACGAAGAACGGCTTGGGACTAACCAAGCATGTTGAGGCCATATTTCTTGACACTGTACAAGTCAGTCTCTCTGCAGAGAAATACATATAGGGAAGAGCACACTCACGGGGAGAAATCTTCCGCTGGATATACCCCTCGTTGATAGCTGCAGCGAACCAGGATTAGTCTCCGACATTGTGGCTCTCGAATCGCGCGACATACAGAATTGAGTTGATGGAGTATTCAAACTAGAAAGCAAGCATCAGCTACTTGTCAAGAATAGACGAAAGAGAGGAGGGTATGCTCACAAATTCAGCAACCAGCTTCGACGACCCTTGATTTCAGTCAGCTCCCCGCATTTCCATTCTTTTTTCAGGTCAGCGACTAATTACCCTTCAGTGACAACTTGTGAACCTTGGATTTCTCCTTGTCGGCAGACATTGTGACAGCGGCTTGAATTTGTATATATTTGGACGTGGTGTACAGAACAATTCGCGGTGGTAGATAGATGCAGCTTGTTTACGGCGAGTCGCCCCAGCAATTATTTATCGTCGGCCTTATCCGAACTAGTGCACCCGCGTCCAATCAATTTTTTTTTTTTCCCCTTACTCGAGCATCAACCTCAAACAAACCCACAACACAACAACAGAATACAGCTCGTGCAATTCAATGCACTTGGCCCGATGCGAGGATGCCTGCAGGTGCTCCGATGGCTGAGCACATCGACCGCAAGGCGCCCGGTGTCCTCCCCCGGACTGCAACTTCATCTTTCCAATAAGCAATTCCGCCGCACGTTCACGAGCACTATCGTACGACACGCCCAGGCCTCGAAGAGTGTGTCCGACCTCGAAAAGCGAATCGCAGCTATCCCTATCGAGCGTTTCCGGAATTTCTGCATTGTCGCCCATGTCGACCATGGCAAAAGCACGCTGTCGGACCGGCTGCTGGAAATCACAGGCGTGATTCAACCTGGCTCCAACAAGCAGGTTCTGGACAAATTGGACGTCGAAAGAGAGCGTGGTATAACGGTTAAAGCACAGACATGCACCATGCTCTATAACCACAAAGGTGAAGACTACCTCTTGCATCTCGTGGATACCCCTGGCCATGTCGATTTTCGCGCCGAGGTCTCTCGAAGCTATGCAAGCTGCGGAGGCGCATTGCTACTTGTCGATGCTAGCCAAGGAGTCCAGGCGCAAACGGTGGCCAACTTTTACCTGGCCTTTGCCCAGGGACTAGAACTTATCCCCGTGGTCAACAAGGTGGACCTGCCGTCGGCGGATCCAGAACGCGCTCTAGAGCAGATGAGGAGCTCGTTTGAGATTGATATAGATAATGCCGTCAAAGTCTCTGCCAAGACCGGGTTGAATGTTGCTGAGCTGCTTCCGACAGCCATCGAAAGGATTCCAGCGTAAGTGTCGCCTCTATTTCCGAGGGGTTGTTCAAAACAATCTCACTAACTTGGTTTCCTACAGCCCCGTCGGTGATCACACGAAGCCTCTCCGTATGCTTCTCGTGGACTCCTGGTATTCGACCTACAAAGGCGTCATTCTCCTCGTCCGAGTATTCGACGGAGAGATCCGTGCGGGAGATCAAGTCGTCTCTTTCGCTACTGGGTTGAAATACTTCGTCGGCGAGGTCGGCATCATGTATCCTGACCAGACTCCTCAGACCGTTCTACGAGCGGGCCAAGTCGGATACATCTACTTTAACCCGGGGATGAAACGAAGCAAAGAGGCGAAAATTGGCGACACTTACACGAAAGTTGGCAGCGAGAAGAAAGTGGAACCTCTGCCGGGGTTCGAAGAACCCAAAGCCATGGTGTTTGTTGCGGCCTATCCCAGCGATGCCGACCACTTTGAACACCTGGAAGACAGCGTGAATCAATTGATGCTGAACGATCGAAGCATCACAGTCCAGAAGGAATCATCCGAAGCCCTGGGGGCCGGATTTCGACTGGGCTTTCTCGGAACTCTGCATTGCTCTGTCTTTGAGGACCGACTACGCCACGAGCACGGGGCCAGCATCCTTATCACCCCGCCAACAGTGCCGGTGAAAGTCATCTACAAGGACGGGAAGGAAGTCACGGTGACAAACCCCGCGCATTTCCCTGACGAAGAAGAAATCCGCGGCAAGGTGGCCGAACTCCGCGAGCCCTATGTCCTGGCCACGTTGACATTTCCGGATGAATACCTGGGCAAGGTCATTGAGCTCTGCGAAGCACATCGCGGGATTCAGCAGAGCCTTGAGTATTTCACGTCGACGCAGGTGATTCTCAAATACGAGCTGCCCCTCGGACAACTGGTCGATGACTTCTTCGGCAAGCTAAAGGGCTCTACAAAGGGCTACGCATCCCTGGACTACGAGGAGGCCGGCTGGAAGGTGAGCAACATTGTGAAGCTGCAGCTCCTGGTCAACAAGAAGCCCGTGGACGCGGTGTCGCGCATTGTCCACTACAGCCAAGTGGAGCGGCTGGGGAAGCAGTGGGTGACCAAGTTCAAAGAGCACGTCGACCGGCAGATGTTCGAGATCATCATCCAGGCGGCGGTGGGGCGCAAGGTGGTGGCTCGCGAGACGATCAAGCCGTACCGCAAGGACGTGCTGGCCAAGCTGCATGCAAGCGACGTCAGCCGGCGGAGGAAGCTGCTCGAGAAGCAGAAGGAGGGGCGCAAGCGACTGAATGCCATTGGGAATGTGGTGATTGACCACAGCGCGTTCCAGGCGTTTCTGTCGAAGTAGCAGTCGTTGTTCTATTCATGTCTACATAGCGAGTAGTGAATTGGAGACGTGCGAGAGTCTAGACCCGATCAACCGTAGCCCAGGGGTAAATTGCCCGCGCGCTGATTGGCCGGCCCCCGCACCGGCGTAATTATGGCGGCCCGCCGGACCCAGAGCCACGCAGAGAAATTACGCAGCGCCTCGCGCTCGCCGCATTATTTGCCCGTGTCTGCGGGCGTCGGTCTACATGGTGCAGCGTAGTCTGGCGATATGGTGACATGTCCCGAGGTAGTTAGTTAGTTGGTGTTACGGAGCACAGAGTCAGGCAGGCAGACAGGCATGGTTAGGGTGCAGTTCGTATTCCGTTAATCTATTAATCTAACTAACACGCGCGGTGGTATTGGCTTGCCCCAAACCGGACTAGCGCCATGCTTCCCCACCGGCGGCACCAGGAAAGAAGCGTTTGTTTCTCTCTTTCTCCGTCTCGCTCTTTCTGCCTCAACCCTCGCAGTCTCCATCAGTCACTCGTTTCCCTCCGCACGCCACGCTCCTCTGCATCAAGAGGCCATCGCCTGTCCGGTGTCAGCATCCGTATCAACTTCAACTCCAGAGCATCGGCATTTCTTGGGACAGCCTCTTGTTGCAGGCCGGAGTCATCACCCATCATCCCCTGCGTCCTACCACCAGCCTTCGCGACACCGACCACCATCCATCCACTCGTATTCTTTATTCGCAAATCGCCTAGTTGCTCGGTTTTACTTGAACATCTGCTGTTATACTGCGACGGTTACCATGGGCCTTTCCGACTGAGTTGTGACCAAACCATTCGACTCTTGTTCTGCCATCGATATATAGCTAGGCTATTTTGAGGCTTGACGTCTCTAGCCCTCGCTCCGCTATTCCAATCACACTCGTTTTCTGCTTCTTTACCTAGACGCCGTAGATCGGCTCGACGAATCTATCTTTACGACACTTGGGTTGCTTTTTTTTGGGTCACGTCTGCATTTTCAATTTGTTTTCTGTTTGTTGACACCCACCACAATGACTTCCACCAACGGTATGTCCACAATATCGAGTGTCCCAAAAAGAAAAAAAAAGGCGTAAAACTGATGACTTGATCCATGTGTCTCAGTTCTCCGAGAATTCTCATCACATCTCACCCTCCGTAGCTGCGTGCAGTGCTCTTCGACCCCCGTTTGCAATTGTTCCTCTGACGAGACTTGCGTCGAATCCAGCCGAACTTGTAACGCGTGCCCGACGACCTCTTGTGTGCCATCGGCTTCAACAGCGACATCTTCACCTGGTTCCTCGGGTGGTGGCTCAAATGCCGGAGCCATTGCTGGAGGGGTTATCGGTGGTATCGCTGTTATCGCCATTGTCATATTCTTACTCTGGTGGTTTATGATTCGAAAGAAACGCCAGGCTCGGGCTGCCGCCGCTCAACAGGAAAACTCCGTCCGCCATGAACGAAGCAGATCCATGCAGTCAATTGCTTCGACCGTGCTTACTCGGGCTTCCAATGTCATTCAAATCGCTTATATACCCGGAGTCACCAATCGCTCGGCTCCAGACACCCCTGGAACGCTTGTGCCTCCAGTGCCGCCTATCCCAAGCACGCATGCTTCTACTGCTTATAGTGGTGACCAGTATCTTTTCACCCCAAGCGATCTCCGCGACTCACGATACTCCAACGCAACTCATGATCGCCGCAGCATTGCCACCAGCCTGGCTCGCAGCAGTGTGGCCACTACTATTTACAGAAATGATGCCGTTGTCAGCCCGATGCCTGCTCTGCAAGCTCGCGCTGGTAAGGCCGCCATGGTCAGCGTGAAGACGGGAAATGGCACGCCTAGCGATGAGCTTGCATTGAACCCCATTGACGCTCCAGCCGTGCCTGCCATAACCGAAGCGCAATTGCAGAAGGCGGGCAGAGTCGGGCCCCAACTGAGCTCCATCGTCGCTCGATCCGTTGTCGCTCGGCCTGTGAATGTGAAGGGATCAAAGCCCAAGGTACCCACCGTAACAGAGGAGGTGGACTCGGATAGCACAGAATCAGTTGCATCGCATACACGGGCCAAACGCTTCAATAATCAAGATTCAAAATTTGACGACTCCTCGGATGAAGATAGCAGTGATGATGAAAAGGGCGATGCAACCGAAGCCATGGCTAATAGCATTCAAATCGGCATTTCGCCTGCTACAAATGAGGGCCCATTCGCCGATGCACATGCAGCAGGAACCCCAGCAGTTACCGTCAGTACTACAAACACAACGAACACCACTTCATCTACACCATCGGCCGCGGCTGAGGCCGTAACCACGTCGCACACAAGTAGTGAACGACAACGATCAAGCATTGGATCAAGTCGAATGCTAGAAAATACTATTTATCAGGACCCCACCACAGAACGATCAGCAAGTCCATTTGACGACCATCATGAAGTCAAATAAGTCTGTCTATCTTCTCTCCAATCATTTGAACCACACATCCTCTCTTTTTTTTTTTTATATACTTCCTCTTCTTTCTTGTACGTAGTCTTGACTATATTATTCCCCCTTTTCTATATTGCAGGCGGTTTCTTCCATTGGCTGTTGAATTGGAATTTTTTTTAGACGATCAATAACATTCTTCTACTAAATATTTCTTTCGTAGCGGTGTAGTTTATTGATACATGTATCTGGCGGCTATACTCAAGTCTTAGCCATCGAACCCTCAACTCTCTAATTAAGCTAAAACAGTCATTTTAGGTGTCTTTGAAAAGAATGTCGACCAGTTATCAGTTACCAATCAAATACTATAATGATCTCTGAGCGGAAGAGGATGGTCTCTACCATGGGTCAGTGTATCACACTGTCCACAGCTACGGTACATAGATATATATGAATAGAGATGCAGCTGCAGATCAGATATGAAACAAGCCCAACCATTCCCCTTGCTTTCCGCCTTGCGTCTATCACGATCTTCTCCATAAACATGCATACTGCATGGAATTAAGGAGTACTAACCATGCACGTTTATGTAGGTACCATGTACCACTGCAGCTGTAGTAACATCTGATGCCTGATATCTCAGGCGGTGATGATGTGCCGTTGCAACTTGCTGCCGACATTCTATATTTAGACACGACAGCGCCTCACGGCCGCTAAGTGGAGCTTGTCTTGCTGTCTTTTTTTTTTCTCTTCAGAGAACAAGTGTAACAATACAAACACTTCTCGCACAGACTGCCGAGTACTTGATATAGTTGTACTACTGGCATCTTAACTAGAGTAAGGACGTGGTAGTAGGATGGAAAGGATCGCGTGGTAGCATCAACTAGCAATACTCCGTAGCATAAAGCAGAGCATATAACAGCGTCATTTAATCTACCTCATACGTAGCAGCACCACACCACAATAATTGTCAATACTCGGCACGCAAATACATATTAATAATCACATACGCACAAATACGCTGGTTACCAGCCTAGCAACCAGTCAAAGAATGTGGATGCATGCTCTGTGATTGGCAATCTGGTCTTGTATTATTTGTACGCCCCGTGGCAATGGAAAATGGAAAATGGAATGCGGGATGCATATTTCGCACTCTCACACAGGTATCGTTTGAATTTATACGGAAAAATATATGTTATAATACTGATACATAACATACTCTGCAGTCGTACAGAGAATACTCTGATCATTTGTTTATTTTTGTTTATCTATTTATTTTATTTTATTTTTTTTTTTTTTTTAATTTTGTATTCTTTTTCCCGGAGTGCATGTCTTGCCAAGTCTCCCTTTTCCCGTCCTTCCCCGTAATAATGGCGGTTCTAGACACGAGACTATTCGGTGCTAATGCGATTCTTTCTACGTTGTGAACACGCTTCATTTAGGTTATTGTTCTGCACTAATGAATGGCACTAACATTGTCAAAGTCTTTGCACCTCAAGTGTCTGAGCATGACAATGACCAAGGACAGAAGAACTAACATAAAAATAAAAATAAATTACATGTCCGACACCACAAACGGCAAGTTTGCGTCAGGTGGGGCGCCTGTTTCAGCCTTTGGCTCTTGAGGCGGGAGAGTGCCAGTGGGGCCCCCGCGTTAGTATTCAATCACATCACCACCGTTTGCTCTATGCTCTGTACTCTATATGGGGAGGATGATATGAATGGTAGCATCCAAAGACTGGCTGAGTATATATGTGCAGGAATACAACAAGTTTGTTGCGGTCTCATATGACGATTGTGTGTCGAAGTAAGAAATGCAACACACCGTAAATTACGGTAAGCAGCAGATCGGTGGCCATGTTTCAGTTGGCATCTCCGCGATTGGGCAAGCAGGAGGCTGATCACCTGCGGCTGATTGGGCCCCGAAATTACTAGCGCCGTAACGCTGCTATACGAGTTAATAGCCGCATCGGGCATCTTGTGACGAAATGTCAGTTATGTTACCTTTTTTCGTGCTTTTTTTCGGTCTTTTTTGACACTTACTCGAGGCTATTTAGTGTCCATAATAACTACGGTTGCTCTATATAATCAGCTGCGACTCACTAACTTAGTTAAATTAACCAACTCAACTGCAACTCGGTGCATATCGCATCTGCATCTGCTGGCCAGTTCACATGAAAGTCATCGAGTCATAGGTATGCACCTGACGCATTCCTGCTACGTGATTCAGGATTCAGGACCCATGCTATGCGGATTATGATGACTGTTTATTATTATCACTACTTCAAACTTGAAATTATCCCAGCGCAGAGGGAAAAAAAAAAAAACAAGAGTTGGAAGTCTAAGCCACCGTCAGCAATCGAATGATCAGGCTGTAAAAAATACGTACGCCTTTGAAATAAAGTAAAAATAAAATACAGTGCCAGCGCAGAGCCCCTAGCAGGCTAGACGGGATGTGCGTGCTAGTTTAGTAGTTACCCCGTAATATTCATTATTCAAGGCGTATTGTCGTTACGCCTGCCTGCCTTCTTCCCCTGTGTCAGTCGGTCTTGCTCCCTTCCTCGTCTCACCTTCTCTCCTGCTCATAACTTCTGGCGTTGCTTTTGCTTTGCTTTCCTCTTCAAACCTCACTCTGCCAACTCCTCGCCACCAAACGTTATCTCGTTCTCTCCTTAGCTCGGGAGAAAACGACCTAACCCGGCTCAAGAAGCGAAACATTTAAGTCTCAGCCCTGGCGGCTACGCTCGTTTGTGCTGTGCCAGCTCGAATCTTTTAGCTCAAATACACCGCGATCTAAAGAAAGAAACTTGCGCTACCACAACGGCTAAAAATTTGACTGCGACCGCCATTTCGCTTCGTCCCTTCGTTCATTGTATTTCAGTTAAAAATTTTCCATCCATATCAAAATCGCGCCTTTCATCACGCCGTTTTGTTTTGGATCACACTGGCTGTCACCCTCGAATACTTCATTGTCTGACTGTCGCTGGGAAGTCGCTCGACTATCCAACATGGCCTACCAGGGCGCTCAATCTCACTCGCCCTCGGGCTCGACCTATGGCGATGATAGCCATAGATTGCATGACCTGGGGCCTACCAACGTACGTGTGGTGACCTCCACCCTATTGTTTAATCTTTGTATTGACAAACACAGTACGGCGAAGATGATGCTTCCCGAAGCTTATTGAACCAGGGTCCCTTCAACGGGCCCTTCGAGGACCCTCACAGCCGATCCGCATCTCCTATGCGCCCGGTCTCTCGATACAGTCTGACAGAGTCCTACGCAACTGATCCCGCGGCTCCTCCCTACAATGACTCCTCCTATAGCCCTGGTGAAAACCCAGCCACTGCGTATGGTGTCCCCGGCCGCGTAGCCTCACCATATGCACGAAGCGACACCTCGTCCACGGAGGCCTGGCGTCAGAGACAAGCTCCTGGCTTACGTCGTTACGCCACCAGAAAGGTCAAGCTTGTCCAGGGTTCAGTCCTGAGTGTTGACTACCCCGTGCCCAGTGCTATTCAAAATGCTGTCCAGGCCAAGTATCGCAATGATCTTGAAGGTGGAAGTGAGGAGTTTACTCACATGCGATGTAGGTTTTCCTTCTCATTCTTCCCCCGCCGTAGCATAATATCATGGATTCGCCATACTAACTGAATTTTCAGACACTGCTGCTACTTGCGATCCTAATGAATTTACTTTGCACAACGGCTACAACCTGCGACCAGCCATGTACAACCGCCACACAGAACTACTAATTGCCATTACTTACTACAACGAAGACAAGCAACTGACTGCTCGAACGTTGCACGGCGTCATGCAAAATATTCGCGACATTGTCAACTTAAAGAAGTCCGAGTTCTGGAACAAGGGCGGCCCTGCTTGGCAGAAGATTGTAGTCTGTCTTGTCTTCGATGGTATCGACCCTTGCGATAAGGACACGCTCGATGTCTTGGCGACTGTCGGTATCTACCAAGATGGTGTCATGAAGCGTGATGTTGATGGAAAAGAGACCGTTGCTCACATTGTAAGCCTTTTCTTTTCAACTTAATAATATATTCTCCTACTAACTTGACTAAAAGTTCGAATATACCACCCAACTCTCTGTTACGCCAAGCCAGCAGCTCATTCGTCCCACCGATGATGGCCCAAGTACCTTGCCTCCTGTGCAGATGATTTTCTGCTTGAAGCAAAAGAACAGCAAGAAAATCAATTCTCACAGATGGCTCTTCAATGCCTTTGGCCGCATTTTGAACCCTGAGATCTGTGTCTTGCTCGATGCCGGTACGAAGCCTGGCCACAAGTCCATTCTTGCATTGTGGGAAGCTTTCTACAATGACAAGGATCTTGGTGGTGCTTGTGGAGAGATTCATGCCATGTTGGGTAAGGGATGGAAGAATCTACTCAACCCTCTTGTGGCGGCTCAAAATTTTGAGTATAAGATTTCAAATATTCTCGACAAGCCCTTGGAGAGTTCCTTTGGATATGTTAGTGTCTTGCCCGGTGCTTTCTCAGCCTACCGATTCCGTGCTATCATGGGCCGACCTCTGGAGCAGTATTTCCATGGCGATCATACCCTGTCCAAGCAACTGGGTAAGAAGGGTATTGAGGGCATGAACATCTTCAAGAAAAACATGTTCTTGGCCGAGGATCGTATCTTGTGTTTCGAACTCGTGGCTAAGGCTGGCTCAAAATGGCACTTGTCATATGTCAAGGCTTCCAAGGCCGAAACCGATGTGCCTGAAGGTGCCGCTGAGTTTATTTCTCAGCGTCGTCGTTGGTTGAATGGTTCCTTTGCTGCCGGTATCTATGGTCTAATGCACTTTGGTCGTATCTACAAGAGTGGTCACAACATTATCCGCTTGGCTGTTCTCCATTTCCAAATGCTTTACAATACTTTCAACACCATCTTGACCTGGCTTGCTCTTGGTACGTTATCCCCCTCATGTGAAAAGGTTTATGTTCTGACGAAACACTGCAGCGTCCTACTGGCTTACTACAACTGTCATTCTGGATCTCGTCGGAACACCCAGCAACTCGAATAACAACAAAGGCTTTCCTTTCGGCAATACTGCTACTCCGATTGTCAACACAATCCTCAAGTACTGTTACCTCGGTGTGTTGCTGCTTCAGTTTATTCTGGCTCTGGGAAATCGTCCAAAGGGGTAAGTTGTATTTTTTTTTTCCATTGGAGTTCTACTAACGTCGTTTGAACAGCTCCAAACACACTTATATCATGTCGTTCATCTTCTTCGGTATCGTGCAGTTCTACGTCATTGTTGATTCCATGTATTTGGTTGTTCATGCCTTCTCAGGCTCTGCTCCTATGGATTTCAACACTAGTGACGGGGTTGGCGGTTTCGTCAAATCCTTCTTCTCTTCGTCCGGTGCTGGTATTATTATTATTGCGTTGGCTGCCACTTTTGGACTTTACTTCGTTGCCTCGTTCATGTACATGGATCCCTGGCACATGTTTACGTCTTTCCCCGCCTATCTCGTGACCATGTCCTCTTTCATCAATATTCTCAATGTTTATGCATTCAGTAACTGGCATGACGTCTCCTGGGGTACCAAGGGTTCCGACAAAGCCGATGCTTTACCTTCAGTCCAAACCAAAAAAGAAGCCGATGGCAAGGGCACAGTCATTGAAGAAATCGACAAACCTCAGGCTGATATCGACAGCCAATTCGAAACCACTGTCAAACGTGCCTTGACACCCTATGTACCACCAAAGGAGGTGGAAGAGCGCAGCTTGGAAGACTCGTATAAGAGTTTCCGTACTAAGCTTGTCAGTTTCTGGATCTTTACCAACGCTCTTTTGGTTGTTGGTATCACTGGCGACAGCTTGCACGAATTTGGTTTCACTGTAAGTTATATCTTCTTGTCAAACTTTTTTCTTTCATACCGTCTAACACCTCATTCTAGAGCACCGCCACTACTCGTACCACCCACTTTTTCCAGGCCCTTCTGTGGTCGACCGCAGGTGTTGCACTGATCCGATTTATCGGTGCATGCTGGTTCCTGGGCAGGACCGGAATTAAGTGCATGTGTGCCCGACGATAAACATAAACATGTGGCGAATGTACAGGGGCTGCTGTATGCAGCTGGCTGTGGATCAGTGGCTCCATCCGACACTGTCTTGCCGTTCCCCCAAAAGAACGTGTCTTAATCTTTCCTTCCTATGATTTCCTTTTCTTGCTTTCTATTTTCTGAACATGTAGTCTATCTGTAGATTTGCGCCTCCTCGCGATTCCTTTACGCTTTGTTTCTCATCCCGCCCTGGCATGTCTGTTACTAAATACATTTGAATCCTTTTTAATTCTCTTTACTGGGTAGTTGATGCAACGATGTTATGATTACTACCTAGCACTTGGCAGGAACATGGTGTAGACTGCATAGATCGATCTGAATAGACTGTCCGTTACATTACAAGGAGTGAAAAGGACTATGATCAGTACGTTTGACATGGATGTTGGAATTGAGACGAGAATCAGCAGAAAACCGAATAATTAAGGCAACAAAAGAAACAATTCTATAATTCAATTGTTCGATTGTATAGATGTCAACAATTATGCAGCATAACTAAGTTAAGCCTCAAAAGCACGAGTCGTTATCGGCCCTTGCCGCCCCACGCTCTTCGATAACGCCTTGGCACTCTCTGGTCCTCCGTCCGCCCAACGTTGTCACGACAAACGTCCCAAGTTCTGTCTCCGAACGACTCCTACCACGCAGAAATCTCGTTACGATCTGTTTTACTTCTCTCGAGGGTACAACGATACTTTGTCCTTCCGGTCTTGTGATTTGCCTCGTCCGCGCTATCACCACCACCTTGAAACCCCGCATAGTCACCGCCGGTAGTCACATACTACGAGCATAGAACGGAAGACAGGGAAAAAGTCAGAGATCACCCGCAAAAGAGCAGAATAATTAGCCTATACACGGCTACTAGGGTGGAGAAAATATTTTATATTCAAAATGTTGAAGATCTGGTCTATGGTGAGCTTGACCTTTGAGCTTAAAAGGTAGATAAGCAGCAAACTGATTTGACGTGAATACAGAAACAAAAACAGCAGCAGGCTGAAAATGCCGAGGGGGGAGCTGCGAAGAAGAAGAAAGTTACTGCTGCGCAGTTGCGTGTTCAGCGAGGTACGTTTGCCTTTTTTTCTCCCGCTAGACAGACCATAAGAAACTTACTTACCAATGCTACTCTCCATAAACCAGACCTCCAAGAACTCTCCCTCGGCTCCACGATGAAAATGTCCTTCCCCGACCCGGACGACATCCTCAACTTCACGCTCACCATCGAGCCCGACGAAGGCATGTACAAAGGCGGCAGCTTCAACTTCACATTCAGCATCAACCAAAACTTCCCGCACGACCCGCCCAAAGTGAAATGCACGCAAAAGATTTACCACCCAAACATCGACCTGGGAGGCAACGTATGCCTAAACATCCTGCGCGAAGACTGGAAACCCGTCCTGAATCTGAACGCGGTTATTGTGGGCATGCAGTTCCTGTTCCTGGAACCCAATGCGTCGGATCCGCTTAATAAGGAGGCCGCGGAGGATTTGAGGTTGAATCGTGAAGGGTTTAAGAAGAATGTTCGCAATTCGATGGCGGGTGGTAGTGTCAAGGGGAATACATTTGAGCGGGTTTTGCGATAGATTTTGTATTTTTTGCTCTTTCCTTATTGCTTCACTACCATGGCGCCGCGGCTTTTTATTACTTTTGACGCTGCTGTAGATTTTATATGGTTTTTTTTTTGTTTTTCTCATGCGTCATTCATCGTTTTCATGGTATGGAAATGAATTACGAGTCTTATCATCCAAGCCTTGTTTGGTGCGTAGTCAAAGTTTATGGATAGACCTCGTATACTACAAAAGTTTTGTAGGAGCCCACGATTTTGACAACTATGTAGATAGTTATCCTTGCACTATAGGTAGAACAAAGGAGATAAATCAATTCTTGACGTGGACGAGAGAACAGAGCCCAAAACGAAATCCTTTTATTCGCTCACAGGAACTGCAAAAGAGATAACTCATTCCGGGTTTCCGTATCCATCTTGTATGTTATGTACAACTCTTCTAACACTTGCAGCAAAAGACAGAACAAAACTTCATTTGTCTATTCATGTTTCTTCTCTTCTTCTCCCACCTTAACGAAATCCATCACTCCTTCGCTGTTGTCCTGTAGCGTACAAAATGGTTGGAAATTGTCCAAGCGGTGTATCTGCTGGTAGATAGGCAGACACATGTTTACTCCTTGTTGGCGGCACGTTCGTTCTCAAGACGAGCGTAGAAGCTGTCACGAGCACGAACGCGAGGAAGGTGGTAACCTGTACATGATATGATGAGTAATTTAATTCACAACTTGATACGGACCAAGTAAAAATCATAATCGCTTTACATACCGTACCACCACAGGTAGCCGAATGTGGTTCCGAGACCTAAAAAGGGATATCTATATCAGCGTTGTTCTGACGCAGCCATTCCCAAGAAGGCCCTTATTGAAGCGCCATATCCCAGCATCCAGAATTTGTCGTTTATGTATGTTGTCATGTGCACCCCACGGAGAAAACGGATTCGGAGCGACTCACCGAAAGCAGTGCTGAGGTCAAGGACGAGGCCGCGGCGGAGAGCCTATGGATTTTATTAGCCAAAGCTCACAAGGTCAAAGAACAATATGTATCCGTGTCCATTGACGCGGCGACGTTATATAGTGACAAGATTAATCACGACGGATTCGGGATAGGGAAGAGAATAGCCACTTACGCCGGTGATAGGAGGAATAGCAGCAGCCATTGCGATGTGATAAACTCAGAAATTCAATGAATTGAGTCCTTGGTAAATTAACTCGGTAATTAGCCCGTCCCTTAAGGTAGAGCGTTCGTCGCTGAGAGCTTGCAGTAGTGAATGATGCTCGGAAGAGGAAGACTTGACGTTGGCTGATGCCGTGCCAAGACTGGGAACGCTTTGGGCTAGCCGAACTTGTCCGGCGAATCATCATACGTTGTGCATGCCTCAGGCATTGACATTTACAGCGATGCGATACGGCTTATATTTATTCACTGTTGTAATTAATAAAAACGTGTTAATCCAGCCTGGCTTTGGATTTGCCAGTCCTGACATTCAAGACACCTCATGGTGGAACGCTGGACACCGCAGAGACCGACCACGAAGATAAGTCACGTGCTGTAGCTGCAGCCTGCGATCCGCCATCGCGGTCATCTCAGTCAGACTTCCAGCCAAGAACTCACATTCACTTCATTGTCAACGCAGCAGCAAGATGGCACAGGACAACAATGGAATGGTGCCATCTCTCAAGCGCTCATCATCATCATCACTGTCGCCGGTGCGCGATCCCGCTATAAAACGCCAGAAAAGGCACTACCACCACAACCACAAGCTTCACAAACCAATCCAGGTACAACTTCGAGAGCCTGCCCTTCTCGACGATGGCATTGTCACGCACCTCCTCGAACGCTCCATCGGTCAGATCCTTACATCGACAGGATATGAGATTGCCGAACCTACTGCGCTGGACGCTTTTCGCCAGGCCGCGGAAGAATGTACGTATTCATTTTTCTTGAGAGAGATGGTGAATGGCCACTTTCTAACATCTGTTAGATTTCCTTCACTTAGCGGCCTTTGCACGTCAGGCAATGACGGCCTCGCGCCGTATACAGCCTATTCCTCAAGATTTCGAATTTGCACTCCGACGAGCCCTCGTCAGCACAGATGAATTACTACCGCACATCAAGCCTTCAGAAGAACCAGAGAAGATTATCACAACACTTCTACCAAGCCCTCCGCCAGAAGAGGAGGGAAATCTTTTCAATGCATTCACTGGCATGCCCATACTCAGCAAAGATCTAAGCGGTGAAGATGAACGTCAAAAAATTAGTTATATCCCAGCGCACTTTCCACATTTCCCAAGCAAGCACACATACCGATTTACGCCCGTATATACAGAACGCGAGACGGATCCGCGAAAAATACGAGAATTAGGAATGGAAGATAGCCGTTTCGGAGAAGAGGCTCTACGCAAGTTGGCGCGTGCTGCGTTTAAGGATACGCACGCAGCTGGATCCGGTAAAGGTGAAAAGCGACTTTGGGGTCGGAAACATGAGAGTACAGAAAGTATGTTTGAGAAGACAATTCGGGGTCTCACGAAGAAGGGCCAGAAGCCTGCCTCTACGGCCGCGGACGGGCAACCGATCGATGCACAGAGAGAGAATAAATTCTCGCTGGCAGGTCTTGACTTGGCGCCAATTGTCAATTGCGAAAGGGATCTGTGGAGGAAGAGTACAAAGGGCCAACAGCAAGCCGAGAAGTTGCCAGATACGAAGGACTCAGCTGTTGCGAAGGTTGAGCGATGGGTTTCGGCTTGAGCTGGTTACTTCTTCGCATCAGTCGGTGCGGTGCATATGGGAAGGCGTTTATAATTTTTTTTCTTATTCTGCGAGATACCCCGATATTTGGCTTAAAAATTATATTAAATGCATACTATACAAGGACATATCTCATGATCTATACCATAACGCCTCCCATGCAATTATATTACACCGTAAGCTGAGCTCAGCGTTCGAAATATGGTTGAATCCACTTAAGAAGAGAGGCCTAGCTATGACTGCTCGGATTATGATTGGCGTAGTTATTCGATTCATCCTGAACCCTCCTCTCCCAACTCGTCGTTTCGACCGTAAGTCCGCCAGCGCACCTAAAAGAAAGAATCATCACGTTAGTATTCCTTATAATCATCCAAACTCAAATGTAGACCGCAAACTCACTTCCGAAACAGCCGAACGATCGGCTTACACCTGACCACGCCAGGAGCCTGGATCCCCTCGGAAGGAGGATTGCACGAGTACTGCACAAGTTCCATCAACTCGCATTTGTGGAGATCAATCGGCTCGCCTTTGCGTCGCTTCTCCTTGAAGCCTCGCTGGACTATATGGATGCGGTCTGGCAGCTCCTCGGCTGGGAAGATGGGGACGAGCGGCGCCATTGCTAAAGCATCAAAGAGAAATTTGGTTCTTGAGATAGATATATATCACTGGCGAAACAGCATGACCCAAATTGCTGTTGGAGAGTGGCTCGTGCGTGCGCGTAGAGTGTCTTGTCTTGCTGTAGTTATCAAAAGGAAATTAAGCTTGCTGTCTGTCTGCGTGCGCCGTGGTGCGGGTCCTGCCGCTGAGCGCCTCGGAATATCTCCAAACTCCATGCGTCCATAGTGAACTTCTATACCCCCCCCCACGTATCCCAAGCTCTGTTCCCAGTGGGATTACGATAGCTTGGATTGTCCAATTTGTACTGTCTAAAGTGCAAGGCAGCCGCGGGCATGGATCATGCAACATGAATTCTGCCGCTGCGCTGGGCCAGCGCTTGCTCGACGAAATACGAGAAGAGAGCCTGGACGAGGCAAGTTTTCACTTTTCTTTGGAGATAGTGATATGCCGTCTCATCCTGATGCTTGCTAATACATGGCACAGCTTCTGCATGACTTGCGAGCCCAATTTGAACCTCGCACGGAAAGATCCCATTTTGGGGTGAAAGACCTCGATGATCTACTCGATGCATTCCTGAGCGCTCATAGCCCGGCATTAACTCAACATCAACATCAACAGCAAGATCATAGTCTAAACTCCGGCGCTCAGATTACACATGCTCATTCAGCGTCCTCGACAGCTCTAGGTTCCAGCAGAGCAACTCGCATCGGCAGAAAACTTCCTGTCATCGAGATATCAAGCCCTAGCTCTGGTGGCGGTAAATCGCAACTACTGTACTATCTCGCCGCTATTGCTGTTCTACCATCTTCTTTCAAGGGCAAGAAAATAGGAGGCCGGAATGGCGCTGTTGTATTGCTCGACACTGATGGCAGGCTTGATGTCAAGAGACTCTATGAAATAGCCGAAGGAGCCATCCAACATGCCCAACGTGCCAGTTCTACGGATGTAGATACGAATGAGACTACTGCCGCTGAGGCAGCTGCCATAGCATCACTCATCCGCGATTCTCTCCAACACGTTCACATCTTTCGGCCGCAGAGTTCGTCTTCCTTACTTGCTACACTGAAGTCTCTTGACAAATACCTCCTGGACATGCGTCGGCATCGCTCAGCTACACGCCCACTTCATGCAGTAATCCTGGATAGTGCTAGCGCATTTTACTGGCAAGATCGTATGCGAGACGATGTCGCTCGCACCCAAGAAATAGGACGCAGCGCGGCAGAGATAAAACAAGACCGTGAACAGAGAAAAACCTTCTATTTGAACATCCTCTACCAGGATATAGCCAGTGAACTCCGACGCATCCAGACAATCTTCGAATGTTCCGTGGTATATACAACTTGGGGGCTAAACCGTGCTTTCTCTGACAAGAATGCACCATACGCGCATCTATGGTCCGGACCGCCTTCATTCAAACCCCATCTCCCACCTCCGTGGAATAGCTTCCCCGATTTGAGACTCGTTGTGCAACGGGATACTGTTCGTCCTTATCCTGCTTCATCAACATATACAGAGATCGAGCGTGATGCGCCTATTCGACAGGGTGTAGTGAGACAAGGCAAATTCTCTGCTTGGGTTGATACGTGGGGAAGAGAATACTGGCCGCCAGGCATAATCAACGCGTTGAGAAATATGCCAGAACATGGTGCATTCCCCTTTTGGGTGCGAAAAGATGGCGTGTTCATGGACGATCTGATGTCTGATACATGCTGAACTTTCCCAATCGCTATCTAATGGAGGTATATATGTACATTTCTAGTTTGAAGCGAACAAAGCTCCAATGGTTTCAACAGTCGTATTGCCACCACTGAACACAATGCCAATATCCCAACCGGCTTCTCCTGCCTCTTTTTCGACCTTCCTTCTAAAGTCCTCATCAAACAGACAAACAGCCAAACCTACTACCGCGCTGGGCTCGACGACCACCTTCATTCTTTCCAGCACTAACCTCATAGCCTTTTTTATTTGCTCTTCCGTTACGCTGTAGACGCCTGCCACTTTCGACGGATCAGATATAACGGCCCAATTGTGCAGACCTACAGGCGTCCTGAGACCATCTGCTATAGTCTTTGTTGAAACAGCCTGGACACGCTCTCCGGCAGCAAGTCCCAGCTGACAATCATTCGCGCCCTGGAAAGATGGCTCTGCCCCGAAGACCAACGTTTTCTTCTTTCCTTCTTTCGACGGCACCGAGAACCACGTTGCAACACCGGCATTGAGGCCACCTCCCCCTACTGGCGTCAAAACTGCATCTAGTGATTTTCCTTCGCGCCCCTTCAGTTCCTCGTATTGTGCCTCCATATCTAGCCCAGTTGTGCCCTGGCCCAGGATAATATCAGGATGATCATAGGGCGGAATGAAGATGGCGCCAGTCTCTTGCTGAATCTGGTGCATGACAGCGGTGCGTTCAGGCTCTGTGCTCCCACTGAAAACGACTTTTGCGCCGAGCGACTGCGTGGATGCGATTTTGCTGGGGGTGCTTATAGATGGCATCACGACAAATGTAGGAATGCCTAGTGTCTTTCCTGCCAGGGCTAGTGCTTGAGCATGGTTACCTATACTCAATCTGCGTCAGCTGGAAAAATCCACACCACTTTTACCCCCTTAAAAAATGAAAATCCTCAAGAAAATTGATCCTCTTATGCAAAGCGGAGATAGACATACCAGAACTATGAGTCACAACGCCCTTCCTTCTAACCTCCTCCTCGCCCCTCTCCTCAATAAGCCTCAACAACGCATGAAACGCACCCCGCGCCTTAAACGCGCCTATTTTCTGCAGATTCTCGCATTTGAAATAAAACCGTATTCTCGGCGACGCCGGATTCTGCCCTTCCCAATGCGAGCCAACAAGGTCCGAAGCGTGCTGTGGCGTTGATGCGATTGTGTTGAGCGTTGTGTTCGTGAGGAGCGGGGTGTGATGGATGTACGGTTTGATGAGCGCGTGCGCCTTTGCGACGTTCTCCGGGATAAGAGGGAGGTGATTTGATGGAGATGTCATTTTTGTTGTATATTAATTTCCGTATGGACAATGGCTAATTGCTGCTGTCTTCAAGTTCCGAATAGGGGCTCTTGCAGTATATCATAGTATATAGTTGCATACCAGGAGAGTGGAATGAATATCGGCTAGTCGGAGATCGGGCCGATAGAAGCGGTACGAACTTCACAATGCCGGACAAGCAAAGCCTACACTTATAATCTCTATCATCTACTCCGTATAGTATTATCGTAGGGATTTGCTATCTAAAAGTATTACTGCCTCGGGGAGAGATACAATTAGCTTAAGCCCGGGGTTATACCCTCAAGATCGACTTTTAACTCGGAGTAAAAAAAAAGAAAGGAGTAATGATATCAAGAAAAAGAACATAACAACTTTTCATTCATTAGGTATCTACATTACATGACTAAAAAAAAAAACAACCCAAAAAAAGACCCAAACCCATTATGCTCCCGCTTTACTTCTGGTTCTCAGGACGAAGAGAGCGGACGGCCTTTCCAGCACGCCAGATCTCCAAGTTGCGGATTTCCTCCAACTCCTTGTCGTAACGCTCACGGTAATCGGGTTGAGAGTTGTAGTCCAAAGAGCGCTGAGTTTCCTTGCCGGTCTTCACGCTGGTGTACAGCTCGTCAAAGACAGGCTTCAAGGCGTCCTTGAACTTAGGGGACCAATCAATGGCACCACGACGGGCGGTGGTGGAGCAAGCAGCATACATCCAGTCCATGCCGTTGGCACCAATGAGAGGGTAAAGAGACTGTGTTGCTTCCTCAACAGTCTCGTTGAAGGCCTCGGAGGGAGAGTGGCCGCGCTCGCGGAGAACCTCGTACTGAGCAAGGAACATACCGTGGATACCACCCATGAGGCAGCCACGCTCACCGTAGAGGTCGGAGTAGACCTCCTTCTCAAAGGTGGTCTCGTAGAGGTAGCCGGAGCCGACGGCCACACCCATGGCAATAGCCTTCTCCTTAGCATTGCCAGTGACATCTTGGAAAACGGCGATGGAGGAGTTGATACCACGACCCTCGCGGAAGAGAGAGCGGACGGTACGACCGGATCCCTTAGGGGCGACGAGAATAACATCGATATCGGTAGGAACATCAACCTTGGTCAAGTCCTTGAAAACGGGGGAGAAACCGTGGGAGAAGTAAAGGGTCTTGCCCTTTGTAAGGAGGGGCTTAATCTGGGGCCAAGTCTCGGACTGGGCGGCATCAGAAAGGAGATTCATGACGATGGTACCCTTGTTGATAGCAGTCTCGACATCGAACAAGTTCTTGCCGGGGACCCAGCCATCTTGGATAGCCTCCTTCCAGGAAGCACCGTCCTTGCGGACACCAACAATGACGTTGAGGCCGTTATCGCGGAGGTTGAGGCCCTGACCGTGACCCTGGGAACCGTAGCCAATAAGGGCGAGAGTGTCGTTCTTGAAGTAGTCCTGGAGCTTCTCACGAGGCCAGTCATCACGCTCTGTTGATGGGTTATTAGCCATGTACACGGGCAAGCGGCTCGAGTTCTCAGTGCTTACCGTAGACAGTCTCCTTGGTGCCTGCAAAGTCAATGGACTTGATTCCACGAGCTGGAACAACGACTGGGCTGCGAACAGCGCTAGCAGTAGCAGCAGAAGGGCGAGCCCGGACAGCCGAGACAAATGTGCGACGAGGAACAGCGACACGGGTCGAAAGGCGCAGGGCGCGAGGGATGGTCTTGGAGGCCATGATGTAGATGTGTGTGTGAGTGTGAATGAAAAGGTAAGGAAAAGAAGAGTATTCAATCAATTGATGCACTCAATTGATCAAGCAAAGATGCACAGAGAGCGGAGAGGATGGTTTGAAAGAGAAAGAGAAAGGACGGTGGGAATGGACGGTGGTTTATATTCCAGCAGAAATGATTCACAGCTGGAGGGGAGAAAGCTTTCCCCGAAAAAATGCTGGGGTTGGTCAGGTGACCGCGCCGGCGCCGGAGTTGGGCACTCCCTCCGCGGCCCCGATTTGGCTGACCGACGGGGCGGCGCCGATACCGGTGGCCAATCGCAAGCCGCAGCTCACGTGCTGCTGATCAGTGGTCCACCACGCAGATCGGGATTAGCGCACAATCGCTAGAAACAGTTAGGACGGGCAGATTCACAGATGAACTAGGAAGGCGGTACGAGCGTTGACAAGTGCCTCGAGTGTTTGCTGCACGATAGATAGAAAAGGGAGAAAGACACAAAAACAATTCTCAAGTCTCGAAATCTCCTTGTGCGAATCTATCGAACAACCCATCCAACTCCTTGAAGTGTCCGCCAATCGGGATGTCGTGTTGACCGCCTATGTACCATTCCTACTGGGGAACTGACTGCAGCTTAGCACCGCGGCTAGTCATCACGGCGAGATTCAACCCCCTCTTGTGTGGATTGACTACCACCGCACATTAACTAACTAATGATCATACCAACTAAGTATGGGTTATAATTGACTTGTTATAACTAATGCTCCCTTCAGGTCTTCTGCGCCTGCCCTCGAATCAGAAGATACCTACCCAAAGACCATGAGGTTCGCGACGCCATGAACCCATTTGCCTTCCTTTCCTCGCTACCAAGTCCTCCGTCCATCCAAACCAGAAAGGCCTTGCTGCTTCTTGATTTTCAGAATGAGTTCGTCCGCCCAAATGGCCGACTGCCCGTTCACAACACGTTTGATATCCTCGAAACTATCCCAGGTCTAGTCCAAAGCTTCCGGCGCACCGGAGAAGTTGTCTGGGTGCGTACCCAATATGAAGGGCCCCGTTCACTTATCGACCCCGAATATGGCGGCGAACGGATAGTTATTTCGGGTGGTTCTCTGGATACTAAGAACCAGAAGAAAGGACGTCAAGGCCGCGATGACAATATCGATGGGAGCGAGGAGATTGACCCCGAAGCCTTTCTATCAGGTCCGGAGCCTGCCTGTCTACCGCAGACGTATGGCGTCCAATTCCCGGCCCCGATACTTGCGGCAATTGATCACGAACATGATTTTGTGATCGAAAAGTCGGATTACTCGGCACTACAGTCCCCCGGCATGGTTCTGTCACTGCGATCCCGTTTAGTCACTGAATTATATATTTGTGGAAGCCTGTCAAACGTGTCTGTCTATGCTACGGCACTTGACGCTGCGCAACAAGGGTTTGCTATCACATTGATAGAGGATTGCATGGGTTACCGCAGTTTCGCCCGTCATGAGCAGGCCATTCGACGACTTGCCGACATTGTGGGCGCAAATGGTATGTCCGCACAGGAGCTGCTGGATGACGACGACTGGGAAGAGACTCAAGAGATTGCCCGGGCTTCGAGTCCTGCCCAAGGGCCAGCCGAGCCTCAACTAAGCAGTTCGGATCATGAGTCACGCGTTGTACAGCCGTCCGGCATAGAAGGTGTATTAGATCATCTTGTCGTCAAAACCTCTCCGCCTATTAAACGAGTCTCGATTACGGAGCAGCCCACCAACGCAGATAATGCTTATACTGCCAGATCGTTGCGGACGCCCTCTCCAAATACTACCGCTCATCGAGACGGTGAGATAGAAGCAGATGACAACCCATATGACGACGACGATGAAGAGCCCTTGGTTTTACCTCCAACGAAATATCCTCGAGCTTTCGCTGCTTCTCGAGGAATCAGAGAAACACGAAATCTGGTTGCGAATTCAACGAGATTGCGCCGCAATAAATCGAGTGGAAACTCACCGTCTTCATCTCGCCAGCCCAGGTCAGCCGCTGCAGGCTCAGCCTCTGCGCGGACGTCCGTTTCTCCTGCAACCTCAGTTAATGCCACTAAAGGGTTATCCGCTGCTTCACCTAATTCTCCTGCACGCGGGATCTTGCCAGCGCCATCATCCGAGCCGGCGAACTACGCAAAGAAAAAGAAGAAAATCACTGGCAAGGAATATCTAGGGCCTGATGATACCATTGCCGAAGGCGATTCGCGGATTGTATACAATCTCGACTTGCCAATTGATGCCTTTGAGAAGATCCATAAAGAGGTAAATTGGCAGAGAATGTATCACATGTCGGGCCAGGTTCCGCGCCTTGTGGCTGTACAGGGCGCTGTTTCCCAAGACAAATGTTTCCCCGTCTACCGCCACCCTGCTGACGAATCTCCAACTCTCGAGCCGTTCACAGAGACAGTGAATGTGGTCCGCACATGTGCGGAACGGATCGTGGGTCATTTGTTGAACCATGCACTGATTCAAATGTACCGTGACGGTCAAGATAATATCTCTGAGCATTCTGATAAGACTCTTGACATAGTCCGTGGTTCGTCCATTGTCAATATCTCATTGGGCGCACAGCGAACGATGACTCTGCGGACAAAGCGGTCTGCACCAACTGATGGCAAGACGGCGGAAAACGATAATGACGATGACAACGCGAGTCACAGCCGTCAGAAACAACAGGTGCTGATGCCGTCTGGTTCCATGTTCATACTTGGCCCATCGTCTAATATGCGATGGCTGCATGGTATTCGACCTGATAAACGACCCGAATCTGAGAAGTCTTGTGAGGAGAAGGCTTATCATGGCGAGCGCATTTCATTAACGTTTCGAAATATTGGCACTTTCATCAACCCTGAATCTCAGACAATATGGGGCCAAGGCGCCATATCCAAGCGGCCTGATTCGGCGAGAAAAGTCATTCACGGCGACGCAGCGGAAACCGAGAGACTTATTCGAGCATTTGGCACGGAAAATCGGGAAACAAATTTCGATTGGGATGGTGTATATGGATATGGCTTTGACGTTGTCAATTTCATAGAACCCGCCGTTACACGTCTAGACTTGTGCGGTGACTCTATCGCTGATATGCGAGTCAGGTTGTGTCTGACCGAAAACGGCATGCGATATGAAGCCGTCTATCCACTGAACCTACCTCAAACTACATATACTAGTCCTGATTCGAAGACTGTCATAGCGGGTGATATTCCAATTTTGCTGTATCTTGCTTCATTGGATTCTGCTTCTATTTCTGCGAGACCTGGTGTGAATTTGGTCCGCGGAGGGGATTCCCTTGCCGAAATTTCGAACTTGGATAGAGCCTCGCGAGAACATATATTGAACAGTCCCGAACCAGATTATGGACTACTTTCAGTCTGGAATGATAAACTGCGAGAAGCAGAAGCTACAGTCGGCCATCACTTCGTCTCGGGACCAACATTCACCGTCGATGACATCGCACTATGGCCGATTCTATACGAAATCGAAAAGCAAAAAGGGATCATATCTGGATCAACACAATACCCATCTCTCTCGGCTTATTACCAGCGGATAGAGAAAAGGGGCTGCGTTCGCGTAGTCTTGGGCGAAATATCGAATAATCGAGGACGGGATGCGCTGTGCTTATCTCCCGGCCATTGATATTCTCTTTTTTGTTTTACCCTTGTTATGTCTTTTCACCTCTTGCCTTTCGGCTCTGGAGAACGACAGGCGTGAATCTATACTGATGCATATTAATATTCAATAATGCATGATATCTATGAATTGATGACAGCGTTTAATGATATCTTACAAACCTGACCAAGGATTTTTGCTTTCTATATAACGAACACCCATAGACTTAATGAATTCTGGAAAGTTTTTTTTGGAAGCATCTGCCATCTAATATCCTTTTTTTTTTTTTTTTCTCTACGGTTGTTTAAATGCTCTCTCCCCTTAATAATTGCAATCGCGCATTTCACGTATGTTGTAACAACAACTTAAAAGACCAGCAATCATTCGAAATACAATCTACAACTTATCAAACCTTGGCACTCGCTTCTCCATCCCCGATAGCAAGGCAGCAGAGATATCTTTTGTTTGCAGCGCCGCACTGTTCCAGACAGCTGTGTAATGTAAACCTGCATCAAATCTACCATCAGCCTCCGGTTTGAAATCTCATATACACCAAATTAGAGAACTAATCCGTATAACAACTTACTGTCTTTAACCGGATGATCCCTCGAAAAATTCAAAATGTTCTTTGTCCCCTGCACCGCTACCGGACTCTTCGTTGCAATTAGGCTCGCCAACTCAACTGCTTTGGTGACAGTTTGCTCCTTTGTATCATAGACGGCATTAACAAAACCAACTCTCAGAGCCTCCTCAGCGCCAAAGACCCTGGCCGAAAGCGCAACTTCTTTTACCCATCCAAGATTGCCCACGACTTTAGGCAGCCGATTCAGCGTGCCAATATCAGCCGCAATGCCAATATCCACCTCCTTCGCCGAAAAAGCCGTATCTTTGGCACATACACGAATATCCGTCGCAGTGCACAAGTCGATGGCTAATCCGTATGCGATTCCGTGCACGGCAGCAATAACTGGCTTCTCACACCTCTCCAAGCTACTGATGCAGTCCTGGAAACCGAGAACATATCGTCGAATCTGCGTAGCGATACGTGCCGCATCAAAAGATTTGTCTTTGGGCCCAATTATTGCCCCCTCGGCGGCCGCTTTGACATCTAGACCGGAGCAGAAAGCGCGATCGCCAGCACCAGAGAAGACTATGGCGCGCGCATCGGGAGATTCTGAGAGCTTGTCAAAGACTTCGCGTAGTTCGAGCCACATGGGTTCAAAGTAAGAGTTCAGTTTGTCTGGCCGGTTGGTCTCGACGTGGGCGACATATTCTTTGGGGAATGTGACGTTGAAATATTTATATGATGCCATAATGGCAGCTACTATATATGTTTGTCGTCGGACCAAAGAATTCAAAGAGAGAGAGGCAAGTTGAGATTTTCTATTTCCAGATACTCTCAACGAGTAATTTGATTGCTTGCTTGTGGAATGATACGTACCTTCAGGACAAAAAGAGGCCGAGGTTTGGAAACGGCTATGCTTCATGCATGTGCCATAGTACGAAACACGTCTAGGAATAGCTCTAGCTAATACATTTTTATGCGCTATATATTGCTAAGAGCTCCCGAAATAAAGAAGGACAAAATTAGAATTACCAGGAAAAAAAAAGGAAACCATGGCCCAAACTGCGAGTCGAACGCGGGACCTCACCGAGTTGATCCCTGATGGAAAAAAACCCTAACGATGAATTCTACCACTGAACTATCTGGGTGGACGAAGTAGCGCTTAAAAAGCGCACTCTTCGACTTTTGCCGATGTTCGACAGGATCCGGCAATCTTGGTTGGCTTTCTGAGCGCCGCCGCGGCTATCAGCCAATAGTAGCTCGCTATGGGGCGGCCCACCAAGCTTTTGGGTCCTCTTTGACTTCCTCTTCTTCTCTTCATCACAATATCAACCACCGCTGCGCTTAAAACAGTCATGCCCCGCGCTGTGAAAGGTCTGGAAATTTAGCCGGCTAGGTTTTGGATAATAATGTTGACACATCTAGGTGTCCTCGTCGAATGCGATCCGTCCGTCAAGGCGATTATTCTCAAGTACGACGAAGAAAAACACGACTATATCGTGGAAGACTTGGACGATGACCGGCACCTGGTGATCAAGGAGAGCCAGCTCCAGAATCTAAAGGAAAGACTCGGCCAGGTTGGTTCTTTGTTACATTCCTACTCACCGGTACGATATCAGACATTGATTGACATTGCTTGATGTCGCGGTAGGAACTCGATCAGAAAGTTATGCAACCGGAAGAGTCGGAGTCGGAGTGATCGAAAAAAACATTCTTGCTCAATGGGCTTAATCTGTCCGAGTCAATTTACGCCGTTGAAGTTTGGAGACCATCCCGTCAGCAAGCATGAGCCCTCAGGGTTTGGAGAGCGGTAACTACATCCTTGTAACGGGTTCACTTCCAGAGAGTTCTATCTGTGGTCTATTTCGGCCTGCGACTATAAGTAGGAAACAAATCTTATGTTGAAAAAACCTGACGTTTCGCCCGACTAAACGGTTACCGGTGAACGCAGAGTTATGTTTTCATGCACATCAATCCGAGACATTGAATTTTTCGAAGCTGTCAATGAAAATGATGCCTAGCATGGATAGCTACAAAGATCATCATTCCATATCAGCATCGAGGTCAGCATGATCTATCAACGCACTGTGATCTAGAGCACCCCATTTCAACGACCCATAACTTGCTATTTGATTAATTATATTTAGTACTTTATACAAGGAACGATATTATAATAGCGAAGGCGAAAAGAGGATCGGCATCATTTAAGTTCGTAGCTAGGGCGAAACTCAACTCAGCTAATCTCAGTTCTTCTTAAGGGTAGCCTGTACCTAATGGAGTACATATATTTGTGAACTATTTAGGTGATGTGAATGCTCGGTCTGTGGCTGAATTTGTGGCCAAATTTCGAAAAAGTAGAAACATTCTCTTCTCCAGTCTTCTACGTATATTGGAGTTGAATTTTATTGTTCTGTTCACTAGGCTATGACGTAATTTGAACCGCTGGACAAACTTGGCTTAGCGCAAATCGGCCCGTGCGGAGAGTTCTAGAAGGCTCCACTAGCGTCCAGCCCTAAACAAGTCATGTCTGGAGGCTTCTACAAGCATCATGGCACATCGCGATGTCATCCATGACAAACGTCTGGCAGCTTCCAGAATGTCGAGTGATGGCTATATTAACCCCCTTGGCCTCTGGTCAACATGTTTTCCTGTTCATCAAAATCAAATCGCAAACAAGCAAGCAAACAACAAAGCGTTTCAAAGCTAACCTTCGAATCACTTCAATCGTCCTTGAAACTTCGTCATTTCTTCATTTTCGAAGCAAATAATCACACACAACCATCACACAATGGCTCTCTTTCCTCGTGCCGGTGACTTTGCTCCTCTATTCCGTCTTCTAGACGACTACGACACCCACCGCTCCGGACGTAGCCACTCTTTCCAGTCCTCCATGACCAGCTTCTCCCCGCGCTTCGACGTGCGCGAATCCAAGGAGGCATACCATCTCGACGGCGAACTTCCCGGCATCAGCCAGAAGGACATTGAGCTCGAGTTCTCTGACCCTCAAACTCTGCACATCAAAGGACGCGTTGTTCGCGAATACAACTCCAACAACAGTGACAACGACGGTGCATCCAGCCCCAAGCCCGCGACTGTTGAAGACGAGTCTCCATCAGACAGCAACACCCAAGTCCAGAAGACTTCCGGCAATCACGCCGTCTCCAAGCAAAACAACCACAAGTACTGGGTCAGCGAACGCTCCGTCGGAGAATTCCACCGCTCCTTCAACTTCCCTACCAGGGTCGACCAAGATGCAGTTAAGGCTAATCTGAAGAACGGCATCCTCTCCATTTCCGTGCCCAAGGCTGCTCCACCAGTTAGCCGCAAGATCACCATTGAGTGAATCAAACCGACTCGATCGTCGTCTTTGCTTCGATGAGACATAACTTTTATTGAGACGAATTTGATGAAATCTGCCTTATCTCATGTCTTTCATTGCTTGGTGCTTGGTGTTGTTCTAATAGCCTTTGTGTTTTAAAACAATTACATATCTCATAATGTCAAGTTTGCTTTACTAAGTTTCTATTTAGTTGTTGACTAGTTTTCAAACCAATGAAATAAATACAATTTCTATAAACCCGCAGTCGCGTTGATCCAATTTCCAAACCAAAATCCGTAATCTAATGCTGAATAGGACCTTCCTAAATCAGCCTCTAGTATACTTTATATATCTATATACCATCTATATGAACCCAAATAACACGTCAATTTCAGGTTTCGTTCCCCGTACCCTGGTTGACTTCACTCTCAAGACCGTCGTCCGACTTTGCAGAATCAACAGGGGCACTCGATCCTGTGCCAGCCTGCACAAACGTCATTAGCACGGTCAGCGCGACAGCCACCAGAAACATCATCCTTAAAGAGTTCTGATATGCAGTAATTGCAGTTTCCCTCTCATATCCTTCCAGTTGCCATACCAGGGCAGGACTGCCCAGTAACTTTCTAATAAGTTCCTGCCTACCGTCATCATGATCATGATACCCGCCATCATAGAAACCAGCCTCAAGACGGGCCTTTAATACACGCGAGAAAATCCCACCACCAATTGCAGATCCGAAGCTGCCAGAAAGAGACCTGAATGTCGCCAGAAGACCTGTGACAATGTAATGCGATGATGGGGAGGTGATATGTAGTAGATGAGATACCATGTAGTTTAGATACGCAGCGCTCGTGAATCCATTGACGAATATCGCAAATGCATATAGCACAATGGACGAGTTGGGAGTTGAGATCATGGCAATCAATAGAAGACTCAGCCCAAAAAATACGCTGACTATCAACGTTGATCTTTAATAGAGTTAGCTCATATCGTTTTGAAAGCAGCTAGATGTAGGCTAGTACAAGGAGGAGAAATGAAAATGGGAAAGGGTGATGAGCCATACGTATAATAACTCCGCGCTTTCCGAATATGTATCCAACCTACAATGAGCCCTCCTAGGGCAAAACCAGCGTTTGTTGGAATCATGATAATACCGCCTTGTGCCGGACTCCAGCCACGAACAGCAATGCCGTAAACAGGCAAATAGAAGAGAACTGCCCAACGGGCCATCATCAGGCCACCTGATGAAATACCGGATAGTAAAACACCACGAGAGCGAAGGATAGTTACCGGAACAATAGGCTCGGTAGTGAATTTGGGCGATGACTCAACGATGAGAAAAATGACGAATAGGAGCAGAGAAGCCGCAAGGAATGAAAACGGGATAGTAGAGCTCGAAAGGGAATAGAGCAATGTTAGGTTGGCTGAAGTCTATAATACCATGTAAGCAAAACACAACAGAACGCGATCCGCATCGTGGGACGCACCAGTGTTAGAATACCCAGGTAGTCAATTCGAGCAAGTTTCCTAAAGAATGTATTCCCCTCATGACCGGCCACCTTTTCCCCACCAGTCGGAGGAATCGAGAAATATAAAATAGGAGTGATAACAAGACATATTGGAGATTGAATATAATATATGAGGCGCTGTTCCTATATCGTCAGCAATGCACGGTACATTAATCCAGTTCTTGAGAATAAGGTGTTTACCCATCCATATTTTGGCGTCAGGGCACCAGCCAAGATAGCGCCAGCTGCAACACCAGTCGTGATGATGGTATAAAGACATCCAAGGAACAGTCCTCGTCGCTTCTTTGAACACAGTTCTAACACAATAATTGCTTGTGTAGAATATATCCCCGCAGCTCCGCTTCCAGCCAGAATCCGACCAATTATGAAGTCTGAAACCGTCCTCGCGCTAGCTGTAATCAGCAAACCCACTGCAAAAATGAAGCTTGTCACGGCTAAGAAAGCACGCAGAGAGAATATTTGAGACAGTCGACCGCCGAGGGGAGTCAGGCTCGCGAACGCAATCTACTCGGCCGGATCGGTCAGCAATGGTTGATTCGGAGCACCGTAAGAAATATGAGAAGATAAACCGACCATATAGGCTGATGTAAGCCATGGTGTACTGGAGAAAGAATCCAAGTCCGCGGCGATGTCCGACTGTGTTGTTGTGACGGTCGTGATATTGGTAGCTATAAACTGCTTTAGTTGGACCATTTCTCGCGCCATACCGGATTATGTTTCTTTACATACACTGAATAAACAGCAGACATGTCACTACGATAGTAACGGCAACCGTGCGCTTCCGGGAGAGCGTGGTTGGAGCAGCATCATCGCTATCGTACTCTCTCGGCTCTGCTATTAACGGGGACTGTTCGGAGAATTGGCCGTGCGGTGACTCCAAGTCACTGGTCATTGCCAAGGCGCGCTGCGATACGAATAAGGAAGACAGTAGATGTAAACTTAGAGGCCGTAAGATATAACCGCAGGAAGTTTACCAATGTCAAATATCGCGAGTTGGACAGTTGACAGTCTTATCTTGATGGGCTGCTCGCGACATAAACCAATTATACTGCAGGAATGTCCATGGTCCAGTCACGTGACTAGAGTATCAACGATCACATGACCCATGCAAGTTAGCTTCTACGGAGTAAATTTCTTTAAGTAAATTTCTGCTAGGCGATAAGAGACAGCCACGTGCCTCTTTGATTATTCTGTTTTGCCAGGAAGATATATATAAAGTGCGCGCCAGATAGGGAAGATAATACGATTGGTGCATATATTCTGATACAGTACTTCATGACGCACGGGTTTTACATATACTACGTAGTATACAGTAAATAAGGTTAGAACAATAATAAGATATAACGTAAGATAATGTCCCACTTTTTACCCGCTAATTTGACCACAAAATTAACGTGTTGTGGATCCAAAGCCCACTTTTGGCGCTATTAACGGATATTAAGTCCACTATAAATAGGGATAGCCAATCATATTGCTTAAAATCCTCTACTATATAACGGGTTTTCAACCTACAACGGATTCGGATTTGGTGGCAGTCAGAATTGATCTGTTATAGACTGCGTTTGCTGTAACAGACAGTCCCACAGTAGGGTTACTCTGTTGGTTTCCTAGGCAGCAATCCCATGGGATCCTGCGTTTCCTTTGTTCCATGCATTAGCGCTATCGTATCTATTGGCTGTGGCGCGCTGATTTCTCTGACACCCTATACTGTGAAAATCTCATGTTTTCCCTTTACATGATTGTATAAAGCTTTAAAATATACCCTATAAAATTGGTGAAAATCAGGCGCTGGGCGGTTCCGAGTAGTGAGTGGTGGAGGTTAAAGAAGCTTCGATTTTTCTACAATATGTATATATATATATATATATATAATATCGATGTCTACAGGGAGCGTAGGCAATAAGGAAAAAAAAAAAAAAAAACGATCTTCCATGAATTTTTCATTTTCACATTGAAACAATTTCCAAATTCAAACCTAATTATCACAGTATCAAAAAAGATACTTAATGTGACAGATGCGGAAAATCATCTCCGAACCTAGCCATGAGCCTAAGATATATATATTTGAAGTACCTAATTGGCATGATCATCATCCAAGAGATTTGCCTAGGCAACCTTGAAACATTTCAATAGGTACGTAGCAATTGTTCTCAGATATTCGCTAATTACTACATATAGCTGAAGCACCCTAGCGACTTCCTAGTACTTTCCTGCCTACCATTATCACAAATCCGAGTAAGAAAACATCACTACTAATTGCAGATCGGAATGTGCTGGTGTGATGCGGCGGTGGTGGGGAATGGGGTATTTCATCGGTATCTACGACTGATGGAATCTAGAACTTCTGGTGTCTACTGAAATAGTCAAGATATACAATATCTTGCTAAACAGCGGGTTAAGACGCTGGTTAAATGCCTTGCTTGGCTATCGGAAAGTATACCTTGCTTTATCCATGATGCAAGGAGCGACTGCCCTGACATTAGCCCAGGCACGATATTTGTTATTGTTAAATTGGGAGTTATGTCTTCTTTGGTCTGTTTATTTTACCCTGGAACTGGTTGACTGATCTGCCGGTGTAAACACATGCATACGCACCCCCCCCCCCTTCCCCCCTAATATAGCCTACCTAGGTGCTCATTGCTCTTTTATTCTCAGAGACAGTGCTGTCGCATTGCCTGATGAGATATCGATCGACAAGACCAAGCGTTGATTGACGGCCTATCTTACAATCAAGATGAGGTTCGCCCGCTCCCACCATAGTGACGAGTCTATAACTTACCTATGATGTGAGTAGCTGGTGAACTGCATTTTGGTTGTTAGGTCGAGCAGTCAATCAATCTACATGGGAAATCATCTGCTCATCATATGGTGCGGTTACACTCCATAATGCCGGAGTGACACAATCATAACTTCAATAGAGACGATAGATTGTTAGTATTCAATAAATAGCAGTATGTAGTTCCGCGATTAGAAGGCTAGATTATGAGATTGTTAGGTTTAGTTTATATAATACTTGCCAGTCACAGCCCACATTCTGTATACAAAGTTCCAAGTAGACAGAGCGACTGCGAATATTCCGCTGAACATAAGAATGTTAACTGGGTACCTAAAGAAAAACAGTGAAAGGTCCCAAAGTACGCGAGTGAGCTGTGTAGTTTGGATATGAGGATTATATTAAACAACATAATGTGTGAATATTGTAGTGAAGTAAAAAAAAAGCACTAGATTGAAGTTGAATTGAAGTTCAATGTCAATTACACACAAGCACGAGCTCCTGACGCCCGTGCCCAAAAATTTGACATGAATACATTAAGAAAAGAATTACAGATCAAACGCCTTAGCGAAAAGCATAAGTGTTCAAAACAATCCCAATTGCACACACCACAGCAGTCAATAACCACAATTTAATGTCCAATAAGTTTGCAGTCCTGGGAGGACGATTAGTTTGTAAAGAGACACAAGTTGATATGTAAGGACTTACCGCTTCTCCGTGAGGGCAGTAAGCAGTGCTGCCGATACATTTAACGCCATCGCCGTCCTCCTTGGTAATCCCTGGACTATGGTTAGCGCCTAAAGAACAACACGTGGACGTTGGAATTTACCTAGAATATTGAGGTTCTCGATGAGGCTGAATTTGGCGCAGGCAGAATCACCAACACCGAGCACATTGTTCAAGGCGCCCTTTCCAAGGAGGTTGCCCAAGATGCCGTCAGCGCTAAGGATCTCCTTGTTCTGGCAACAAGCGATGTCGCTGTCCGGGTATTCTTTCTGAGCGTCGGCAATGGGAGGATTGTCGCCGAGGCCTTCCTGAGATCCTTGCGGTCCGACGGCTGCAGTGACCGCCATGGCAAAGGAAAGAAGAGCGAGGATAGTAGCACGCATATTGTTAAGCTTGAAGGATATTTTGAGTAAGAATAGTGGACTCGAAATGTGTTCTGATGTGTTTTATGTTGGTTGAACAGACACTGAGTTTCGTTGAGTGGGAATGATGATGTTTATATAGGCTTCCTATGCTGTCTGAACTACTGTGATGCCTTTTGTTTGTTTCTAGGGAATGTCGATCCCTTATGGGCATTTAATACATCCTGCTTGGATTTCTGCCCCTACATTGCATTGCGATGTGATTGGCATGCCATGTAATGGATGTTCAGGACAAAGTATGCTACATTCCGTGGACTGCTATTTGATTGTATGAATTACTCAAGATTTTGTTTTGTGTTCGACAAATCCTATTATCTATTCTGCATTCTTTGTTCTTCGTTCTACATGTAAATATATCTATGCAACCTAAAGGTCGATCAGAATACGTAGAATCAAGGAGGTAAATCAAATCCTACGTTGCACAATATAGGGAATGAAACATTCTTTTAACATACTAGAGAAACAGTGATTAGAAGAACGTTCAAGGTAACATTTGGTCTTTCTTCGGTCGCTGTAGCGAAACATAAATAGATGTGTGATCCCCCTCGTTTTTCTTTCTTTGCATCAGAACACTTGCAAATCATACTTTTCATACAAAGTCAAAAACAAAAAAAAAAAAAAACTCAAAAACCCACTCTTTATTACTACCCCTCACTATACCATCAAAATGAAGTTTGAGATTGTATCCGTCGTTGCTTTTGCCCTTTCTGTGGCTGCTTTCCCTCCTTCCCCTGGCAAAGCTCAGGGAAGCCTTTCTATCACCGAAGCCAAGGCCAAATGCCCTGGTGGTGAGATCGCATGTTGCCAGAACTACGAAGACATCGAAGGCGATGGTGTCCTCGGCAACTTGTTGGCCAAGGGTCTATTGAACAACCTTCTCGGTGTTGGTGACTCTGCCTGCGCCAAGACTACCCTCATTGACAACCTCAACATTCTTGGTATGCCAGTCCATGATAGTAGTATGATCTTTTACTAACTGTACGCAGGCTTTACAACAGAAGACGATAACGGCGTTACATGTGTCAGCACTACTGCTTGCTGCAGTGGAGATAGCGTAAGTCCCTTGGTATCTGTCGTCTATGCAAGCTTTCACTAATTGTTCGAAGTGTGTTGCTATCTAAGCACTGTGTCAACGACACTAGGTCAAAAGTGACACCATTGAGGTGTTTTCCCGCTTTTGGCTATGTATCAACTTCCAATGTCCTGTTTTTCACTTCAATTCTTTGAACAAGGGGTATCTGGCCTTCAAAATTCAATTGTATTGGCAAAATTCGGTTAATTAGTGTTGTCGATCTCTGGTACGGATCTCCCTAGGTAGAATTCAATAAAAAATTTGTCGTATGCAATTATTTCTTTTGGATTCAGAGTATCACATCAGATGGGAATAAATGCCAGCAATTTTGCTATTAGCTGCCTGCATACCCTATCGGATTCGCATTGCCGTTTGTCATTTCAGTCAGAGGATGTCCAAACTAAATACAAGTCATTGTCATTGCAAAGTCATGTGGCTGTCTTGAAAATGTTTCCTTAAGAGAAGTGATAGGTGGGTGAGGTGAGATACGATCATTGCATTACCGACATCGAGCACCTCAAGGGTGAGGGCTAAGAGCCAACGAATGCTAGGAAAACTATCCCGCACATTGAGTTGCAGGGTCAGGGTTTCAACAAAGGCACAAGAGTTGTCTAGGAACCCTGTATTTAGAATTTTATTAGTCGACAATGTAACTACTCTTAAATTTCCCTAATAACAAACGTCAACTGATTCAGGTTTAACCATCATAATGTTTCTGCTCTTTGCTCTTTCAAGTCCTCTCTCAAAGAGTCGAGAAAACCTCAATGCTCGTCCTAAACACATCCGTCGTCGAACTAACCAACAAATTATCGCTGCAACGTGAGCCAAGACCTGCATTCCCGATCCACGCCGGCTCCCAGTGAAAAAGTCCAAGACCATTTGTAGTCTCAGCCGGAACATCAGCCACTTCAGTCAAAAACGCCGTCTGGCCAGCCGCCGAGAATGGGATATTCGTGAGATCAGACGGGAATGCGTATTCGGGGTCCGGACAAGAATACGGCCAGTTTGTCTCTGCAACTATCAATCCCTTTCCGTAGGTAGAGGCCATGTCGGCCAAGGTCGACTTCAAGGATGACAGCAGAGCCTCATCGCTGTAGAATGGATAGTAGCTCACGCCCATCAGGTCAAAGTCCGTTGTTAGCAGCGGGCCCTCAGCCAACACGGTGTCGTAAAAGTATGACTGCAAATCCTAATCCCAGCCATTTTGAAGGTGAATTAGAATCTGGGGTTGAGTTTCGAGATCGGAATCCTTGATCCCCCAGGCAGCCGAGTGTAGGAGCGAGGCGATATTATAATAGTTATCCACCTCCCCGAGCGGCCATAAAAGACCAGCACCAATCTCATTGCCGATCGAGACGATCTCCAGAGGAATTGAAGCTGCAGCAAAGGCATTGGACACTTCCAACGTATAATTGTATAGCTGCCAAGTGAGCGTGCCAATGTCAGTGGTCGACCAGCCGGAAGGAGTCGTCTTAACGAATACAACTTTTGATTAGCGTGTGGATCTTCCTCAAGTCTTTTCTTTTTTTTTTCGAAATCAAACAAACCTGCTCACTTGGATCCGCCCATGTATCACTAAAATGCATATCGAGATAGATCAGCATGCCTGCATCGACCATACTTGCTGCAGGTTTCAGATTATAGTCTAGACCGTATATGCCATCACTGGGATCTACCCATAGTCGTTGTCGGACAGCATTCACACCATTATCGGCTAGAATGGTTTCAAGCGTAGCATCGTCTCCGTTCACATTTTTGTATGATATACCGTCATCCACTTCCACTGTCAGGGAGGATATGTCTGCGCCACGATACTGAAGAAGAGCCGAGGCGAGAGGCAATATGAAGAGAGCCAGAGGCGCCGGCAAGAGAGTTGAGGATCGCATGTTTCAAATTGTATATCAACGAAAATGATATTTCGGTCGTTTTTGCAGGCGCACTTTACGTATTCAACCGGTTTCTCTCAACCACAGGCCACGGCTGCTCAAGGTTTGTTCGAATTTCCCGATACGGATGTGAGTTTCCGAAAGTAGCAATTTTGACACACAACGACTTTCGAGTAGATTTCAGACTCTTTCTCTAATGACAAATAAGTGACTATTGTATAAGATTAAATCCAAGTTGAGGATGGAGGACTTATGTAAATAAGGGAGCCGGGTGATGGATCTATTCATATATTTTGGATTTCAAGACTCTTTGACTTCCGCCAAATCTAATTTGCATTCAATCGGCATTGGTGGAAATACTTCACATACTCTAACTGCCTCCGGGGGCGCAACATGACTATGAAACAACCGGTTGCCCAGGCCCGGGACACCATGAAGAAGACCTCTGCGGTCAATTGGCTGCGGGGTTGAAGGGCATTATTACTCCGTAAGCTGCTTGAAAGGAATTGCTGAAATTCCACCTGAAATGTATGAACGTAACTCGCTAGCTGGTCGTCGGGGAATTGTCGGCAAGAACGAGCTGGGCATTCTGCAAGTTAGGGTTTCCCACCATATATGGCCTACTTATTTTTTTCACCGTCTGTATAAATGCCTGGAAAAACAAAACGTAAGCCAACTTCCACCAGTCTTGCTCAGCAGAGACAGCGCGGAATTTTTAATTATCATTAAAATAGAGGATAACTATGCTTCGTCTAGATAAACATTCACCCTTCCCTCCCATCACATGTCTATTATAAACTTTTCGCCTGCAGACTGAAACGTTATCATACAATTGCATGACCAGTATGCTGCGCACGACGACCTGTTCCCACACCATCGATGCCAAGTTCCTGATCCTTACCGAGCCAAGGCTTCACAGCCTCGCCATATTGGCCCTCGGCAACAAAGTATATGAATAGACCGATAACGATCAAGACAAAAGCAATCGGGTACAAGAACTGCACATAGTAGTGGAAAACCTTGAGACCGATGAGCAAGCCCCAGAAATTCATGGTCAACAGTGAAATGTTGAAGAACGTCGCAGACGACATTCGCAGCAAAATGGGGGCTAGCGTATAGAAGATGAAGAGGACAATGGTGTAGCCGGCAATATAGCCACCGACTTGTCCGTCCCAGGTCGAGCCCTTGAAAGAGTTCCGGTCGAAGATGCCGCACTGCACACCGTTGATGATCATACCCCAGAAGCCCATCTGGCCAATGACTTCATACATGGGGCGCTTGGAGACCATGTATTCCTCAAACAGATTGCTAAACGCGTAGATAGTGCTGGCCAACAGAGCGAACAAATCGCCTTTCAACTGATCCGCAGCAGGGTAGTTGGCGCCGCGGAGATAGTCGGAGTAGATAAGAAGACCGAGTCCAACGCAAGCAATGAAGACACCAATGTACTGCGTAATGTGGTACCGAACGCGCAGGAAGATGACGGAAATGATGACAATACAGATGATAGTCCAGAAACTGAACAGCTCAGCGCTCAATAGCGATGTGTACCGGTAAGCCAGCACCATGAAATAATTCCCCTCAACATCCAAGAACGACAGAATAAAGTACCTCCAGCAGTCTTTGTAGAGGAGCCGGAGCCATTTCTTAAAACCGTATTTGTAAATCGTGATACTGGTATAGACTAGATTGAGCAGAATGTAGTTGAAAAGCGTCTGGAAAGCGGGGATACTGGTGCCTGCGTCGGAGAGAAGACTTGAAAAAGTGGACGAACTGATATCGGCCAAAGCGATGATTTGACTGGAAAGAATGCGCTTATTAGTGATCTGTTATTTCTGCAATCTGCGCTATAAGAGGCTTTTTACTAACCCTAGAACCAAGAGAATCCAGAAGTCGCGCGTCTTCACGTAAGCGAATAGTCGCGCGAATCGTCCCTGCTGCTGGCCCTGCTCTTGATCCTGCTGTTCCTGTCCGTGGTCGCTACTTTCTGTTGAATTAGTCACCGTATGCACCTGCTGGGATTTCTCTTCCAAAGGGACCTCTGGGAGAGTCGATTGAGGCTGCGATTCGGTGACCACGGCGGTCTTTTCAATTTCGTGAAGCTCGGACATGGCGAAAGCAATGGGATTAGAAGAATAGGAATAAATGTCTATATATAAGAAGGGCACGTAAACCGGGAGCTTTTCGCCAGCAAAAGTGAGCGCAAAGCTCTAAGTCGCTCACTGCTAGAATGTAAGGGCGCAAAAAAAAAAAAGGAAGAAAAGAAAAAAAAAAAAAAAAAAAAAAAAAAAGTCAAGCAGAGCAGGCGGGGTTTATAGATAAACTAAACTTTTTTTCCCAGCTGCCCTCTAAAAGACTGGAATTACCTGAAATACCGCGCAAAATTACGGCTATGGACTAAGTGGAGCCAAAGAGCTCAATCGCGCTCCGTTGATTGGATACCTTGATAAGGTTAGGGCAAAAAGTTCAATTTTCGTATTGGCAATACCTAGATCTAGACTACAACAGATACCTAGCTAGGCATATATCTCTGCTCTGCAGTGGCAGGCATAAAGAACGATGAGAGTGTGGTGCTGAAGTAAATAGCAAAGTACTTCTAAGTTACATGTACCGTACAGAGTCCTCGTGTTAGTCGCAGGCGTTCTTCCACGTGGGAGATGTCAAAGAGTCAAGACGGAGTCCGCCGTAGCGTGCCTGTGCGCCAACCTAGTGAGGCCAATGTAACGGAATGCGCTTCTTGAATTTTCTACACGAACAAGTATCGAGTACGTAAATATTGGATAAGTTCTTCACGAGAAACGCCACTGTGGCGGATATGCTTCTAGCCTTCGCTATCTTAGTCGGTGGCCACAGGCGCGGTATAAGCGTTCGAAAATTTGCCATGTCAAAACTGGCAGCAAGCTCACTTGCACTTGTTCAGTGCACAGCGGAATTCCCCGATCAGGAATTTTCGAGCTTTGATCGAGACTGACCAATCAAATGTTTTAATGTATGGCGCGGCAGCCTTAGGCTGCCAAGCGTCCTCAATGATTCTATGAAAATCAGCCAATGAATCTTTTTTCGTAGTAAGCACTATTTTCAAGTTTTAACTTTACTCCATTTTTAATATCAAAGAAGTATGAGGTTGTTGGGCATACTTCGAAACAACTCCAGAGAACCCCTTTAGAATACTTGAATGATACAATATCTTCGTGTAGCTACATCCATAGATCATAATTATCCCATATACTAGATGAATAAATCAAGCCTCCTTCAAGAAATGCCTCATCCACGCCACAAGTGCATTTTTCCCTCTAACCATCGCCTCCCGTTCCCCAGGTACATGCTCATCCCCACGCACAAGACAAGCATGAACAACCCCCGAGAAATGCTGATAATCAAACACCACACCGAGCTTGAGCAGCGTCTGAAAAGTATGCAGTTTCAACTCCGGCGTATACGCAGGATCCATCTCCGGAGCCAGCAGCTGCACAGGCACTGCCACCTCATCGATATCCTTCTCGGTGAGCAGTGAGGGGTGCCCGGCACTGATACAGTCTACCAGCGGCGTTTGATGCTGGTTGTCGTGATGCTCTTTCGCTCCAAGACGGAAAACAGCCCAGCCGCCGTAGCAGTAACCCACGGCGCCGACTTTCCTATACTGCCGACGCAGGGCACGAGCACACTCGACAATCTCTGGTTCACGTATATCGCGTGAATTTCTCTGCATGAAGCCCTCAAAGTCGAATTGTTCCCATTTCTCTTCAGCAAGGGCCTGAGAATCAATGACTTCTCCACCGAAAAAGTCAGGCACGTAGACCGTTGCACCGACTTCGCGGGCAAAATGGTCGGCAAGGAGACGGTTATTGGCAAAGGTCCTGCCGAACAAGTCGGCGATAAGCAGGATGGCAGCGTTGGGGTTGTCGCCTGTGATGTAGGTGTTGCTGTTGGCGAGTTTGCTGATCCGGCCTGATGGCGTGCCGTGCCATTCGAAACCTTGGATGCAGCATTTAGACAGCGACATGTCTGTAAACCGTACTAAACAGAATAAGCTGGGAAGCAAAAGAAACATTGGGATATTAGCTCAATAAATACGCATGTCTGCCTGCTACATCGTACCTAAGAATTGGGGTCAAATCTAGCGAAACTGCTAGCGTCAATTTACGGTTTACCAATGATAAAGTAGTAGATGGACATGGCCAGATGAAAGGAAAGGCCGCCTAAAGTCTGCGAGATTATGACCCTGAAAGAAAAGTAAATAAATAACTCAATTTATAGTGTTCTTGGTTGGGATTATCTACTAGACATCATGGCCATCCGGTTCAAGCTTCATACCGTCACCTACATAGTTGAGATGTACGACGCTCGGAACTATGACTGTTTATGCTTAGGCCGGTGGTTCACTTGGTTCCAATTTTGCCAGAATGAAATTGTATATGGCATGTGGCTAGGATTATAGGATAGGTCTGTGATTATTAACTAATCATAGTAAATAATGCAGACTCTAAAGAATAAATTTCCTAATTATTCGGGATAGATGGTTCGACTAAGTATATCCTTATACCTAGGTAGCTCTTCAATAGGTGAGACCAACATAACAGAACTTTCTACTCCAAAAATAAATAGGAAATGAATTATACTGTTAAGTATTCAGAGCAATCGACATGATTATTGCCTTGGATCTTCAATAGCAGAGCGTGGGAAGCCGCGCACTGTAGATAAAAAAAAAACGATGACATGTAGTTCATACTGCGAAAACAATCCTCTCTTAGGATTAGAGATGTAGCGATTTGACTTCTACTCACTGCGCAGTTGAGAAACCTAGCTGGACGCTAATAAGAAGACTGTAGGATAGACCCCCCCTGCTTTGTAGAGTCGGGTATGTCCCGATCAATAATAGATGTCGAAGATGGCGTCACTTTTCCTCGGTGGGGTAAACATGTCTTTTGGCGACAAATTCACCAGTTTCTTGGATTAATTCAACTGTCCAGTGTTCGCCTTTGGGGTCAGGATGTCTCGAGTCGTTGTGCTTCGCACCCCTAATACAAGTGAGCTTCGTTGGTCTTTCATAAACATGTAACGAGTGCTCACTTCACAATTGCTTCTGTGACTCCTCGTCTTTCCATGCTTTCTTTGTTATTGTCGTAGAGATTCACACAGTGCATCAGGTGTTTATATTACGGGCTCAGACGGAAACAATTCGATAGTGACCGGTTCAAATGATGGGCACCGTCCTGGCGGCCATCATAGTAGGCTAAGCTGCAAGAGCAAACACACGCTTATGCAAGTCTTCCCATTTAACACACCAAGGAGATGAGCACCATGTTCGATTTCTGATAAGCAGACCACCTATATATTACCGAATCTAAGCGATCAAGTGTATCTGGATCCGAAGCGCTTGTACTTTCGTTCAAGAGCAATGTTTTATAGTAACCTGGCTATATATGACGGTAGCATTTTTCAGGTAATGTATAGTATGAGGCCATAACTAGAGCGTGGACAAGTTGTGGACATACTCTGATTTCAATGGCGGAAGTAGAATACTGACATACTAAAACGCTCAGCACCACGCCGGTATCCTCGAGCTTACCAGAATGCGATTGCTTATTGAATGTGACTGATTGAAAAATGCTGAATTACTGCTTATTTGCTTGCACTAAATTTTTCTACTAAATCGAGCACCTCTTTCGCTTTTTCCTCCGTAGCATAGTGTCCGGCATTTGGAAGCCAGATCCCAGTCGGTGCCCAGTCAACGGTGAATTTGGGATGGATAGTCTGGCTAAGTATGTCCTTATAGCTCTTCAGCAATGGGTCATCATCTCCGAAAACAACCAGCACGCGCGTAGGATCCTTCTCGACTGCACCGCCGTTATCACCTGTCGCCCAGAATGGCCTCACGCTGTTGTCTCTTTCGGCCAAACGAGCCTGTGCGTTCACGCTACTGAAGTGGACAGGTCCACATAGTCCTTCCAAGAGTTTCCATAACTGTGTATGCCTAGCATGTAGGAGGATAAACCGAGGCAGTCCCGGAACCATATGCCCAAAGCGAAAGACGCTTGCCTTAGTTGATACCGGCAGTCCGCTGTAGGGTGCAGAATAGCCATCGATCTCCTCTTGAGAAAGATGCGGAGACATGTATCTCATGACACCGGCCTCTGGTAGATAGCCGCCCATGATTCCAGTCGACAAGAACCAGATGATATATAAGAGTCTATAATGCAGTTCCATCTCAGTCGACCGAGGTGGCAGAAAAGAATTCAGCAAGAATATCCGGTGACAGGAAGAGGGAGGTAGATGGGGAAACGTGCAAAGTGCAATGCATCTGCTTGATACTGCAGTTAGATTTTATTGGAAGAGACATAGTTCTGGCCCCCAGAAAAAAAAAAGACATACCCGCCCCAGTCATGAGCGACAAGAATAGCATCCTCAAGACCAGTAACTTCAAAAAACTGGACCAAAGTCCTCATATGCAGCTCAAAGGTAATCGCAGTCCGCCGAGTCACTTTATCGCTGCGGCCATGGCCGATCCAATCTAGAGCATATACCTCATGCCCGCGCTGGGTCAGTTGGGGTAAAATCTGAAGCCGGATTAATTCATTGTCCATGGATCTGGAAAGCATAGTTATTGTACTTCAAACCAGACATACGTTTCTCCAAATGAAACTCCAGCTCGGATTGCCATGTAAGAACACAATTGGCCTTTTCAGCGTATTCTCTCCCGGAGAATCGTGGCTTTTACGTTGGAGGTGTACGTAACGAGCTGTTGCTCCGCATACTGATAGATCTTTGACTGCTGTACTGAAGGGCTGGTCGTGCATCCACCCTTTCCCTTCTCTCGAGATGGGATAAACGGATTCCTTAGGGAAGCGATAATGACCGTCCAGCTGGAGGTTGGCCATCGACTGCTCGCTCTTTCGGTACTCTTCTGTATTCTTTATGAGTGCGCTACGCGCAGATGAAGTGAATAGCCATGGAAGATTCAGGACTAGTGTGGGAAGAATAGTCCAAATCGTCTTGATCACATAGACAGGAAGTAGATAAGCGACTAGGATGAGCCGGCAAACGGTGAAAGACAACAGATATCTGCTGAAGCGCCCATACAATTCTCCGAATACGCCCACCAGCACCTCGAGCACGCCTAAGAAAGGCATTTGTATGTTTCAAACGGATGTTTTAGGATTTTCAACTAGATTGCCGCTTTACATTGACAAATTTATTGGCTTCTAATCTAGGAGAGCATACTGTATGGTTATTTTGCTTCGTATCTATAGAGATGTGACGTCGTGACGAGAGGAGATAACAATACATATGTACAGGTTTCAATCTCTTATCAGGATCCGCCATTGGACCGACCATTTAGTACAGTGGACCGGCCCTTTTTTTGTAATGATGACGCCGACACTTGCTGATACTGGGATACATTTTTGTGCCAAGTTTTGGTGTTTTGATGTTGCAGTTATAAACTGTAGGCATTCCGCGTTGCTTAAATCCTAAATTAAATTGTTACATGTACATACATAACATGTAACTACTACATACTGTATAGAAGCGAACCGGAGTTATTTCCACATTCCAGCCGAACTGCCGGAATGTCTCTTCTAAATACGCTCGTCAATTTGTTCTACCAAATCGTTCAGACACTCCTAATTCAACTCTTCTCGCCAAACCCTCCAGAGCCCACGCAGCGTCTTCCAGGACCTCGTGTTGCCGTCATTGGAACCGGAATCACCGGTGTGTCTTCGGCCGCGCACTGCCTCGGACATGGCTACGAAGTTAAGCTCTTCGAAGCCGGAGACCGGCAGCATTTAGGGGGAATATGGAGTGTAAGAAGTCTTGCCGTGAATCAATAAGCCAATTGCTAATGTGCCTGCAGCAAACGAACAATACATCCAGTTTGCAGATCCACAGTGTCATGTATCGCTTTCACCCTTCAATTCGCTTCCGCAAGGGGTATCCGGATAGACAAGAGATTCTCAAGGAGATTACCGAGCTTTGGGAACACTACAAACTCAATGAGCGGACCACATTTGGCGTACGGGTCGAGAAGGTCTGGCGAGACGAGAAAACCGGGAAATGGATTATTCAAGATCCTTCATACGGGACCTTTGATGGTGTCATTGCAGCAGTGGGCACTTGCGGAGACCCTAAAGTACCACATATTTCGGGCCAGGACAAATTCAGCGGGAAGATCTGTCACTCTTCCAAGTTGACAGACGAAAATTTGAAAGGAAAGTGTGTCATGGTGATAGGTGGCGGAGCAAGTGCCCTGGAGGCCGTGGAAGATGCTGTGCACCAGGAAGCTCGCCATATCGTGATACTATCGCGAGTAAGTGTCTATCTATCCATAGCAGAGTCATGAGCAGTACGTAAATTCTAACCCGATTGTTCAGTCAACCAAGTGGATTATCCCTCGAAATCCAGTCATTGATGGGCTGCTGGCATTGAATCCTTTTGGCAAAGAAACCAGCTTCTCGTGGCTACCAGAGGCACTGCTTAGGAAATTATTCTATCGCGACATGGAGGATCTAGCACCAGCCAAAGCAGGGTTATACACCCAAACACCCCTGGTAAATGACGATGTGCTTCGTCAACTTCGCGCTGGACGCGTGTCATGGCTGCGAGGCGATATCAAAGAATTCAAAGAAAACGGAATCCTCTTTAACCACCGCGAGAAAGGCGTACCCAAGGGCGGCGCTGGCCGTGAGGAGCTAATACGTGGTGATGTCTGCGTGATGGCAACGGGGTTTCATCGACCAAGTCTGGCGTTCTTGCCAGACGAGTGCTTTAAGGCTCCATATAGCCCACCCAACTGGTTCCTCCAGACATTCCCTGTAGGACATCCGGATATGTGTGCCACAAACTCGACGTATGTCAATGCTATTGGCACTGTTGGGAATGTCCACATTGGTCTATATACTCGTCTGCTTCTGATGTACATTGCAGACCCAAGTACTAAACCAACTGCTGCATGGATGCGTGTGTGGGTTGACTGGACGCGCATGTGGAAATGGAGAGCCCCCGGAGGAGCTCTTGAGTTTTTCACATACAGCGAGCTGATCTTGTGGGTGGTTCTCAGTTTGGTCTTTAACCCCTGGCGCTGGCGCTGGATTCCATTTGTGCTTTTTGGCTGGGGACGCATTCGATCTGTCAAACATTCAAGGACCACAACCTCAACAGCTTCCAAGACGCATGTTGAAGAGGGACATGGCGCAGAAACGAAACAGGAGAATCACGACGAAACGAAGGACAGCAAGGAAGACGGAGTAACCCGTCAGGTCAATAATGGTAGCGGAACGCCGAGCTATGCATCAGCAGTTGCCTCCGGGAGCTCGAATGTCAAATTTCACAACAAGCCTATGAGAAGAGAGGCCCGCGATGTTCCTTCTAGCGATGTGCAGCCGGATCAGACTGAGCATGTCAAGGTCAAAACGGTGCCTAATGACGACGCCGCCAAAGCAGCTGTGGCTGCTTAGAAGTATAAAGAGCAGATGCCACATAAAGGAAGCCATAAATGGATAGATATTAGTGTAGATTGGCAATATAAGAAAACTCGATCACAGGATTCCAGTATTACGTACCTTCAATTGATCAACTGATTAGAATAAAACAACGATACAGCTACCGTAAAGAGCATCAATTCGTTGTTTTCAACATCTATTCCACTGTTCGTAGCATTTTTCACTCTCTAATTTATCTACTAGCTTTTTCTCCAGCCACCTGGTAAGAGCTAGATAATCACTACAAAACAAGCAATATCAACCTTGATTTAACTCATGATGTTATGCTTGCGTCTTCCTTCTGCAATTTGTGGGGCTTCTTCTATGGTGTATATATATATATATAAGGTATCCCGAATCCCTATTACTACGACCACCAGTCCATCCAACTGTAATAGCATTAGTTATGGCTCAATCAACTAGCACGTTAGGCTTTGACACAGCCGTCACCAAGTCGACTGTGACGCAGAATCGACCGCCCGCTGTCGATGCCGACACTCACCTAGACTGCCCGTCAGTTGCACGCGCAAACCAAGCAGCGACTCGGGAAAACCCAAGTGGCTCCGAGAATTATGCGAACAAATACAAGGACTATGTGTGTATTTCTATTCTCCCCCCCCCCCCGCTCTCCGTCCTGACATTCATGATTTAACGAATTCTTTCTCTTTCAAGACTGTTTTACAGCAGCATGTGCTGTTCTGGGACCGAGACAACGACGGCACCATAACACCTCTAGATACATATATTGGCTTCCGAGACTTGGGCTTCAATATAATTTTCTCTATACTGGCTGTTCTTATAATAAACATCAGCTTCTCGTATCCGACCAGACTGGCTTATTCCTGGGTACCGGATCCGTTGTTCCGAGTCTACCTGCCCAGCATCCACAAGGCTAAGGTATATACTATCCTGTCTGGCTTGCTTGCTTTTCAGTTTCACTCACTCTTTTTCTCCTTGCCACTGACAATAATTTACAGCACGGCTCAGACAGCGCCGTCATAGACAACGAAGGACGTTTCGTGCCCCAGGCATTCGAGAACCTATTTACAAAGTACAGCCGGAACGGCGAGGAGGATACATTGAGTCTTGCTGATATCTTCCGATTGATGAAAGGCCACAGAGTAGCCGCCGATCCATTCGGGGTAAGTCCATATACATGATCCCGTCTCTTTTCTTAAGACCTGTCTCAAAGTGAGAGTCTGACTGGGGCATCATGCACGTAGTGGGGAGCAGCCTTTTTCGAATGGGGAACAACTTGGCTATTGATTCAGAGAAATGGAAAGGTTCAAAAGGAGGATCTGAGGCAGGTATATGATGTAAGTGTTACTATACTTTTACTTGTTTGCATACTTTAAGAAAAACTGACTTCCTATCTAGGGTTCTATCTTTTGGAATATACGCGAGAAACGTCGCAGGCCAGAGGGTTGGAATCAAGGATACGGCCTTGGTGGTGACGGTTTTGTTGGACCAGTCAAAGTAATCTGAGAAATTGGGCTTCAGTTTGGAGAGTATCATGATAATGAGATCCCCGCACAGTACCATGAAGGGAGATGTTCGTATCTGTCCTGAAAACGAGCTGTAGCGTGGTATCTAGATTTGACTTTGGTGAGAACAAACAATAATTAACTTGTGGTACACTAGTGAAGAAACTCTTTAAGACATTAGGTACAAGCAGAGTTAATCAATCCTCAATAGCTGAGAGGTGTCATCTTCACTTAATAAGTAGATGGGCCCTAGTAGACGTCATTTTCACGCCAACATCAAACCGGTCAAGAAGTAGACTGGTATAAGAATATAGATATATATTGAAACAGGCTAAATGCAGGCGTAACCCTCGCCTTCTCTGCAGACATATATGCTTTGAATCCATTCCGACTTCGCCAATAAGCACATAGTAGGTCTATTTTTCCAATTAAGGGAAAGCATGGCATAAATTGTTTCGCGACAAGACTCCTGGAAAGGCATATTAGATATAAACATAAGGAAAAATAGAAAATAAAGTGATCACCTTACCCCCTCCAGCATTTCAATAGGCTCCCATGTCCCATATTCCCGTCTACTCCTCGCATAATCCTCAAAATACTTGTCTCGATCGACAGCCGCAAAACGCCACATATGCTTCCCTGTCCGCATGTCCATGTACACGACTCCAGCAGACCAGACATCGGCGGCTCTAAGATCAAAAGGATGCGACGACATAGAATCCAAGGCGCTGCTATATTGCTCGGGGCTAATATACGGGAACGAACCGCATAGACCAGAGGATAACCGGACACTTTTTTCCCATGGAAGTCGCACGCATTCCGAGTTTCCAAAGTCTGCAATTTTCAAGCATCCTCTGCAAGTGAGCAGCAGGTTATCCGGTTTGATGTCTCTATGCGCGACGCCTGTTGCATGCAGATAATTTAGACCGCGGACGAGCTGCTTAAAGTAGCAATTTGCCTCTGACGCACAAAGTTTCCCCTGCGACCTCACGCGCGTATACACATCACCTCCAGAACAGTATTCCATGACCTGACAGAAATTGCCGTCGGTATCCTGAATCAAATCCAAAGTCTGAATGACATTGACATGATGAAGACTTGACGAAATGCAGAATTCTGCCCCAACACGTTTCAAGTGTTTCTTGACAGAGTCCCTCTCTCGCCGACAAAACTTTTTCACCGCAAAGAGCTGGCCATCTGTCGGAGGATCGACGGAGTGAGGGCGAAATGCGACAGTGACAACCCCTGAAGAGCCCCTGCCAATCTGTTCTTTGCTTGTGCCGTACTGATTGATGAGCGACGTGTGTGAGGTGGTTTGGTGAGTTGATGCCAGAGGACTACCAAGGACTGGCGATGGTGACTTCGACGACCTAGGTGACACAGGCTGGATGATGTCTTGCTTATTCCCGCTGTTATCGCTGCTGCTATTCTGTCTTTTGATGAGTGTCGCATTTTCTCTTAGTACTTGAAGTTTGTCCTGCAGAAGCTCAAGCAAGCCATCCTGCCGACGGCCGTCGTAGAGACGATGTGTATGCGCTCCGTTGTCGCATAGGAAGAATTTCGTGTCTTTCCGTTGCAAGCCCGGTTTCACTCGGTCTAGACAGTGGCCTTGATCCGTACCCATTCTTTTGGAGACAGCGCTTATTTTTCAAACGAACTTGAGAAGTTTGAGAGAGAATGGAGAGGATCGCAAACTTCAGAGGGAAACGGTAGGAACTTATGCTAACACCTGAGGCATCCCTCTGGGGCTTTATACCTGAGTATACATCAATACGCACGATGACTTGAGGGAATTGTAATGGGAGTTACCATCCAGATGTGCCGGCGGCCTATATGTTAAGAGTCGGAAGTCTCACTATATTCATCTAGTATGAGGCCTTTTTCCCGGCCTTTGCAATATTTTCAAACTACTGCATAGATGACATCAGTTCTCTGTGTCTAGTATTTCACCAGGTAGGTAAGTAACTAAGTATGTAAGTAACGCGGTATCGTGGCTACCTTGGTTCTGGATAGACTATAAAGAGGGGGAAGAAATGAACGGCGAGGGAAAATGCCTCATACTATGGTCGCACAATCACATGCAAAGTAGAAAAGGAAAATGAATGAGTGAATTAACCAAAAAAAGGAAAAGAAAGACCTTCAATTAGAAAAGAATCTTAAATTAAGGGGCCAGTGTCTTCTCTATATACCGGCTATTCGCATGACTCTATAGCCCTAACAGATTCTCCCGAGAATCTGCCAGTGCCCAACTCTCCCACTGCGAGAAAGCTGCCAAGATAAATTCTTGTGGTTCAGTGCGTATATACACGTAGAAAGAAGACCAATAAAAAATAAACACAGGAAAAAGCCGAGAAGAAAACATCGTCGCGTCATTCATTCCAGAAGAAAGGTCGACCAATCTTCAGGAAGAGCATCCACGTCTTCGAATCCGATGTACATCGAGTCCGGCACAAAGGACGTGGACGTAGCAAACATCAGATCGTCGGAAAACGAGTAGGCGGAGGAAGAGGCCTGCAGAAGAGGTTCCTCCATTATCGGGAGCGTCACGTAGGGGTAGCCCATGGACGACGAGTCGTCAAGCTGAGTAGGAAGAGTCGGATTGGGGATGAAGGTGCCGGCTGGTTGAGTGACAGCCGGAGCAAGAGACGGGTCGATTGTTGTTGGGGCTGCCGCAGCAGCAGCAGCAGCAGCAGCAGCAGCATCCAGAGGCGACGATGGCTGCTGGGATTGGCTGGTAGGCTGAGTAGCAGGAAATGGCTCACTTGATAACGGGAGTGGTGCAGGATGTGGTGCAATGCGTGCGAACGAGGAGGGCCGGAGTCGTCGTCGAGCGGCGGCGGACTTCTACAGGGCGAGTTAGCGACACTCAACTGCTGCCTTCTTGGATATCAAGCCACTGTGTTGCCGTTTTCTCAATACTTTTCCAGAGGATTTGCTATCGCTCTCACCATCAGACGACTTTTTGTTGTCGCGGTTGAGCTTGCTATGCTCTTCTCTTTCTTTGCACGGGCCGCGACAGATGCAGCACACGGAAAACGGCCGGCCCTTTTTGTTGATTCGGATCAATGGTCGATCTGCCAATTGGTTAGTTTTCTGTTGTGTTGTTGTCGTTGTGTGCTGTCGGCCGGACAAACCATGATGTCGACAGCTTGACACGCGGTGGCCTCGCACGCAAGCTTCACAAGCCCACTTCTCACCGTCGATGAGCATTCTCCTGGTGTTAGTAAACAAGGAACATGGCGACTATGGCTAGATACAGGGTTGAAGCAGAAAGAAAGAAAGAATTGCAAAGCGAAGGGAAGAATGGGCGAGGGACGAGTGCTTGTGTGCAGCTTTAAATGAGCTCCACCATACAGTGAGCAATCGCAAATCTTAGCACTCTTAGATGCTGCTGACAGCCGTGCTGTGTGAAGTTTTCCGTTGCATCAGTGGATGTGTGTGGCTGGGGAAAATCCCTCATACATCTGAAATTCCCATCGTTTGCTAAGCTTTTCGTCCGTCTGCGCAGCCGCGGTGGGTTGCCCAATTAGGGTAAAGAAATGGCTCACCGTTCCTCTCGCGGGGCATATCGCCTGGTGTTATTGACAACGGCCCTGACTGGCATGCTTACACGAATGGGCCATCTTGAAGTCCAGCTCGGGGCGCTGTGTGGCTGTGCACGCGCATCCCCGGAGATCGTGAGGTACCAGCTTGGCAACAGACGGGATGCGGTGTGACCTAGTAACTGTTGATATCATGGTATATTATTTTGATAGAATACACCTATAGAGATAGATAGGCACGCATCACTTCGCCAACCCGGCCTGGATCTCCGCCGCGGCCTTCATCGGCTTATCGTTGTTCTCTCCCACGTCCAGCGTCACCAAAAACCGGCTAACCAAGTTGTACGCGCCAATGCAGGCCGTCAGCTCGACCACCTCCCTCTCGCTGAACCGGCTCTTGATCGCGCCAAACACCGCATCGTCAACCCGCACATTCAGCGTCACAGCATCCGTGAAGAGCAGCGTCTCCCACTGCGCGTCGGTCAAGCTACTCCCCGCTGGCCTCTGCGTATCCGCCACTGCCCCCTCGGATGTGAACGTCGACGCCGGGATGTGCATCACCTCGTCCAATTGCGCGACCGCGACTCCGGCTTTCAGGGCCAGAGGCGCGTGTGCGTTCCATTCGTAGACCGCGCCGTTGAGGACGGCGATGCGACAGACGGATAGTTCGAGGATGGCCTGGGACACGGTGGTTTTGGTGCGGATAGCCCCGACAAAGGCGTTGTAGCCGTCCGCGACCTGCGGCGAATGGAGGAGGGCGAGATCGAGCGGAATCAGCGGCCGTGGGCGACGTCGAGCAGCGATGCGCTCGTAGATCTCGGCGGTGTTTTTCTGCTCCGCTTCGGATAGAGGCGTGCCATCCGGGTTGGTGGTGGGCGCTGTAGAGGGCGCGTAATTGATGCGCATGGTGCGACGAGTGTTGGTCTGGAGGTTGGCGTAGTGACGGGGTGCTCGTAGGATTGCGCGAGATGGTCCGGTGAGTCTGAGAATGAGTCCAATACTTACTGGCTGAGGGCGTTAGAAAGAGAATAGCTGATGGCATACGTACTTGTTCATCCACGCGGCTCCCTGATTGTCGTTCTGCCGTATATATGTATGGATATATATTTCTCTCTCTGTCTCTCGATCAAGAACTAATCGGTCAGTCAATAATTGTGTCAACAGTAGACGACGATGGTCTTGTGAGGCCGGAGTAAATGCCGGCGTCGGCTTAGCCTTTTGCCGGAACACGGGACAGCTAGCCGACGCTTTTTATGAAAGACGTAAAAAAGTTCAAGCACCCTGATGAAATAACAGATGCGATATCTAGAGTAGATAATCACTAGATTGGCCAATCTATAGACTTGACTATATATCATTGTACATAGAACTAGATATACACACGTAGGGTAATACAATTCTCTCTCGCAGCGCAGCCGGCACTGTCTTTCCCCGCGGTGGGGCATATCGGCTACTGTTGTCGGATGTCGTCAGTTTCCAAGTATAAAGCCAATAAGATCAATAAAATAGAAATATAGCCTCAGTCAGTCTGCAAAAACAACCCAATTCCTCTAATGCGACCGAGTCCACGCAGCAAAATGATCCATCATCTTATGATCGGCACCTGGACCCCGCCAGGAAGAATCTACACCGTCGCATTTGACGACCAGGAACTGACCTTGACATTGGTCAAGAAGACCATGATCCCCGAAGATGAGCCCATCTCATGGATGACATTTGATGTAAGGCAAGTTCGGTACCAGTTCTACGGGGTATAATGCTAAGACAAGTAACAGCATGCTAAGAAAAACATCTACGGCGCCGCCATGAAGAAGTGGTCCAGCTTCTCTGTGCACAGTCCGACAGACATCGTGCACGAAGCGTCGCATCCAATGGGAGGGCATCGTGAGCCACTTCCTATTCTGCTGCTGTTACTGTTTCTGATTCTTTGAACCAGCTCTGGCCCAATCCACCGACACAAACACACGAGCAATCTTCGTGCTCGCAGGCCACAAACCCCCATACAACGTCTATGGCAATCCATTTTACAAATACGCGGGCTTCGGAAACGTGTTTTCCGTCACTGACACCGGCAAACTCGATAAAAACGTGCAGAATTTTGAAATAGACCCTCACTCCGGCATCCACGGCATGGTCTTCGACCCAACCGAGACCTACCTCTACTCGGCGGACATGGGCGCCAACAAGATATGGACACACAAGAAGGACCCGGAAACCGGATTATTGGCATTAGTCGATAGCATCGATGCCCCCGGACCGGGCGATCATCCTCGCTGGGTCGCCATCCACCCTAGCGGACACTACCTGTACGCCCTCATGGAAGCCGGGAATCGATTGGCAGTGTATGTAATTGACGAAAAACGGCACGTCCCCGTCTTCACACGCATGATATACCCCTTGATTCCCCCCGGACTGCCCCCGCGCAACAAGTACCGATCTGATGTCGTCTTCACCACCAAGAGCGGGAAATACCTCTTTGCTACCGCACGATCCAACCATAACGATGTCCATGGTTATATCAGTGGATTCAGACTCGGTCCCGAGGGCAACATTGAGAAACAGTTATTCATCAACCCGACATCGACGAGCGGGGGACACTCTAATGCCGTTAGTCCGTGTGACTGGAGTGATGAGTGGATAGCGCTGTGCGACGACCAAGATGGGTTTGTCGAGATGTATCGGTTCAAGGATGAATTGCTGGGGCGCGTTGCGAGATGCGATATTCCAGAAAAGGGGTTCGGCATGAATGCGATTTGGTATGACTAGCTATAGAATTCCCTATAATAAGAACGATACGACTGCAAAGTATTGAGATTCGGGGTATCTATTCTGTACATAAATGACTGCTATATGACTACAGCTATTAAACATGGGCAATTGTCTTGCTTTCCATAGCATCAAGCTCACTTTTCGCCGCCGTCCCCAACACCCACAAATCAACAATCAGGCATAACATATACCCAGCAAACAGCAAAACAATAACCCACCCGATCACCGCCGCCATATCAAACGTCTTAAGCCACCAGGTCATAATGGCAAAGAGAATCACAAGCCCTATTTCAAAGACCACAACAACCGTCTTAACAACAAGACTAGCCGACGAGATAGGAATCCGAGGCGCATACAGCTCGAGCGTGAATTTATCGCCCGAATAAATACCCCCGTACTGCGATTGCTGTTGAGCACGGTACTGCCGTAGACAAACCATTGACCAGCCGCAGAGGATGAGACAGCTGATAATATGCGCGGCAATACTGGTAGGCAGGAGTAACTGGTGCGCCTTTCCATATCGCGCCGTGTCAAATATGGTGAGAAGAATGAGATTTGTGGCGCCGATCACGGTGAAGAGGATGCTAAGCAGTGGGATGCCGATGTGCAGGAGTAGCGAGTGTTGTTGTAGAGGCCGGGGTGGTAATGACATGACAGGATTAGTGGAGTATATAGATGGTGATGAATTGCCGCGGTTGAGGCCTTGACTGGTCCATGGCGACGTTCTCACCGGACTCACGTAGAAGAAGTAAATGACGAGGCTTGGGATGTATGTGCTCATTGATACTGCTGAGCAGACGATGAATACGGGTTTGAGATTCTGTGCTCCAATGTCGGAGATGAACCTGTTCCAAGTCAGACTTTTTGCTTTCTTTCTGATGAAAACACGATATAAGAAACTTACGCTATACTCTGTGTCTCTTCCTCAGATACATATCGCGGCTCACCGGAGGTATACCATGTACCGAAAAGTGCTCCAAGCATGGCTATTTTCATCCGCATTCTGTTAGTATAGTTGACAAATGGAGCGCAACCAATGGACGTACCAAGCCATGAAGCAACTGTAATTGTCGGTAGAATAACGGCCCATCGCCTTAGGTGATGAATTGGTTGAGGCATATTAGATCTTCACTTAGGTGCGGCTATTTCGAAACTTGTGGTACTTGATCGTGATGGCAAGCAAGGTAGGTAGAAGAGTAACCCTAACGACGATCGAAAGGGGCCTCTGTCATACATAAATAGTGCCCTCTGTTTCTGACAATGGCATGGCTCATAATAAGCTACTGTCAAGATGCAAGGGGGACGAGAATTGACATGCCTTTCCTAGCTGGGAAATTTCCACGTGTGTGCCGGATTCCAGGATATGGCGAGTTTCACAAAGTATGTATGCAGTCTATATAATGGCCAATAAAATTTAAGGACGAGAATGGGCGCGGTGATTCGTGGCTGGAAATGACTATCTGGAGTGGCTGGAATGTTGAAGCCGCGGCGAGGAATGCAGGGCCCCTAGTCAAGCTATGCTTGCGATATCCAGAGGAATGGACGATAGTATAAACCTTCGGAAATATCCCTGCCACTTGTTTATTGTGAATGACAAATGCTTTGACTTTTTGGAGTTATTGTATGTTAGAAGCAAGTTCTATAGCACATTGAAGACACGGACGTATGTTACCCTTCATTCGTTAGACGTGATATCATCTACTAGCATTTTTCTATAGTATAGAGATGGACACTTCATATAGATTAATTTAAGCCGAGCAATTGTGAATGCGTTACTGTTTCATCAGAATCATCCATCTCTCACGTCCGTTGTGGAGGATCCGGGATCAGCACGCGCATTATGAAGTACGGCGTATGCGTTATGAAGGAAAATATTCCCTAGCTCCGCAGGCTCGTAAATGCTGGTGTAATGCACAGACACCAATCTGCTCTTATACACCTTGGCCAACTCCAGGAATTGCCGTGTATAGTAATCTCGCACTCCTTCCACGGTATGAAGGTCCTCCTTGGCCTCCTCGCCATAGACCTCTGGATAACGACCCTGTGCTATCTTCCGTTGCAGTTTATCCATTTGATGGAATACGATATTAATTGGCACGTTCGCGAACCACACGCTCTTACAAAGGGAGTCGAAAAGCATGAAGCTTTCCTGCATCTTGTTTCCGTACTCATCCTCTGCCAAGCTCTCGTCGTAACCGGAAATGTCGATAAAGAAGAATAATATAGAAACATTCGAAAACGTATGTATCCATTTCTTGCGCTCGGAGCGCCGGCCTCCTACGTCGATAATTTTGACCTCCATGAAGTCCTTGTTATTGCCGGTTTTTTGGTTGTCGAGTCTCATCTCGAAGATACCAGTGGTCTTGACATGGTTCCATAGGGTATCCTCGATGTTAGGTGTATAATCATCCTGCGTGACTCGGTCTATGGCTTCGCTGAAGCTATAATCGTCGTGAATCCGTTAAACTAGCTGCCCGAAAGGGGAACAATGAACAGCCAATAAAACTTACTAAGAACACCTTTGATCTAGTACACTTGCAGGTAGCTTATCCAAAAGTCCACTTGCTTTCACCTCGTTCCATAACGCTTTGAGTTCATTAGGCAATGTGTCTTCTGTCTGAGTCGATCCAGACCGGTATCTGACTATCTGCAATCCCTCGCGAACCTTTTCGCATTGTTTACGTAGCTGGTCTATCTCCGGTGAACGGGATGTATCCACAATGTTCTCCTCGACCATGCTGACGAGTCGTTCAACCACACCCAATCGAGTTGGACTTGGGTATTCGTTGAAGCGGCCAGTGGCCAAATGGATTGCCTTCACAGCAGTAGACTTACCGCTGGCAGAGCAGCCAAGTAAGAGGAGATTAGCCGTTGATGGCTGGGTTGTGCTGATCGTACTCTCTGTTGGCTGAACGCTTGGAGGTGATACGATTCTTCGGCCAAGTCGAGGATAAGCCAGTAGTCTACTGGGCCTCCGTTCGTGGCTTTTACTGCTCAATGCCACATTTGAGGGTGCCTTGGTCTTGGGCTTCTTATTTGCCTCCGAAGCCTGTTCCGAGATTTTGGGCAAAGGAGAATAAGACACGGCCAACGAACTATTTACCATGACTTCAATTCTGTCGCCCTGAGCGGCGCTGGCGGTATCTGATACATAATCATCCTGCGTATTAACCGGTGGAGCTGCCGTTATTATAGTCGACGACTTGTTCTTTCTTTTCAGCAAAATTGACTGCCGCATCGACGACATTGCCACAGTGCGATAGGCCTTTGAGCTGAACAAATCTCGGTCAAAACCGAACTCCGTATCGATAAAGTCACCATCATCTATGGCAGAGCTCTGCCGACTCAGAAATGACTCCCTGTCTCTCTGCAGCAGGAGAGAGGATGTATCGTCTTTGACCTGTTCGAAGACAAGCCGACTTGACTTCCTACGTAAAACGTTGCCTTGTTCCATCAATGATTCACTGAGTATTGGACATGTTCACGTCAGCATCTGGCATTGAACGTTGATCTACCAATAAGCAACCGGAGAAAGGCAACAACAAACCATTGTGTTACGGTAAGAAGCAGGTTCAAAGCATTAATCTGATTGTTCAACATGCCCTGATACTCATTCATATCGCCTTCTTCCCACAAAAACTTCACCTTGCTCCGCACATCACTCAACCCAGATGATTGAGAGTGAGACGACAACTGAAACCGACTCAGTTGCTCATCGAGTACCTTGATGACAGACTCGCAGCAATCAATCGACAACAAGAGATCACAGACTAGCTGCTCATCATCCAAGGCAAAAACCGCTGCGCCGTTTTTCCTAGGTACCTCATCATGGCTAATCTCAATGAGATCCTTAATTTTTTTCAGCGCCGCTTTGAGCGTCGACAGTTGCCCGGCGATTTGCCTGATTTTGAGACCAAAGCGAGAGTATCGCGATGCAAGGTTAAGTAGACTTATAATCGAGTGCGATGTGACATCGATTAAACCAGCGATGGAGCTGGCTAGGGAGATAACCGAGATAGGATCCATATGCGGAGCATGGCCTTCTGAAGGACGGCCTTGAAAGTTGAGATGAAAGTAATTCACCAGAGAGATTGATGATTGATTTCTATAGAATTTTGTTTTTTTTTTTTTTTTTTTTTTTTTCAATAGGAATTCTCAGGTGGCGGAGTATATATGAAGAGCTACGCGAGCTGTGACGGACTGACTGGTGGTGGAATGAGGCTGAATCATGCATGGACAACTCACCAATCAAATCCCATCACCAATGGCCAACGCACGAAGCACTCGCAAGGCATACATGGCAGTATTTTCCGTAGAAATTCCGCGAGAGAAGTTCCTTGCAGGAGAGATTTCCTCGAATGCCCTAGCCCTAACCCCGAAACATGGCAACAATTATTACTGAATTCCCAGTTTGCTAGCAAGCTATGAACATGTCGCTACCGCTGCTTAGGACGTGGCATCCTTCACTGGGGCTAGCGTAGGGTTCCCTGGGTACAATCGCCTATGCTTCCGTGCTCCGGAGCCGGGATACAGTCACTATATTCGATTAGCAGCTTGACCAATGCTAGACGTCCTTTTCTGCAGCCAATTGTAAGAGTTCTGTTATTGATTCAAGGGGCAGTCTCGTTACTTAACAGCCCGTAGCAAGGCTGAAATGTTGCTGTCCCGATATCGATATGGATGAAAATATCGTATACATAGGGCGACGGGTCTGCGGCCCAAAACCGGAGGACAGGGATCTCTCGGGCATCAAATCTAGTTCCGACTGACTATTACATGTAGGTGCAATCGTGCATGGTTCCCCGCAAGAATTCCCTGCTGGTTCTAGCTGGGGTACATCCGATGCCCGGGTCACTGTCCAGATCCATCAACTGTAGGCTTTTTAGTGTATTTACAATGTTCACGCACCCGTGGTGGAAATACGTCTTTCTACCGCTGGGTATTTACCACTAGATAGACCGGTTTGGTTATAGCGAACAAGAAGTTTTCCAAAGAAAACCAGAAACAACTCAATAAGCATCTCCATGAATGGCCAGGCAATATCTTCCTTCTCCCCGTCGAGGATTGCGGGGTTAATCCAGCATTTGCACAACCTTTCAAGTCTATATACCGAATTAGGTAGCCCCGGGTTCTTGTACATATCCTCCCCGCACTGAAGCATGGCGGTCACCAGGCCGGTATCGACCGACTGCTTTAACAGACGACTTGAACATTCGCCTCTCTGCCACAGCATCGGTCTGTCTGTACCTCGGTGGAAGGTTTTCCGAGTGTAGTGTTACTCCGCATGGTGACGTGATGCCCAAGGTGTCTGTTCGTAGTTGAAGACCTTCTCGCTACAGGTCGAATAATAGGAAGCCTTACAACACGTTTGATGCGGGGATGCCATGCATATCTCCTCTTTTATCCTCTGCTTCGGCTCATGGTTGCAGACTAGACAACTAGACGAGGGAAGTCGGTTGTGGTGGTATATGCATTTGCCGGATCATGTACCGAGAGGATTATTCGGTATCTGCATAATCCATATACTTCATGGGCTAGCATCCATATATAATGGCTCAGCTGCCGTTGATCTAATATAATCTAGCAGTCTGAGAAAGACATAGATAGAGACAAGTGACACATTATCAATGATGCTCTGGTCGACAGTTCTCGTGTCCGCTGTGACCTTTGGCGCACATCTGGTGCAAGGCCAATATATAGAGGAGCAAGTGTATCCTTCACGTAAGTATGGATAGTGCCTAAGTACACAAGTACAGCTTGAGAACTAAACTTTGACCTTGACTATAGCCAATGCCACCGGTGCTGGAGGTTGGTATACAGCGTTTCAGAAAGCGTCTACTTCCACAGCGCAACTGAACCTCGCAGAAAAGGCCTTCCTGGTGACTGGTGTTGAAGGACCTTGCGTAGGAAACATTGCCGCCGTTCCACGCATAGGATTCAAGGGTCTCTGTTTACAGGATGGACCTTTAGCCATTCGGCAAGTCAGTTATGCGAGTGTGTTCCCTGCGGGAGTATCTGTGGCAGCGACCTGGGATCGAGATTTACTCTACCACCGCGGTGTTGAGATGGCCGCAGAGTTCAAAGGGAAAGGTGCCAATGTTGCTTTAGGGTATGTCACATCTAGACGTTGCATCACCATTGCCAGAGTGACCTAATCGGGTCAATTATTTTATTTTAGCCCTGTTGCTGGTCCTCTCGGACGATCTGCTCTCGCAGGTAGAAATTGGGAAGGCTTTTCCCCCGACCCGTACCTCACGGGGGTTGCCTTTGCAGAAACGATCAAAGGGATCCAGTCCCAGAAAGTCCAAGGTAAGAGCGTTGATACCATATTTTCCGGTTTCTTCTAAACTCTGCTAGCATGTGGCAAACACTTTATCGGCTACGAGCAAGAAACACAGCGGAATCCGAGTACTTACCGAAATGGAACTATCGAACAAGAAGCCGTATCATCTAACATTGATGACCGCGTCATTCATGAACTCTATTTATGGCCCTTTGCTGAAGGCGTTAAGAGCGGACTATCCTCGATAATGTGCAGCTATAACCGCATCAACGAGACATATGCCTGCCAAAACAGCAAGACTCTCAATGGTCTTCTGAAGGATGAACTCGGTTTCCAAGGCTATGTCGTGTCCGACTGGGCCGGAACCCACTCAGGCGTCTCTTCGGTTTTGTCCGGGTTGGATATGGATATGCCTGGATCTATTGGCTTCGAGAATGCGAGCGTTAGCTCCTATTTCGGGAACAACATCACGGCAATGATCAATAATGGAAGTGTTCCAGAAGCGCGGCTCAATGATATGGTGAGGCGTATCCTTACGCCGTATTACTACCTCCACCAAGATTCTGAGGACTATCCCACTGTCGACCTCGACACTGCGCAGATATCATACGGAATGTTCGGAGGCGAGCTTCCGACGTTCTCGTATCCTTTCAATCTCGGAAACCTTACGAACATCAACCGCGATGTACGCAGTGACCACAGCGATTTGATTCGGGAAATCGGCGGAGCAAGTGCAGTTCTTCTAAAGAACACCAACAACACGCTGCCATTGTCGAAACAAATCAGACGTATCTCGGTCTTTGGGAATGACGCTGCTGACATATCAGGTGGACCGTATGACCCAGAAAACACGATTGGTGTCCAAGCTGTTGGCGGTGGCTCTGGCTCGGGTCGTTTCACGAATCTCGTAGCACCACTGGAGGCAATCAAGCAGCGCAATCCTCAGGCCCTGGTACAGTATGTCACCGACAACAAACTCTTGACTCAAGACCCATCAGGAACTCTAGACACTGTCTACCCCGGCGCAGATGTCTGTCTCGTGTTCCTCAAGACATACGCCACCGAGGGCGAAGACCGCACAAACTGGCTTCTCGATGACAACTCCACTGCCGTTGTTGAGAGTGTAACGAGTTATGGCGGATGCTCCGAAACCGTCGTCGTCTCCCACTCCGTTGGCCCTAATACCCTGCCATGGGCAGACAACGAGAATATCACCGCTATCGTGGCTGCACATTTGCCAGGAGATCAAGCTGGAAACGCCATTGTCGACGTACTGTTCGGCGACGTCAACCCATCTGGGAAGCTCCCATACACAATTGCCTACAACTCAAGTGACTACAACGCACCAATCGTCAATTTCACGGACGTCGATAACAGCGACCCAAACTTATGGCAGTCTAACTTTACCGAAAACTTGCTGATTGACTATCGCCACTTTGACTACAACAATATCACGCCACGGTACGAATTCGGATATGGACTGTCCTACACAAGCTTCTCTGTGTCCAATCTTCAAATATCGACGAGTTATCCTAGCGGTGGGGACGTCTCACCAGTGCCACGCCCTCTGAATGGAACGATCGCCCCGCCTGGAGGCAATCTAGACCTTTACACTGTTCTTGCAAATGTTCAAATCACCGTTCAGAACACGGGAAAACTGGCAGGTCGCGCTGTGCCTCAGATCTACATCGGATTCCCTCAAACAGAAGACGTCGACGAAACCTTACCAACACCCGTCAAAGTGTTACGTGGTTTTGACAGAACCGAGCTTCTGCAGCCCCAAGAGTCGGTTACTTTGAATTTCGACTTGCGGCGGAAGGATGTTTCGTCGTGGGACGTTGTAAAGCAGGAATGGGTGATCCCATCAGGAGCTTTTACTGTGATGGCTGGATGGAGCAGTCGCGATTTACCTCTGAACAGAGCTTTGAGATTGCTCTAATTTTGTTTCAATTTCTTGCTTTCAATTTGCTGCGTTTCATGGTGGAATTGATCCCAATCAAAGTGCCGTTGGGTATAGCAGTAATCATCTTTTGTGCAAACCCAATTGATTGCCTAGGTATGTTGAATTAATTACCGGGTTGTTCTCAGATAATTGTTATGGAGAGAGCATGACTTTATTGCTTGCGCTGTTATGGTGAACTTGTCAATTGCATAAACCTCTTTACCTGCCGTGAGATTGGATTCGACAGCAAGGATAAGGATAATCCAAATAATACACAAGCTTGAGCGAATGAGAAAGATAAATGTAACTCATTACATGCATACGAAATTGGGATATCATCGCAATAAGACCAAACAAAAAAAGAGAAAGAGAGGGGGGGGGGAGGGAAAAAAGGGGAACAAACCAAAAAAGGGGAAAAAAAAACCATAAGTCAGAGAAGAAAAAAGAGAACTATTAGAATGAGCATCCTGAAGACACAATCACTCACTGAAGAAAATGCAGAAAGCATGGAGAGATTGAAAAGACGAGTAGGATATCACTAGGCTAGTTCGCCCACTTGGATAACAAATCTTCAATCATCTGATCATCCTCTCGCTTTTTTCTTCTTTCTCTCTCCTGTCGCTCAATAGTCTTCTGCCGTTCCTCCATTAACTTGGCATTGAAGCGTGGGTCCAATTTATTCAGCCATTTATTTCTGTGCGGTGGGATTGGCATCGGCGATGTACTACTCTGAGAGCTTGGCGGATTGGATGGGACAACGGATGGCAGCGACGTTGAGAGCGATCTGTTATTGTTGGCAGTGTTGTTGAAGTTCTTGTACTCAGGCTTGTGTTTAATATCTAGCGCGCCGGTGGTAGGCGACTTTCTAGGCTGAGGAGTCTGCGGATAGGGCGCTTCGTCACAATCGCGAATCTCGTCGAAGATAGGCTCTTTTTCGCACTCCGGAATGGTGGGAGGTTCGGCATGCGAATGCGACTTGTTGAACGAGAACGACGACGACCGCATGAAGGAGAAGGGCTTATGACCCGATGGGGCAGAGGAGGGGCTCAGCGTGGAGAGATCATTCGAATGAGAGCATTGGCGCGTCAAGCCTGCCGGCTCGCCAGTCACTCCTGGCATTGTAGTATCTGGGACTGATGATTCGCTCGAGATTCGCTTTTCAGGGGGGTGTCGATTCTGATTGAAATCTCGCGTGTCAAGAGGGCAGACGTGAAAATCCCGCAGGCCACACACAAGGTTTATAACGGCATTTTTGACGTCGCGCCTGTGACAGTGTGAAAGCGGTAAGTGTCGCGAAAATCCACGAGGCGCGATTGGCGACGCAGGGACCAAAGCGTACTGGATCAGCGAAGCAGTACGATGCCAATGAGTAAGTAGATCGCAAGGCAGGGAAGGTGGCGGGTGGTGGTTGGGAGAGGCATTTTTAGGTTTGCGCCGCTTTCATTCACCGATTCTGTTTAGGAAGGTGGAGCCAGTCTCGCGTGTCACAAATCGCGCGCCGTGATTGGCTTCCCGGGATGTGACGTCAGGCGGAGAGCTGACCAGGTACCCCGGATTTATCCGCCAATCGCCGTGAATTCCCGGCGGTTATATATAGATCCAAGTTATATATAGCACCATCCACGAGGCTAGAAGCATTCTGCATGCTTCCATGAAATGCATACTATGAGCGAAGGTATTTGCAATGCCTGTTATCTATTCTAGTCAGTCGACTGCTCACAAGACGTTCTTGAGGGTTAAGCCCATCGACTATCTGAACTAATTTCTATCGATACATGCTAAGACTAATCCTGATCCAGCGCAAAGCGGTCCACAAACTTGAACGTGGCAAGATCCTGTGTCAGCTGGTCGACGAAGTCATCGTCAACAGAGGCTCCGGTGAGAACCCCAGTATCCTCGGTGCTAATATCTGCAGCAGACAAGGCTGCAATGGCGCTTCCCAAAGCTCCGACGGGTTTCCCAAAACGAAAAGCGTCGACCAAGATCTGCGTGGGACGTCCGGCAGGGTACAGAGTTATGTTAGATTTAGCGGTGAATGTTTGAGACCCAAAGAGAGCCTCGGATCCAGAGGCCACCACGACAGAATCGAAGTTGGTGGCGTCGGACTGTGAGTAAGTCGCTGATACTCCGGGGGCAAGGCGTTCAGCTACAACGATGACATCGACGTTAAAGCTCTCTAAGTTTTGCAACAGAGTTTGCGCGTCGTCAATACTGCTCTGGTTATTTACTGAAGCAAGAATGCCAACTACAAGCCCGTCAATCCGCTTCAAAGGAGTGCCAAAGGTTCCGACATTGGTTGTCTTGTTGTTGTGGTAATATGTAGGGTCGGGCTGGGGAGGACTGACACCAATGGCAACGGCGACGCGCGTGGCAATGTCGTTGTTGACGCGGTTAAGTTGAGTGATGAAGTTGTTCTTGATGACATCATTGTCGATATGAGATAGCTCGAAGCGCAAAGCGTTGATCAAGAATTGCTGTTCAGCAGGTATCAAAGAGTTGTAAAACAAGCCGGGCTGGGACCACACGTCAGCAAATGTCGGGCTGGTGGCGCGCAGAAGATGGCCGTTAACAGTTCGTCCAGGACTCGTGAAGAACCCTTTTCCAACAGTTTCGTTGGCCTGCTTTGGAAACCCATCGTTCACGGTGTTAGGAGAGTACGCGGCCTCGTTGAGAGGAATGAACATCTGGCCTATTATGTGTCACTTATAAGCGTTCCAAAGTTTTGGATAACTATGAGCCACGTTCACTTACTTGATCCATCGCGATTGTTATTGTGGAAAGGAACACGAGGGCGATTTATGGGTATCTGTTCAAAGTTGGGACCGTTGTTACGATTCAGCTGAGTATCAAGATATGAGAATATGCGACCTTGAAGGAGGGGATCTTCAGTGAAGTCGATGCCGCGAACAATATGGCCAGGTTGGAACTGACTTCATTAGTATGGTCAGAGTTATGGGCCATTTGGAACATTCACTGACCATTACTTGCTCGGTCTCTGCAAAGTAGTTGAGCGGATTCCGGTTCAACTGCATCTTGCCGAGTGGAGTGATAGGGACATCCTCAACTGGTAGTATCTTGGTGGGGTCAAGCAAGTCAAATCCGTAACTGAGAGCATCAGACTCATCGATTATTTGTACACCAAGCTGTAGTCGTTAGCCGATTATTACATTCAGCAAGAGGTGGTACTTCGGATACATACTTCCCATTCTGGAAATCTCCCAGCTTCGATATTATCATACAAGTCTTGTCGCATGAAATCGGAGTTCTTGCCAGCAGTGGCTTGGGCTTCTTCCCAGACCAAACTTGCGCGGCCCTGCAGCGAGGTCCAGTGGAATTTGACCAGTTTCGAGGAGCCATCGTTGGTCACAAAGCGATAAGTGTGAACTCCAAACCCATCAACATGACGAAAAGACCGTGGGATACCGTGGCCGGCCATGGCCCAGAATAGTGTGTGCAATGTACTCGGCTGTTGACTAAAATAGTCATACGCAGTGTCATGAGCAGTTGCAGCCTGAGGAATTTCGTTGGCAGGTTGGGGTTTGACGGCATGGATAAGGTCTGGGAACTGAATGGCATCCTGGATAAAAAAGACCGGTATATTATTCCCGACAATATCTGCTAGAGTTAGCGCGGCTTATCTCATAACGAAAGGCATTCATACCGTAGTTGCCTTCATCGGTATAAAGCCGGACGGCGAACCCGTGAACATCACGAGCGGTGTCAACGCTACCTCGACTGCCTGCCACAGTAGAAAAGCGAGCAAACACCGGGGTTTCCTTTCCAGCAGCTCCGAGAAATGCGGCAGCAGTGATATTGGACCAATCAGCATAAGACGTGAATACACCGTGAGCACCTACACCTCGGGCATGCACAGCTCGTTCCGGTACCTAGAGTAGTACATCAGGACTTGAGAAAACATGAATGATTGGAGAAAGACTGACTCGCTCATGATCAAAGTGCTGGATTTTTTGGCGAAATATAAAGTCCTCTAGAAGCGTTGGTCCGCGCGAGCCGGCCTTCAGGCTGTTTTGGTCCTCTATCGGTCCGCCCACATCGGAGGTGAGGTACGTGCTGTTATCATTGAGGTAGAATTGGGACAAGAACGTTTCTGTTTCGGAGGAAGCATTCGTTGACTGCCGCCTTTCGACTTGATGGGGATTCGCCGTGCCACTTCCCAGGTTCTCTCCCGTAAGCAGGGGGCATGCAGCTGAAGCCACAGCAACGAGGCCGGCGAGGCTGCCGAGGAAGCGGTTCCCTCGCATTTTTCAGTGCGTTTGTGAGACTGATAGAATAGTAGAAGCTGAACTGATAAAAAATCTTGTAAATGCAATACTTGCGACGTGAGCGAGCGAGGAATAAATAGCCGGCGGTTTGCTCGCGAGGCAGGGGAAACGCCGACGAGAGCAACCGCTGTCAATGGGTTCCTGCCCAATCTTTGCATAGTTCTGCGGCGCATCTCGTGCATTTCATGCATTCCATCCAGAAAATTGTGACTTGATTTGGGGACTTGCATGTGCTTGGGGGCAGTATGCGCGCTAGATGTCTTGGTACTCAAAAGGTGGACGGGGGTAGGATGATGTGCACGCACTTTTCCTACCTAATCGCCTAGCTGAAGCACTAGAGGAGGAGTGTGCATAGGATGGATTATGCGTGTAGATAAAATACGCTTGTGCAACTGCTGCATAACAAGTTTCTACCAAGTCTCGACTCTTTACGTCCAGACAAATGTAACCTTTTATTAATAATTGTATAGATACGTGGTGACTAATTTGGGAGGGCTAGAATCGTCTTCCGGCGACAAGTCGAGATTTCAGCGGGCTGAGGCTCCTTACAGTACACGAAGCTAACAGTGATATTGGAAAGTCATGCATTTGAAGTAGTCACTACTCACCAGTAAAATTTCCACAAAAATCTGCACGGGGGGAGGGGGTTTGCCGCTGGTCTAGGATCCCTGTCCAAACAAGATAAAGGGGAATTTGCGAAGATTTCAACCAGATATTTGCATTTTTGTTCATTGCGAATTAATGAAGTTGATTTGCGAAAAAAAAAAGGCACGCAGAAAATTGTAGAACAGGCCAAGCATTAATGAATATACATGCAGTTTCTTGCCTGAAGCGGCAACGAGCATAGGGCAAGGGCTTTGGCGGAGGGACAAAAGAAAAGAAAAAGAAAAAGAAAAAAAGAAGTCAACGATCTCTACTTATCGAACTGTCTATATATGTATTAACCAATGGCGAATGAAGGAGTCACGGCTTGCTACAGCGTGCTTTATGCTAAAGGACTAGCTGCAAGGAGTTGCCATCACGCACATTTGATTGTTCGATTAATTCTTCCTTGATCAAACCCTGCAAAAATAAACATGCCATCGACTGAGCTAGTCAAAGACGAAGCCAAAATAGCATAATATTTCGTATGCGCAGGGCCCGGATGGCGTGATGGAGGTCTTTTTTGCCGTTTCCGGTAATTTCTGAGGCATATCAGCACGGGAACCCTCACTCTGCTTTATATCCATGGGGAGATGTATATAATAGCGTTCTCGCTCTTTTTCCTTGGAAAAATTTTCTCCGCGCCTGTACATAAACTCCTCGACCCCCCGCAGACACCATATTAAACTGCAGCTTCCAATGGCAGAGGTAGAAAAGGGTCTGGGACTCACCTCGAGCGACAACATACCAGACTCGCCTCGGTTTAACAGCGACGACTCCGAGCAAGAAAAAAATCCGGGTAGGAAGCGAGTTTGCTCCTGCGTAAAACAAATCAGAATGCTGACAAGTCAAATAGTAAAATGGTATCGCTCGACTTTTTACAATGCCCTCATCCTCGGTATATGCAACTTCCTGGCCCCGGGAATCTGGGGAGCCATGAACTCGCTGGGTGGCGGCGGTGATGAATCGCCCTATTTGGTCAATGTCGCCAATGGCCTAACCTTTTCGCTCATGGTTCTCTCTTGCTTCTTTGGCACCGTCATCGTGAAATATATCGGGATCAAGTGGACGTTTATAGCCGGTACCATTGGATACGCCCCCTACGCTGCCGGTCTGTACACACATAACCGATACGGCTACGACTGGCTCGTTTATCTCGGTGCTGTGCTTTGTGGGCTCTCTGCAGGCATCTTCTGGATGGCCGAAGCAGCCATTGCGCTTGCCTATCCAGAGCCATATAATCAAGGACGGTTCCTGGGATTTTGGCTGAGTTTTCGAGTGGGCGGCCAGATTGTAGGAGGTGCCATTGAATTGGGTCTTGACGCCAAAGACAACACTGCAGGATCGATATCGTATACCGTGCTAGCGATATTCATTGCACTCCAGGCCTTGGCCCCGTTTGTTGGTGTGTTGCTCTCGCCACCGAACAGAGTCCAAAGAACCGACGGGCTTCCAGTTCGATTGCGCATCTGCGAGCAAACATGGACTAAAGAGGTGGTCGAAGTCACCAAACTGTTTTTCAGTCGAGACTTTCTGCTCATTGTTCCTCTCATTTGTCAAGCTGTGTATACCGAGGCTGTGATGTTTACGTACCAGGGACTCTGGTTTTCTGTGCGAGCCCGTGCCTTGGGATCGTTCTTATCAGGTATTGTTGCGTTGATTAGCGGGAACATTCTCGGTGCCTTCATTGACAGCAAACGAGTTTCGCTGAAGACACGAGCTCGAGCTGCGTATTTCGTGGTGTTGGGACTGCAGGGTGCTTGGTGGATCTGGGGGACAGTGCTGGTAACTCGGTATAATAAAACAAATCCAGTATTCGATTGGACGGATCCAGGCTTCGGGGCTGGGTTTGGCTTGTTTCTGTTTTGGGTCATTGGATTCCAAATCAACTATCTATACCTGTGAGTTGTCCTTTCTTTATAGTAGACCCGTCATCTACCAACTATTGCAAGAGAAGAGGAATGTGCTGACAATCACAGATACTTTGTCGTTGGAAATATCGCCAAGAATGAGCAGGAAGTCATCCGTATAGCAGGCCTGCTTCGTGGCACCGAGTCTGCGTCTCAGGCAGTCAGTGTAAGTATCATATTCTCGGCACAGAACAGACGGATTACTGATATTGGCATGTCGATAGTACGGACTCTCGAGCGTCGCGATAATGGGCAGTGTTGGTGACATCTACCTCAATTTTGGTCTCTGGGCCGTGGCGTTATTCCCTGCATGGTTGGTCGTCAAGGAGATCGGTGTGACGAAGGGAGATGTGAAGATTGAACGCGAAAAGGCATTGGCAAACGCAGATGCCGAATGAATTGACAACTTGAAGCGTTTGAACATGTCTGGCAGTGATAGATGTAGATTGCAGAGTACTTTTTCATTCCTAGAAATTAAGCGAAGGGTTATTACTAGGATTAGGATTGGGTTCACCATCTTTCCTACATATCCAATGTTCATGGGAATAGAAAAGCTGTTCGAGGTATGCTACCACAGGAAGTTCTCTGATGCGTTCCTAAAAACCAAGGTCCTGGTGTACAAATCTTACCATAGCAGCCTCCAACGGCCAAGGACCAATAATTTTCTCAAACTTCTCTGGCCAATCATCAACCCATTGGAACAGGGCAAAGGAAGCGGCATATTCCCAATAGGCTGGGTACCAGCCAGCAGTTTCCCAATCAATAATCGCAGCTACTGTATAGTGTTTCTCCCTTGAAGCAGGGTCCACGATTTTTTGGATAAGAATGTTTTGTCGATAAAGGTCAGAGTGGGTAAATGTGCTTTGACGTTTATTGAGTGTGGATGGTATATTTCTGGTTAGGAAATCAGATATCCATCCGCGTTGACCAATATCCTCCCGAATCTGATGGGAACGAAGGGATATAGCACGACCGAATTTCCTGTCTGTCTTAAAAGGACCGGTGATAGAACGATTATCATCTCTCGAAAGGAAATATCGATGTTTCAACGGCCCTCCCGCAACACTTCCGTAAAAGCCAGATGATGGTAGTGATCTAATTTTCTTGGATTCTAGATCTTGGCACACTATTGAACTTTTCTCGCTCTCCGAGAGCGGTCGGCAGCATTCGCGTTGCTATCTCAATTTCATGCTGGCTAGGAAGCGGCTCAGGAAGCTGCTTCATTTCTCGGTAGTAGGGCAATGAAATAGACATAATGATGAAGGAAGATGGATCCTTATAATTGGTGAAGTTGTCTGGATCCGGTTACCCCTCGCTGCTCCGTTTCAGTCAACTGGCCGCCCTAAGAGCTAACTCCGAGATAGGAACATATCTATCGACCATGAGTCGATAGATTATCAGTCTTTATACTAGATAATCCTTAATTTTGATTCTAATTCTTTGAGGTGGTCTGACGACAATATAGACTGACTGACACTAAGTTCCAGACCAGGCTTCTATATCAACTTACCCGTCAGCGTGGTAGCAATGGCCGCGTTACTTTTGATATCATTGCCCAGAAAACAGCATTAGCAGGCTCGTGCAATTGGATTTCGTCGCGTTCTTCCATGATCTCGATAGCGTAGGCTTTCTGTTGTTCTCTCCAACCATGGTCATGTTTCCTTCTGGCTCCATGGGGTGGATCGACAGATCCTTGGAATAGTGTAATAGTAATCGGTCTTTTCTGTGGTTTTGCCGGCAATTTGGCTGCGTTCTGGATTACCATACTAGATCAACTATTATAACAATGACCGTGAATATGAGGAGTAGTAAATCCACAATTGCTCATCAAGGAGCAGCCATTTATTGTCATTATTATAGTACTACCTCTCCCACAAATTTAAAGCCATAACGAAATACATCTAAAATTGCGTGCCAACGTGGATACCTCCATCCACCAATATATTTGTCCCAGTGACAAAACTGGCTAACGGACTCGCCAAAAAGACCGCAACATTTGAAATTTCCTGCGGTCCACCCAATCGCTTCAATGGAATCTTTAACCGCTGCTCCTCAACCCACTCTGGCATGAGTTCTGAATAATTTTCCCATGGACCGCCCTCGCAGAGAACGGGACCCGGCGAGATGGCATTAACCCTAATACCCTTGGGGCCTAAATAGTGCGACAGCTCTTGCACATGCTGCAGCTGCGCAGCTTTGCAGGGTCCGTATGCCGCTGGTGGGCTTCGGTAAAACTCACGGCCCATGAAGGAGCTCTGCACGATGATGGAAGCCTGAGGTGACTTCTCTAGATAAGGCTCTGCAGCCTTCACCAACTCCACGAAGCCCATGACATCAATCGCAAAGCTGCTTTGCCAGTGCTCTGTTTCACCTTTCATATGCATTGGGGACGCTGAGGGTTATTATTAGCAATCAAGTTATTCGATATTTTACCCTGGGCCAAGCTACGAACCATTTGCGATGATAACATCGATGCGTCCAATACGCTCCGCGGAGCTGTTGACCCAATTGACGATCTCTTCTTTGGAAGAAACGTCAAACGCAGTTCCAAATGCGCGAGCAGGATTGTTTTTGGGAAGAGATTCATGGACGTCGTCAAACTCAGTGTTGGTGACGGTGCGGGCGCAATACGAAACGTTGGCGCCTTCTTGGAGGAATTGACGCACCATGGCCTGGCCCATGCCACGGGTGCCGCCCGTTATAAGAACATGTGCGCCTTGGAGACCCGTTTCAAGAGGCATCGTGTATATAGAAAGGGGTTGTTAAGAGATGGTGGTGGGAGGTGAAAAAGACGGATTGGAGTGATGATGGCGATAGGAAGGGAGGGGGCATTTGGGCTTTCTATATTTCTTTAAGTCACGCTCATGAAACTGCCAATGCCCCACAGTTGTCGGTCCGCAGCAGCAGTGTAAGTTCCCTAATACGGCGTGTCAAACAGAAAATCGTGAACTCCTTCGGAGCATCAGCCCAGAGGCCAAATCGGGATTGCTGAGAAGATCAAGCTGCGCTAAACCCTTGCTGGTCTCATCTGCGCTGCTTCTCCTTCGGGACGGCCCAATCAGGCAACTAGCTCCACACAAGATAGGATGACTAATAACCTTAATATCTGGCTCTAACGCAAGTTGGGCGAGTTTCCGAAACTCCTTTAGGAAGTTCTTCAACATTTCCTGATTGGGCACGTAGAAGGATCAACGGATATAACTGCTGACAACTTACACAACTACAATAAGCAAAGACTTTATAGGTTATATAAGTCTGCTGGATTTCCCTCGTTATGGCGGCATATTCGTCTTTACCTTAGCAGTGTTCTCTTGTAAGGTTCTTGGTGTATTGGATTGCTACAGTTGTATATCCGCCGCACCAATGGAGCAGCATCAAGAGACAGGCACTTCACATCAAACCTCTGGAGAGAGTAGTTCGGCGACATCCATAAACGCAGATTCAATCATGGTGAAGGAACATGCTGTTATGCACGACCACACGATGTCCGACTCATCCAACAATGTGGCCGTTGAGCCGATTGCCTTGAGCGTGAAACGGTTTTTGTCCCCTTACATTACCGAGCAAAACAGCCCTCAGTCTACGATAATTGTGATGAAGAATTTGACAGTTGAAGGCAGTGGGACAGGCGTAAGTGATAAAAGCTTGCACACTTCCGTTAGAATTCTAACAAATGGTGAAAGGCCGCACCCGCCCCTAGCGTGTTCACAGAGGCAAAGTCTGGCTTCGGCCTGTGGGAGCCGATTCAGACCAGGATGCATCATCCGTCATCGCGGCCAATTCTTCGAGATTTCTCTGCTGCCATCCAACCGGGCGAAATGGTCTTGGTAATTGGAAAACCTGGCAGCGGTTGTACCACGTTTTTGAAGACACTTGCCGGCATGTGGAGTGAGTATAAGGGGGTTGAAGGTGATTTGACACTTGGAGGACAGCCCATGCAGTCCGTTATGGATAAAAATCCCCAGGATGTTGTATTTTGCGGTATGCCTTCTTTGTTCACCCCCACGGCCTGGTACGCGGAGAACTGCGGTCACTGACTATGAACAGCCGAGTCTGATGACCACTTTCCTACCTTGACTGTTTTTGAAACACTACGATTCGCACTTAGAGCGCGATGTGGGCCCGAGCCAAGTGCGTCAGAGGTCGATGAGAGGGTTCGGTATCTAGCCCAACTGGTCGGACTCAGCCATGTGCTCAACACCAAAGTTGGAGATGCTTATATTCGGGGAGTAAGTGGAGGGGAGAGGCGCCGTGTCTCATTGGCTGAGGCGTTAGCAACATGTGCGCGGTAATTTTATCAATTCCCAGCGTTGTACGAAAGAAGACTAATCATGGATATCCTTAGGTTGATTTGCTTGGATAACCCGACCAACGGTCTGGACTCCTCGACAGCCCTTGAATTCATGGAGATGATGCGAGAGTGGACATTGCAGAGCCAGTGCGTGACCGCCATGAGCGTCTATCAAGGCAGTGATGCCATCGTGCCATACTTCGACAAGGTGGTTGTCATCAATGCTGGACGCCAAATCTTCTACGGGACCATCCCCGACGCCAAAGCGTACTTCCTCAGTCTGGGCTTTGAATGTTCACCTGCTACTACCACCACAGACTTTTTGAACTCCATGTCCGCTGATCCTGAAGTACGCCGTGTACATGAAACCCGCCGGAATCGAGTACCGCATACACCAGACGAGTTCCAAGATGAATTTAGACGCAGCGTTCACTTTAAAAGGCTCCAATCCGCCGTACAGAGTGCCATGTCTCTTCCTGCCGTGGTACATCCTAACAAGTCAGACCAATACGCTTTGCCACTTTATCAACAGATAATGTACTGTACTACGCGCCAGGTGCGCATCATTCAGCACAACTATAGCTCCTTGCTTGTGGAAGCCATGTGTATTGTCGTCCAGAGTTTGATCCTAGGAACTTTGTTCCGAAACCAAAAAAGAGACACAGGGTCCCTGTTTATCTTCGCATCTGCTCTCTTTTACTCTGTCCTTGTCCCCGCCCTGCAAGCTATGGCAGAGTTTCGCAGTACTTTCGCTCAGCGACCGCTTATCCTCAAGCACAAGCGATACAGGCTCTATCGACCCATGGCCTATGGTTTTGGATTGATCATGACGGATATCGTCTGGAAAGTCTTCGTCATATTTTGGAATATTCCTCTCTATTTCCTGACTGGATTCCAGCAGAACGCTGGCAATTTCTTCACCTGGTTTGTCGTGGTGTATATCGAGCATCTCGCTTTGTCCATGTTCTTCCGTTCTGTGGCAGTGTTCTCGTCTAACATGTATCGTGCCGTCCTCCCAGTCGGTATATTCTTTAACATGTATGTTCTGTACACAGGCCTCTATGTGCCACCGCCTCAGATGCAGGTGTGGTTAGGCTGGCTCAGATACCTCAATGTAAGTATTCACTCTCGCTTCTCGTTGATGAAAGGGACTCGCTAACCAGAAGAAACAGCCCCTTCACTACGGTTTCGAATCTGTCATGATCAATGAGTTCGCCGATCTGAGCTACGAATGCAGCAAATCAGACCTGGTCCCATCAGGGCCTGGCTATGCCAGTCTTGCCAACCAGGTGTGCGCTGTGGTAGGCTCTGAGCCCGGTCAACGACTGCTGTCCGGAATGGCATATATCAAGGCACAGTATGGCTTTGAAAGGGGAAACCTCTGGCGAAACTTGGGGATCAATGCGGCATTCTTTATTGTTTTCGGTCTGGCTTCAGCGTAAGTTTTGGAAACTAATTTTCTGTTCCGTCCCTCTCTTATGTGCTCAAGTGGGCTGATGATGATGATTAGGATTGGCATGGAACGTCTTAAGCAACCAGCAGGCCGGTTGGCAACCGTATTCTACCGAGGTATGAAATCGAAAAATCCTTCTTCCCGACAAGTATCGAAATCAATGGACCAAGAGAGTGGACCTGTGGATCTCGATGTTCCCCCAGTGCAAGAAGAAGCCATAACTCGCGAACGAAACACAACCATTGAGTATCAGTCTCGCAGTTTGACCTGGACAGGGCTTAACCTTGACGTCAAAACCAAAGACGGTCAGAAACGCCTCTTGAATAACTTGAATGGGACTGTCTATAGTGGACAGATGAAAGCGTTAATGGGTGTGTCTGGCGCTGGCAAAACCACCTTGTTGAATGCTCTGGCTGGCCGATCAACGGTTGGAACACTGAAGGGGACACTGATGCTGAACGGACAGCTTCTCCCCAAGTCTTTCAATCGTTACATGGGCTATGTGCAGCAGCAGGACATTCACCTCCCCACGCAGAGTGTGCGAGAGGCACTGCAGATGACCGCCCGCCTTCGTCGACCACAAGAGATATCCCTCGAAGAGAAAGACGCCTATGTCGAAGAGGTCATTCAGTCACTGGATATGGAATCTATCGCGGACGCTTTGATTGGTACACCTGGAGCAGGTCTCAACCTGGAGCAGCGCAAGAAGGTCAGCATTGGCGTAGAGATGGCTGCAAAGCCCGACATTCTGTTCTTAGATGAGCCGACTTCCGGTCTCGATGGGCAATCCGCGTACTCTATCGTTCGACTCCTCCGAAGATTGGCAGATTCGGGACAGGCTATCATATGTACTATCCACCAACCCGCTGCGGAATTGATTGCAATATTTGACGAACTATATCTTTTGGCTCGTGGCGGTCAATTAGTGTATGAGGGTCCCTTGGGTGTGGACTGCCAGCAGGCCGTCACTCACTTTGCACAATATGCTCGCCCGTGCCGTGAGGGCGAAAACCCCGCCGAGTACTTCCTGGAGGTAATTGGTGCTGGCACACGTCAAGATATTCAGATAGACTGGGTCGACATTTGGAAGCAAAGCCGTGATCAGGCCTCGGAAAAGCCGAATGCGCTTGCATCTGCTGAAATTGATGGTTCACGCAATCATGAAGACCATTCTTCGTCCTCACTCTACGCGGCACCATTTTACTACCAAATGCTCGTACTACTCAAGCGGACATGGCTCTACTACTGGCGGGCGCCGGATTATGTTAGAGCCAAACTATGGTTGAACGCCGGTAATGGATTGTTAAATGCAATGACCTATCTCAACTCCCCCCTGACCCAGCGAGGGGCCTACAACCGCGTCTTCTCGTCGTTCATGTCATTGATTGTCGGCCCACCACTGGGACTGCAGGTGCAGCCGCGGTTCGTCATGTTGCGAAACATCTTTGAGCACCGTGAACGCGAGAGTCTGACTTACCACTGGCTAGCATTCAACTTGTCTGCCATTCTTGTGGAGTTGCCTTATGCATTCCTTACCTCACTCGTATATTGGCTGCTTTGGTACTTCCCTGTGGGCTATTTCCGAGATGCCAATCATGCAGGATACAGTTTCTTAATGTATCAGCTCTTCTCCGTGTTCGCAACCAGCTTGGCTCAACTGTGCGCCTCGCTGATGCCAACCGTTGAAGCCGCGCTCTCTGCCAATGGATTCTTTTTCATGTTTTGTAACACTTTCGCTGGTACCTTGTCCCCAGAACCGGTGACTCCGGCAGGATGGCGTTGGTACTACAAGGTTTCGCCCCTGTTTTACATGAACGAGGGCGTCGTGGTGGACGTCCTGCATGATTTGCCCCTCCATTGTACCGACTCAGAGGTGTCCATTTTCCAGCCACCAAACAGCACGACCTGCTATCAATATGCCGCATCTTTCCTTGAGAGTGCAACGGGATTCCTGGTCAACCCGAACAGCACAGCCAATTGCGAGTACTGTCCATACAAGAATGGCCAATCATATGTGAGTATCCCTGCATGAATTACAGTTATTCCGAAATGATTGACACTGACTGGAACTGGCTTTAGTATTCGCAATATGACTACAGCTTTAGTCACCGCGGCCGAAACGTCGGTGCATTCATCGGGTTTATTGCCTTCAATTTCACCATGGTTCTGGTCATTACTTATCTGACGCGTGTTCATCGCCGCCGCTGAGAGTGTAAAGAGCAGTATAATTGACTGCTTGCATTTTTTTTCTGTCGGGTTTAGTTGTTCATTTGGTTAATTCCCTTGCATTTCTTTGCTGATTCCCATAGAAGTTTGTTCGCATAATCTTTTTCTTCCTTTTTTTTTAATGATATTTTCGTCTAAGCACATCAGCAGATAGACCAATACATATATATGAAATGTCCAGAGTGATAAAGAGGTTTTTTGAAGCGGCATAGTTATAACCACAGCGACATTAGTCATTGGCATGAATTGCAGAAATATGCGACCACGGGTTGAGATTCAGCTTGGGGCCGTCGGCGTACTGAGGAGGCTCTATTGAGCGTTCCACGGTCTGACACATGTAGCCCAAAATGCTAGCTCATGTTGTAATATGTCAATAAGCCATCCTTGCTGTGCGGAAGTTGGCATGTTGAAGTATTTGCCCTCCGTTTCCTAGCCGCGCTGATGCCGAAACTGACAGGATCCATTGTTCAAAGCTGCGAATAAAAGACTTACACTTGTAAGTTTAATCCCATATTCCTGTCTGAACTGGCTCATAAACCTCCTTAGGAGGATCCAAAGCGTCACAGAAAATGGAGGCGACTAAGTTCATGTCGATGTGGAAAGAGGTTGGAAGCGATAGAATTGAAAAGGAGAGGTTGAAAGGTGGGAGCGGCCGAAGGTATGGTATGTATCGTACAGTACCGCTAAGTGTAATTTACGGTCAGCGTCGAGCTATAAAGCCTTTGCGACTCTCTTTCTCTCTCCCCGCTGAACTCTTGCATTTCGCGATATCACACATCCAGATGTTTTCCACCTTCTCTGCCAACCTCAACACCAGTGATTCTGCGTCCGAGCGACCCGACACACCACGTCCCAAGCGTACCCAGGTTGTGCGGGCCTGTGACTGGTGTCGCCTCAACCGCGTCAAGTGCGATGCTAACCCGCCATGCCAGAACTGCCGTGATCATGGCAGACACTGCAGCAATACAAAGCAATCCGAGGCCCATTCACTACCGGCTGCAAATCGGTTAGATCTCACCCACTTGGCTGTCTTGTTTTCGCTTGTTTTCACTTCGATACCAACCCAATCGGAAAAGGCTGAACGCTGACAAATACGGCCAGGGAAATACATCGACTGCGCAACCGGCTGAAGGACTTGCAAGAGCAACTTGATAAAGTAAGAGAAGAATCAAAAAATCGAACTGAAGTCGCGAAATCGCCGTCGACGCCATTCTCAAACATTTCAGATTCGACTCCTCACGTCACAACATCCGCAGCGCTTCCAAATTCGCATCGCAAAACATGGGACGGCCTTCACGATCCGCAGTCACAAACTGGCCGAGTGATCCACTATGGCCCTCTTTCTTCACCGTACATGGTGATGCGACTGAACCGGTACATGCGCGAGTCATCCAATCAGTTACATCTCAAATCTGTCCTTCCCGTCCGCATCTCTCAGATACACCGTCACTCTCCCACTGTTTCGCACGAGCAATTGTCGGACGAAGCGGAACAGCCCAGCCTCCGTCTAAGACTGGCCGAGATTGAGGACCTGTCTCGGGAGCAAGAAGAGTATTTCTTAGTCCTCCTCTGGCAGTCGTATAACTGCATATACCCGATTGTTGCAGAGGAGGAGTTTCGTGAATATTACAATTCGCTTTGGGACGGGACAACCGGTCAAGCACCGCGTCGGTCTTCCGCGCTTGTGGACAGCTTATTGGCTGTATGCATGCAGTTTGGCAGCACTTTTTTGGTCGACGATGACGAGGATATCACGGACGGTGAAACGGAATCGCAGGCCACTCGCTTTAATACTGCCGCGTATGCATTCTATCGTCGGAGTCAGAGCGCGCTGATGGAGGAACTAGAACATCCTTCAGTCCAGTCACTGCAGAGTCATATATACTGCATCATCTACCTGTACAATACCGCGAATCTAGATACTGCTCATGCTCTCCTCGGGCTGGCCATCAGGGTTGCTCATATGCTGCGCTTACATATTCGACCTCTGGGCCCTATCCCCAAGGTGAAACAGGAGCTGTTTTCCCGTATGTGGTGGACGCTGTACCAATTGGATAGCCAAATCTCGATGACGCTTGGGCGTCCACCACTGATCAATTCAGATGAAGTTGGATGTGCGATGCCAAGTGACAGCAGTGACGTGGTGCAACTATCAACCACGGGTCTGGTATCGCCTCCGAATGAGGAGGACATTAGCTGGCTCAGCTTCCACGTACAGTACATCCGCCTGACGGCAGCGGCGCGTAGGGTCCACGCTGCTTTTGGTGCGCGCTGTGCGGAGTTGTTACAGACCAAAGATATACAGGACGTGCACGAGGATCCGGTGGCCCTTGAGACTCTAGCAGGCTTCCTCAGCAACGAAGTTCGTGCGATGTACGACTGGGTGCAGACTGTACCACGGTCTCTCAAGAATCAACGCAAGGGCTCAGGCGAGGCCTTCTCGACTGATCGTACACCACTCAATCTGAATTCTGCCAGCCCTCTTTGGTTGCAGCGCCAACGTCTTCTTCTTGAAATTATCTATCATCATCTGCAAATAGCCAACTTCCGCCCCTTTATTCGCTTTCCTCCACGGGGCGCATCTCTCACGTCACTGTCAGATAATCACAGCATCGCTTCCCTCAATCACGCCGTAGTGTTGACCAGCATGCTGAACCAAGTCCTGTCTGAGACAGATTTGTTGAATGGATGGACACCCCTTTTCCAATACCAGTGGGATGCTACTATCTGCATTATATCATTTGTGCTCTCAAACCCGGTTTGTCCCCCCACCCCAGCCGCACGCAAAACCTTGCCGACAGCTCTCCGGACTCTGCACAAACTCGGCCAGACCTTTGCCCCTGCAGCCAACACCATTCAGCTTGCTTGGGAGCAGTTTCGCTCCAGTTCAAATCCGTATGGTTGGTCACAGCTCACGCCTCCAAGCCAGAGTTCCTCAGACACAACAGAGCTGGGCCCAACGTCAGTGCCGTCTTCATTACCCAATGCTGTCCCGGCAATGATGAAGACTACTTTGCCGCCAACCGATCAGTTTTCAGGCTCGTTAGCACATACCAAGATCCCGTCAAATATAATGCTCGGGAACGACTTTTCAGATCCAGCGGGGTTCACCCCGCCACTCGATCTCATGGATGCACCTCTCAATCTGCCAAATGAGCTCTTGATGGGAACTGATGCTCAGTGGATGTTGAATGGAGCGATGCCACTAGATGGATGGACAGGATATGGATCTCAATGATTTACCCTTTATCCTCGAAATTGGGGATCCAGTTATTCTGTTGTTTTCTCCATATATTGATGACTCTCATGATCTCTCTTGTAAATAGTTATCACGTATATAGACCAGTGAAGAAGGTTATATTTTTCCCCGTGGCTTTGGTGTTTATTTAGGTCATGTATATACCCCAATTATAAGAAGCCGTTTCGAAACTATATTTCTAGATGGGCTGCCGGTGCAGCTATCTAACCCATGCATTAATCAATAAGAAATAGTCTAAGGTTAGCGTGCGGGGCCCCAAATTTCTCACGCAGGTCTGAGGCTATTCACAAATCGAATTGACATGATCCTGATGGCGAAGACTTGAGTAGTGGTGAACACTGTGCTTGAATATAGGTGAGGATTGCTGCTTGCTTCCTTTGACTATCGTTCAATATTCAACAGCATGCTCTACTCGTAGCACTCGAATTGCCCCCTAACAGCGTCAGAAGTAATCTTGCCATATACATAGGTACAGAATAGGGATTTGCCCTATGTTGGACACAGGCTTATAGGGAAGATGTCGTACGGAATAGGTACTGGGGAACTGGAAAGGTTCGCCCAGGAATAGGGTTTGACCCACCCTCGTGACTCGGATTTACGAATTGAACCCTCAAGAACTAACTAAAAAGTCAATCTGTTTACTAAAGCTTTATGGAATGGGTTATATTTACTGCAAATCTCGATACCTAACAGAATAAGAGGTAGTAGAGCAACGGCAGAGAAATCAGACTTATATAATTATTGGTATTCGGCGGTATATACATATATATATCTATTGCAACTAAGGTTGCTTTCTATAGACAACTAAATCACGGTCTAAAAATCACTGCGCTAAACTTAGATTCATCTCTTTGTTTCGTTATTTTTCAGGAGCACAACGAGATCAGCTTTTCTCTTCAAGATTATGTTCTCGCGAGTCAGTCGCGTGGTCGAAATGCTCCCTCTTCGGCAAACTCCTCGCAATCCGAGGGGCGTCAAAGATGGTGTTAGACTGGATAAAGATCTCATCCATCTCCTCCAACGACCGGCCATTGGTCTCTGGGAAGAACAAATAAACGGTAACCACAATGACAAAGTTGATGACGACCCAGATGATGTAATATCGGTAATTGATGTCCTGGAAACCGGTCGGGGTGACCTCGACAACGACAAAGGTGAACAGCCACGTCATGCAGTTTGAGAGGCCACTGATCTTGGCGCGGAGATGAGGAGGCGCGACTTCAGTGGAGTAGAGGAAGGGCAGACCAAGGAAGCCAAAGGGGTAGAACATGTTGACGCCATATAGAGCAACGACAGCGACAATGAGCGCTGCATGGTTGTTGGTCGTTGAGCTTGTACCAGCGAGGACGGCCATAGAGATGCACATGCCGCTAGCACTAATAAGCATGAGCGGACGACGACCAAGGCGGTCGATAGTAAGCACGGCAGCGAGGGCGCCGACCAATTGGATGGTAGTCATAGCAGCGCTCAGAATGCGCGATTCCGTACCTCCCAAGCCGAGGCGCTGTTCAAAGATAACGGTGGCGTAGAAGGTGAGCGTATTGATACCGCAGAGCTGACCGAAAGATTGGCCTGTAATACCGAGCAGAAGTCGGTGCAAGTTGCGCTTCTCGCCCATCTTTAGAATCTCCCATCGGCCGACGCTGTGTAGCAGCTCTAGGGATCTGTGGATATCTCCGATTTCTTCCTGCACTGTGTCGGAATTGGCGTCGACATCACGTAGTGCACCCAGAATCTCACGGGCTTCCTGCTCGCGACCTTTGCCCAGCAGCCAGCGCGGCGACTCCGGCATGAAGAAAATGAAACACATGGCGAAGATGGACAGTGAGGACTGCAACACGAGCGGAACGCGCCACGCGACAGAGCTCGAGTCGATAAAAGAAAAGCCCAGGTCAATCCAGAGCGACGACGCGATACCGACGGACACGAAGAGACCCTCGGTAACAACGTGGGAGCCACGATGCGACGAGCCCGAGATTTCGGACTGCCATACGGGAACCGTGGCAGTGACACCACCGGTGCCGAAGCCCTGAACAAGTCGGGCCACGATGAACTGGGCCAGCGAGTATGAGGAGGCCATGAGCAAGGCGCCGATGATGACCAAGGCCGACGAAAAGAAAATGACGCGACGGCGACCGAGCCAGTCGCCCACAAAGATGGTGTTCAGCGCCCCAAAGATGGCGCCCACGGTGTACAGGGCCACCACGGTACCTGGAAACTCTATGTTAGACTCTCTCTCTCCCCCCCATGTGTGATATGCTAAGAGAAACGGTACCTTGCACATTGGAGTTCAACTTGCTCGAGTTGTTCACGGTATCCATTTTGGGGAATTGCTCGATGAACGAGGGCATGGTAAGCAGTCCACCGGCCACGGCCAGATTGTATCCGAAGCACATATAGGCCGGGAATACCACCAGCAAGATGGTGGCGAGGTTGAGGCGAGAGCCCCGGAAACCCAGAAAAGGAGCCATTTTACACTTTTGATTTTGCACCTGGACAGAACGCAGGAGGAAGGAGAAAAGAGAAAGGCCAGACAGGATGAAAGCGGCTTACTTTATATGAGTAATCCGGGCTGGCCGGCAAATTGCGTTGAGTCAGAGTGGCTTTTTTTTTTCTTTTACCGGCACCCAGATGAAGGCAAGATGGAAAGCGCTCAACCCCGCCAGTGCCCCAGTGTTCTTTAGTCTACTCCGTAAAAGTATAACATAAAACTAGACGAGAACCGGAGAAGTCGGCGTGGTCAGCTCGGTCTCGCTCTATCAGAAGTGGAGTCGGCCCGTGACAAGAAGATTTTTCCGCTTCTTTCAGGCTTTAACCTTCAGGGTGTACTTGTTCCTTTCCCGGAGATAGCTATATTACGTAGTACAGACATTGCATGATGGCTGTTATCTATCCACAGCGGCATATTGGTGACATAGTTGTTCTGTTACGATATTTCTCATATCTCATCGTTCCGTACTCCGTAATCATGCAGCGCTTTGACGAGGCAAAAGGCTTGTCTGGCCACCAGCCAATGACAACCGCCGCCGGCCGCCTCGCCGCCACGCTTACGCGTGTTTCCGGAAACGGCAAGCGTCTAGGACTTAGGGCTTAGGGTTTAGGGCTTCTCCTTCTATCTAGTCTTGGGGTACCAACTATAAACTAATCCTCTCCATTCTGGCAGTAACTTAGACTAAGCAAGCACGCCGAGTGCTGAGACATGAAGGCACAATGATCTGAAACCAAAGTAAAGGAAATGTGAACCCAGGGAGACGCAGAGCTGAGTCGCATATGAGTTGTGAGAGGAGAAAACAGAGAGAGATTGTAATGAAGGACAAGTGAAGGATTGCGAGAGTAGCTGGACGACCGCCAATTCAAGCTCGCGCATGCTGTAACCGCGCCATCTCCGCTTCCAGACGGCCCATGGCCTTGCGATGCAAGACCGCGCCGAACCAGTAGTTGCCACCGCGATCCCGCCCGTAGAGGTTAAAGACGTCCTGCCTATAAAGATCACTCTTACTGACGATGTCGACCTGGAAGTGACTGGGTTTTCCTTTGTCTGCCTTGTCTTTGTCGTCCCCAGCCGGGCGAATAGACGTGTCATCGGAATCGGCATCGGAGGACTCCTCTACAGCTGAACTGAAGTCAATCGCGTTCAGCAGTCCGCTGTTCGACCAATCCAGGAAGTAAACATGATAGCCGTCGGGGTCCCCCAGGACTGGATATCGGTCCCGCATGCCTGAGGTTCGAAGCAGCTTGGCGGTTGCAGCGAGCTGTTCAGGGGTTCCCTGCTGGAGGCACGACTTGCGCACGGCAACTGCCGTGTCTCCGAATGGGCCGTGGACGAGGTCTATGGCGCGGAGCTGGGTGAGGTAAGGGAATGTAGCGTTCTGGATGAACGCGCCGACGGCAGGGAACCTGTCGGTTAGTTTGTCGCGCAGATCGAAGAAACTGTGAATGCAGACACGACGATTCGACGACCCCATATGTGAGCAAATCACATTGGTGGCCCACCCCTTGACAACATCGGCCTCGGTCACCCAGTAAAAGCTGGTCATGTTATCGGTCGTTTTGCTGTCGAGCTCCTCGATTGTGTCGGCAGGAAGGCAGAAGACGCGAGATTCCATCTTGTGATCAAGGAAAATATTCGCAGTTTGCCGTACAAGTCTTGCAGGCAGAGCAGATAGGGGGCGTTTCTCTGGTTCTAAGACTGATCGTTCAATATCCTGATCAAAGCCAAACTCCTCCAGATTGTCCAAGTCGTATCCCATGAACCGTGGGATGGACGCCGGCTTTTTAGCCAGCATTGCGCACCAAGCCCGGAAAACGTCGGCCCAGCCTCTTCCATCAGTCATGGTGTGTGGCCAGGTGACAGAAATGAGAGTTCCGTCTGTGAAGGTGACGACACGTAGAGAGATCTGGGGGATACTCTTTCCTATGTATTCTTTGAAAGATGTAGCGCCATTGCCATCTGTGCAGAGCGGACGAATTTGTTCAACGCCAGGGTGGACAGATGGCCCATCTGTCTGATGGAACATTTTCGAGGCCAGTGCATGATCTTTGATCGACATGTTGAAACAAGCCTCGCTAAAGCGGACTGAAACGCGACCATACTCATATGGCCGTACAAGGCGGACGCCATAGCGATTGTATCCCTGTCAGTACAGAGTTTAGTGCTTTTGTGTCCTTGAGAATGGATAGGGATGAATGAATACTCACGCGCTGCAAGATTCGACCTCCGAGTTTCTTCCAATCCTCCTTTTGCAATAGCGCTTTCAAGGACTCATGGAGCTCGTCCACGTTGAAGGTATCATCAAAATGGAAAGTCATACATATTATCAAGCTTCGCAGGAAGTGAGTGTTGTCGAAGGAGTGAAGTGGGATTGAACTCTCCATGGTGATTGATGAGCTTGTGTTTGTAGGTAGGTGGGATATCAAAAAGAAGAAATCAGGAGATTGGATTGCCCAAAGAGAGAGCTCAACGGTCAGCTTGAGAGGTTGCAGGTCTTGAAATCCTTGACTGTATTCTCAAGTGCCTCTCTTCAGTGTGTCTAGAGAGTAAAGGGGCAAGGGCAAGGATGGAAGCAACTTTCTCCGGATCAGCTGTGCTTTGGCAAAAGGATAACTGTGAAGGTGAGAGATGAAGAGGAGGAGGAAAGGAGAAGGAAAAAGAGAGAGAAAAAGAAAAGAAAAGAAAAGGAAGCCTGTGAATGGAATCTTTGTCAGATGACTGTCTCTCATGGTTGTCACGACGATGTGCATAGCTTAGAACTCCCCGGAACTTTCAGTGTTTTGATGCGTGCTTCTGCCTGGCACCAAGCTTGGAGGTTGAATACTTGTTTTCCTGCTCCATCTACTTGAGTAGAGACTTTTTTGCATACTTCTTTTCAGTCTGTGCAATATACCTAGGTAGATATCAAAGATGCATGATGAACCCCGAAACAAAGGATGGGGATATACATGTTAAAATTTTATACCGGGAGACCCCATCAGAAGCCATAAATTATGGTGTTCAGACCTCTATCAAACAAGTCCGGCAACTAATCTTGTAAGAAAGGGATAGCTAAACCGCTCGATATCAACTATATAGTAGCTTTTCATTCAGAGCAATCCAGCCTGGCAGGTTTGGGTACCGCCATTTGACCGGTAGACCAGTCATTCCTAGATACTTGGCCTCTCATTAGACGCCATCGTGCCCCTGTCATTATTATCTGGGCAGACTGATTGAGCAGATACCGAAACCTTTGCCTACGTCTGCACCCATCTCCTAGGAGCAAGTAGCTCTTGATATCAATATCTTAGCGCAATTACAGCTTGAGAATCCTTCAAAGACCTTTTCCCCTTCGTGATTTCCATTGGAGATCTCAAAGCACCTAACGTCGGACGCGAAGATATCGGCACTCCTTATTTGAGCGTCTTGGGGGTGTCTTCCAACTTTGGTAACTTTCGGCTTCACCACTCCCATCCCAACCTAACGTCTTCCTCAACCATCCACCAAGACACTTCAATTTCCCTCAATCCACCTGTCTATCATTTTAGTGGGACTACAAAGCCATCCGCGTAAAACGATGGACAACACAAACGCCAACCACGCAACCTGTCACAAATGTTCAAAGCCTGATAACAGGCTATGGCTATGCAAATGCGTATCCTGCGAAGAGACCTTCCATTTTAAGTGCATGCCGGAACGCAAACTCTTTGAAGATACGATCTGCCATGACTGTCTGCTATTCAAGGAGAAGCCACAGCTCTTGCGATGTCTGAAGAAAGAGAATCAGCTGCTACGAAACGAGCTGAGCAAGAATCAAGAACTCATTCACCTGTACAAAGCGCAGGCGGACTATTGCGCGTCAATGATAAAGGATATACTCGCTGGCGTTGAGGATGCGGAAAATTCGTCGAATAAAGATATCTCGAAGTCATGAATATCAACTCGTACGTGATCAATCCCTCTTCTCGTTATCACAGAAAGGTATCGCCGCTTTGTCTTAATGCATTTGTGGACCTTCCACTGACTGTGAGTATATATTAAAGATTGTTATGTATTGACATCGAACTGGAGAATGAAGTCTCGCGAATGCACATCTGCACTTAGATTCGAGCTACGACAAATTATCTAGACTGAGAGACACAGTTGAAGGAGCAAAGAATCATACACTATAGTTGCACGCAATGTCTGTTTTTGTATTTAGTGGATGTACATCAACTAGTCAAGACTATCACCATTGTATTACAAATACCTAATCAGACAGATATCATTCAGACTCATCCTTCTCCCTCGAAACATCCGCCCCCGACAATCGCCTAATCTTGCACAGTTTATCCCGCAACGCGTCACATTGAGACTCCAATTCGTTCACACGCGCCTGTAAGTTCTCGTTGTACTCTTTCATTTCCCAGATACACGCGTCTTTATCGTCGACTTTCTGCTTGAGCTGTTCTCTTTCTTGCTGGGGTTGCGAGTTTTGTGTGCGGAGGGTGTGGAGGCAGTTTAGATGGGTTTGGATGGTGTTAATGGCTGACTGCAGTTCGTCTGAGTGTTCGACGGTGGATAGTCCTAATTCGACGTGCTCTTCTGTATTCGTGATATCACTTTTGCGAGACGAGAGCGATGGTGATGAGGGAAGAGGAGAACGAGAAGAAGTTCGTCGACGCTTTGATGATGTACTTGCTTTGAGATGGATTTTGTGCTTTTTGGTTTGTTTCTTGTTTGGCTTAGGAGGTGTTTTGACCGAGACCCTTGTTATAGATTCGTTCATGTGCACAGGCGAGTCAGATAATGACATTGAAGTAGAATCCATATCCACTGCCAATTGTCCACCTCTTTGATGTTGAAACTCTGGCCATTGTGGAGCCACGCGCACAGCGAATCGCAGAGTCGCGAACAGCTCGTGCACTCCAAGAGCGCTTCGTCGCTATTCTTGCAAATGTAGCAGAATTTCACAAGGGGATCTTGTGCTGTTGACAGAGAATGTTAGAGTCGGTGGGCATCAGGGGATCTGATTAAAAAGACACGAACATGGTGAGAGTGCTGGCTCCTGAGCTGCCATGTGAATGGTCTCAGGTTGCTCGCTTTGAATCTGCTCTTCCATGCGAGGCGAGCGTTGGCATGGAGTATTGTTGTTACACACAGAAGAGTCAAAACCCAAGACAGCACGAAAACAAGGGGCTGGTCGTCTTCCATCGAGCAGACAGATCTTGTCACATGCATACAGATAACAAGAGTAACAATGTTACTGGTTTCTTTATAACGGACGACTTTGCGTGCCTGAGGTTGCTGTCCGCGGTTGCGCACTATTGTTGCCTGAGGCGACCAGCATTCATGGCTGTCGTCCTCCAGAGTTGTGTGTAATTAGCGCTAACTTGAGGTAAGAGACCAGGATACTACATCTATCGATATCTTATAGATATACATCATGCTGTGTATTCCCAATATGGGAATACAACATCCAAGTTAGGGTTCTGCAAGCCACGTGCTACTCGATAGCCCAAGAGATGCCTTCAAATTTCCACAATTGGACAGGGATATTGTTACTTACTGGGTATTGAATTATACTGAAAATTTGTTAATGTATTTTAATTACGTTTAATAATGCAGGAGTTATGTTAACGGCCGCCAGCCCGAATATTCATTCTACCATATCTAAATATATCTTGTCTGATCAATATATCTTATGTACAGAAACAGCATTATTCTCATGTTGCAAAGGAATTCTTCAAGGGATCCATATCCATATCATTGCTGTGCGATGCCCGAGACACCTGAAAAATTGTTAGCATGAATACACCACTTATTAGCCCTACGAAAAAAAAAAAAAAAAGAGGGAAAAGTGCTTACTTGCAACGTCCGGGTAACGCTGATACCATTCAACTCCATGCCGTTTGAATGGCTGTATATCGGGCGATCGCTCCCTGACCGATCGCTTAATGGAACTCCCTGAGATGGAGGCTTTCGACTTTTACTTCCCGGGGTTGCGTAGTCTGGATAGTTTGCATAGCGTCTGGTCTGCTGTCGACGACGGAAGAAGATAGCAAATGAAGGCAGTGTGCCGACGACGACAGCTACAGATTGTTAGACTTAGCACATATTCATTTCTTCCAAGTTTGAAAGACGAAACCCACCAATTGCACCTTCAATCTCACCCCAAAACATTAACCACGAACTAGACGGTGTCGTGTCGCTTCTGGACTCTAGCCCAACTTGTACTGTGCGTACAATGGCCATTATAATGCAGACAATCCCAACGCAGAACACGGCACCCAGACCGAGTTTTTCCTGGGTGGGCAAACGAAGCAGCCAAATCAGCTTCCAGGGGAGCAGCATGATCATAATATCGGTAAGCACGTCGACGGCGAAGGAAAAGTATAGACTGGCGACTTGAGCGACATCATCGCGATGAGTGGAGCATTCTCCTAGAAGGCAGATGTTAGATTGTCTTCGTCGAAACGTTAAAACGAAGACGATGCTTCTTACCAGGGGTGAACCATGCGTGCATACTCTGACAGGAGACGAAGTTCGTGATAAGGCATCCGACAAACATCTCAGAAATACAGTCAGCATGACAGCAATGCATCGACAGAGAGAATACACACCACAAGCGTAAGAATCAACACCCCCCACCACCATCTCATCTGGTCTGGCAGACCGGTAAAAAGTCGTCGATACAGAAACAACAAGCTCAATTTTACCGACCAAAGCACAATCCAAAAGACCATGGTATTTGCAAAGAAAATCTCGACTATGAACAACGCGTCTTTCTCGATGGATGCGTACAGCTGACCCGTTGAAATAGCGTTGTCGACTCGATACAACGAGGGCGCGACAACCGAGTATAACACGACCATGGTGAGGAAAGAGGCCCATGACAATATACAGAATCCATCTTCAATCTGGAACTCCCCCCATCTGTGCGTGCAGCGAAGAACAAATCGAGCTGCTGTGAAGACCGAAGCGATGGCCAGGGTGGCATAGCCAGTGGAGAGCACTTGGCTCTTGCTCACCAAAACCTCTGTAGCTGTAGCACTCATTTTGTTCTTTTAATATCTGTCTTGCTTTATAGCCTTGCGTTCTGGCTTGGTTTACCCTGCCCTCCCCTTCAACCACGACCCACGGGCAATGTCTTTCTGCACAGGTCGCCTCTGGAGATAGTCGACAGTAGAAATAGCCCAGTCATGGAAGCGGCGGCACTCATTCTACGGAAATTTCCGGCGTGGAATAGATCAATCCTTGATATCGAGCATGTTGGCTATAATATCATGTCATGGGTGAACTACTTGACAATCTGAGTGACAAGTTAGGGACATACTTTTACTCTAAATGTCCAGAATCCAGACTTCAGACTGACTAGCAACGGCCCCTAACACAGTGGTAAGAATTTATCCTACGAACAGTCATAGAGAGGAGTAGAATTCATCTAAAGTCAGCCATGTCAGGGCTTCGATGACATGGAGCGTGGTGGCGCACGCCACTGCATGCATCCAGTGATTGTGCTACTAGTACAAGCGTTAGTCCACCCTGGATGTAACGCTCGAAAGTTAGATATATAATCAATCAATCTTTAACTCCCTACTTAAAGTCCCCCTGCCGCTTTTACCTGCACATTTTGGCACAGAAAATGTCGCCGCAGATGGTGAAACCTGTCATCAGCAAATGTTGCACATCCCGCTGATTGCCCCGGTCCCAGCTATACTCCACACTATTATACAGCATCCCCCCCTTGTATAGATAATATTTATGCTCGTATATCCCTGCTAATTTCAACGCGTAGGATTGGGATGTGTTGGTGGCTGACGCTCTGGGCCGCTGGGAGTTGCCGATTCGGGCGTTAGGGCTAGGGCTAGGGCTAGTTGAAGCTGGACACGACGCACTCGAACATAAAGCATGCAAGCAGAAGCCTGGAAAGCTTGAATTGTGATTGCCGTTCATCATCACCAAAATTATCTCGCCTACATGTCTTAGCGCGGAGTAGGATTACCAGCGAGCGATTTAGTCAGACGTTTATCTTCTATTCACAGGCTACCAGGGCACTAGCTGGCTTAGCGGACGCCGAGTGCGTGGGATTGATTAGCGGTGACAGCCAAAGTCTACGGTACATTACATGTATGTAGGCTGTGGATGGCAGGACCTTTACTTAGCTATACGAAATGCTACAGTCGATCTCTTGCCGCTCTTCAACGGTGTAACCATCCATGCAGTAGCAATTCAGATAGCAGCAGATGCGATAAATAGACCAGGCAAGTACACAACAAGCAGTTGGATAGTGAGGATTCTCTACACATTTTAATCTAGCTGTTTCCAACTCTGTAGGCTCAGGATAACGTGCCTAATGTGGATGTCTCTCTGTAGTCAAAGCAAGGCTGCTCATTACTAATGGACATGTACTAATGGACAAGCAATGCTCTTGTCATTATTTAATTTAATATATAGTTACATAGAAATATAGACATCAGTGGACATTATTTCTTTACAAGTATAGTTGGTTTTTTGCGCCCGTTCTTGCTTGTTACCCCCCAGCCTCTCGTTTGTTTTCCCGGCCCCTGTCTGTCGCTACCGGGATTGTCTCTTTCGGACTTTGCCTTTCCTTGCTCATTCTCTTATCCAGTTTAGAATTACATATCTATTTTGCAACATGAGGCAATTCAACCTAACACTCGCTGCATTAGCTACGACGACCGGCCTCGTCGCTGCGCAATCCAAGGCGGCCATTGAAAAGCAATTGCAGGCCAACGGTCTCAACATCGCGCTTCTGAATAGCACTATCAACGGCCCTCTCGCAACTACTGATTGCTCGCTATTGGTAAGTTCTAATAAGACGCTTTTTTAAAACTATTGTTTGGCATTTGGAGATGATCCTGCAGGGGGTTTCTGCCAAAACGGCCCCATCAGATCAGACCAGACACAGATGGTCCCTGACATGATGACTGACACTCGACACTCGATATTTGCTTCTGTCAAACACGTGTTGATCACATGCAAGCTTCTTGTGTACTTGTCCACAGTCTGGGTATGCAACGCTGACCAGCTTAACAATTAGTGTTCCACCATCAACCTGTTCTACCCTAACAGAATCCTAACACAAAATGAGGCTGCCTTCACTAATTGGACAGAGTCCTTCTGGTCCCAACAGCAAGAAGTCGTCACGCCACGATGTGTTTTTGAGCCCACGTCAGCCGTGGAAGTTTCGTCGGCTCTGCTCCTGGCCGAGCTATTCTCCTGCCCTTTTGCCGTGAAAAGCGGCGGCCATGCTGCCTTTGGTGGCTCGTCCAACATCGAGAACGGGCTGAGTATTTCCTTGGGCGGGCTGGATGAGATTGTTTTAAGTGACGACCAGTCTGTCGTCTCCATTGGTTCCGGCAATATCTGGGTCGATATCTATGATTACCTGGAGGAATATAGCCTGGCCGTCATTGGAGGGCGAGTCTCGACGATTGGCGTTGGGGGGTTGACTACCGGAGGTAATTTTTCCTAACCCTTGTGTCTAGGTATCTTCAGATACACGCAGATAGGTATCTTCATTGCTAACGTTGAAACCTCCGCCCCAGGCGGCATCTCCTTTTTCTCCCAAGAATATGGATGGGCCTGCGACAACGTTGTCAACTACGAAGTCGTCCTCGCGTCTGGCATAGTCGTTGATGTCAACATTGACTCATACCCAGACCTATATTGGGCCCTGCGTGGAGGAGGCAACAACTTTGGCATCGTCACCCGCTTCGAGCTCAGCACGATCCAGCAGGGATTTCTCTGGAGCGGATCGTTGATCTACCTGTCCGAATACACCACTGACGCCATTGACGCCTTCTACAACTACGGTCTCAATGCTGCTTCCGACCCCAAGTCGGCCGTTATCATGAACTGGGCGTACGACGAGGGCATGTTCCTTGCTGTCGCCGACCTTGAATATGCAAACACCACCGTCAACCCGCCCATTTTCCAGAACTTCACTGTCATTCCGACTGTCGAAAACACCATGGCCAACCGGACTCTATCCGAGGTCACCGACATGTTCCAAGAGAGTAACCCGGATGGACTGCGTGAAAGCTATTGGACTGCTACATTCAGGCTATCCAAGGACATGATTGCGTTCCTCGTCGACACATTCGAGGAAGAAGCCATCCGCGCCGCCAATGCAACGGGATACATCCCTGCGCTGGTCCTGCAAATCATCTCTACCGACATGACGACGCAGATGCAGAAGAACGGCGGCAATGCGCTCGGTCTGTCGCCCGTAGACGGCAATCTGATTCTTCTCAATCTTTCATTCATGTGGGACGATATTGCTGACGATAATCTCATCCTCGACATCCTCGGCACCATCACGAACAAGTCGATTGCATACGCCAAGGAAAATTGTCTGTACAAGGAGTACCTGTACATGAACTACGCCAGCCAGTATCAGGCTGTGCTTCCGTCGTACGGCACCGAGAACTTTAACAAGTTGAAAGATGTTTCAGCCAAGTACGATCCGTTCCAGGTCTTCCAGAAGCTGCAGCCAGGATATTTCAAACTGAGCAGCCAGCCACCGAATACGACATATCCAACTTATGATTAAGCTGTATCCCTCGTTGATTGCTGCCTGTTTCTCTTGCTGCTGTGTACTGTACGCTCGACTTGGAATCTTTCAATGTATTATTAATCAAGGATATAGTTATCCTACCTAACGTAAAGCATGTCAACTGTTAGGCGGAAGTGGTGAAGCTCGCGATCGTGGTATATGAAGGGAAAATTTTTTGGTTCTGACATAATTAAAGTATATACATTTCGTGCACATAAACGAGATCGTGCCAGTTCAACATCGTATTCATATATCCAAGTGCTACGCCGACTTTTGCACCGGTTTCTGTCCATAGCATATCGTCCTGTCCATAGGTTTAGCGCAGGTCGATCACATTCCAGCAGAGGCAAGGGACACTTACACATTTTGGTAGGCGTGGATTGACTTGTTACGCAAGTCCAATCTGATTTGATCAATCAGAGCCCTGGTCTCCTCAGGTGTCCACTGTTTGTATGGCTGTATTAGCAAAAAAGAAGAAAACTCCCATTCGCATTATAAGTATACCCACCCCGAGATAATTTGTGAATAGAAACATCGCCCACCCCTCCAGACCTTCTTCCCAGCCAATTCGATTATAAGCGCCAATTTCTTTCATTCGGCGGTCTCGTGGCCACGGTCCCACGGGCCACTTGAACGTCCGGTAGGTGACGTTCTCGAAGCCAGCCTGGCGGAGGAGCCGCTCCGCGTCCTCGGCGATACTGAAGGATTTGCCAAACTTGACTCCGCATTCCAGGGCCAACGGTCCCCAGCGTTCTATACTGGTGCCAGCGATCGAGCCATCTTCGGAGCGGGAGACGACGCTAATCTCGGCCTGCTCGTACCACCCCCCTGGTTTAAGGTGTTGGATGACCTGGTTATAAAGAGCGGGATAGTCGGCGACGCAGCCGTAGATGGATCGCGCATGGATGAAATCAAAACTCTCCTTTGTAAAGGTCCACTCGGTGCAGAAGTCGTCGACCTGGAATTCCAGGTTTGGCGGGACCAGGGTCGGCTGGATCGGGGACAGATCGGTCGCAATCACCGAGGCCGAGGGATATGCGTCTGCGAAATCAATCGCCCAGAGGCCGGTCCCGGTGCCCAGGTCCAGCACGCGAGAAGGGTTGTCGGTGATGGGAGCGAGGAAGAGGCCACCGCCGAGAGTGAGGCCGAAGAGATGGTGGAAGAGATCGAGGTTGTCGCAGGCTTGCTCGTCGTTCGGGCCCCTATATCATCATGTAAGAAGACTCCGCAGGTATAAGGCTGTAGCGGCCATACCAGTACGCGCCCTGCCGGAACGCATGATAGCGACGGCCGTTCTGGTAGATGTAGTCTCGGACGGACGACTTGAGCGTGGTAGTCTGCGACTCGCGGTCGCTGTCATCGCCGTAGGACGAGTCGGCGTCGCCCAGCCATTCGACGTCGTCGTCGCCGCCGTGCTCGAGAGGCTGTTGCATTGTCAGTCTCGCGGGTTGTGGGCAGACACGCTTTACATGGCAGCAGCGAGACTTATATCGCGGTCGACAGCACTGCGAGCGCGGGTGGCATGGTGCGTGCATCCGGCGCACATATTTGTTCTTATATTCATTCATTTATTAAGATGTTTCCCACTTGGTTCTGTCGTTTCATGCACATGGCTAGCGCGCGCGCTGATTGGCCGCGCGGGCCGTTCGGGCCTTAGGCCCCCAACGCCGCGAGTCATTTTCCTCACTTTTGGGACTTCCCAATATTGGGCTCTCTCTCCCTTCCCTCACTCACCTCAACTCTCACGCCACGACATGGCCACCGCATCCCTGCTTGCTGCAGCGGCCATTGCCCTAGCCGCCTACGCTACCTATCTCGCCGTTGCACGCCTGCTGCTCAGCCCGCTGGCCCGTTTTCCCGGCCCCAGACTCGCAGCGCTGACCAACTGGTACGAGTTCTACTACGATGTCATCCTGCAGGGCCGCTTCACGGCGCACATCCAGGCGCTGCATCGTCGATACGGTGGGTCTGCCTGATGGCAGGAGTCCAATCTCTGAGGCTGCTAACGCGGCCTGCCAGGCCCAGTTGTGCGCATCACACCCACCGAGCTGCACGTCGACGATCCAGACTTCTTCGACGTCTTGTATGCCCGTGATGGCCGCAGGCACAAGTACGCCTACTTTTCGGGCCGCTTCGGCTATGCAAGTGACAGCTTCTCGACCATCCATCATGAGCTGCACCAGCAGCGGCGCAAGTCCCTGAGCCCGTTCTTTTCCGCCAAGCGAATCAAGCAGTTCGAGCCCGTCATCAGGGTCAAGGTCGGCAAGCTTTGCTCGACCCTGTCTCGATATGTTGACGACGGCCGAGTGCTGCCGCTGAGTCGCGCCTGGATGGCTTTGACCACCGATGTCATCACCGAGTATGCATTTGCCAAATCTTACGATCAATTGGACTCGCCGGACTTCCAAGAAACCCTGCATGATGCCCTCGTGGCCATCTACACCACCGGCCATTTTGCGCTCCATTTTCCCATTGTATTTCCCATCTTAGACTCGCTGCCGGACTGGCTGGTGACGAAGATGGAGCCACGTCTTTTGCCAGTGGTGGGTCTTCGGAAGGTCAGTACAAAGGAATACTCTAGCGCATAACACGTAGTAGTAAACAAGTAAAAAAAAAGCATAGGATGTAGCGAGAGAAAAAAAAAAAAAAAAAAAAGACACTGACTGGGACGACAGGATCTCGGTCGCAGGGTTGGAGAAATTCGAACGGGTCTGAATGAACTCCACAAGCATGCAGACCATCCGACCATCTTCCACGAACTATTGCATAGTGATCTCCCAGACGAGGAGAAGACTGACGCGCGCCTAGGCGACGAGGCACAGCTGATAGTAGCTGCCGGCTTGATCACTACATCATGGGCATTGAGTGTTGCTAGCTTTCACATCATTAACAACCCTGCTGTAGCGGCGATATTGAGACGCGAATTACTCTCGTCAACGTCTGCTATCGAAAAAGCCGACTTGCATGAATTGGAAAAGCTCCCGTATCTTCATGGCTGTGTGAAAGAGGGTATTCGACTAGCTCACGGAATCGTGACCAGAAACCCCCGTCTAGCCCCCGACGTGGACCTCCAATATGGCGAGTGGGTTATCCCACGCAACACACCTATCTCAATGACGAACGTCGATGTCCTCATGAACGAAACCATCTACCCGGATCCGGCGGAATTCATGCCTGAACGATGGATAGACAATCCTCAGCTGGATCGTTATTTCGTCCCCTTTGGCAAGGGGTCACGGATGTGTTTGGGCGTCAAGTAAGTCATATCTCCTTGCGTCACGTTTCAGAAACCTACGTTAACAATTTATTCCATCTAGTCTTGCCCTCGCTGAGCTGTATGTGACGATTGCCACTGTGTTCAGTCGCTTCGACTTTGAGCTGTATAACACAGATTTGTCAGACGTGCAAATGAAGCATGCTTATCTCGTGCCTTACACCAAATGGGAATCCAAGGGTGTGCGAGTGAAGGTTAAACTGCCTGAGCATAAGAATTAAGCTCGACAGCATGTGTTTTTATGTATCAATATGATTGTTACGTATATCCTCCAATATATATCTACGTACTGTTTTCTTGAACTCTGCTTTATCATAAATTTCTTTGATGACAAGACAGCTTTATCCGATGAAAGGAACCTACACTGCGCCAGCAACTTCAGCAACCTCCCTTTGTTCCAGTTAAGTCGACTGCAAGAAACGCCATGAAAAGTCACATATCTTGATACAAACAAAGTGCTTCATTTCGTGGCTGACCCACAGTTTGACTCGGGCTGACTGACTTTCACAAGACAGGATGATAATGACTCCAAATATGAATGACGATGACGGCCTCAATTTCGGGTATACAAAGAAAACGTCTTTGAAAAAATGGCGTTCTCTTTCTCGTTTTCAATCAGTTGAACTCATCTTTTCCGCAGCTACATCATGTGTACTTTCTTTGGCCAGAGCCTCTCAAAATCTACGTCGATATAATCGAGTCTTGAAACCCGCCCTCAAAGACCATAGATATATTGAATGCGGCCGTGTGCGAACGGGAAATGTATGAGATGCATCAAAAGGCATTATATGCGTACGAGGGCCTTTGCAATGCCTCAAAGCGAATGCGTATGAGATACATTGCATGGAATGTAGCAGAACAGTATATTCCCAGCATAAATAGCAGGGCAAGGATCTAGCTTCTTCCTACTCATCAGTGAACCAGAATTGTCTTTTTTCCTTCCCCTATCCCCTTAGAGAAAGTTCGGAATCCCACCAAAATATGGATATCAATCGCGCGATAATCGACGCCGGTCTGAACATAGACGATGCTCTCCTCCAAGGTTCCCGTTTGCAGATAGATCTTCCTTCGTCACAGCAACTTAACCGATTCCAATGCGTGGGCGCATTCGTTGGAAAGAGCCCTAGCCATTTTAGAGTTTGGGTTATCACCAAGCACGCTCTACCAAAAGAGTCCAACGTTACTCCAATGGACGAAAAAACTACTTTATCCATAGTGCCAATGAAGAATCTTGGGGATAAGGGCTGGTCAGCATTATTGACTCAACCTATTGATTGTAAAGTCAGGCAGGTTAAAAAGGCCACTATCAACCCCAATGAAACAACACTTTTTGGGAAGTCCAAGTTCGAGTTTAAAATAGGTGATGAGGCATATAAGGATCTACAGGCTGTCTTTGACGATGCAAAATTCCAGGACACAAGTCTGTATTTTACAGTTCAAAAGAAGTCCTGAGTATATGCTTTTGACGAACTTTCAAAACCTGGAGACTATTCCGAGTTGAACACTTTCTTATACGGAGGATGATGATTTCCTTCTTCTCTACCCATTCCTCTCTTTTTCTTTGATCTCTAAAATGTATTCTTTTAAATGGTTACGCTTTCTATAGGCTAAATAATTATATCTATCATAACCACAAAATCATCCACAAACGAACCTTCCTTGCAAAAATCATGGATGGGGATATACACACCCTAATAACCAAATCCAATCTAGATCGTCAGTTCTACTGTTACGGAACTCCTCTGAAGCTAAGATATCTTGAGGCGAAAAACTAAACTTCCTCTAATCGTATAGGAGTAAGAGAAAATGACAATTCTGATAGACTGATAGATAGAGACCTAGATTATTTTCCCTGCTATTTGCTAGGAATCCAATCTACTACTACATTCCATGAAATCTTAGATAATGCCTTTTGATGCCTTATACTTTTTCACTTTGAAAGGCTTCCCAACGATGCCGCATTTAGGCATCTAGAATATTATCCTAATGTACTACCTATATTAACAATTGCTACTCCTATAGAAAGTTGCCTGGTCAGGTATATACACTGCAGCACTGGTGAACACTACACACATCAAAAGGTCAGACAATACAAGAATCATCTGTTCCTAACTTTCATGACTCAAAATGGCTGACTCTCTACATAATCGAATGATAATGACTCCTCTTACATACAAAGAAAGATTCAGGTATAAAATAGCCCATCGAGAGCATTCAATACATTCAATCACCCCATTTTCCTCTTCTCACAAACACAATTTTTCCAAATTTCTTACCTACATATCGAATCCCAAGAAATTCAAAACAGAACAAAATGTCCAACACAACTTCAAGCATCACGTCTACTGAAGTACCCTCCTTGAATCCGGATCGTGGCGATATCATCACGCCCGCGCAAGACTTCGCTACCGCGGGAATGGTCAAGCTTCAACACGATGTATATTGCTACGATAATGATCAGCAGTATCCGATCAGCGCATACGAGATCGATTCAGTATATTGCAGAAAGAGAATAGAAACAGAAACCTTCGTTCGGATATCCATCTCACACCTTGCACCAATGGTTGAGAGATATAGACAAAAAGTGTGAGGTTCTATGCGGAGCGCAAGGATGGGCAGAGCTGTGGATCAAAATCTCTTATTGAATACGCTTGGTCACCAGAGGACGATCGTAACGTCCGATTGAAGTGCGACAAGAATATCTTGTTTTTAAAGGAATCCCTGAAGAGAAAGTCGTCGAGGTCGAGGAGTATGAAACGGCAGTAGACGATCGAAAACGCACAGTGCACGTGCTCATACATTCAACTTATGATGACCAGCATATTAGCGAAGAGCGTAAGATGAATCGTGCAAAATGGAACATGGATGGCCTCATAAATTACCCAGATGATTATGTTTTCGTGTCCAGCTAGTGTTCAATGAGAACGGTAGCGCTGTAAAGCAACCGACAGTGCAGTCAAGCGAAATTGATCAAGGCGCATCACCTTTTCTGTCGGATTGATATGTTAATATGTATATCAATAATCTGTTGAAGGCTAGGGTTTTTTTATCTTATATTTATATTGGACTATACTATCATGATAATAATTCATTTCCATTTACCCGTATGAGCCGTGACTACTGTTAATCGTTCCTATTACCATGGTAAATCAGAAATATGAGGAATTAACTATCAATCAACGAAATGACCCTCGTGCAAGAGGACTCAGACATGCGCATGTATAAAAACGTGTCATTGACCATGCTCGAAACAAAGGTCTGAGAAGGTCTGAAGCTGAATACATGAAAATAACACCAAATTCATACTCAAAACATGCGTAACTTTCTCATACATCATCCACTTGATCTGTATAATTAGGTGTTGAACCTAGTAAAAGAATCGTTGTTGAACATAAGCAATAATGAACAAAGCGTCCTCGCCATATGACTGAGGAAGCTCAGGGCCGTGACAAGTGCACAATATTTTTCTGACAGCTAGAAAACGAATGACTCCAGTGGTACCCAACGTTTTTGCTACAACTGATCTGCTGAATCTCTCATTCCCATCGTTAATCTTAGAAACATTGAACATAGCATAAAGCTAGATACTATTTGATCGTTGAGACACCAAGTACGTGTCCCTCAGGTCTGAAACGCCTCTGTTAGAGTTGGGAGTGGATAATCAGACGGCCGTCGATATATGGTGATTCTTGAATGTTCGTGTAAGAAACGGAGGGTCCACCGGGAAAAAGGTTTTTAAAGATCTCGATCTGAATATTTAACAGCCCTATCGCATCAGATTTAAGACCAGCGAGTTTAGAGAATTCATCCGGCTTGGCAATTGCATTGACTGCAACGTCCCAGGCAATGGTCATGAGCGGTCCAACAACTGGAACGAGGCTTAGGGCTTCTGATCCCAAGCCCTTCACCCATTCTATTGCTTGCGACTTCTCTGCTGGCTTGAACTCGTAACTTATCCCATCGTTGACCGAGTGATAGTAGTCCAGCCAGCAAAAGCGCTTCCCGGACTCCTTGGGTTCCACACGCCAGCAGTCCAGTCCATAGTCAAATCCAACCGTATTTGGGTTCCAGATTTTGATATAGTCATAGCATGGATGATCTCGCTCTCCAATCCTATCCCTTGGAATGCCAAGTGACATAATAACTGGCCAGTAGTCTATTATTAGACAATAGGGCATATAGCCTAGCCCGAACGTCTTTGCTGACAGCTGCTGGCTGCTTGTCTTGCCGTCCTTGATCGCCGACCAACGTTTTCCGAATTCGTCAAGGTCTAGATTGTCCTTTTTGTAGAAGAGAATCTGCCCCAGTCTGCTCATTTTTGGGTAGTGAGCGTCACTGTACTGCATGGGAAAGTACAGCGCCCTAATTAGGAGCGTTGGGTCCAGTCCTAAGTACGGAGTTTCCACATAGGACTTGGGGAGGGGAAACGCAAGCAAGACAGCTTTTGGATTTTCGCTCAACCAACTGTGAGTATTCGTATTATTCACTGGAGGAAACCATACAGGTTTCTCTGCATGATAGTCCTTCTTATACCATCCATCCTTGGGAAGGTGGAAGACGGTTGTGGAGTGGAAAAATGAGTACCCTTTCTGAACATTCAAGTTGAAAATTCCAGTCCCGTCATCACCATCCCAATTACCCCTAGGGTAGGGAGGAGTGACTTTCCGGCGTTCATCTGTGTGACTATACCAGCCGTATGCATGGTTCGGACACACCTCGACTAGAAAGTACTGGTAGAATCCTTCTGGGGTTTGCATGCACTCGGGCAGGGAGTCATTACTGCAGACCCCATTGCCTTCCGGGTCTGCAAACAACGGCATAATGGATACTGGTAATTGCGACTTGTTCAAACACTGAAATAGTATAATTTGTGTTTTCTAACGGCCAGCTCAAATCATGCTTTGAGAGTCAGACCTTTATATAGTTACCTGGGTACACAAGACCTCGGCTACAATTTCTCCTTTTCCGTGTAGGTGGAAGCATGTGTTTAACAGAGTGACTAACAGATGCAGCCACATACGAATCCGTGGAGGATCATGTGCTGAAATGATGAAAGTGTCAGACAATAACGAGATAGATTATACTTACGGGCATGGGTTACCGTCTTCAGGTCCAATTCTCCACAATTCTTCCCTTCTGACGATCAGGAATAGGCCCATTCTGCTACTGGTTGTCGGAGTTTATATCTAAAAATGTCATAGCTGAAGATTATGAGGGGCCGCAATCATTTCATTTATGAATCATTTACGTAGATCAAGATACGATACAAGGATGTAGGCAGTGGCTGGCTGAAGATCAGAGTTTACTCATCATCGTCCGCTCATGACGGAATAAATATTATTCAATCACCTTTCCTGCGGCATATTCTTCCTCGCCATTCACGAAGTTCGGTCCATTGACCAGTGTATGGAAAGTTATGACGGTAGTGACCATATGTAGTCCGCTCCGCGCTTGCTCCTACGTCGACTTGCTTTGTATTTTTAGCTACGCGAGATTCTTATATAGCGCAACTGCCAAATTCTCAACGACTGGGTGGACCCCTGTCGACCCCTACGAGATACATTCGTAACTTATGCGTTATCTTGATTAGGGAAAAGGGTGGCTCCACTGGGCGGGTGGGCCTACGGGCCGAGCCTAGAACAAACACTAACTCGATTTATTAATACTGTATGCGTTATCTTGATTAGGGAAAAAGTGGGCGTAGCATGCTGGCCTGTGTAACAAGCAACATGTCTGCCCAATTGTGTATGACAATAAGTTCGATGCGAGATCAGGGAGAAAGGCAAAAGTGTGATACTTCAGCTGGTCATGGTCATTTATCGCCACAAAACGGCATGAATGTCTCTTATATAGAATGGTGTGAGAAATGACAATGTAGAACAGTGTCAAGCTTACTAGGCCTTAACTAGGTCTCAGCATGCCTCAACCAATTAGAAGCGTGCACATGCAGAGATCAGGAATATATAGTTTTGTCAGGATGGCTATAGTTTACTACTAGGGTATTCTTAACACATCTATACAGTGATACAGATAGCAATGAACGGGGTTCCGGATCCCTTCTGGCCAGTAATAGTCGCAATGCAGGTTCTTCCGGACAAGGTTGAGACAGCGTAGCTCGTGCATGCCATTGAGAATTTCGATATGGAGATCGGGATTCTCATTGGCCCGTACATTAAGCGACGGGATCTTTCCCAAGCTTGATGACTTGCTCGGTGGTGAGGTATACGCGTCTCAAACGGGCAAGGCACTCCCATGCTACATTGACCTCCTCGCTGGGTAGCTGACGATAGATGGATGAGTTGTCGACGAAGGTGAAGCCGCGAACATTGATCACGAGGGTGTCAAGTTCATCGACGATGGGGCCCACGTCAATAAGATTAGTACAGTTTACGTGAACCAATAGCATTTGTGTGTACTATACGTACAGTATGCAGAGGTTTGCCTTGGGAAGTCTGTTCCGCTCTGTGGAAGCCGGCCTGTAGCGGAGAACGGCGGTCATGAGCATTGCCAGCGAGAAGCACAATATAGTTAGATTGAGACAAAGGGGCGAGGGGGAGATAGAGCTAGCTGAGAGGCTTGTCTCTCAAATGTGTGTCGATTTAACGCTGACCAGCCTATCTGAGGACTACTGCAAGTGTCGTGGGTCAATATCAAGATAGGAAGAATGAGAATATAGCCCGCTCATTGTTACATCAACACACTGTATCTGATAATGCTATTGCATATTGATAGGATCGAGTGAGTTGATACAATTCTCACCACCTTCCAAGGTAGGTATAAGGTTTCAATACCAACAGTCACTTGCAAGTATTGTATAAGCTTGCAGATTCTTCTCAGAGAATAATTTTCAAGATCATCTCTCATACCATACGAATACTCGAGCAGTCCTGTTGAATAATCCACTGCTACACAATTATCTTGGGCCTTCTGGCTGCCTAAGCGATAAGTCGCCACCCTTAAAAGTTTATCGTTTACTGGAATCTACGCTTCAATATGAGCTAACAGGTTCTAGACAAGTGTGGGACGAATGTTGAAAAACGTAATGGAGAGATGATCTACCCGTTGCGGGTGACGCTCTTTGGAGTGCCGAGAAGCGGGAGAATTAAGGGGACTCTTATGGCTGAGGTCTTTGCTAACTCAGAAGCCCAGCATGTCTTGCTTCATGTGAAACCCCGGGGTTCGCTATCATCAGTCTTCTAAGATTGGACATTTGCTACTTGTGGTAGCTACTAGTCCTAGTGATTTGACTGAGTGAGAATAGTAATTTTACGTTCAACCGTCTATCTTTTCCAGCTATTTGTGTATCTTGTTACCAAGAATCTCGATATCAGAGTCACAGTTCGGACCTTCATCACCCGAGCTTCTATGTCAATGCACGAGTACTAAAATGATTTTTATCGCATGCTGATTTATTAATCTCACTACCATACCGTTTTGATATATCTATCAAGTCTTTGATATAGAGGGGTCGTAAGGCCAACAATGAACGGACAGAGCCATTCTTTATCCCTCTTCCGCTTTCACTCCGGTGTTGGAATCCCAACAACGAAGCCTGTTTTGGTACGTTGCGAATGCTTGAAGCAAGCCTCGGCACGTTTGCTACTTGCTAGACTCACTCTGAGCATTGGTCTCCCGGATGATCAGCCAGAGACATTTGCGAAACGGATCATCCTCCTCATCATTCGCATTCACAAGAGTTTTCTTCGCATGGCGTGCACCCCTCGGCCCCCCTCTAGAATCCCGATTATTGTGCTTCTTCAGCGCGGCATTAAATCGAGTCAACCTCGATTCTGAAGTCCAAGGTAAGATATCGAGTTCAAGCTCCGCTATCCACGGCTGCAAGATCCGGATACGCTGTTGCTGCGCATCGAATGACATGTCGCTCCCATCATTCTGATCATCATCCCAGTCACCACCGCTGCTACCAACAGAGCCCCGCAATTGCATCAATTGCTGCAAAAGCGGTGACTGCAGACTGACTTTCCCTCTGGAATCAAGAATAGGAATTTTAGCAATATGTGCAAGCGCATCCAGCTTGGCAATCTCAATTTTGAGCCCGCGCGGGCCAAAAATGTCCCGATTTGAGTCTCTTAAGAAAGTATCCGTACGGCTCTTGGAAACACCTAGGTTGCCCAAGTTGGCAATTCCGCTAACTGCGGATCCAATCCAGTGCAGGGGGAAGAGAATGGGGACGGAGCTCAAAAGGCCGCCTGTGGCATCAAGGACCTGCAATGGCGGACTGTTTGCGATAGCTTTATTCAATCTGTCAAGAAAGCTCAGAAAGACTTCCTGGGGAAGATTGTAGTCTTTCAAGATTGGAGCATAGGCGCGGATGAACGGGGAGTTGAAGGATGAGTCAACTGCTGGGATGGCCACTGTTCTTTTGGGTTGTTGCTGTGTTGACGATAGTGGTGGTGTATTTGAGCTTTCGCCAGTCTCAAACATGCCCGTGTATGCGGGAGGTTCTTCATCGGTGGATTTGGCTTCCGATATTGAGGAATTACCAGAGTGAGATGTTTCCTCGTCTACCTGGTCGGGACGGGACCATGGATGATGCGCTTTTTCTGAGGCCATTCCGCCTTTGGCGATAGAACTGAAGAATTAGAAACACCTTCGTGTTTACCAGCGGTGGTCAGTGGGTATCTGCCAAGAGCCTTGGAATGGCCTGCAAAGACTGACAGGCACAGCTAGGTATACTGCAAGTGGATGTATGTCAATTATTAGCTCTTGGAGTGTCGAATAAGTCACTTCTATCAATGCTGTGGTGTGCCGAGTTTATATGCCTGTGGACATGGAAAAAGACGCTCAGCCTCGGGCAGAAGAGAAATAAGCCACACACTTGTCTACGTGGCTGTGTGTGTGGCTGTCATGCACTAACCTAACTATGTAGGTACGTGGATTTCGAGCACAGACACAAGGTTTATACTCAATACTTAATGGTTGAACTAATGAGCATTGTTAATGAATGTAAATGGATACAATAACTGTGTACTTTGTATATGTAGCCCGAGCCCGGTGTGGGAGCTCCTGGTAAATCAAGGCCTAACCCTAACCCTAGACTGCAACTCCTATACCTCTCTTTTATCTTCTTCTTTGTGTAAGAATAAAAAAAAGGGATAAAGAGGCAAGATTAAACTAGTATTGAAATCACTAACCATTAACTAACTCAATAATCAAAGGTTCGTGACGAATCAAATTCTCAAGTGCTGCTCCCGAATCATTTTACTGGGTGTATAAACCGGCCCGGGTGAATCACATGCAGTCGTTTTTTACAAAACGAACATAAAATTTGGGTCCCGGTCATCGTTATACCCAGCATACCTGTCATACTTACCATTCGCCTTATCGCGATTGACCTTGTGGCACCAGAGCACATTGAACAGTATCCTATAGCTTGCCGTTAGCCTGGCTCGCACAGCTCGAGTCGGATGTAGTTCAGAATAGAACAAAACAAGGGATGCACCATACATAAACCAAGCAAAAACTAGCAACGCTAAAATGACCGTATGTCCTTTATGATACCGTGGCGCATCACTCGACGGATAAATAAAAGTTGCAACGAACCCGCCACAATTGGCGACCGCAAGCTGCATTGCTGACGTCGTTGCGCGCTTGTAGTGGCCAGCGGAGTTGTTTGAATTCCAGACTAGAACGCAGGGCACGCTGGCATACATTCCAGTTGCCATGAGGAAAGTCATACCGTATTCGACCTGGGCATTGGAAACGTTGGCAATGACTGCGTAGCCGACTATGGCAAAGGGCAGTGTGAATAGCATTACGACGCCGCGGAGTTTAAGACGATCGGATAGAAATGCAATGAGGACTATTATGAGTATCAGCTTCTTTCACCGTTCCTTTGTCGAAGAGGGAGGCAGGGGGTAGGGTTTGAGACACACCGGTAAATACCGTGGCCACGGCATACGGAATGACAGACCACAGTTGCACTCGATTGGCATTGGTGGTAAATCCTGAATCTTCGATGATTGTAGGAAGAAAGAGACCGAATGAGTACAATCCTGCTAGTATGGCAAAATATGCAAGCGCTGAAAGCCACATTGAAATGTCGGTGATGCCGCGCAGGACTTCGGACCATTTGAGAGATTCGCTCTCGGAGCTTAATGGTCAGTATATTTCCACTATATATGAAAGCTTTCAGGTCACTTCTTATCGGCGCAAGAGAAACCTACTTTGTATTGTCACCTTGTGAAGGTTTGTCTTGCAAGATTCTCCCCTGTGCCAACTCGCGCTCTGCCGGAGTCAAGAATGTCGCTGTTGCTAGGCTGTTTGGTAAACCGACAGCGGCGATGATGCCGCACACGACAGTCTAAAAAGTGCAATTCGTTAAAACACATGCAATCAAACGTGGTATATAAACAAACCAGCAAACCCTCAATGATGAAAATCCATCTCCATCCCTCCAGGCCACCCCGGGGACCAATCTCCACCAAGCCTCTTGCCAGTAGTCCACCAAAAGCGCCGGATAGTGACGCTGCGGTATAGAACAGACCGATTCGTAGAGCAAGATCCGAGCGCTTATAGAAAGCTGACAGGTACAAAACCTTTGGATTCGGTATTAGCACAACCCGTACTGTGTGCCCATAGATATAACTTACCATTCCGGGCAATAGACCTCCCTCGGCAACTCCCAATAGCGCTCGCACCGCGACAAAGGAGCCATAACTGGATATGAAACCCAGACACATGGTGATTATTCCCCACAGGACGGCGAGAAAAGGCAACCAGACCCTTGGTGAAGCTTTCTTTAGCACGAGGTTGCTGGGTAATTCACTACGGGAGTTTATTAGCCATGGATATTACCAACGATGCAGGTTCTCATGCTAGCAAGACAATTGTCGTACCTGCACACATAAAACAAATAGAAAACAGCCAGGCCGATGTCATATTGGTGGTCAGTAATGCCCGTATCATTCTCGAGGCCGAAAATCTTGGCGTTTCCGACGTTTGTGCGATCGAAGAACGAGCATAGAAATAGTAAGGCGAGGATAGGGAGTATTCTGAGATCACAGTCAGCCAGTAATTCTGGAAGTACTGAGAATAATCGCACCTGATGTCTGTTTTGAGCAGAATTCGGCGAACCTCAGCGGACGCCTCGTACTCGAAAAACGTGGGCGCAGATGCAGCGTCCTCGAGCTTCTCATCTGGCGGACTCTTGCAAGGGGTTGCCCGTTCCATGCTTATCCCTGATTTAATCGACACACAGTATACTGCGACAGGACTCAACTTTATTTTTCGTCTTGAAAATACTAGGCAGAGGTGACAGAAAGGAAGAGCTGTCTGGGGAATGCGGAGAAAACCCGGGGTAGCCTGCTCGGGCCTAGAACAACCGCCGAAGGGACGATCACTCGTGTCCGTGTTGTTATCAATGCGTTGTGGTTGGATGAAGAGAACACGCTAAGGAATATTGCGCACTAACAGGCTTTGTTTTGAATTTATATACCCATTATAGAATAAACAAAGAATAAGCATTTACTCCATACTCTTCAGAGTCGGTGCGACGGCGAACTCGGCGTCTGTCTTTGCCCGAATCCCATCTACATCAACCCCAGGCGCCAACTCGGTGAGCGTCAACTCTCCCTTTTCCCTGTCGACCTCGAATACGCACTGTACATCAGGATGATTGTTGTTAGTCACAGCGATGATAGAAACATACCGGCCGCTGAAGCTCTTGGAAACTTCTCGGCAGAAGGGTGACAACCTGGCAAACTTACCAAATCAGTGATTATAGTGCTCACACACTTCGCTCCAGTCAAAGGCAAATTGCATTTTTGCACAATCTTCGATGTCCCGTCTTTGGCAACGTGGCTCGTAGCGACGACGATCTTGGTGTTGTTGGGGTTGGAGACGAGGTCCATAGCGCCACCCATGCCCTTAAAGACCTTGCCGGGAATCATATAGTTCGCCAAATCTCCATTAGCAGCAACTTGAAGAGCCTGTTGTATTTTGCGTCAGTCAGGCCGAAATGGTAGATTGAATTTGGTCGCCGTACCCCTAGAATAGATACATCAACGTGGCCACCACGGATCATGCCGAAAGACTCAGAGCTATCAAACGTCGAGGCACCAGGAACAAGTGTCACAGTCTCTTTACCAGCATTGATAATATCGCTGCAAGGTTTGTATTAGAATATATGAAATTTGCCCGGGGAAGAGAAAGACTTACGCATCGACCTCCTCTTCCGTCGGATATGGGCCCATGCCCAATATTCCGTTTTCACTCTGTATCCAAACCGTATGTCCTTTGGGTAGGTACGAAGGAGCAAGTGTGGGGATACCAACTCCCAAGTTGACGTAGAAGCCTTTTTTGAGCTCCTTTGCGGCTCGTTTAGCAATCCGGTTTCTCTGGGCGATTTCCGGTGATTCTGCCTTTTCAGGGATGTTGTTGTCTAAGTTTCGCAACTTCTTGATTTCAATATGTTTGTCTGCTGTTGCTGGGACAATCCGATCAACGAAAATGCCTGGCAGATCAACATCATTGGGGTCTATTGACCCAACCGGGACAATCTCTTCCGCTTCAACGATTGTCATAGTAGCTGCCTTGGCCATGATGGGACCAAAGGCTTTGGTCGTATACCTAAGAGGTTTCCTTAGCATAAATGACAGGGTCTCAAATATAGAGCACACCGCGGAGAACAAACCTGAAAATACAGTTGCCAGCCTCATCGACCTTCCATGCTCTCAGGATAGCCACGTCACCGGTGATGGCTTCTTCCATAAGATACTTCCGGCCTTTAAACTCACGAACCTCCCTCTTCTTCCCATGTTCTATAACCTCCTTGCCGTCACTACTCAGCCTCACGGGGATGTTGCCTTCTTGCAACAGCGTCGCGACTCCTGTGGGAGTATAAAAAGCAGGTATACCGGCGCCGCCTGCTCGGATGCGCTCCGCAATTGTGCCCTGGGGGCATAGCTCAATTGCAACTTTCCCCGTCAGATAGTTTTTTTCAAGAGTTTTATTGCTGCCCAGAAAAGATAGAATAAGTCGCGACAATTGTCCCGCGTCAGCCAGTAGAGCCAGTCCGCCAACTTTAGCGATCCCGGCATTGTTGGACACGGCTGTGAGAGAGTGCAGATCCTGCGCGCCTCGACGGGCGATGGCTTGGATAAGTGTTTCGGCCACGCCGCACAGCCCGAAGCCTGCAGACAATACGGTGGACCCGGATTTGAGATCGGCAACGGCTTCATCGGCCGAGGAGAAGAGTTTGGGCTCGCCGCGAACGACCTTGGGTGCAATCGATTGAGACCAACATGACGGCGTTGTTGCGAACGTGCGTCGAGTGGACGAACATGCCGTCGGTTTTCTGCGGGTGCTCCGTGTTGTCGCATGGAGAGTTAATTGAGGCGGGCGCGATAAGAGGACCAAGCAGGCCATTCTGGGTGGCATCCGACCGGCCATGTTCGCTTGTGTGTATAACAGAAGGAAGCAAGTGTTGAATCTAAGATGGCAAGGAAGAGAAGGGTTTATAAAAAAAAAGGGAAACAACGAGGTTGGAGGATTGTTTTCACTCGGCTCTGCGGCCGACGCGATGACATCAGCCGGCGCTACTTCTGAATGCCGAAGCTTTTCCTCATTCAGCCGCGTGTAACTAGATACAGATTTCATCTGATATCTTCTGACATGCCTTTGTTTAATATAGATCTAGTATTTATAAGTAACAGAGAAACTCAGGGCAAATGAAGATCAATCAATCCCTGCCTTGAGCACTATTCAGCTAAAGACTTGCAGGTTATCAAGTAAATAGAAGTATTGTATATATGGCCAACAACTACAATACAAATACAAATACAAATCAAAAGCGAAACACCGCTCAGATAGGACAGCCTCGGCATAAAGAAGAACGTATAATAACTACACTTGCATATAAATTCATTTTCGTTTGACAAATCACAAAAAGCCAAACTCGACCGCGTTTGAGCGATCAAACCATTCCCAGAGCATCATGTCATTCAAAGGGAAATCCTGGTAATCAGGAAGAGCAGTCGTGCCATCGCCCATCGGAAACTCGACACTGTTAACAGCGTCGACAATTTGATCGCCCGACATGGACGAAAATTGCAGCGGCTGGGATGGGGTAAAGTCGGTATTTTGGGCGGAGGACGAAAATGGCGGCGCTGGAGGTGGCATATATTCTTGCGTAAATGAAGAGGCATTATACGAATTGCTTGATGGGTACAATGACAATGGCAAAGTTTCTTGCGGTTGACTTTCATTGGGTTGACCACGGGCACGGGCGACAAGCTCGTGTAAGAATCTCCCGTACAAGACAGATGCGCCATTGCGGTGGATTGGTGTCGCGCCTATTCTCTCTAGAACGTCGGCCGTTTCAGTTATGAGATTAAGAACACTTGGAGCAAGGCGGTTTTCATTTTGTTTGGACAATAGCAAACCGAGACTCAGGGCCGAACAGGCGGCAAATGCGATCATTATCACCGTGTTGTTGGGCATGGATTTGAGTCGCGACTCTCCTTGGATAGCAGTGCGCATAACGTTCAGTGCCGACGATAAAGCCTCGGAGCGGAAAAAGAATCTGACTTCTGTTGGAGCTGTTGGATGATTCATAACGCTGCTATAAGTTGATAGTCGCGTATGCGTGACCAAGATTTCGACGTACGGCGGCAAAGATCGTGCTGTATGAGATTTAATTATCTGGTTTTCATTGCATAACCTCAAGGTTGTTCATGAACATACATTCACCTTCACCGAGGGCTAAGACCCATATTGAATACCAAGTGTCGTAGAAAGTTTCAATCATAGATTTGATCCTATTTCGTCAGATACAAGCCAGTCAATCAGCTATTTTGATATGGGGCGACTAACGAACGAGCGATATCAATTCCGTTCTTTGTTTTCTGATAGTTATCGCATGCACACCGGACTTTGCGAAGCAGCCCATCCTACTAATTTGTTAAGCACTGAGCAGGTACTGTAGTGGAGGTAGAACCTTACCAGGTCCCTGCGCAGTATGGCCATGGAGTTCATATGCCCGTCGCGTGAGTCTGCAATGTCCCTATCTGACAAGTGCCACTTATCACAGTTTTCTAGGAGAGCTGTGATAGGCACTGAATAACTCCGACCGCGAGCCAAGCATACTCTACGCTAGTTAGAAGAATTATCATGAAAAGTATATACTAATCACTAGGAGAAAATACTAACCCTCTTTCCACGACAAACAAAGCGATCCAGGCCCTTTCCCTTCGACGCAGTAATCTACGGCCATATTCCGAATCAGGTCCCACGTCTTCGAAACCATCCATGGATAGAGCCCGCCTGGCATCAATACAATCGGCTCGCGCGAACTGGCTACCGTTTGCAGTTTTAGACAAAGTCACTACTTTGTTCAAGGATAAGTCTAATGCAATACTTAGCGCCATTGCAATGTATAGACAGGTGTCATCATCGCCAAGTCGTCTGCCTGGAGCCATCCATGGGACATTAGCCATGAATGCCAACACGATTTCGACTGACCGATGACGATTTAAAATGACATTCTGGGCCAGTGTTTGGACGTGAGACGCGAGTCTCTTCGAAAGTGCTCCTGTTGAGGGAAGGAATGATGCAGATGCGGACAAAATGGATGTAAATAGGAACGATGATTGCGCTCTAACAAACGAGACTGTATGTAGAGCATGATCAAATCCCCAGCGAGTATGAGATAGGTGTTCGTAGAAACTATATAATAGGGTGAGTCCAGTTCGCAAACAAGTGTCATTGAGTTCATACAAGCCGAATAGTCTGTTGGCCTCTTTAAACGTCACGAGACCGAGATCAACAGGGTCCAGATGAGGGCCAATATCTAAATTGGCTTTGATAGGAACAAAGAAAGAGTCAACAGCTCGTGCTGAATAATTCAAGGTAAGCGGTGCTAGTTGCAAATCCGAGGCACGAGCAAGTAATTGTAGGGGATTCTCGGCGTCATCAAGCGCCAGCCCGTCGTTTGTGTTTACACTGTCTTCCTTGGGTTCCTGCGGTTGCAATAACTCAACTGGGGAATGTGATCTGCGACTGGCAAGTTGTCTTTGAGCTTTGTCAAGCAAGTCCTGCAGATGAGAGACAACCTTCATAGCATCGTCACCATCCTCGGTTGCACTTGTTTTTGATTTCTTTATTGCCTGCTCAATCTGGTGAAGAGCTTTGTCTACTCCTTTTCGTTTGCTATATGGACACAGAAATATGCACATCAGCCTGCTGCATATATAAGCAATTTCTCCGGAGTTCAACAAACTTTTTGACCCCCTTCTGCCGCCCAAGGGGATGATCGGGCACGACGCAGTCAGCTCTGAAGCGCATGCATCGCTCGCAGCGAATTTGACCCGGCGCGCGGTTACATTTTAACTTCTTGCTGTGGCATAAAATGCAGGCTGCCTGCTTGGTAACACGCGGATGTGGATTATCCATGTCCTTCCATGCGCCTTCAACCTGAAAACAACACTGAAAACAACTGTCAGGTAGGCAGTGAAACAAGCCGGCGATGTGGCGCGACTGGTTGAGCTGTTTTATTCAACGTCCGATCCCAGCGCTAGTCCTAATATGGAATAGTCCACAAGAATATCCTGACTAGCCTGAAAATTGACCATGTGCATCCACTTTCCAAGAAGCTAATCTTAACTATCTTTTTGCAATATGCCTCGGTTTCTTCACTTTTCCCACTCATAAACCTTGTTGCTACGTAGTACATCTGTCGGGCTTTCTACAAAAGTGCCATCTTGGTAGAGACTTTGTGTGCCAATTGGACATTGGTTAATCAGGTTATGGTAGTTAACTAGTTATTCCTCCTTAACCATTATTGAAAGCTACGCATCTTGCTCCCATGTACAGCGCCAATACAAAGTAACGTACCATGACATAATGACAGTGTTGAAGGTTGCACTTATTGGCGCGTCAGGGTGTACCGGGCAGTCCATTGTCAATGGCCTTCTCGAAAGCTCAGGACCTAAATTCGTACATATCTGTCTGATCACGGAGATAGAATTTCCCGCAAGGCGTCCAAGTCTGACTAGATTTATGCCACAAGGAAATATTCGCGCTCGTACGGCCTAGCTTTGTGGAAAATTCGGTGAATATTGAACTTGCAAATCGTGGCAACAAGATCCTCCCAGCAGTTCCCACAGGCCCGCAGGACGAATTGAGAAAGGCTCTTGTTGGCATTGATGTTGTGATATCTACCATCAGCGTTGGCAGTATCGAAGAGGATATACCTCTTGTCAATGCCGAAAAATAGGCAGGTGTCAAACGATTCATTCCCTCCAGTTGGGCCACAGTCATTCCTCCAGCTGGGGTCATAGCTGCACGTGAAATAGTATGTAACAATTAGAATTAAGGCATACACCAAATTATTCGTGTCTAGAGCTGACTTAATCCAGAAAGGTCGATCTCTCTGAAGCTTGGCCTTCCCTATACTTTTATTGGCGTTGGATCGTGGTATGAGGTTACCCTGCCACCGGTACCGTCTGGTAGGCTTGATTATTCGTTCTCCCTGCTCTTAGTCACACCTAGGTTCTCGGATTAGACGGCAATGTCCCAAGTGCTATCCATACACCGGGGATAATGGGAACTGAGTCGCGAAAATAATCGTTGACCCACGCACACGCACCTTGAACAGAAAGGTATTCGCCTACAATGAGCTCCTGACTAGAAGTAAGGTGTACGATGCACTTGAAAACCACAGCAATGAAAGACTAAACCGGCATTATGTGAGTTCTAAACTCATTTAATGCGTTCATATCTTTCACATTGCGGAGGCTAATCGAAATTTGTGGAAAAGTCTCCAAAGAAGAAGCCAGTAGAAATGTACAGACATCTACCGAAGCACCCAACAATAATCTGGGAGATCTGAGAGCTACCTTTGCTACAGTCATGGTTGAATACTTCTATTCCTGGGGTATCCGTGGGGATAACCGTCCGTAATATGCCAAGTATCTGGGATATTTGGACTGTAAAGAACTCTACTCGGATGCCTCTTACAAGAAAGCCCTTTGATAAAGATTCCCAAGAAGCTCTTAGGAGAGAAGCACGTCCAGCATTGATGGACTACTGAAGAGAATAGATTGATCCGGGTTTGGCCACTGCACGAGGCGGGTGAAGTCTTATCTAGTTAGCCAGGCTGGGATGAGCAATCAGCAGAAACTATCAACAACAATGCGTGGTTCTAGTCTACCAAGAATGGCAAGACTGTATCTCTGTCATTGTATCCTTTACCAATACCATAACTTGGATCAGAGCTTTGCAAATGGCAACTTATAGAAAGCAGTGTCTTGTTAAGACTCGTCGGCTACTGTACGGCGGCTGACGCTTTTCAGGTGAAATAGTATAGAATGGGCTTGGGCCTTCTTTGGTCCAGATATTGATCTACCCATGTGATAAATCAAATTTCCATAATTTTCATATCAAGCCACTTAGAATTCAACGACCAGGCCTTATTCCGCCACAGCAACAGTCTATTACTGGTGGAAGTCTAACTCAATCATCGTATTCAATGATTTCGAGAGAAACATTGGCGTCAGCGCATATAGCCCTCAATAAATTTGTTGCGGTCGCACATTGTGAATTGATTTCTTCGTGCAATTTAAGTGCAATATGTTCCAAACTCTTCGGCCCATACATGCTCGAAGAAGCGACAGACTTGACATACTCGCCAACACGGCCACATACATATTCTCTCTTCCAGTCCTTTATTCCGTATAATGCAAGGGCACTGACAAGTTTCAGAGGTTTGAGGGTAGAGGGCAAGACCGAAACAAGCTTGATACCGCCGTCAACGTCACTAGGATGACACCCTAGAAGCAGCTCCAACGCTTTTTCGAGGTGGGTTAGACAAGTAAAATCAGCGAGACATTTCATCGTGCCTTGCACACCCCAGTCAAATAGCATAGTCATGCCCAAAAATTCCGTTTCGAAGAAGACAACGTTGATACAAAGATACTCCAAAGACGAGCGAACCGATGTTAGCGCGGCATCCATATCGGCACATTCGAAGAACCGCATCCTAGGTAAGTAAGCATTAGGGTCAATTAAAGTACCATAGGACAGATGTCGAAGATGAGGCGTCTCGCATAGGAGAACTCCCACTGCAGATGGTTTTATCTCGCTCGACATAAGACAGAGATGAATCACGCTGCTGCGCCGTTTCGGTAAGTTTCTAGGCATTCTGATGTGGCCATCCCGTGGCTCCGCCGCCATTACGGTAACGCTTTTGAGCTGCGGCAGAAATAACATATTCATTACTTCTGCTAAATCAGAGTACATAAACCCCAATGGCATATACGAGATTGGCCTGTGGTAGCCAGTAAGATGGGTGTCCAAGTAGTCCTTGCCGACTAAGGGCTCGGGACCGCCTTCAAACTTGATAACTCAGTTTCGTCAAGTCGTTCAAGGAAAGGAATGATCTCGCTTATGTATCTCGACATTGACCAGACATAAAATCCCAGTCGAAGTATCCTGATTCTTTCTAGGCTACAGATCAATGAAGCAATAATGGCGTCTGTGTGGCCCTTCAAGATCCGGAATTTCAAGTCCATGGCTTTATCCATATCATCCAATGCACGCATTGATTTATCCGTCCAAAAACAGGCCTGTTGATCAGAAAATTTGGTAGGTATCGTGAATGGCTTGATGCCACCTATTATGAGCTCTTGTACACAACTGGCTAGCCAAGGAGCAGCCTCTAAAGTACGTAAAAGTTGCACAATAGCAGAATTGCGATTTTCATCATCCCCAAAGCGAAGCTCAATCCGAACTTTGCGGTATATGGCTGGCTTTGCGGCATTATAAAGGCCTCTGCAGACGTACAACAACGCTCGCTTGCTGGCGTATAAAGCAGGATTAGATCGAGTAACTCTGTCGGGAGCGTGTGTACAGAAGCCATGTTGTATTGATATTTGCAGAACCAGAAAATTTTGCAATGACCCACTGTTCTGTATTTAAATTTCCATTCCGCATACATAGAGCAGTGATATGGTGGTGTTTCATATAGCGTTCCGAACGGTGTTTTGCATGGCTTGAAAATAGGAATCGATTGTTTACTAGACAATCAAACAATGACATGAGACTTGCATCAGACACTCACTCTGACAGCCCGGGTTAATTGTTCGAGTTTTTATCGAATGCTAGACCAAATTAAAAAAAACTTAACTTTCATGTCGTTGAGAAATTGTGTAATAAAGAGCCTGTTGGCGTTTGCTAAATGAAGGCATACCCAGGGCCACACTAGACTCCACCAACTTCTATCTAGGATATAATAGATACACAAAAGATTAAAAGGTAGTAACTAAATAGAGCATAAATAACGATTCAGAATAAAAGTTGACTCGAAAAACCAAGCACTCATATGCTTTCTAATTACAAGGTAACAACCACCTTCTTGGCAGAGGCGCCCTTGGCCTGTAAATCAATAGCATCCTGGACTTTGTCGAGACCCTTTCCAGCTAGAAGCGGGCTAGGTGCAGGAATATATGTACCAGCCTCCAGAGCCCTGGGCAGGAAGTTCTCCCAAACAGCTTTACCGACGTGGTTATCCTTCAGACTAGTACCAAAGACACTCTTGACAGTCACACCCTCGGGAGCTTGGAAGCCACCCTTAACTGTAGAGACAAGCTTGCTGCCCTCAGACTTGATGACAACATCAACAGTAGGAGGAGTAGCGGCGAAACCAATCGTATCCATAGCACCGGCCAGAACCTTACCCTGAAGGGCCTTTGTGAGATCCTCAACGACAGTAATGCTACTGTAGTCAAAGACTTGACTGGCACCGAGCTTCTTGACGTACTCAAAGTTCTTAGGGGACGCGGTAGTGAATACCTCGTATCCCGCCGCAACTCCAAGCTGAATAGCGTTGCTTCCCACACTGCCTGCACCACCCCAGATTAGGAGCGCTTGGCTAGTAGACCGGCGGGGCTCTGTGGGGAGCTGGAGTTTTAAGAAATCGTCTTGGAAAAGGCCACAGGCAGCGGTAGACAGAGCCAAAGGAAGGACAGCAGCGTTCTCGTAAGAGACGCTGGCCGGGAGCTCGCTGGCCATGTTGATCTGGAGGATAGTGTGGGACTGAAAAGCATTGTCCTGGAGGCGTTTCGTAGCTATTCCAACAGCATGACCAACGACACGGTCACCGATTTTGAAACGGGTGACATTGGGACCAACTGCGACAACTTCTCCCGCGACGTCCTGACCCAGAATGGTCGGATAATTCATGGGCCACCAGGCCTTGGCCTGGAGACTACCATCGACGGGGTTGATAGCGACAGCGTGGTTTTTGACAAGTATTTCACCGGCCTCGGGAGTATAGATTGGCGCCTCCTTCACCTGGAAGGGGCGAGCTTTGGCCTCGGTGAGCCATGCAGCGGAGTTGATGGCCATTGTGAGGTTTCTGCTGAAAAGAGAAAATTTAAAAGCTTGGGTCTTGTACTAAAGCGGGAAAAGATGTTCAAAATTGAGCAACAGTTTATGATTATGAGGAGAGAACAATCTATTTGCGATTAGTTCGTAAGAGGAGTTGTTGTTTGGAAGAGACTTTCGAGTTGGAGAGGAGCTTCGTGCACTTTATATACATGTTGGAACTGCTTCAAGCTTCCCTGAGTGTTGTCTTTCTGACTTATTCATTTCTATACTTTATCCCCGAGCATCGACATATACTACTGTATTAGGAAAGACAGACCTCCAACTTAGTCCGATAGTAGACCAATGACATCACATACCCTTGCGCAAACCTAACCACAAGGGGCTAGCTCGAGCGGGGGCCAGATGGGGCCATGGGGCCTGGGCAAACGATCGCAACGCTAACCTAATTCGATGTACGTTCCCGAGCGAAGCTTTGCTAGCAAACTTTTACACATACACTGCCCGTCAAAGAAGGGGAAGATGTTCCTTTGAAAAATATTCAGCTTGGCTGTTGGTAGATTTCTGATGACAAAGAATATTTGGAATGACGTAAGCTTGGCTTCCTGTTTTTAAGTCCGAGTCCTGGACGAGTCCATCGGACGTCGCGACGGGAATTTCGGTGATAAGTCGCGTACCTAGTAGATCATCAGAAGGCAAAGCTATAAAGCAGCCTGGAGCCCAAACAAGTCATCGGAATCATCAGAATCATTCACATAATCCACATAGTTGCTTGTTTTATCTTTTCAAACATCGTCCAAATGTCCGACAAGCCTAACACTCCACCGGCTTTGCCATGGGCTTTGGTAAGCTTACCGTCCAAGCTCATTTATCTCTTCTTTAACACTCAATAGGATGGTCGAGAGGTCGATCTCCTCCACTACATCTTCAATCGATCCGATATTAGGCAAATACGAGGGAACCCCGCAAAGGTTCTCGGTGCCATTGATGACTACCATGAACAATTCAAGCCCCTTATGAACATCGGCATGGTCAAGGGCGAGTTTATTGTTGGTATCATCGCTGAGCGCAGGCCATCCATGATGATTGAGCTTGGTGGCTACGTCGGCTACTCGGCGGTTTTATTTGGTGACGCCATCCGAAAGAATGGAGGAAAGCAGTTTCTGCGCATAGAGAAGAACCCTGAGATGGCAGCAGTTGCCAACCAGCTCGTTGAACTCGCAGGACTCCGCGACTACGTGCGCATTGTTGTTGGCTCCAGCAACGAGGTGCTCAGAGAGTTGATCGCCGAGAACAAAGAGATTGGCACCGTGGAGTTGATTTTTATTGACCACTGGCAAGATCTGTACCGCCCAGATTTGTGGCTACTTGAAGAGCTGAATGTGTTGAAACCTGGAAAGAGCTTGCTATTGGCGGATAATGTGATCATGCCTGGTGCACCAGAGTACCTCGAATGGATCCATGCGACTCCCCAGGAGAAGAGAGACATCCTTAGGAAATTAGATGTCGGCTTGTTGAAGCCAAACCCGAGTCTTGTATATGACTCGCGCGTACAGGAGTTTGAGAATACCGAGTTTGGACCGGTATGCCCACCTATTCAAACTTTCTATATCTTTTCAATCGGACACGAAACTAACACTTGGCGATTTAGGATGGAGTTGCAGTTACTCACATTAAGGAATAGAGAGTGCCTAGAAAGGGAGTGGAGAATACCTTATAGATCAAATTGTTCGGATGTATGTTTATAATGGCATAACTGGCATGGAATTGAATTTCATATGTAAAATTGGAAATACGTCATACAGTCATAGTTCCATAGTTGCCTATATTAATAGAGCTACCTCGGAAGATGCGGGGGCATGGGGGAACAAACTATTTCCCTCCGAAATCAGTATTTAATTTGGATATTTACTTCTGATTTCCTCTTCTCACTGCTTATCATGGATTGATTACAGCAACGTTGCCAACCTGAAAAGAGTTCAAAGAATTCAATTACCAGTTTTACTAGTCATCTCGTCGATTATTGCAACATGCTTTCTAACCGCGGGGAAATATATGCAAACGCCGGTCTCGCCAATGGTTATCTGACCCCAACGAGCCTATTCGGCAAGGACACCAAATCGGGCACTGTGTCTTTTGGGAATGCAGAGAATGTAAGCGAGTCAAAAAATATCCTTATTAATATCCAGTTTACAGAGGTGCACGTATTGACTGATGAGGTGCTAGTTCCTGATGCAAGACGTGATGCTTGAATACATCCGCACGCAGGTAAATTCTTGGACTGACTGCCCTTAATATCCCGGTACATATGGAACAAAACCGTTAAGATGAGGATAACAACAGGTAGTATCAGGCCTCGACAACACTAGTCTTACTTATCATGAAGGTCCCTTCGGCTCCAAACGTATTCGTGCAGCCATGGCCAAGTTGATTACTACCTACTTCAATCCCGCTATGCCGATCTCAGCAGAGCATATTCTTTTCACAAGCGGTGTGACGAGCTTGAACTCGATCTGGGCTCGTAGTTTAACCGACCCTAGCGATGGGATTTTGCTAGGACAGCCCATCTATGGCTCCTTCAATGGAGACCTTCAAGTCCCATCTGACTGCCAGCTGATCTATACCCCTTTCCACGGGCATGACCAATTCAGCCCACATGCCGTGGCTCGGTACGAGGAAACATACTTACGAGCGCGAGATGAGGACAAGGTTTCAATTCGGGCGCTTCTGATCTGCAACCCGCACAATCCACTCGGTCGATGCTACCCACGCGAGTCGTTGGAGGCGATACTGCGGTTCTGCCAGAAGTACCAGATCCATCTAATCAGCGACGAAGTGTACGCGTTGTCTGTGTACGAAGGCGATGACTCCAATGGCGGTTTTGTTTCAGTTTTGTCCATCGACACAGCCAATATCGGGGTGGATCCAGCCCTAATCCATGTGCTATACGGGATGTCGAAGGATTTTGCAGCGGCAGGACTAAGGCTGGGATGTTTGATCAGCCAGAATCGGAGGCTGATGCAGGCGGCTCTTTCGACCAGGTAAATGGAGCCACCTAAAGTGCATATCCATGCTCGTTATATCACAAAGATCTTGCTGATGGTAGGTAAAAATTGTAGTCGGTTCCACTGGCCGTCAAATATCTCCTGCAGCATTGCTGCTACTATCCTTGAAGATCGCGATTTTACGGAGAATTTTCTTCAAAACAGCCGCAGGTTACTCCGGTCGCATCGAGATTTGGCGACACGAGCGCTGAAGGAGACAGGGATCCCTTATGCACTTGGCGGGTAGGCGCGCACTCGTTCGAGTTCTTCAAATAGAGACGATGAGCCGCTAATCCTTCATATTTCTTTAGAAACGCAGGTTTCTTTCTCTGGATCGACTTGTCCAAGTGCTTGGACCGTAAAATCGTCGATGCTGAGGGCGAGTGGGCCGCAGAGCTGGACTTGTCCCGTCGGCTACAGCAGGTTGGCGTGGAAATGTCGTCGGGGCATGCCTATCACAATGAAGTTCCCGGCTGGTTTCGCGTCGTATTCTCGGTGGAAGCGGAGGTCCTGAAAGAGGGTCTATCAAGGTTCGTGACAGTTGTTCGATCCACGTTCATCATATACTAAAGGAGCTCTGTTCAGGATTGCCAAATTCTATCAAGCGTCGTGACCCACCGCGCAAACAGACATGCTTTATTGTATTGCGATTGGCTCCCAATGCACACTGCCCGCTGGCACTAGTGCCAAGATGGGCATATGGTTGGCTGAATCGAGCACCCCGCCCGATGTGAGCCGCCAGGATTGGTTAGCAAAAAGACTGTGTCAGACGAATCAAGGAAGCTGTGGGGGGGGGGAAGAACACAAGAACCAATAGTGGAACCGCATCTGGATCACATGACTTACATCCTGGCTTGTGCCAGCCAATAAAAGCGAGTACAGATTTCGTCATCGACGCTTTACCGTGTTCGGTAGCTCAGGACAGGAACAAATCCTTTCTCTGTCAACTCCACGTTCTCCTTGCAGGGTCTCTCTCTTCAACTGTACACTTCATTTCTATCTCAACTTCGGTCGTTCATTGTCGTCTTCCTTCTCTCATTGCGCCAAACATGTTTTCTAGTCGCGCGGGCTATGCCGCCGCACAGGCCGTACCGACGACAATCAGAAAATTCGCAACAGCATCGCCAGTGTCGGCTGCATCGCGGAATCACAAAGTGCTTGTGATCGGTGGGGGTTCTGCTGGCTTAACAATCAGCCACCAGCTCCTTCGAAATGGCCCATTCGTTCAGGACGACATTGCAGTGGTAGATCCCTCCACATGGCACCACTACCAGCCCGGGTGGACTCTAGTTGGCGGCGGCCTTAAAGACAAGGAAGAGCTGCGGAGGTCGATGGATAGTCTGTTAGATTCCAAGCTCAAATTCTACAACAACGCTGTATCTGCTTTTTCTCCCGAGAACAACTCCGTCACACTGAACAACGGCGACAAGATCAACTACGACCACCTTGTCGTCGTGCCCGGCATCGCCATCAATTATAATAGCATCAAGGGTTTGCCTGAGGCTCTTGAAAACAAAGACTCTTTGGTGTCTTCCATCTATGGATACGACACATGCGACAAAGTCTTCCGCACAGTCAGAAAGCTAGGCCAAGGCAACGCCATTTTCACACAACCGTTAGGCGTTATTAAATGCGCAGGCGCTCCCCAGAAGGTCATGTGGCTAGCTCTAGACTATTGGAAAAAGGCAGGACTCTACGATCCGGCAAACCCTTCCAGTTCGCCTATCAAGATTAGTTTCGCTACTAGTCTACCCGCCATGTTCGGTGTGCCGAAATATAGCGCGAAGCTCGAGGAGTTACGGAAAGAGAGGGGTGTCGAGGGGCTATTCCAGCACGATCTCGTCGCCATTGACGGTAATACAGCTACTTTCACTCGTCTAGATACACAGGAGCAGATTAAGAAACACTTTGATCTTTTGCATGTCGTACCGAAGATGGGCCCTCATGCGTTTGTTAAGAATAGCCCTCTGGCGAACGAGGCCGGGTTTGTCGACGTCAATCAGGGATCACTTCGCCACACTAAATATGCTAATGTTTGGTCCGCGGGCGATGCCTCTAGTCTCCCGACAGCGAAGACAGCAGCAGCCGTCACTTCCCAAGCTCCAGTTCTTGTCCGCGGCCTGTTGGGAGCTATGCAAGGAAAAGAGCCCGATGCCACATACGATGGTTACACATCATGCCCACTATTGACTGAGTATGGAAAGGTTCTTCTTGCCGAATTCAAATACGGCGGTGAGCCTAAGGAGACATTTGGCAGCCTGTTCGGCATTGATCAAGCCATCCCTCGCCGTAGCTTCTATCATTTAAAGAAGGATTTCTTTCCATGGGTTTACTACAACTCTATGGTCAAGGGAACTTGGGGCGGGCCTAAAGGCTTCATCAACTAGATCGTTTTCTTGGTTGGGGCAGTGCAGGGCATATGACCACAAAGACCGACGGACGATGGGAATGCATCATGCTTGGGCATAAACCAACAAGTTCATGATTGGTGGCATTTCGATGCTTATATCTGACAGGCTTGTTAAATCTGTTATTTGTAGATGCTAAGATGTACAACCAGTTGAAAGTCAAGAAGAGACTGCCCAGCGAGGGCTATGTATTATATTCAAAGATATAGACACTAATGATAGAGCTGCTTCCCTGTGCGTTCAACGTTTTATACTGGACTTTCATGTAACAGGCGGGCATCCTTTAACATACTCGTAGAGTATGCATTTTTCTATTTCATTAGTACGTACTGACTGGGAACCAATCATGAAGAGGACCGCCTGGCCAATCACAACGCACACGTATATCAGTCCGTCGCGCACCTCCGACGGCCCGGCGTCTTCCGCCTTTGAAGCCAGTTCCGAAGCGCATATAAATCTCCAGCTGCTCTCCATCAAAATCTCTCTTTGCTTCGTCGTCTTTTGCCTCTTTTCTCGTCACACTATTCAAACGACTGTCCAATATTATCAATATTATCTGGCAGAGTTATCATCAACCATATTGCAATGGCCGTCACAGCAACCGTTCAGCCGCTCCCAGTGCCTCAAGGATCCGCCATCAACTTCGGATCCATCATCTCTGGAGTCGACCTAGAAAACCTGTCGGGTGAGTAATCAACATCCAAGGATGAAACAAAGGGGACATTGTAGTGTCGTCAATATCATAAGGGAGCACTCCGAGGAACGGTAACCTCCTTAGGTAAGTCAAGAAAACTTTTTGCACTGCCATTGTGGCATTTCAAAAGAATCAAGTGGATCTAATGATTGCGGTTGTGTATAGACGAAGATTTCCAGGTGATTCATGACACGTTGTATCGTACCAGCGTGGTAGTCATAAAATCCAAGCCTGATGTCTCGGCCAAAGCTCAGTATGAGCTCACGCGCCGCTTTGATCCGTCCTCCACTGCTTATGGCCACGGCAAGACGCTCGATGCCAAACGCAGCATTTTGCATCCTGATTTGAAGACAGTCCCGCATCAGCCTCAAGTCCAGGTCATTGGAAATGGATTTGTGAAAGACTATGAAGGCCTGAAAGATATCACGCTTCGTCATCCTCACCATCGCACGTTCCATCGTGAGATCATCCCCGAGGTCGAAGATCTGGATTATACGCGATTCTACCGGTGGCACATCGATGCAGCACTTTATGACCTAGATCCCCCGCTGGTAACTACTTTGTTGGCAGTGTCACTGCCGTCAAAGCGAGAGCAGACTCTGCGATATGATGACGGCACTGGCGATGAATTACGCGTGTCTTTGGGCACTACGGCGTTTGTAAGCGGTTACCAGATGTATGAGCGTTTATCCGAGGAAGACAAGGAGTTCGTTCGAACGAGCAAAATCGAGTATGCACCTCACCCATACATTTGGATGAGCAAGGCTCGTTCTCTCCCTACTGGTCTCGGCCTTTATTCCGAGCGCCTTGAGTTGGATGAATCTGAACTACCTCCCATTGAACCAAGCAAAATTAAGATGTTCCCAATGACCTGGAAAAACCCAGTGACGGGCAAATTGGCTCTTCAAGTTCATCCATCTGCCATCCGACGGATTCACCTGAAAGATGGCACTGTCGTTGAAGATCTTGAGAGAGTACGCGATATCGTGTACCGTCTACAGAGACCGGGCATAAGCCCGGAGTATGTTTATGCACATGACTGGGAGGAGGGGGACATGGTGCTCTTTAACAATCATGGAGTCTTGCACTCCGTTGTCGGTGCTTTTGCTCCTGAGGAAGTGCGATTATTCCGACAGTGCAATTTGTCTGCTAGTCGGGCTCCACTGAGTCCTTAACGGTACTCAACTCAGATTTACTACTTTCGATGTTGATCACGTTTGCGTGTGTGTATACTTGCGATGCGAGACTTTCATTTACTAGTTTCGTATAGTCCTACATTTGCAATTTTTCAATGATATTTGGAGATCCGCTATGTCAAATATTACCCACACTAATTAACATTATTAATTAGGTACCTAGGTAACTAGCTAACTATGCCATCGCAGTGAAGCTCTTGTACGCCCACAACGAACCGCGATAGGTACATCTAAGGCATAATACGAATATACATGTAAGTGATCGACTTTAACATCATATATAGCTCCTTACTTACATGTGATTTCCTTCATTTCGCCGAGTAATTTAAACGATTAACCATCAAGGTTGATTCTCGCCGCCCGTGCCAGCGATTAGTTCACGGAGCCCTAATTACTGTATTTGGAAGATGGCAGGCTTCAAGATACTGTTTTAGATGTTAAAATGCGAACTAAAACCACCCGAATCAATGTAACATTTTATTCCTTGCTACAGTCTCGCTTTTCGTTCCATTAAGAAATATGCTACACCATATATACCTCTAACAAACAAAAAATGTAAAGTAAGTACCAGGGCGGGTGGCAAAAGTGGTTCATATTGAAAGAACAGCTGGACTGAAAGCAAACGAATATTGCATCAGTGGTAAGCAACTTGAAATAGAAAAAGGCTATTGCAATGCAAGAAGTTGTAAAGATATTCAGACATCCGCCTAACACCAGAAAGCTGCTGTCAAAGAAAAGAACGAAGGTCATTTGAAAATAAAAGCAAAGACACAAAATCAGCACCTGGAACCATTTCTCCCCAAAGAGACAATACCCGCCCTAATCGTGGCACGAAAGCCTTCCCTGAATGCAATAAAATCGTCCATTGTCGTAAATACCAGGTATGTTGCTACTATGCGGTTGTTATAATACCTCAATCGGAGGGCGGAAAGCTAAGAAAGTCCTATTTTTATTAGCATCAGTTGGAATTAACCGAGACCGTGGATACCTTGCTTGTTTCAAGGAAAGGGAAAGAAAGGTTTCCTTCCACTTACCATCCTCACTACTTGGAGGCGAAGGATAAGAGCAGGGTTCGCAATAATATTCCAGCATCTCCGTGATGATAACCTGCCGAGGGTTCTCCGTGTCTACTGCACAGGTTGCACGAGGATGGCATTTTGATATACGCTCAATGCGTTTGATATGGCCGCAGGCCCACAAGATCTCGCTCCAGCGACACATCTGATAGTTCTTTAGGGATCAATTCATAACGTAGACTATTTTGTTGCAGGGGATACACTTTATGTTGCCAACCTTTGATGTTATACAGAGAAATTGATTGAAATGTGGAAGTTTTTCAGCTACCAACCAGGTATCCGATGTGATAAGAGATGAGTGTGATTTTACTCCTATCTGTAGACATCTCTCTGACTTTATATGTTTACTGTCTGCTCAGAAACCAAATCCTGATAGTATACAATCCAACTCCTGCGCCGTCTTGCAAATGGCGGTGCTCGACAACTTGACGGCTACATTGGCCATATGACAAGATTGCCCGGGCTAAAAGCGTTCAAGGCCTTTTATTATTATTAAGGACTGGTTTTTGCAATTACTAGTCTCTGGCCATCCAAATCCCGAAGAGGGCCTTGGGGCCACTTTGCTGCCTGAAAATATGGCACAGGTACCCATACTAAAAGACAAGTAAGTGGGTAGATAATATTAGTTCCACTTTCTATCTTCGCGATATGCGTCATAAAAAGTTTATTACAAAATAAAAGGGGCATTTTAATAAAATATGCGGCGTCTTGAAATCAACATCTTTGTCCGCTCAAAGCTGTGCCTTACTGTACAGGACAGACAGCCTCAGGGCGCGCAGTTCGAAGCGACACGGAATTGTCCGATGGTGCGATTCTGCGCCATATTTCTTTTATCTCCTTTGTAAATAGCAATATTGGACGTATCTGACTCGCACATATGTATCCGATTGATAATGTCTATACGATTAATGTCTAGACACAGCGTTGCCACTCCCGCCATACTCCAGCAACGGCCGATGAACCTGGCGTTGGCCGCATGTGTAAACCTCCGCGCATGAGGCTACTGCAAGCCATACTCAAACGCCATCATAAGAAAGCTATTGGCTCAAAGATTGGAAGGGCTGGCCATTTTGCGACCCTAGCTGCGCCCGCCTCTTTGTTTGCTCGGCGGAACGCCACAAAGAACTACGCCTTGGAAAACGGCAAAGAACGTGCCATATCAGCAAAATCTGGCTGATTTCGTAGTTTTGCCTCATTTTTTTCCCCTTTCTCTTTCTCCCTCTCTTTCTTGTTCCTTTTTTTTTTTTTTCCTTTTTTTTTTTTTTCCTTTTTTTTTTTTGTTGGAGGGGAGTGCGGGAAGAGGGAGCATTGCTGGCGGGACTGCTCCGGCTCAGGGCATAGACGGGAGTTCTCTAGGGAGAGTAAGTTGGCCCAGGTGAATTCATTATGATATTGTTACATAGGCAGCATTTTACACAGTAATAGTAAGAAATGAGGCTCTGCTGCATTGCCTTAGGCAGACGCTCCACGATTACTTTGCAGTTGCTGTAGAGACATAAAACTAGCTCACATGAAAGAAGCACGCTTAGAATAATCACGGTGGAAAATAGGTTTGGTATCTTGTCTAGCCGAGCAATTTATCCTGATAATTAGACCCAATTCTCTTTCCTGAATTGTGGATTCTTTACATACCATTTCAATGCGTGATGATTCACGATCATCTACATGCAAGCCACCAATAATACGGTGTCTGTGACAAGAGACAGACTGCATCACAATCGCCTGTGGAAAAACTGTTGACTTACGAGGTCATTACCAGCTTTTGCCTCGGTATGCGCTTCTCGCTATCCACTTCATCGCGTTGTCGTTTGGCGGGGTTTTTGGAAGCCAAATTACCATCATGCTTTATTTGGGAGGCGTCGCAATAGTCCAGGCCCCGGAGCCAATATTTCGGCCACAATCCTCTCTCTGAAGCTCTCATACGGTTGGAATGGAATATTTCTTCGTGTAATGGTTAGGGAGTGTGAGAAGCTTATCGGTTTCGTCGGATTCTCAAGCATATCTGGAATGTCAGGTGATAGTTGCACCTCAAATAGATGGATAAATTCATAGTCTGACACATCTGTCAGTATTTGCGACAAACGTGACAAATAACTTTGATGTTGCGCAATAGACAGCAATATGCAGAGTGTATACGGGTCATCCGTCCATTCAGCCGGGGTCAATCGAGACATTCGTTTCTGAAAAATACGCCGTACGACGGCGTTGGCCCTCGGATGACGGGGGGTGGTACGAATTTATCCCAGCGAACGATGGACGACGTTCACATATTCAAAATAGGCGATGAATCTTCCAGTCCTTTCAGACATGCACTCGTTGTTTTGTCCACGCAGCCAATACAGATCATAGTCCGGCTGATGTACTGGCTTACGGGTGAAAAAAAAAAAAAAAAAAAGGCGGAGGCGCTTTCCTACTCATTAGGATTATCAGTCGGGCACTGGCTCACACTACGGACAGCAAATTGCCATATTTCGAAGCTATCACTACACCAACTGCCTTCCGTCAGAAGGCTAAGGCAGAGAACAGTAGATTGTTCTACGAACTCGACAATAGTGATGCTGCTGCCAGCAATTGGGGCCGTGAGCATCTTTTTGCCTGTCGGGTTTTACGACGAAAAGCCCAACGCCTTGTTCTCCCCGTGCTATCGCAATACGCACAATCCTCGGATCTAAGCTTTTCTTCTGAAATCGAAAAATTCATAGAGGGCCCGGGATCTTCCTATTTAGCTCAACCGAGCATCGTCTCGTGCGAGATCCCAACTGCGGCGTCTCTCTTGGCCAAATCTGGGCGTCGATGGCCAAGCCCAATGCTACTCAGCACTACATGTGTTTCCTTGAATTCGAAATCGATGACAAATATCTCCAAGATTTTGAGTCGGAATACCTCGGAATACCCCAAGGCTTTCTTGTATGTCAACTCCACCACTTGGTTCGATATCAACTCACGGGAAGGCAGACAAAACGTGGTCTTGAATCTATGTGCTATCATACGTTTGCCTACCGTAGCATAGGTTGGATGCAAGCTACCTGAAGTGAAAACCATGTACTCCTCCGTTCAAAATGGATGTTGTGAGTATGGCTTCAGGCAACCACCGGCGCTCACTGTCCTGTGAAGAGCAACAAACCCAGCGGCGATGTTGGTTTTGCGGACAACCTTATTGGAAATGAAAGAAGAAATTATTTTAGAAGCTTTCGGGTATAATTGATTCATATGTATCGATCTATTCTCATTATACAGTAGCAGGGCTCCCATGTATCATTCTTTCACTCACATGCTCGGCCATCGTAAGCCCTCTTAGTTACCCCAGATATCGCTCTTTCGGGGAAGTTTTGGACTGACACTAATAGGATGTCGCGCCGTTGCAAAGCTGGGTGTTGTGAGACTTAGATATACAGCTAGAACTTCTCCTCTCAGATCTCTGATATGATTGAGCACTATATATATGCCTAGGTATACTCAGCTTGTTTCGCATGTTATGGGGCTGGTAAGCAGACTGCAATATACCTCTACTCTAAGGGAACACAGATAGACTCTTTTTTTCAGATTGTGGTTTGACTGGGTGTCATACCTATCTAGAGGAAGGGCTCGTATGACTGATTATATCTCATGCCTGAGCACAAAATTCCTTTGCTGATTTCTCTTCTTGCTTTTAACAGTATATACAACCAAAAAAAAAGGGCTTCCCATCCGCTCAGCCGTACTTAAGCCATAGGCCGGTTAGTAGTTGGGTGAGTGACCACCAACGAATCCCGTCTGTCGTAATTTTTTTCCCCTAACATTTTCGTTAGACATTAACAGTGTATAGCCGTTCTTTATATAGGATTGTCCTTACTTCGATTGGCGTTGTTGGCCCTGTACCAACCAAAAATCTAGATCCTGTCTCACTATATGATTACAGTATTATATTAAACATTATTGTTTTGATTATGGTCGTTAGATTCCAAGAATTCTACACAATCTGGCGGTCCCTATCCTCATCTGCAGACATCGGGCAAACACAAGTCACCCCGATGAAGCGGCCAAACTATACTTTTCACACAAACACCTCTTATGAGTAAACTTTGGCGATAAGACAAGCCTGCACGTTTTGACAGAATCCAAGTCGAAAGAAATGGCGGCTGGGTTTACTGACAACGATATGGTGCGAGGGACGTTACTTGCAATGGCACAAATTGAGCTGACTTCCTGATAATTACTTTGTTCACGCCGCATGGTTTCTCGACGCGGTTCTTACGCTCCGCACCAAAGTGGCACGACAGCAGCAACGACGACAAATGACGGCAATAATCATTATTTTTTATGGGTAATGGATTGTATCTATGAAGAAGGGACCATCAAGATAGTGTCAGAGAAAGGCAATATATCCAGCGTGATGAGGTGGACTACTAGGCCGTATAAGAGGAGAAAAATAACATATGGAAAGGGAAATCGCATGTGTTTCTTTGAGCCGATGAATAGCCAAAAAGGTTTGATAATAACCAGAACCAAGGGGAGTAAAAAATCTTGCTGTTTCATCAAAGAAACATTGGCAAAAGCCACCACGAAACAGCTCTGCCGCAGCTTTTCCTAGGTTGGCGCGAAATTACCGAAGGGCAAAAAACTTTCCCTGCACCATGGATGACAAACCCTTGTTCGGCGGGGTGTCATGCCGAGCGCGATGCTCGTACATGCAATTATTGAAACAAAACTGGGTAGAGTTTTAAATATTTAAGGTTTAACTTTTCCTGTGATGTGAAATGTGGGGCGGTGGAGGTGCAATCGATGGGAACTATACCGAAGCAGGTTTAGACCCCGGGGGTTCTGACGATAACGCAAATCTACTCAATTAGGAAATCAAGTGTCCACGAGGTATAAAAGGGCTCTATCGTGCATCCCATGAAGCATGTCTGTTTCATCCTTCAACACTCAACCTTCAGCTTTATAACTATTCAAGAAAGAACTCTTTGATAGTCCGATTTTTATCTGTTCAAAATTGAAAAGCACTTCAACACAATGTCCTCCTACACAGTCACTTTTGTTGGCGCAACAGGCGGTTGCACCAATGCCTGCCTCACCCATTTCCTTCTCTCCAACAATGACCACCTCGAATATAAAGCCATTGCTTTGGCAAGGACTCCCTCAAAGCTCATTGAGTCCTTGAAAAGACAACCAGGCATCACAGATTCCATTCTTGACCGGAAACTCACCATCGTGCAGGGCGATGGTACAAACGCCGCGGATATTAAGAAGGCCCTTTTCTATCAAGCACAGATACCCCTGCCAAAATTGGTTGATGCCGTCGTCTCTGGAATTGGTAGCTATCCCGTACGCCAAAAGGGAACACTGCTTTCCTTGACATTGGCCTCTCCCAACATCGCGCAAAACTTTTCCATTGCATTGATCACCGCCCTTCGAGAAATCTATTCAGAAAGACCGGATATTGAAACTAAGCCGGTGGTATCGGTAATCTCGACTACGGGTCTTCCCTCGCCAAAGGAGGACGTTCCCTTTGGCATGCGGACGCTTTATCATCACGCCCTCAAAGTTCCGCATGAGGATAAGGCTAAAATGGAGGAGCTTCTGATGAGCGCCTATGAAAAGGAAGCTCTCTTCAAGGCCGTAGTGATCGTGCGCCCAACTCTCTTGACGGGCGATGGTATTATCCTACCGGATACAAACAAAAAGACTGTCAGGGCTGGGACAGTGCTTAACCCTGCTAAGGGATATCTCATTTCGAGGGGAGATGTGGGTGAATGGATTTGGGCAAATATTCTGTTGAGTGACGACCGCGGGGGAAAATGGTACGGACAGAAGGTCACTTTGGCTTATTGATCGTTTGTATATTGTTTCTTCAAAGTTTCTGGATAATTCCCTCATAGTGTCTAGTTTTGCTTTCTCTATGTTCCCGGATTTGTCCTGTTTAGTCTGTTAAATACCATGCAGTCATCGTTCAGAATCTCAACAACTTCACTTCTAGCACATGGCTATTCTATAATCGATCAGGGCTCGCATAGGAAGAATATAGTGTATTGTGATTGGCCAACGCAAAGTGATGCAAACCCTGCAAACATACTCGGCGACTGTTTGCCGAACGGCCGAACGGCCGAACAACCAACTGCAAGCCAAAGCATAGCATCTACATCCATGGAGCACACGCCGAAAAAGCTGCTTGATTGAAGAATGCATACTGGACTCAAACGATACTAGTCGCAAAATGTCATCCAAAGCTACAGTGCCTGGAAATGTGAATGAGGCGGCTCTCGTCAGACGCTACAACGTCGAACGGTCGTGCCTCCGTTGCCACGAGCGCAAAGTGCGTTGCAACAAAGCCTTACCATGCTCTGCTTGTACTTGCGCCAAAGTTCAATGTCGCTATCCGGGTCCGGAGCGCACTAAGCGGCGTTCTCAACGGGGGGCGCAAGTGCAACTTGGCTCTCGTTTGGATAGACTAGAGAGGGCTCTTGGTGCAATGACAACGATTCCTGAACGTGCGGACCCTGAAACAGATGCTCGCTTGCTTGGTGTCACAGATAGCTGTGGAACCTCTACGTCGTCGCCTCCTCCGCCCAAAGGCCTAAGCACAAGTTCTGTGGGCAGAAGTCGCACTGCACCGCCGGAAAACCACCCAACCAGAGGATTGCTTATACAGGATGGCGCGTCTACTCGGTATATCAACGAGGCAATGCTGTCACAGATGTTAGAAAAGGTAATCAATCAACCCCGAAGACGATATTTCCTGCTAGTTTCTAAATGATAGCCTGCATTCACGTCTCAGGAAACCGAACTTCAATCTGCTATCAGCACCCCAGATAGCCGGACTAGCGTTGAGAACAGGACACCTTCCTTCGGATTTCATGGCATGATCTCGGCTCCTTGCGTCTATGCAACAAATTATGCTTCTCTCTACCCCTCACGGGGACAGGCTGCACGGTTGTGGCAAGTGTATTTGAATAATGTTAACCCTATCATGAGGCTGCTTCATATTCCGACCACACAGAGTTCTTTCTTCTCGGCTATAAATGATTATACGGAAGTTGCCCCGGACTTTAAAGCGCTTCTCTTCGCTATATACTTTGCAGCCGTAACGAGTCTTGACGATTCGGAGGTTAACCTGATACTAGGTCAGGACCGTCAATCAGCCGTCAATGCTTACCAACAAGGAATGGAAGTGAATCTCCATGCGGCATCCTTCCTGGATTCCCCCACTATAACTTCTTTACAAGCATTGTCAATCTATCTGGTATTCCCATGTGCTACACTTCTATGTCGACGGTTAGTATTTTTGCTAATGCGAACGTGTTCAGATGTGCCGCCGAAGTCATAACACTGGTCTTTCAGGTTGGGCGCTGAATGGCCTTCTAGCCCGAGCTGCCCAGAGCATCGGGCTGCATCGCGATGGTGAAAATTTCAAACTCTCGCCCTTCGAATGCGAAGTCCGTCGTCGGCTATGGTGGCAAGTTGCTGGCAGTGAATCTCGAGTCGCAGAGGACCACGGCCTATTCACTGGCGATCTGTTGTACTTCTGTGACACTAAACTTCCTTCCAATCTCAATGACATTGATTTAACGGTTGACATGAGATGTCCACCTGAGCCGAAACAGGGATGGACAGAAACGATGCCGTATCTGCTTGTGTTCGAAACGAATAAAGCTTTACAGGAAATGCAGCAGTTTCTAGCTCGCGGAATAAACCATAATGAAAGACCTGCACATTTGGAAAGGTTTTTGCATGATTTCAAAGCAAAACTCAGCACTCAATTTTTCCAATATCTCGACGCTAATGTTCCCGTACAAAAATATGTTCTGTTGCTGGGAAACGTACAACTGGGTAAACTTGAGGTTCTAGTTCGCCAGCAAAGTATCAGGGGTCTTACTATAGAGAAGGCTGCCGAGTTTGTTCGTGATGAGACTCTTGTTCTCGCTTGTGAAGCGATACAAAGGGGCACTCAGTTGAGAACAGACGAGTTATTGAAAAGCTTTCATTGGCTCACCTCGACGTACCCCCAGTATTTTTTACTTACCTACAGTCTATGGCATCTTTGTATTCGACCAGATACCGAGAGTGCAGATTGGGCATGGAACATAATCGAACAATCGCTTCAGAAAGATCAAATGTACGGCCCGTCAAACCATGGTCCAAAGTGGAATGTAATGAACAAGTTAAGACAGAAAGCCCTTACTATTCGACACTCGTATCTATCGAGGAAGCACGCTACGACAGGTCCATCAGAGACAGAAAACCATGAAGTACCGACTGAGAATCTGGACGAGGATATATTCAACATGGCAGTCGAGGAGGGAATGATGTGGGATCTTGATTTGAACTTAATTTCGGGGTTCCAAGCATTTTCGTCGGACCCTTTGATACAGGGCCAAGGTTCCACTCTGTAACATAAATAGTATTATGTGCACGATTTGAGACATGTCAATAGACATATGTCGGACCTCGATAGTTATGTTGTGAACGGGCCTTACAATATCTCCAACGCTAACCAAATTCCTATGAGGCAATATTTGGAGCTGCAAATATGTCTAGGTAATTTGTACCTGAATAGTTTCTATTGGAATACCTACGTTCGGAGTTTGTTGATTTCTGGCAATACTTCTGAAGGAACATGGGGGCCTACGCCCTTTTTTGTAGAGAAACATTTCAATTTTCTAGACTAGAAAGCTAAAATCAAAAGGAAATATTGTACATATCAGAATAGAGAATGTATGAAGAGTACTACACAAAAAGAAATAAAGTTCCCATGCACTGCTGTGGAAGTGGGAAGACTCCAGAACATACCCAAAAGGGATTAGAAATTTGCAATCAACTTCAATCCCGTCTCATGCAGCCGAGCACCAAGAACAAAGGACGTCCCGGCAATGATGCAGACGCCGGAGAAGATCTTCATACCGAGATATGATCCACCGGAGTTCTGAAGAATGGCACCGGCAATTGGGTTGGTTGTTAACCCACCGATGGAACCAAATAGAAAAGTGAGACCGGTTCGATATCCAATTTGCTTGAAGGGCGAGATTTTGGCAATCAAACCCGCAATCAACGAGACGTATGCCCCGGACGAGAAACCAAATACAATCGCGAAGACAATTTCCGCTGCGTTGGAAGCAGCAGGAATCCAGAGCGCAAGCACTAGAATGCCTGAGAGGTAACAGACAATAACGAAGATATTGTATGAGCCAATTCGATCTGCTAGAGCGCCGGCTCCTAGACGACCAAAAAGACTTTTGAATGCTACATTAGGATCCATCACTTACTTAATATATCTAGGGGAGTCAAAGACTTAAGATATAAACATACCTTCCTGCATTCAGCATGGCAAGCAAATATTGAGCAAGATTATAGCTCATACCCGAGGCATACGCCTCTGCGACCACGTAGTCGATGGGAATAAAGATTCCAAAGGTCAGGAGCAAAAATCCGCAAAGAATGAGGATGCATTTTGCTTCCTTGAATGGCTGAGTTAGTTCTTCTTTCGTCATCGTCCGAGGATTGGGAGGAAAGCGAGACTTGATTGTCAAGTTTGCAATCATTAGAAGGAATAGTATCATGAATGCTGCAATGCGCATTGACCATCCATATCCAACTTCAATAATTAATTTTTGTACCATAATTGGGAAGATGATGCCTCCAATGCTTGATCCACTGGCTACAATGCCGTATGCAATGCCACGTCTTTTGTCGAACCAAGCAGGTATACCATTTATTGCTAAGGAAGCGCAATTCTTCCGTTAGCTCTAAAGTTCCTTTGACGTTTGGCTTTCTATGTATATAATTTTGCAACTCACCGGGCTGAAAAATACAAGAAACCCCAATAGCACTACAAACTCCTTGAGAAAGGAGAACTTGGTAGTATTGCGTTGATATTGAAGCCATCATGAGACCAAAGACATGTAGAAACGATCCGACCAAGAGCAGGTAGCGAGGTCCAAAGCGGTCGTAAAGCTGGCCAACAATCGGACCCTAAATGAAAAACATGATATTAGCAATTTACCGAGCCTGTAAATTTGCATGCCGAATCGAAGAGACCTACCATGGCGAACATGAAAAATATTTGCAACGATGGAATCCATGCGATGGTGCTAGCGGAATACTGGGACAGTAACGATACCTCGTAATAGTTCTGGAATACACCAATGCCTGAGGGAAAGGGCAAAGAGCGGGTTAATACTGCATATCAACATTTTAAATATCATCGCTTGAGGCATACTGTTGATCCATCCAAAACTACAAAATAGGACACACCAAGCGCCCGCCAGCACCAACCACGCCGTCAGCCCACCATCTGGAGCTGGACCTTGAGGTTTTCGCAGGATTTTCTCCGCAGATGCAGTGCCCAGTTTCTCTGAATCAAGTCCGTTGGTGGAGCTTAGCGGAGATTGACTGTCAAGTCCCGAGCTGGATGGAGCGTCAATAGACATTTTTCAGGCTTCGTTATAGAACTTGGATAGCGATGGACCTAAAGGAATAGAACGAATCCCAATTGTCAACAAAATTGAATAGGTAAAGATTTCCTCAATTGACATCGCCGCGCGCTGGTTTATATAGATAGCATCGGTATTTCGGAGCGGCCGTTCATGAACGTCCGGGACTGATATCGAAATTGACTTAATCAACTCTGGGTCAAAAGTATTTTGGGCTAGATATTTCTTAGCCTTAGACCATTTGTCATTCGAACAGTGTCTGGAGCCTGGAGGCTTTTATTTGGCCTTTCAATGTCTCCGAGACCCTTTGTGGCTGCTTTATATTTCCTAAACATTAACAGCCACATTGTTGTTAGATTGGCGAGCATATTTGTCCATCCAGGTCGTATTCTTCGGAAATAAAATGAAACGTGAATACTCCTAGCACCCAGATATTTTCCAGAATGCGTAGAAAACATATGAAATAGGTGAAAGTAGCGATTCACTGCGAAAAAAGTAAAATCGTGTTATTACAGACTAGCGCGCATCTTTCAGCAGCGACTCATGTTCGCGTCCGGAGGCTAACAACAGTAAAAGCATCTAAAATCTCTGCAGGAGAACTAGCACATATATCGATTGTTCTTTTAGGAAGATCAAGGGGCTCGGCGTGCTTTACCTGAAGATCGATGCGACGACAGTCAAAGCCGCGCAGAGCCTTTTCGCAACCATGTAGATTAGTACTACATATATAACCGCGCTTGATTACCCTCGTTTTCTGATCAACGGTTTAATGCATTGCTGCTATGGCTCATTATTTACAATTCTCAATCTCCGCTCAGAAGGAACTGTATAAGCCACTAACATCGTTTTTACACTCTACCACCAAATCTTGGCTAACGATCGTTTTTCCACAGGTTATCCCGCGCTTGCAATGAAGGCAGCACGCATAACATCGTGGGATTCACTACCGGAGTATATGTCAGTCCCAGCCCTTGGGCCCGCCCCGCTGGTAGCTCCCTTCTTTGCTGAACGCGTCAATATCAAGTGGAGCCAGCTCGTTAAACTTGAGCCAGTGACTGATTCTACTACCGTAGCAGCTATGGGCGACCCGTTCGGAAGCAGCTGGATGGCTTTGCAATGCCGGGCCATTGTAGGCTGTCGTGGCCGTACAGTAGCCATTTTTGGTGCAACTAGTGCCGGTGGAAAGGCCGTTGTATCTTCTGCGCGCTTCCTTGGTGTGGGCATTGCACGCGATGCTGATACTCTGCCGAATATCGAGGGTCTCGATGATGGCGTCGTGTTGACGAAAATCTCTCTATGCCTTCCAGCATTGGCCCTGTGCATATCGTGCTAGATTGGGTCGGTGGTCCAGCAGCAATTCAACTCCTACAAACCGCCGAAATAGAGCTCGGATAAAACTTGGAGTACATCCAAACTGGTGGTCTTGCAGGTTATGAGAACATTGACATCCCAGCACGTCTGATTAATAGACAGTGGATGTTTATAATGGCATTTGGGCTTGGTAGTTTTTCGGAGGAAGATATGAAAAGAGAAATGCATGGTTTGATGGGCCCCATTACGAGAATGAAGCCCCCCTTCGAGGCATACGCTGCGCCTTTGGCTGATGTAAAAACTACATGGGAATCCGACGAGGCGCTGAAGAAGAGACTTGTTTTGGTTCCGTAATTTGTCTTAAAGATTTGTACCCAATTGAAAGTTCCATTTTGAACACACTATTCCATTATTTTCTCGGTACGACCTAGTGGACGCTTTGGCTCATGATTCTTGCCAAATTTTTTCTGCCTGGTCAGGAACCACGTCACACAAACTGTAAGCACTATGACTTGATCGATGCTCAGCTATTGATTCGGCCTACCACTTACAAGCCAGCAGGCGTGTTGGTTGTCGATGAATGCCTAAAATGCAGGGCACTAGCACTCCCAGCTGAAGTGGGTCTTCCCGCCCCTACCAACAATACTAAGATCTGATTGGGTACAGCTAATAACAAGATTCTACCAGGGGCTATCCTGGTTGGCTCGCTGAGTATTAGTTCTCAGCCACGTGAGAGCTAAGCCGAAGGCAGTTCAGTGGCATTTTATACTCTGCGAGTGGCCAACCATAGTTATGGCTTAAGTTACTTAGTACAAGAGCAGACCTCAAATTTTTGATGGCGCGATGAAGCTGGCTAGTTGCCGTACGTCATAATTCCCTGGAGCTGAAGGCCGACAGATATGTAAACTTGAGAATAGCCTCGGCGACCGCATCTTATACTTTGTTTTTTTTTTTTTCACCTCCTACTACTGAGTGATAGATAATTCGTTTCACAAAAGAAGACGCGTCAAATATGAAGTTATCTATTCATGTATTCTGTCTTTCCGGCTTCGCTGCCCTGTCAAGCTGTACAAACGTCAACATTCCCATTGGATTATCAGCTGTTGGAAATCCACAGGAGACACTGCCTGCCAGATATCCTCTATCGTCATGGCAATGCGGAAGGAAGCCCTATGTGACTTTCCACCCCGGACAGACTCTTGTGTCCAGTGGTAAGCTATTCATGTTCTCATCCAATGTAACGAACGGCGCACTGATATTAGACTCGATTGTTAGACACTATAAACGCGCCTACATTCGATCCCAAATCCCAACTCTTCACCGGCCCTTCATCGCCCAGCAGCACAGGCAAATACGTCTTTCTCATGGTTGACCCGAATACCAATACCACGGATCCAACATACCCGGCCTTACATACTCTGTACGCAAACGTCACCGCTTCAAATGGCGATCTCAGCTGGACCGTCCTCGCGCCCTATATAAACCCAGAGCCCACTGCGGGTGCACCACACAATTATACCATGCTTCTTTTCGAGCAACCCAGCGCCCAATTTATGGTGCCGTCTAAATTCTCGTCGTTCCTGCCGTTGAATCTGAGCAATCTGTATGCGAGGGAGGGATTTCCGGTTCTTGACTTCATACATGATACTGGTCTGGGCGAGCCAGTAGCGGCAAACTGGTTCCAAGAAAGTGCCACTGGCACCAGCACCAGTAGCAGCGCTGTACCCAGTGTGAGCATTTGTTCAGTAATTCCGACCTCATCTCCGAGTGGCACAGGTGTTGTTAGGAACCCCACGGCTACTGCCACTGGAATCTTTTCTTCAGGAGCAATCACCAGCACAGCAACCAGCATCAGTCCACCAGTAGCTGGAGATGCGGTCGTCAGCAGCGCTAACACCGGAAATGTTTTGATCGGTTTAGGTGCTGTTTTCGGAGCTTTCGGCCTGCTTTAGGACATACGCGTGTATCCATTATTGTGTACAATATGAATTTCCTCGTATTTTTGCCTAATCGACTGTCGGTGATGCAAGACACTTCCGGTGCATATGGGCTCAGAGAAGCAAGCAAGACGAATATATGATACGTGATAAAATAATAGACAGGTCACAATCTAGTCATGTTATATTAAACATGCAAGCCTTGTGTGAACAGCACATAGTCGGCCCGTTTGGTTGGCCAGCCAATGTGGCTAATCATGCAGGCTAAAGCTGCAGTATGCCCGTGGCGGCAACGGCTTTGTCTGAGACAAGTATTAATTCTTGCATGACAGTGACTTACTTTGGCGTTAATCTGTTCGTCACAACAAGGGCGTAGATCATCAAGAAAGGAAGGGTATCGTTGGCATGTTAGCCGCCCACCGTTTTACAGCTGTAGACCCGTTTGTATGCGTTTTGGACAAGGGTATTTATTTGCTATTTAGGGTGCGCCGCACCTGTCCCCTCTTTTTTGATAGGCGTTGACGAGGCTGAGACTGAGGGCGCGCCATCGATTCGTTAATTGTTAAGCCATGGCAAGTTCTCTGGATTTCTTTTCTCGGGATTTACCCAAAACCGGACCTCTAGTGTTGCGGTTTTGTCTTCGTTCTGTCATTTTCTCTTCATTTTTGGAAAAGGAAAACGCAGGTCTATAGCAAATATGAGCACCCAAGTCAATAATAAAACTCTTTTGCACATGCTAAGCATCTTCGGGGCTACGTGCTTATTGACCGTGGGCTGGATTTTCTGCATGCTTTACAGTACGTGGCTATCGAATTCACCATAATACCACCAACTTTGGCTAAAAGGTGCTCGACAAAGGCCGGCTACCTATAATCCTAGGTATGTTCACGCCTCGGAATGCAAACTTCTGTCTGAGTTTGGCAGTTTCTTACTCTTATCAGAATCAATGCGGTTTACTACAGTGAAAGAGACACCAGTCATAATGAACCTGTCCAATCCCCCGTCGCTGGATCTCGAAGGCTATATGAGACTCGCGGGTCACGCCTCACTTGTGCTATTGGTTCTGATCCTCACATTACGTGCCAGCAACTTGAAAATACGACCTGCGAGGTTCAAAATACGGGGCGTGTTATCTCGAAAGGAGACTGAATCTTGGTGATGAATCCTGTACGGACTTTTTAATGGTGTTTTCGAGTACTTCTTTTGGATAAGGCATTGAATAGCTGTACGTATTTTCCAGAGGGTTGAAATACAATGTCGCTTTTCGGCATGTTTATTCATATTGACTTCTGTAAGTAAAATTTGTACAGGTAAAGTTCAGGTAAGTTTTTGGTCCGATAGATTTTCAAAAATATGTAATATTCTATCTAATCGCTGGATCATAGATTGATTGATTGATCTTTTTTTGCTTCTCTATCCTAGTCAGTTGATTATATCTACGGATGCAAGGAATCTGTTTTTCAAGTTGTATAGCATACAAGCCTGTCTAGACATGTCCAAGTTCCTTCAGATGGGTGCTGATTAAGTTATAGGATAATGAACAATGTTTTCACGTATTTCCTTCCCATGAAACCCGAACTTGTGGGTGTTTGACAGAATTGCTCGGAGACTTCCGTTCACGACCCCATGCATTTAGCGTCTATGCATGATTGAAAAAAATGACAAGAAGTCACTAGACGTAATTGTTTAGCCTTGTCTTGCCCACAGGCTTGTATACTGGATAAGTTCTAAAGCATCATCATGGCTCAAGTTACGACTGCCCGAATTCTACCACCAAAAGTCCAAATGCACATAATGAGCTATCTAGATCACGAAGATTGCCTCGCTCTTATCCACGTGAGTAGAAAATTTTCTCCGATTGCTCTGGAAACTATGAAGGATGCATCACCGCCATCAAGAAGCACCAGACTTGCTTGGATTTGGACTGCAGAAAACTGGACGATGTGAGTTCCGGAAGCTCTTTTCTGCTTATACGGGTATCCAACATCCCATCTTCGTTTCTTTTATCGTGCAGTAACAACGGATTTTACAGATACCGGCACCACCGTGCTTGTTGCCGATGCGCAACAATACGAAACATTTTACGATTCACTCGTTGCGCGGACACCGAGACTTGCTCAACAGGTCCTGGTATGCATCGACTGCATTGCAAAGTTGGAAGGAAAAGCAAAATTGTCTCTAAATACGACAAATGAACAAGTGGAAAGATCGGTATCAGAAATAGAAGAGGCAATAGTTTACTTGAGGTCCTTGCGAGCCAGACGAACTTTGCCTACCATCTGAGACGGGAATTTCTAGGTATATTGTGCCATCTCATAGGTGTGGATGTTCCTTCAAGTTTAAAAATATGCAATGCAGAGAAGAAGTGAGTGGTTTGAAGAGCTTATTAGCCAATAGAACTTACATTTCTTGGTCTGTGAGCCTCATGAAACCGAGAAAAAGGAAATTGCCGGAGAAAAAAAGTAAAGAGTAAACTTGTGGTAGTATGGCCTCCATAATTGACAGTCGAGACTACATCTTCGGCCCTTTCCTTTATTATCTCTCAGTCACCCTGCCTTCAACCCAGTCTCGCCTTTGAAAGGAAGCCTATGCAATTGACCTTACGCTTATACTTCATTCGCTGCCTTTCTCGGCTCTGCATGTAACGAAACTGTTGGTTCTACTACGTCAATACCTACGAAGCTGTGAAGCAATATCATCTCAATTCGATGACAACAAGCCCATCTTAAGAAAGTGTAAAGGCATTGGTGTTGGACCCTTTTGTGCACTCCATAAGCGAGATGTGGTACACCGTACCCTAGTGAGATATCAACAGAAACCTTTCGTTTGTACTCAATCATTCGTAATACCAGCTAGCAAGAATGCTTTCCACCTTTTTTCAAGATACAAAAATGGTGGAACCTCTTTGCCCTAGCAATAAGTCGTCCAAGCAATGGACTACGATACCGAGGCGTATGTTTTGGAACGATTGATTGATCCCACCTCCAAAAGTACAAGTTGCGAATTTTTGTTGTTAAAGGGAAGAAATGCATATTCGAGCTGTAAACATCCTGTTTTACTACCAAAGGTGTATTGCATAACACCCTTACTTCCAGCATGTGTAGTGTGGATTAATGTTCAAAACGAAGGTAGAAGTCTGTCGTGAAAGTTCCGAACCTCTTGAGGTTCGAACACTGGCCAATTGTGAAATTGAGGCCCTTCCACCTGCGCTAAAGGGAACATGGATAGAAGCAAACCAAGTACATGAATCAAAGGCCTCTTATAACGGATGTCGTGTTGGTCAGGTGTATCAAATCAGATGCCTTTGAAAATAAACTTTATTGCGTACCTATGTATAGTTGGAATTAACGCATGTATTGACCCCTATCCAGGTACCCACTATCTACGTAGAGATTCCGGCTTTGTTTAATATATTAAAATCTCACATTTAAAATCCGCTGCGAGTGCGTACTATCAAAAAGGGGAAGGACGTCCTACAAACTCTATAAACTGTTGTATGTTCTTAGAATTTCGGGCTCCCATTTCCATTATTGAAGACATTTTGGTTCTTAGAGATGGCCGTTGTTCACCACATGATTTCCAAAGGTGTCAAAACAATCGCCGTTGGGTGCCGACCTTTTCCTGGGCCTGCAATCAATTGGTGGTACGTATTAAGGGCTCCGAGGTGTATGAACTTCCGATATCAAATTCATGGTGCAACAAGCTGTGGTTCTACTCAACAATTCCATTGCCTCTGGTCACCAAGTATTGCTAAAGGATGACAATATCACGCGATTCTACAAATCGAATCCCACCTCACTGGATGATTCTCCATTTCGAGTAAATTTGGTTACTTTCAACTTTACCAACGCATTCACAGTTTATAATGACCGGACTCCGACACAATATCTGTATGACCCCTCGAAGTATCACACTCTGTAAACTTTCCTTCGGCCTTCCCTTACGTGGGTTCTGGCAGCAAATGCGACATGGGGCTCAAGTGGGTGTGTCGACAGCGTCCGGCCTAGCATTGATATTGGCTCGAACTGCAAAGGATCCTTCATCAACGCCCAAAGCGCTTGGTTCTGGGCAATTAGAGAAGCTATACAAATTGAGATTATGTTTTGTGACTTTTTTCCGATCTTTGAATGTCTTTATTAATAATTATGGCATCTTACTTCTTGGGTTAGGTAGAGCAGGAGTGCAAATGGATTCTATTTATTTTTCTATATGAAGTCATTTTCAAAAAGCGTATGTCTTGTATTATATACCTAGCAAGGCAATGTTCCAGTGATCATGACCATTACTTAGGTATCAAACAATGATAAAAGTTCATGCACACCCCGCGCATAACGTACACAGTGAAGAGGCTTGCACTCGCGAGGAAATTTCCGAAGGCCCCAAGCCCTGGCCCGCATCTGCTTTTATGAATCATAAGATCAGCAAGTTATCAAGCACAGCAAGATATGATCAATTAGATATAGTTTGTGTGTAACATATGTTCGGACGATGTCGACAGTGACTCCATTAACGGCAAGAATATCAAAAGTCTTCTCGGCCATCTCAGTTCGGCAAAATAAGATTTTTCCTCATTTCATGATACACTTTCGGGCAGAGAATGTACTTAAGTGGGTAGGGTCGACTTACTAGCATGTCTAGCCATATATAATCCATTGCTAAGTAGCGAATCGGGACTACAACATCATAGTAGCTAAGCGAAAGCCTGTCAGATTGATAGAAGGTCACTGGAAGATAATGGGAGCTCTCTACGAAGAGTGGGATGCAGGATCTCTATTTATATTTTATCCGCGCTTACTATCCTCGCATTTGTATCTTAGGGATAACCCCATACGAGCAAAGACTTGTAGCTTGGAAACTCTTCCATAGACAAACTAGAGTAGTCAAGACATATGATGCCGGATGATTGTGAATTAGTCATATGTTGTAGTTGTAAACGCAGCTACATCGGAAGATAATATTACGTATACTCTTCTTTTGCAACGACATATGCTGTTTTGCCCCCAAAATCTAGAAGACCAGAGTAGTAAGACTAGTATTGAGTAAGAGAACAATAAAAAACAGTAATAACCAGTCTTATCGAAGTAGGGTTATTTGGCTTAGGGCTAATGTCGCAATCGCCTCGTTCAATTAGGGCTTAACCAACCAGAGGCGCAAAATTTACAAAATCGAAGAAAATGGAAAGGGGACCAGAAAGAATACATTTGCATCAATCAATGTTGACCATCTTTGAACATGCCAACTGGCGTTATTGCTTCTGTGATGTGTCGATATGACTCATAATCTGTCATTCTTACGGGTTTCAGAAGATGGGCAGCGGGCACCGAAAGAAGATTAACCTGGCTATGCATATAACTACTATCTTGATTATTTACACATAGGTATATGTAGTTGGAGCCAACGGAGTAGAAACGGTGGCATTGGCTATATGCATTGGCTATATGCATTGGCTATATTTTAGCACCAAAATTACTCACAATGACTCTTCGTGCGTTTAAACCGAGTTTTCAAGCCCAAAAGAGGATCAATTTTTGGGAATGTTAGTTGCTATGTTATAATTAGGGGAGTGTATATAGCCCTTTCCCCGGGCGAGATGCTGCGACGTGGTAAGTGACAGCAAATCCTTCCAGAGCTCATTCTCCTTTACTGAGCCAACCACCCCCCCCAAATGCAGGCAAAATGGCAAATAGTGCGATGAATTCACATACTATCACCGAGACTAGTAGAGTTTTACCTACATCTCAGACTGAAAGTCCAATCTCAGTACCGCTTTCAATCTTCGATGCAACGTGTACTCGATTTTCGCCCACACGGTGTATCTGGCTATTCGACCATCACAGCGACACACCTGAACAAAAAACACTATGCAGTCGCCTCAGAACATCTTTCATCTCCACACCCGACGAATTCCCACAATGGGCGGTCCAGCTCCAATGGTCGTCTCTCAATGCAAATGGCAATCACACAGAACGTTTCCATCGCATAAACATAGTATACGGGTCTCCTCAAGATCCCGGAGTGGAGTGGAAGACGGCCTATCATCCATCCCACTCTTCGAAAGACTTTGCGCCCCTAGCATCTGAAAGAGCATCAAGGACAACGTGGCGAGGTGATGGATTTGTGCAGTCGGAACTGCTTTCAAATACTGCATTAGCAGCATTACACGACATGAAAAGCTACAAGGGATTACCCGCAATGACAGTTCAGATAACTCTTTTTCGAGACGGCGGATATGCCGTTGGGGTGAAGTTGGCCCATCCGCTAGGGGATGCACAGGCATTGATGGTGTTTGTGCAACGGTGGGCGGCCAAGAGCCGGTGTCTTCATGGAGACACAGAGAGCCCGTCACTCATGCCTCCTCCAGTATTCAACCCACAGCTACTAGATTCCCATGCATCAGGGGACATCGATGGTTCGGCTAATGATCCTCGGCTCGCTGCAATTGCACGAGAACTGCCTCTGCATCGCTACAATTGCTGGGAATCCGATGCCCCCGGATACCTGCCAGCATTCCTTTCAACCCTAGAAAGCTCAATGCCTCCAAAATCGTTCCTCGACACCGTCGAACTCTCTCCTGCCGATACGGCACCGTGGACCACGTGGGACGTTTCCCGTTCGGTTGACTACGTGCAAATGCATTTTACTGGAGCAGCACTTGACAAACTACGATCACCAGCATTGAGCAATCACCACGAGAGTCCCCGCTTGTCGCGACTGGATCTTCTCTTAGCCCATGTTTGGTCTGCGATCAACCGCGCGCGCGGAATGGCAGAAAGGCCCGACGATGTTTTCTTAGATTTTACACTAGGTGCCCGTTCGCGTGTTCGACCTCCGCTACCACACTCGTGGATCGGATCGCCGCTTTTTCTGACAAACATTAAACGGAGTGGTTCAGCAGCATGCGAAGACAGCGTCGCAAGCCTGGCCAGCGCGATTCGTAATACGATAAGGCTGTTCACGCCAGAAAAAGTAGGTGCGATGCTCCATGACGCAGCCTACGAGGCCGCCCCAGATCGACTTTGGCAATGCTTTCCAGGGAAAAGACATGTCATTGTAACCTCGTGGCTCCGCTTAGACGTGGATCTGGTGGACTTTGAGGGAATGGGAATGAGACCGCGTTATGTCCACGCAGTGATGCCGAAAGTAGACGGCTTGCTGCAGGTATTCGACTCCGCGGTTGATGACGGGGGCATGGACATTGCGCTTTACCTGGACAGTGAAGCAATGGAGAAGTTGCTCGCTGTGCTATGTGAAGATTAGTTTGCGGGTTGTCGTCGGAACTATGAAATCCCGTGACCCACCCGCTCCTTAGTAAGCCAGGGCTAACTAGTTAACTACATACAACGTCGCACGTCGCGTTGACGTCACGAGGCCGACTCCTCTGGCTGCCTCAGGACGCATTCATGCTCTTTCGCTCCGCCATCCTTGCAGACGTCGTACGCGCATATCGTGTCGTGTCGTCGACGATATCCAGACCTGCACACACAGCGCAACCATGATCCTACTGACTCCGTCCCGGCCGGGCCCTCTCGAGAACGCCGTCGCCCCGGGAAGTGGAGATTGACGGATATATACAACGCTATATCCGGATATCAAGCCTTACCAACGCAACTTTGCATCCCGGATTTATCGTCTAGATTTTGCTGCATCCAATCGCGAATAAGGGGCGGTGGACACCCCTGTACCTCAATGATGACGCTGATTATTTTTTTTTTCTCTCTCTTCTCTCTCGCTCCGAGTCTACATAAATCCATACCTAGGTACTCTCCATCTCACTTGACTAGGTAGTCTCTGTGGCGCCATAAAACCAAGTGCTGTGAAGCCTGACTGGACTGTTGCTCTGGAAATCAAAAAAGCAATAGAGGGGACAGAGCAAGGCTTAACTTTTACACCAAGGAATAAGACGCGGAAGCCGTCACGAGCCCTAGATTGTCCAGGACCCTAGATACCAATCATCTTCAACCATGGGGGATCCGCTCGATACAGATGACCCTGTCCTTGAGGCGCAATTGTCCCGGACGGAGTCATTGCGTGCAGCAGCTCATACGTTCAGCCCCGTTCATGAGGTGCTGTTTGTGACGGTTGTGTGTATGGCCCAGTTCATGACCCAGGCAGCTCTGTCGACTTGTCTATCGCCGCTAGATATCATCGGGGATAGCTTCGACATCGGCAATCCGGGAATCTTGAGTTGGTTGATTGCCGGCTATTCGTTGACAGTCGGCACGTTTATTCTCTTCTTTGGACGATGCGGAGACCTATTTGGCTATCGTGTCATGATGATTATAGGCTTCTCCTGGTTCGCCATCTGGTCGATGGTGGCAGGCGTGAGCGTCTACTCTAATTACATCCTGTTTATCTTCGCGCGCGCTCTGCAGGGGCTCGGTCCGGCAATGTTATTTCCAAACGCTCTCGCAGTCCTGGGAGCCACCTACCCACCAGGAAACAAGAAGCGTCTGATCTTTGCTCTTTTTGGAGGAAATGCTCCCAGCGGAGCAGTGGTAGGTGGGGTGTTTGCGGCACTATTCAGTCAATTGTCGTGGTGGCCCTGGTCCTTTTGGTGTACGGCCATTTACTGTCTGATCCTCGCCGTTCTTGTTTATCTTGTAGTCCCGCCGACACCATCTCATACGCAGGGTATGCGGTTCTGGACACTCGTCTCCGAGCTCGACGTTGCTGGAGCAGCTCTGGGAATCACTGGATTGGTCCTAGTCAATATCGCTTGGAACCAAGCTCCAGTGGTGGGCTGGCAAGAAGCTTATGTTTATGTTCTACTCATCATCGGGTTCATATTTCTCGCCGTATTCATCTACTATGAGAGCAAAATTTCTAAACATCCGCTAATTCCCTTTGAAACCCTCAATGCGGATGTTTCTTTTATCCTGGGCTGCGTGTCATGTGGCTGGGCCAGTTTTGGCATCTGGATATATTATGCGTGGAGGTTTTTGGAGAATATTCGCGGAAACTCACCGTTACTGACAGCTGCACAGTTTGTCCCTGTGTCACCATCGGGCCTTCTCGCTTCGTTTGCCACAGCTTATCTCATGGTCAAAGTAAGGCCCGGGTGGATCATGCTAGTGGCACTCTCCGCATTTACATTAGGAAGTGTCTTGATGACCATCAACCCAGTGCACGAGACATATTGGGCGCTCACATTCGTCTCCCTGCTTGTCATGCCATGGGGCATGGACATGTCTTTTCCGGCAGCAACAGTGATCTTATCAGATGCAGTCGGCCGGCGCAATCAAGGCATGGCGGCGTCCTTGGTGACCACTGCGGTAAACTACAGCATCTCAATTGGACTCGGTATTGCGGGAACGGTGGAAGTGCATGTTAATAATGGTGGATTGACTTTCGAAGACAAGCGCAAAGGGTACCATGGGGCACAATACATGGGTATCGGGATTGGTGGACTTGGTATAGCCCTGAGTATACTCTATTTGATACACAGCGCAAGGCGTCCATCACCAGAAACTAAATTGGGATAATTAGACATTATTTTACTCCTTTGTCATTTCAGTCGTCTCTGCCAACAAGTTTTGTGTTTAGAGTCTATAGACTCTTGATAGATTAGTCAAGGATTCCCCTCCGCCCTGGACAAAGCATAAGTATTATTAGTTAAACTGTTATCAAGCAACAATGTTCTCGCAAATAATGAGAAATCTTGGCCATAATCCGTTCCGGGGCCAGCCGAGTCACGTGATGTCGAATGCTGCCCGAATAGGCCTAGCTTGCCAAGCATCCAAGCCGAGAGCGACTGCACCCGAAGCGCGGCCACCTCAACCTCCAAGACCGAAAGGAAACTTCGTTCCAGCTGCCACAACACCTCCAATTCCTCGCATCCTCGCTGAATATTCACAATGGGTGGTGGATTCGATCCCAAGCATGGAAGGTACGTTTTGGCACTGGTTATATCGCCCCTAACGGTGCTATAGACCTGTGGCCGGTCGGTCCTCGCAGAGTATTGGCTAACATAACTTTCTGTCGACAGCTACCAACAAGGATGGGGTGCCCATAGTAAGCTACTTCCTCTGCTCTGTTGTTCTCGATCCCCGGGAAATTCAATGCGATCGCGTCTCCGTTGTCAATATAGGACCCTTTGTACCGCCTACATGTCGAACGGCTATGCTCAAGCACACCCTAAATGGCCCTTCGCGCTCCACACAAGACGTTCTGTTGGGGACTTACACTTACTTTTTCTTTTCCTAGTTTCTCGGCCTGAGAAGGGCATTGCCACATACACACTCTCTCCCAACCGCCAACGCTTGTTCCCCAACTTCTGGCACACCGCTATCTTCAACACCTTCCGACGTTTCCGTCATCAAGTCCTCTATGTCGCACCTCCCTTCATTGTGGCATACTCACTGATGAACTGGGCCACTGAAGAGTATGCATCTCCTGTCGTTTTTTATCTGACATCGCTCCAAGATAAACAGCTGACGCGGAATTAGGAATGAATTTCTGAACTCTAAAGCCGGTCGGGAAGGTGGTCATGAGTAAATCTCACTCGACTGACTTACCTGTTGTACATCACACAATGGCATCCTTCCTATGTCATTTGTCATGTTGTACAGTATGAGCATAGCAGATTTGGGTGACCTGTGGATAGACGTTTGTGCTCAGCCACCGGCTGATTCTCCAGTCATTTTGTAACTTTTTCTCACTTGCCATCAACATATCATACCAAATATATGAAATGTCTTCTATATGTTGTCTCCTGAAGTTTCCGGCATAAACTTGAATATAGTATGTTCATGAGCTGGAAGCTTTTGACTTACCGAATGAACCTTGGGAAGCATACATGCAAAAATCTTATATCAAAGTCTGTTCTGGGTAAGCGGAGAAATTACTTCAATCACGCATGTGTGGCGCACATAAATAGCCTTTCAAGCTCTTTGTAAGGACAGGTCAGATATCTTAACATTCGATTACTCAAGCCAGCTCTCCCTTTACATCTATACCTTGTCCACTTCTCCAGCCTCTGACGAAGTGCAGAATCTTTATCAAGGCTGCTTTACCACTCAGCTTCATAAATCCTCTAAATATATGTCCTACGTTCCCCCTTTTGTATATCTGCACTGGCTGCACAGGACAAAGTAGTTCACGGCCTATTATGCCTATCGAGGCATCCACCCGTTGCGCCATATCATCTGTCTACATCCCGTAATGGCTTGTCAAAAATAGAGTAACCTGTGATCCCATTCTGGGTCGAAGACCAGCAATCAAAGTCACACCCTTCCGGTTTCATTAGTGAAAAATACTTTGCGTCACAGACAACTCTATGTTACCGTCCTCACCCTTGGGTGGGAATTCATCCATGCTGTACGAGCGCCTTTCAAAAAGAATTATCTTTTCTTCTTTCCAAATCATTTGATTACGCTCCTTCAGTATAACGTCTTGCGGGAGTGTATAATGGATCGTAACCTTCTCAAACCTCTTGATACCCGAAATTTCTTAGTGAAAGCTGTACATGTCTTGCAATACTCGTTATTTCCCAGAGATATTTCACTATCCCTGAACCCTACCTACCTTCAACATACTGTTCCGCATGAAAGCTAGATTGCTATTATTTCACGTCCTCAACGGCGGGATAACCTCATTATAGCCTTTAGGCAATTAGATAAAAACGCATAGTGTCAAACCACAATAGTATCCATGGCCAACGATTGCGCGACGCGGAGTCATAGTATAGTTGCCACCATGGGATGCCAGTGGCTGGGAAGTCACTGAGGGACTTTGGCGGAAATGGAGATGGTCGATGAAGGGTTGTGTGGATATAATAGAAGCTATAAACCGTTGAAGAACCCTTCAGCGGGAGGAAGTGCTTTTTCCAGGAAACGAGATGGGGACTAAAACAATGAGTGTTGGCATATTGTGCGTAGATATGTTTATTACATCATTGACCGTTTTGGAAGCTATCTTCGATATCCGTCAAGTGTCAAATGATACAACTTAAGCATCACACATTATGCAGGGATAAATACCTGACTCGATTTGGGTTTTATATTCCAATAATAGAAAGAGATCTACCTAGGTAGGTGGATAGTATACCTAAGTTTTAACCCCCACGGACTGCTTAGTCTGAGGTATAATGACTGTCCGGGGCTCACAACCAAAAGTACCTGGCTGCAAAGAGATATGACAAAACTTTCTCTCATTACCATCTTGATCATCACCTCAAAGACGTTCGGATTATTATTGCGTCAGTAAACTTGGGTCAGAACTGCGCTAAATTGTCGAATCTAACAGCGCCATCGACAGCATGGGCATGCATGCAGAGAGCAAACCTGGATGCTACATCATGCAACTAGCATCCTTGGCCATACCGCAATCAGTACTGATCGCACGGGGAACACTGGGGTTATCTAGTCTCTCCGCATTTCTCCAGTCCGGCAGTTGCTGGCTCGGGGTATCTTGTACCGAGGGATGCTTACATTCTTAAAATCAAAGTGTAACCCTCAAACTTTGCAAAGATCCCTGCTCCGTTATATTGTTGCCACCATATTTTGAAATTCTTTCTTCATTGAGCATTGGGTCTCTTTAGGGAGACACTGCCAGAATAGAGGTAAAGAGAATGCCGCTATGGAAACATAACCTTCGGGGCAGGGCCTTGATCGCTGCTATTACTGCTGCGACTTGCCAGGCGTTTTTGCTTCTGGGTTACGATCAAGGTATCTTCGATAGTGTCTCTGTGGAATAGAAACAATTTAAGTGGCCAAGCAATTGATTCACCTCTCAGGTGTCATGTCCGGTATCATTGGAGCCAACAATAGGTTTGGTCGCGACTTCAACAATCCAGACGCAAGTATGCAGGGAAATATCACGGCTCTTTATGACATAGGGTGCGTGGTGGGATCTATCATATGTTATTTCATCGCAGAACGACAGGGTCGGCGAGCTATGCTTATGGCTGGCGGAACTATTATGATCATCGGAACGATTATACTGTCTTCATCGTACAGTATCGGGCAGCTCATAGCCGGGCGTATAATAACCGGCATTGGAAACGGCATGAACTCATCCACAGCACCTGTATATCAGAGCGAATGCTCGCCAGCGGCATACCGAGGTGCCCTCCTGACTATGCAGGGCACGGTGACTATCCTAGGTGTGGTTATTGCATACTGGTATGCTAATGCTCTTCTTATGACGATATATAGCAGGAAACACAACTTTCAGATACTAAGATCATCTGCCACAGGACGGACTATGGAACTAGTTTCTACGAATCCGATTTTCAGTGGCGCTTTCCTCTTGCCTTTCAGGCATTTTTTGCCGTTTGCTTGGTACTTCAAATTGTAGGATTGCCAGAGACACCTCGATGGCTAGTCGCACACGATCGCTACGAAGAGGCTCGCACCGTGGTATCCGATCTACTTGAGCAACCAGTTACAGATTCCGAAGTAAATGCAATCATCGACGACATCCGAATTGGGCTAGAAGACGAGCAACGAGACGGTCCATTCCAGATTAAAGAATTGTTTTCATGGGGCAAGGTTCAGAATTTCCGTCGACTACTAATCACCATTTCCATACAGCTAGGCCAGCAATTCACTGGCTCCAATATGATCAACTACTATGGTCCGACCATATTTCAGGACAACATGGGCTTGAGCCGTAACCTATCCCTGATTCTTGCCGGCTGCATGGAATGTACCTATCTTGTTGGTTCCGCAATTCCTGTGTTTCTTATGGATCGGTATGGCCGACGGACTTTGCTCATTGCCAGCTCCGCTGGGCTTTGCCTATGCTTCGTCATGGTAACCATTCTTTTATCGATTGGCACAGTCAGTGCAGCCTACGGAGCTACTGCATTCATTTTCATTTTTCAGCTTCTCTATGGGATTGGATGGCTTCCCGTTCCGTGGTTCTACCCTTCAGAGATTAATACCACTCGCACACGATCCAAGATGCAGGCGGTTGCATCAGGCTGGAACTGGATGTTCGTGTTTACGGTCGTTAAAATTACGCCTATTGCATTTGGTAAACTGCATCCTTTCTTTCTACTTCGTTTTGTTTTTCGGGCGCTGACTACTATGATCCCACAGCGAATATCGGCTGGCGTACATTTATTATCTTCGCAGTGTTGAATGCCGTTTTTATACCCATGGTTTACTTCTTTTATCCTGAAACGAAAGGAATTGAACTCGAGGATATACCTCTCCTGTTTGCAAAGGGTGGCTTTACAGGCGGAGTTCTCACAACAAAGGGCAAGACCATCGTGCCACACCAACACGGCGATGAGGTAATGGCGGAAAAGGGAGATGTACACAAAAAGGAAGTAGAGCGAGTGGAAACAGAAATATAGAAGGTTTGTGCGTCAATGACAGAGCCATTTACAGGTTGTTGAACAACTACCTAGGTAGGACTTTTGTTAATGGATTGAACTGTCAATATACAAAATCAAGATGTGTGGAAACGTTAAGGCGCAGAATATTTTATCCACCATCGGCCCACTTCTTCTGAAATAGTAGATGATTAAGAATAAAGTCAGGTTTCAAACAGAGCATTCTCACTCTTCCCTCTCTAGACATAACAAAAAACTATAAGCAGGTCCTCGACGAATTTTAGTTGCATCTTTAAAAATTTCCACTCAAGGGTTATATATGCACACCTTGACATTATCACGTTCGTGGCATCGGCATGGCAGATAATAATTCAGCGAATCTCTCTTGAATTTCCCTCTTTTTCTCTGCAAACAAACCGGACGATGCCTGGGCCGAACGCCTAGTGAGATTCAATGATTCGCCATTATTCACTTTGGCGATCAAGTCTTTGTCCGGGAATGTCAAGCAGACAGGCATATCTAAAGGCAACATTCGTAGCCCTTGACAGACCTGCTTAAGTTGTTCGGCAGCCTTTCCACCACCATGGCCACCATAGCTCACAATCATTGCCGGTTTGCCCTTCCATTCGTTGAATAAGTAGTCTAGCGCATTTTTCAAACTTGCAGGATATCCCCAGTTATACTGGGGAGTAACGAAGATAAAAGCTTGATATGAGGCTATTTCTCGCGACCAGCGCTGCGTATGTTCATGTTGGTATTCTTGAGCTGAAAAGATGCGAGACGGGATTCCTGGCTCATTATACAGCGGCAAGTTCCAGATTGCAAGATCTACTATAGCTAGCTTTGCTGAAAGTTGGCTATCTTGAAGCGTTTCTTGGACGAATTCCGCAATTTGGAGGCCCGCACGATGCTCCCTTTGGCTACCAACGACAATGGCGGCTTTTGGTATGGTGTCAGAAGTGGTTGCTGTCATTTTGCTGGCACTGAATCGAATAATGTTTGAAAGAGGGGATAACAAATCTGCAAGTATAGAATTTGGTCAAAATTTTACACCAGGCTGCTTTCTAGGTTGCCAGCATTAAAGCCAATGGAGAACGCTGCAGCCTAGAACATTGACAGCGGATGAGGCGGCTCGCACGGCCCGCTTTAATGTACGAAACTCCGTGTTAGGGCTGGGGCCATCTCAAAGCTGGCATTGCTTTACCGTCGGTTTTTGACATTTAATCAATGAATTTCAATGGTTTTATGGACTGAGGATACATCAAATTAACAAGACTACAGGGGATTATCAGCTAACCAGCTCGAAGGTCACGTTCACTCCCGAAAACTACTCTTTTATCTAGGTGCAATTCCTTGAGAAAATGAGAAACAACTTAATTAGCTTTAAGATGAAAAAAAAAAACTCTTATCTGTTTTGACTTCACAAAGTCTGCCAGCTTTTTGAAGGAACGTCTCCTTTGCGGCAATCAATGTCATGTTGTAGCCTTAGGGTCTTTTCAGGATTCAATCAACATATAGAAAAGGGAAACAGAAAGAATACTTGGTTTTCCCAAGATGAAAACAACAACTGGGAGTTTTTCGTCTAAGTTACTGATACGAGAGTTATAATTCAGTTCCCAAACTAGATTTGCAATTAGACACCAAGTATTCTTGTCTGGAGTTTTGGTAAGAAAGACCGTACTTGAAATTGAAACTTCAGGAGTCCCCACCACCGGGGCTAGCCGGATGCTATTAAAAAGCATCTGGGGCTGTCAGTGGCCTTGTAAGGCATAGGTAACCTTCAAGTGGTAGCCATAAGTGAATTGCAGCTTGACTTGAACTCACGAAGGTGGATTCTCTTTGTAGCCAATTGTTGGCCAGTGATAGGAAAGACAAAAAGACAACAAGAGCATTCCTATTATTTGTCTGCAAGAGAAATTTTATCAGCCAATCTCTACAAACATGCAGTCGTCTCATTCCTTCTTCATAACCTCTGTTTGAGATTTGCCTGGCAAAGTCCCTTCATGTGTGTCAGATGACGACAAATAAAGGTAGACAGATTAATAATTGGCAAACCGTCGAGACCGCGTAACAGGATTGACATAAGGTTCCCGGCCGAACTCTTTTGTGATGTTCTTCTCTGAAGTTGTTCGTTGTTTCGTAAACGAAGGTGATGCAAGGGGCAGCTTATGATTGGCTTATGTAATCGACAGCGGTAAGGCCCACTCTAGATTTGAATGGATCCATTCCGACTGGTGGACTCGGACAGTTCGCATGGTTATTGGAGGATAGTACGGAATAGCGGGACGTGGACCCGCTCCGGATGATTTCGCGTCTCTGATTGGCCTAATACTTGGAGCGACTGAAGACGTCAAGATATGAGTATAACGATATCAGATTATCAATCAATACAATTGCTAACACCTATACTAATTAGGATTTGTTTGCGAAAGTACTACTAACAGGCTGACAACGTTTATCATTATTGATAGCAATGACTGTGCAAAAGTAATTCTCTCGGGAGGGTCTTTGTCCTCTTGGTGTTTATGGAGAGCAACAGATAAATATTGGGGATCTAGACGGCTGTTGTGCTCCGTGATCCGTATGTGCCAAACCGAGGCAAGCCCCGTTATATCCTAACATTTTGAGCTAAACATGATTGGCACCGTGTTCCCACGGAAGCATGATCGACATTGTCATGACGTTAGCCGAGGACGGCTGACGCATGCGTTAAAAGGGCTCCCGTTTTTCTCTTCGTCCCATTGGGAGAAGGATCATTTTTCTTAACATCTATCGTTTGCTCAAAGATACATACATTGCATCTGTACAAGCCTAGCCTTTGTCTAATTGTTTGTTGTTGTCATAAATTAGGTATTGACTTTTGTAAAAGCACTACCCTAAGCCATAAACCCGCGGTAGCATGTCGCCACTGCTTTCATTATTTCCCGATTGACACAGAAGGCAGAAGTACTTCAGGATTAGAGTCCATACTAGTGATGTCTGATTCTCCGCGAGAAGACATACATTCGCCACGGCAGCAGCAGAGCGCACCCAATACAGAGCTAAATGCAGGCACCGCCGGCGTTCCGACAAGACGGGAAACCTTGACGCCCTCAAGTAGCTCTAGAGCACCTGAAGCTAAGGCTTCGGGAGAAAAAGTCTGGATTCCTCGGGCTTCAACGCGAATAAGGCCCTTCACACGTATCCGAACGAAGCACGCCTGTGAAGCCTGTCGAAGGCGGCGAATAAAGTGTGATGGAGGCCGACCCGTGTGTCAAGGTTGCGCGGCAACTGGTACGGAATGCGTGTATTCTGATCATAAAAGAGCTCGAGACACACAAGAGATGAAGTCTTTAAAATCCACGGTGGATAAATACGAGCATCTGTTGCGCGATCTTTTACATGAGGTCCCCTCAAGTGCTGCAAAACGAATCAAGTTGAATTTAACAGTAAGGCCACTAAGGTATCCACGCTCATATTAGTAGGGGTCTAATGTTAGTCTTCATAATGCGTGGGGAAATAGCCAGCGGTATCTTCTTCGCAAAGCCGCCATCCGTCTGTATCAAGTTCGTCGACCTCGTCAGCTGGCTCAGTTACGGGAATCGACACGATAGGCGAGGATCTCAATAGAGATGAACAGTCAAGGGCTACAGGTTTCATGGGCAAAAACTCCGTTCTCGCCTGGCTACGGAACTTAGAGTCAGACAGCGGATTCCGGGCGTCAACAGAACAGAGTATGGAAATGATGGGTGGTTTGCAGGTTAATCGGGCTCACTCCTCACATTTTGATGGCAGCAAGGCCAGCTATTTTTTAGACGATAAACAACTCCCAACATCCCGATTCGTCGATTCACTTACACTGCCGCGCAGACAGCTAGCCGATTGGATCTTGACATCATATTTCACATCTGTACACACATTCTTCCCCATTGTTCGCGAAAATCTGTTCCGCGAACAATATAGAAACTTGTGGGGAGCCGTCAGCCCTAGGCCTGGACGGAAGTGGCTGGCAATATTCAATATGATTCTCGCTATCGGTTGCAGGCAATTGGGATTTCAAGGACCGTTGCCGATAGACGTGAAGGATGAGATATTCTTCTCCCGCGCACGAACCTTGAGTGTAAACGAAAACATGGCATTCGAACACGCAGACCTACAGCAAGTCCAGGTTGAAGCACTTGTAGGGCTGTACTTTGTGGTTTCCACACAGATTAATAGGTGAGTTCTATGTTGGTTGAAATGGGTAATGACCCCCGTCAGCGCAACGTGTTTCGAAAACGACCTCACAAGTTGGGAAATCGTCACTGACTCATCCTTTCGTTCCCCACGCAGAGCCTATAAGGTCTCCGGAATAGCAATTCGATCAGCCATGGCTTTGGGAGTGAATTTGCGAATTACTGATTCAGAACTACATCGAACGTCCAGAGAGGCCCGTTCCCGGCTCTGGTGGTCTATCTACGTGCTGGAAAATCTCCTGTCACATATGACAGGTCGGCCTACTTGCATAGGCAGCGCGGCATTCTCAGTCGAGCCACCTATGCCCTTTAATGAGGATATGTTTGAGCACCCAAAAGCGGTCGAGCTGCTAACAGACGAACCTCTTCGCCGACGATGTCTCAAGTGGTCATTAGATGAACAGGACAGTAAAGACGAGCTTCAGCATTCTTGGCTTCATGAAATTGAACCGAATCAGGGTCTTCAGTTTTATTATCTAGTTGACCTGATTCATATAGTAGACATTGCCATTGGCGAGCTGTTTTCTCCCACAGGGTTCCAAGCAAGCCGGTCTTACATCAAGCGGCGAATTCAGTTCTATGACCAGAGAATAGACTTTTGGCTATCAGGACTGCATCCCTCATTCCGCTTCACCGACGAACATTGCAATCCGGCATTGCAAAATCTATCGCAGGAACAAACTGTTTTGGCACTGCATCATTATAGCGCACGCATCGTTCTATATCGGCCATGCTCCCCTTTCCGTAAATACGACTCCTCGAAAGAGAAAGAATATCACTACATCAGTCAGCGCTGTTTACACTCCGCACTTTCTCTGATTTTCATTTTCCCGGAAACGGTCAGCCTAGATTGGGTTTATAACTTATCTCCATGGTGGTGCATTCTTCACTTTTTGATGCAGGCGAGCACGATCCTCATCATATTCTGCCAGAGCGGCGACGAGTTATATTCCGAACGTCAGAATTGTCTTGAGAACGGCTATATTGGTGAGATTAATAGCAACCAGATCATTAATGCTTGCCGGAAGGCACACAGCTGGCTACATGCTTTATCTAACGTAGATGAATCTTGCCGCCGTGCCTTTCTGCTTTACGATGGTCTCACCCGGCGTATTGGGCTGGACGTAACACCACCCTCTACATCCACGCCACACAAGATGTCTTCCGGATACGAGTACGGTATGCCAATTTCCAATGCAGAATTTAACCAGCAACCATATATGCAAGGCTGGTCTCCGCAGCATGCTGCTATGGCATCAGATGCCTATACAACGCGAAGAGATTTTCCTATACCCGGGGATCCAAGACACTCCGACACAGTTTCATCCATCAACTTGGGCAGTACTAACACCCCTGGTCCTCTGGACGCGATTGAATCAGAAGATATGGGTGACAATATTATTGGCATGACCACGGATTTAATGACGGATAACTATACTCAATGGATTAGGGCAGCTTTGGACCAAGATAGCCTTATGAACCTTGCGTAACTCATGTATGAAACATATGGTAAGTATTTATATATCAAGCCACATTCTGAATTGTATCATATTGGCGACTAAAACCGAAATTCGTGGGGCAATAAATGCAGCTAATTAATAAGACCAGAAGTATGCTGATTAAATTTGATATTAAAAAGGCTGTGGAAGAATGTCCTAAACGGGTTTTGTTGGTCTTATTGAGCTTTGTGGGCAGTGGTCCAATCTCTTTGTTTCCTATCTGTGGCCGTCCAAAATGGATGTATTTTTACTTTCTTGCAGTGCGCTAGTTTAAACTCGATGGTCACAATATATCTGTCATCTTTAGTAACTTCACATAATTGCAGTATGACCGACCTTCATAGGTCACATTTGATTAAGACAACATGCTCACTAAAACGAGTTTCCACCTTGACTGAGGGAGTTAATCATTACTCTATGAGTGGTTCTAGATGTTAAAAGCCCTCACGACTTCCCTTCCAGACATTCTAATGTACGTCAAGAACGAACCTAATGATGAACATAGCTTAGATTAGTAGTTGACTAGTGGGTATGACTGCATGGTCAATTAAAATTAGATGCCATATAATGTGACAGATCTCTATGATCGGCTTTCCTCGAATCTAGCAACCCAAAGATGTCCGGGTTCAATGCCCTTGTGATATTTCTTCATTGTAGGGCATAATTGGCAGAGAGATCCCCGAGCAGGTCCATTTTGTCATTTCTTCAAGACACGTAGAGTGCATACTAAGTACTGCACTGCGCTTCCTTCGGTGGTAAGCCATAATACTTTGTTGGAGTTCCGCCATCCGACACATGCTTATGTGATATAATAACGAGTGCATAAGATACCCTGCAGGGATTAACATAGAAATTTAAGCAGCTTGCTAATCTCGGACACTACAACGTCGCCCGCAGATGTCACAAACACATAATAGTATCAGACAACTATCTATACGAGCTTCAACATTGTTTTACTTCTTTATCTCTTCAGTTATTCAATCATGGCCGACGATTCTACCGCAGCAATATCAAAAGTGCAGATGGATGATGGAGTGCAGCTGAATGTCAAGATACTCGGAGAAGACTCTATGCATACAAAGCCACTGCTCATTGCCCTTCACGGAGCACCGGGGTTATCTACACTAGCTGAGCCAGTGGAATCCTTTGGCTTCCTTTCCGATCGTTTCCGTGTTCTAGTGTACGATGCTCGAGGCAGCGGAGACTCCGACAGTATAGGTCCATTCGATCCTGATCGCTGGACCAAAGACATAGAAAATCTACGGTAACCAAACCCAACTTAAAAAATGCAGTGAGCAGCGATTTAATATGTGCTATAGGATGTGGGCTTCCGCAGACAAATTTGTTCTCGCGGGAGGCTCATATGGAGCGTTCGTTGCTCTTGACTATGCCGTGAGACATGGCGATAGATTATGTGGACTGATTCTGCGAGCCGGGTGGACTGTTGGGAAAGTCGGATCCATGACCGCTGTAGCGAATATTCTCAAATCGAAGAGAGTCAAGCCAGACGCAGCACGTCAGGTTCGGCTATGGTCTGGAACTCTGCATAGTGACAAGGACTTCGAAGATGCAATCATGGAAATCCTACCAATTTATTCACCCCCGAGAGTTTCGTCCAGTGATGATCAATCTGAGTCAGCCGATTTCAAGGGAACGCTCATTTTTCATTCAAAAATACAAAATACTGCTTTTGGAGAGAATATGCCTCGCTTTGACGTGCGTAATCAACTCCAAGATATCAAGGTAAGAATCTTTCCTAGTATTTGTTGAGACATGGTGTCAAACTAACTGATTCTAGGCCCCTACTCTGGTTCTGGTAGGGCGCCATGACTACGCAACGCCAGTATCAGGTAGCAAGGAGATAGCCGATGGTATTCCTAATTCGAGATTGGAGATTTTTGAGAATTCAGGACATAGTCCTTCTTCAGACGTACCCGAGCGGTCCCGAGAGGTCGTCTCATATTTTGTGAAGGTTCGAGGATTGTCCAAGAGATCCCCTAAGGCTAATGGGGATGCAACCTGAGATCTTCTATGCAAGTGATAATGTGGACATGAGACAGTTGGGATTAGTGAAATGAAGAAAGCAACAGGCTCAGAAACCGCAACTCGCAAGACCCAGAGACGTACGGCGAGGTAGTAAGCGTATAATAGATATAGCGCGGAGTCTCTCCTAAGAACATGTCTCCATCACTGGTTCAAATACCTAGGTAAACAGATGATTGCCTGTATAGTTGACACCAAATGGTCCACCAGCGAATCTTGAAAAATCACTTGTCAATCCGAATTTTATTCACTCTGACATCACTATAGACTTCAATACGAAGGTAATAATTCTTGAGAAGATTATGAACTTCTGTCAATTAGATTAGCTATCTTGCTCGAAATAAAACACGCTCCGAACTCTCTGGACTCAATATAGAACTGGCAGAAGGATAAACCTTGTGTTATTATTTACATACCCTTGCATGTTCTAGTAATATTCAAGAAGCATGCTATTCACTACTCACGGCTACAAATTGTATAGAAATGAAATGTATATTGATTTTAGGATTTTCTGTATCTATCATGTGACGGATGCGTGTCAATTTGTCATGGAATTATTAACCCACAGGCAGAAGGAGTTGTTAAATCAACGACCCGGAGTACGAAAAAGGCCTGCACCTTTAAGAAGTCTCAAAGTATTCAGTCTTCCCGTTTTTCTAAGGTTCCAAATGCTGGTCAGTTGCTTGAAATCAATAGTTGAGGTACTTTGTAGAAAGCTTTGACAATGGAAAGAACTCACAAGCGTGCGGCTGTATTTGATGCCGATGTTATTTCCAGAAACAACGTCATAAGGAATAGGGCTAGTGTAGTTGTAGGTAGCTTCTTGCCCCTTGTATGTTTCCTTGACAACCTTGACTATGCCATTTCCAGCAGAACAAGAACCCTTGGTCAGTGGAACAGGCCAGATATCTGTGTAAGTTGAGGTTTTGTTGTCGGACAACGGGCCTGGGTAGGTCGCATTTGAGTACAAGTTGGTTGTGTCCACATCGTAGTTAATGTATCCAGTTTTTTCAGCGACGAGAGATAGGATATTGGCACCACAGTCCCATCGTCCAAGGGAGGGAAGATGGAAGTTGGCAGAGAGGGACGCAATGACTGAATAGTGCGTGTAGAAGGTATCGTCGGTGGTTCCCTTCAAATATTCTGGCACGGCACCTCCGAGCAGGATAGTATAGACCTTGTTGATATGAGTATGGTTGCCCGACTCATCAAAAGTGAGCATAATGAGGGTATCATCCATAAAGTACTCATTTTTTAGAAGATCAGAAAGAAAACCAGCCACCCAGGTGCCAGCAAATGTGACATTCGTGTCATGGGCATCGTTGGTCATGTTAGGAGTTATAAATGAGTATTGTGGCAATTTTTTGCTCTCCAGATCGTCATAGAAACTGGTGAAATTCTTGATTTGCCGAAGACGAGTAGCGTCATTTGTGACAGAGTCAAACAAAATGAGAGGATTGTGCTTCCGCACGTAATCATTGGCTCCAGTCTCTGGGTACTTGAAGCCCTGGTAGCCGGCATATGGAAGGGCCTCCTGGTATTCTCCCCAGGAGACACCCTTATCATCAAAGAGATCGGCAATGGTAGATACATTAGCAGGGATTTGATGCCAGTCATCATTGTCCATTCCAAATGTATCACCGGCGGCAGATGCACAGTAGTTGGGCTCCGATGGGTGAGTAACAGTCCAATAGTTACTCAAGAGTATTCCCTCCTTAGCCAATGCAGAGAAGTTAGGATCCAGAGCAGTAGTTGCATAGTCCTATTAGGATGGTTCACGTTAGTCAAACAAACCACCTCACTGCCACCAGGGCCCTCTTTATTTCTCTATCCGTCTCTCTCTCTCTTCCCCCATTTATTAAACTTGTTACATGATAAAGAGCATTACTCACGATGTTTTCAAACCATATATCAACAAATCGACTGAACGCTTTTCCCTTGACGTTTGAAACTGGCGAGTACGGCTGGACCAAGGCTTGGGCAGCAGCAATCTCAGCAGCAGAGGGATACTCCTCAGTGGTGGTTTGGGCAGCAGTAAGACTAAAGCCAGCCATAACGGCCAACATCATCTTCTTGGACAACATCTGGACTGGGACTTTTGCCTTTTTGGCTCTAATAAAGCTGACAAAGAGGGGGACGCTGTGCCTAGGAAGTCTTGTCTACATGCATGTAGTAAGGATTGCATCCTTCTTTATATACATAGATAATAACCACTTACTTTGCTGAACATGGCTCCCTCGTGGATGTTGCCATACTCGTCCTTAGTCTCCATAATTATCGTTCGGGATGCTCTGGATTCCTATAATCTCGTGTTGAGGAGGTCTAGCGTCACACAGACGACTGTAACCCGCCGCAGAAATGAAGTACAGTGGCCATTCACAAGAAGAGCATATGTAAAATGCGATATTCTGGCGAGTTGTTATGGTGGCCTAGTTTTCTGCCGTGAAAGAAGACCCGTGGGAGTAGTGATAGCCAGCGGATCACCGGGAGCATTTAGAATGCCGTATTGGAACATGTTCTTGATCCTGCACTATTTATTGGATAGACTTGAAAACTGACATGGGCATTGAAGATTTAACGTGTGACATTTGGCAAGGTAGGCCTCAGGCACGTGTTTGCGGTGTCTGCGGCATCCACGGTGGCGGGCAAACCCCGAGAAAAAAAACCTTGAAGAGCTTCTGTACAAAACACGTGGGAGAGGAAATTAGAAGAGCGAAAGTATCGAGATAACGAGCAACAATCAAACTACGACAAGCAGGACGATCTTGCCCCATTGACAGCCATACAAGGTAGTACTTTACTTTGCCCACGCAGAACTCAGCCAACGCAAAAATAGAGACCAATCAAAATAACATGAAATAACCGCTAGGATCACTCTAGCCTCGGTCTGATTGGCGTAGTATCACGCCTATTGTGACTTATGATTAGCTTGTTGCCGATAATTGTTCCTACAAGATGCTCCTTTTTCGGCTGGAATACCACGAGTCTGCGTTAGACATAGTCCTGCTCTCATCCTGGCTACCAAAATAAAATCCGGCCTGCACATTAATATGGCCTAGATGGCTTCATGCATCATAGCTAACGAGTAGAAGGCAATGTCGCTCATCACGGACGGTCTCCTCTTAAAAATGTGGGAGATGGCCCAAACACGCCCATCAGATGCATGGGCCTCGGCGAAACTGAGGACCCATATATGGAGCAAGCATTTCTTTTCCGAGAAGGAGTGGGTAGTTTCCCAAGCGATTTATCCAGAAGGAAAAGTCATATTGTCATAGAATATCTGAGCGAGAATAATTATCCGGCTCTTTTCGCCTTTCATGAAGTGAAGGCATCGAATGCAGGGCCCCATGATGTTAGTGAGGCCGAGCATCAGGCATTCGATACTGGTATGAGCTACCTAGAAAAACATTCTGAAGTACGATGTGTGTTCGCCTTGACATCATTTGGCACTAAATGTCGAGCATGGCGATGCAGTCGAACAGAAAAATTCCCGTCTCCTCTCTTTGGCTCGAATAATTTGGCTAAACCTGATGAATACGCCGAGGTGCACTCCTCAGAAGCTTGGCTAATAAGTCAAGCTATCCAAATGATAAAGAATTGTTCCACCACACGCATAGGAGGATAGTGGAAGGAAGTACTGTGGTGGGGTTTCACAATCCACCATGGGCATTGTGGTCAGTGCAGGTAATTTAAACTGGAGATATACTTCTAGATTGACGCTAGACCATCATACAATATTTGTGACAGTAAATACTTATCCATTGCCATTCTTAACTGAATAGTCACTCTTGCAAAACCTTGTATGTTCGATATTGTACCGATTTGTCCTAAGCAGGCTACTAGTCCGACATTACGTACACTTCTGATAAAGAGAGAATATTGTATTAATACAAAAGTCAACTACAACCCTCAATTTCTATAACAGGTATTCATTCTGAATCGGTATGTCGTTGGCACTGCCTTCCTTTCGAGTAGTCGGGCTTTAATCAAAAAGCAAAGGGATGAAACAGCATCGGATTAATTTACATTTTGTTGCAACAAGCTTTCGAGAATGCCAAGCAGGCCAGTAACATGAAAAATTTTGCGATTCTCGCTCGGACCTCTGCAAACCGTGCGGGCCCGTATACAAGACGTTCAGAAAGCCACAATCGCTGGCTGGCTAGGATTATTGGCTTGATATACATGAATTTCTAGGTCGCATTGACCTCCTATGTTGCTTTTTCTCGATCTGTGCGCCCAAAACTGTGAAAATGTTGCTTGCGATGTTAATTAACTAGCTTCCTAGCCAGGAGGAATGGACGTTGGACTTTTGACTGTATGCCCACGTGTCCGGCAGCAGTGTGTAGTTGGTGGAATTCAATTAGTAGTCTGTGCTCTAAGAAGTCTACAGAATTGAATTTCTTATCAGCTTGGTGAAAAATAGACAAGATGTGAAGAATGAATAGATATATATTGCACAACAGCCCTAACACCATAGCCCTAAATTTAAATATCTAGACATCTGAGCAACAAGCTCACCAGGACTATAACATGGAAATTGATCACTCAACTTCTAAACAATCGGCTAGACACGGAACAATCAAAAAGATTAACAAAGGTATTTATTTATCTTATACCTCTAGATGAATGCATATCATCCTTCAGGCTTATATCTAATTGAGAGTCAAGATTTCCAGTCATAACCATTTCAGGTTTATAGAAACATTATCTACCAGTATATCTTGAAACATCATTCAATCATCGATATCCATAAAACCAAAACACCCATAGTATACAATAACACATCCGCTTTTTCTTTTTGTACAAAGGCTTACTCATTCACATCATCAGTGTTGATGCTGATTTCTGTAGTCTTCTGAATGTCATACCGTTTATTTCGGTCAATTTCTGACATAGGTACTTCACCGCCTAGCACTGCAGTCTCATTTTCAGATATATATTCTTCACTTTCGCTTCGCCCTAAATGGGAATTGTCACTGGTCGCGATTGCTGAAAAATTTCGGCTCCGACCAGTATAGCCAGAGAATGGACGTTCCGAAGTCTTTCCTCCATGATAGAGCTGGCGGGAGATCTTTTTCGTCCCGCCAGTTGTTGGGTGCAGAAATCGCACGGTCCGGCGTATAAAAGACCAAACGTAGGGAAGGTTGGACACGTAAACACCGATGGAAGCTTCTCGGAGGTACCAGAACTGATAGGAGGTGTCGTAGATGTTCTTGAATGTGAAAATTTTGGAGACGATGGCGCAAATGATCTGGTTAGTAGAAAAAGGATCAGTCAGTCGATGCAAACATGACCAGAGAATTCAGTGTTATGGCACTCTGGTTTAGAGTTGGCAACGGTACTTGAACGACTTGAACGTACCAGGAAAAACCCCATTCCGAAGATGAAAATAAGCGGTATCTTCTCTTTTTTTGACATATTCATCCTCCACAGTTTTGGAATAATAACCAATAAGATAGCCAGATCGGAAGAGATATTGAAGACAGCTTGAACGACTTCATAATTGAAATATGTGGCGCATTCTTGTTGTGGTGGTGGGAGTGTCCAGTATCCTGAGAAGGGACGACAGTTCAGAAATAAAGTGAGTTCAACGGCGACAAATCCGGCAAGAGTGTATCCAGCACAGATTTTGACCCAAAATTGTTGCCTGAGATTCGTACTGTTGAGGTGTAACAGCAATTCTATTAGAATATCGTAGAAAATATGGACGAAGCAAGAAAATTGAAGAAAATGGCATTCACTCACGTCATCCGGTAGTAGATGATAAGCATGCAAGCTTTCAAAGTCCATATCGTATTGCACATACACTGTAGTTTTGTTTCTTCTGAGCTATCGAGAACCTACAAACTAAGCCGTATTCAGTGGAGAATTTCCATACCTGTTCTGAGGCAAACTCAACTTTGGCGAACTGTGATCTGGAAGCAATATCGCCGTCAGTGAAGGTCGCGAATTCATCGGGCGGATAGAGTGCGCCTCCGCCACCTTCAGCTAATTTAATGTTGGTCACGACAAGAGCAGTATACCAAGCCTGGAAGGGACACGGAAACAGTCAGTCGCAATCATATTTGTGACTCTTCATATGAAGATGAAACTGTACAATTGCAAGGACCATAAGAAAGTCCTCTGCCTGCCATTTGAAGCCCATCCGCTCATATCTAGCATATCTGCAGCACCAGATGGGATTAGCGACTCATCAAAGGCACCGGAGACATTAGCAAGATATCCGCACAATCGAAGAAGGTATATGATAACACCAATGCTGTACATGATCCATGACTGCACCACGAGCTGTTGCGGGGTGCCGCCGCCATCGTTTGCCATTTCTCTCAATTTCGCGCTTCCTTTTCAGCTGCTACTCATGTGAGTTAGCCGAGATGCACACGTGTTTTCATCCCACCGCCAGCGAAATGGATATAGGAAGATATATGGACAAGCACGGCTATGTTGGGCATTGAATGTTAATCCGGTTCGGCAGATAGGAAAGAATCTGATCTCTCGTACACCACGTAGTTAGTGCAAGCCTGATTCCTGACGCTGATCGGCGATAAGAGTTTTTCTCATGATGAACTAACTACACATGATTTCTAGAAAGATATCGCAAGAATGCGAGGCTTGAGCGCAGTGGATTTTCCTGTCGATGGCATGGAAGTGCCACCATCCTGGTGGCGAATCAGGGGCCAGCGGCCCGTCGATCGCAATGCAGTCTCCGTGCTATGCGTGAACAATGGAACAAAGAAGACCCTGGTCAAGGGATGGCGAAACTATTGGCTTCTTTCCGAGGCTCACGCCTCACAAAGGCATTGTACGGAGTAGAACGTACGCAATTGGAAGTTAACACTGCTCCCGGAACGAACTAGATGAACGATCGCAACGCCAATCAAAGCGCGTCATTTGGGTTGACGCCACGCTTTTGATAGTCTTTCTTGACGTTTTATACTTTGCACCCCCGTGCGAAGCAGAATGCGGCGCGGCACACCATCGATTGGTGGGGATACTGCGGCCAATGGAAAGCGGCGTCTGCACACCATTTTGGTGATCGCATCCCTGGGATTCGTTCTTGGCATTCTTGGCACGCGGCCCGTTTTACCCACAGATCGACTAACCTAAATAAGAAAGTCAATTCCTTTTTCTGTCGCAGTCTCTTTTCCCGGGCCTGCGCCAAAAGCTTTAACGATTACTATCCTTGCTGTCCACCGAGTCCCTTGACCATTTTCGTCTGACTAATGGCCAATAGAGAATTGTAGCAACGGCTCCATGAAGTTCTTAGCGTTGGAAACACTACCTGAAGTATGTGTATCACGATTTCGGTGTTCCGTACGAGCAATACATCGGCCGGACCCGCTCTTGTATCAGCTGCCGCATCAAATTGGTAGTTCTAGAAGCAGCCCCAAACCCTTCGGAGCGTGGGCCACCTCGGGCAGACCCTTCGATCGTATTTAATCTATTTTACGTATTCTGGGTAAATCCTATCATAGTATCGAATACTAGCCCTGAATGCAACGCAACTATCTGATTCATCCAACGTTTGCCTAGTCCTATTTTATTCAATCGTCCGGCCCTTTTTTATTTTTATTCTTTTTTATGTGGGCCCGGGCCTGCTTTTTTCGTATCTAGTTTCCGTCACATATGTAAAATTCTGTTCCATGTTCTGGATAGCTATCTTGATGAAAATTTGATGTACTCGGTTTGTTTTGTTCCAAGCTTCTTGAAACGACATACCTATTCACACAAGACATACCACAATGGAGAAGCAGTCGACCGGGTCTGTCAATGTCGATGGTTCCGAGCCATCACCATCTGGCCTGGAAAGCCAAACATCTGATGCCATGAAGCCCACCACTGGGGGTGTGTTTGCCAGGCTAAATAAGAGTATTACCTCCATCAGGTTTCTTGAAGCTCGTGGCATCGAACGTGTGCCTGAGTCCGAGCGGCACAACCTTGCTGCTGCCGATTACGTACAGATGGCTCTACTTTGGTTCAGTACAAACATCACTGCCAACAACATTGCAGTTGGTATGCTCGGTCCGCTTGATTATGGCTTGAGTTTTGTCGATTCCGCTCTCTGTGCCACTTTTGGAGCGCTTCTCGGTGCAGCTGGTGCGGCGTATATGGGAACATGGGGTCCGGTCAGCGGTAACCGTACGATGGTTTGTCCAATTCCTACATCTTATTGTTCCATTTTGGTATCAGCCATCTATACTGACGTAATGAACAAACAGGTCATTGCGCGATACTTTATGGGCTACTACCCCAGCAAGATCTGTGCCCTTCTTAACATTGTTATTATGCTGGGATATGGAATGATTGACTGCCTCGTTGGTGGTCAGATTCTCTCAGCCGTCGCCGGCGGGAGTATGTCTGTTGTTGTGGGCACCATAATTGTGGCGATAATCACCTGGATTGTTGTCATTTTTGGCATGTCTATCTTCCACGCCTACGAAAGATGGGCTTGGCTACCACAGATTATTGCGCTCTTTGTCCTCGTTGGTTCTGCAGGGCCTAAATTCGATACCAACATTGCCTCCGTAGGCGATACAAGAGACATTGCCGGCAACCGTCTGTCATTTTTCTCTCTTTGTCTCTCCTCTGCCGTTGCCTGGGCACCCGCCGGTGCAGACTATTATGTTTACTACCCCCCGACTACAAAAAAATGGATTACCTTCACCATGAGCTTTCTCGGAATCGGCCTTGCCTTGGTATTTGCCAATCTACTTGGTGTTGGCCTTGGCTCCGGTACTTATATCAATGCCGATTGGGCTGCTGCCAACGATGTCTCGTCTGGTGCTCTGGTCGTGCAAGGCTACAACGGTTTGGGTGGCTTCGGGAAGTTCCTCAGTGTTCTTATTTCTCTTGGTCTCATTGCGAACAACATTCCTGGCACTTACTCTGCCACGCTTGGTTTTCAAACTCTTGGGCGCTATGGATTGGCACTTCCCCGTTGGTTTTGGACTTGTGTGGGCGTCATTATTTATACTGCGTGTGCCTTGGGTGGACGCAATCATCTTTATGAAATCTTCGAGAACTTTCTAGCTTTGATGGGCTACTGGGTTACCATTTTCCTAGTTATCGTGCTTGAAGAACACATGATATTTCGCTGGGGCAAGATTGCCCCCGCGTTTGATTGGTCTATGTGGGCAGACCGCAGCAAGCTGCCCCTCGGCCTTGCTGCTTTCACTGCATTCGTGGTCGGATGGGTCGGTAGTGTCTTGTGTATGTACCAGATATACTATGTCGGGCCCATCGCCAAGTTGGCCAGCCCCGAGGGTGCCGATTTGGGCATTTGGGTAGGATGCTCCTGGGCTATGCTTGTCTTTCCACCCCTCAGGTGGCTAGAACTGAAGAAGTTTGGCCGGTGAGCAACGACTTGACGACCCAATATTTGCTCCATGAATAGAAAAAGGTGTATGTTGTCCTGGGAATTCGTCTCTATCAGACTCGATATCGATATACAATTTTATACCTATTGGATATGTCTATTGGTATGTATACTTGCATCCTCATAATCCTTATAGCAAAACCATCTCGTGTACATTACTACCAGTCATTTATGAAGGGAAATAATCCCCATCACATAGAAGTTGATTGCTATTAGTTGATATGGTATATAGATTCCTAGCTAGTGTCTAATGAATTAACTTACTCCAAGAGTCAATTGGGAGAAGAAGTCCTAGCTAAATATAAAACCTTGGAATCTCATCGGGACACGACTGGACATCACAGCTTCTAGGATTCCGTCTCCTCTACGTTCTCAATCTGACTTTTGTCAAATAGAAAAGCTCATTCACGGAGCTGTGGGCGAGGCGCAGGGGTCCGTTCATGTCAGCTGAGACTGACCGAATTGCATTCCCTAGGTAGCAACTTAAGCAGTAGAACTTTCCTAACACTTAATTCTAACTTTGCTAGAAAACTCGAGATGCCAACAAAGTCTCTCGTCCATGCAAATTTGTTTTCATTATTATTATTAAGTCATTGCTATAGGGTGTTGTTATATACATACGACTATGTACTAAGCCACTTTCCAAGTCCACATGTTCATGCCCATCTTATTCCCCGTTGTTACTGGCATTCCCGCATGAAGCGTCAGCTTATGACCTGATTCATCCTCGTGTAGGTTTTCCCAATATATGGCATTGCCGAGGATAGGTTTAAAAGTGACGCCTTCATCGAACGGTCGGTCGCAATCGATAAACTCACACCATCTCTCATCATCAGGAGGAGTAAGCCGCGGGAAGTTAGTCCCTCCGCCGGTGCAGTTTGCATGGATATAAACAAAGAATGTGGAAGCTATATTGCCCCCCACTGCATGAACGTCGTCAAACCAATCGTAATGATCGCGATATTGGCCGGAAATGCCGTAATTCTGCACCACGATGGGCATAAAGTCTCCAAAGTGTTTGTAGAAGGGGAAAGATATCGCCCTTTTCTCAATGCCTTTGATAATAACGTCGGTCCGATCTAATTTTGCCGTCATCGAATGTCGATACGCCTTGTCGATGTGCGGTTTGCCGTCGTTATCCCACATAGGCGATGGAGTAAATCGGCCGTCGCTAAAGAGAAAAAGAAGTGTCTACGTTAGTGCATAGCTTCATTTTTCATGGAAAAAGCAACAAATAGGCACTTACGCTAGTTGCACAAGATGAGCTGCCTCCTGCGCGCTGATGAAATCTTTCACGTAGACCACGACTGGATCCTCTGAGAACATATAGATTTCCGGGCCTGGGTGTTCGCTACCACTACTGTCGAATTGCTGCATACGGAGCCATTCCAGCGGCCAGCGACCGGTTTGGCTGACAGCCCAGGCAATGACGACGGCAATGGCTGTCACCAGCAAACCGAGGGACGGGAAGAACCGTTTGTCTGCCATGGTTTTCAACGGTCGGTTGGTGACGGGGCCAAAGGTGCTACAGCGAACACAGAGAATCCATCCGAGGACAACTGCTGCCGGGGAGCCCTGGTGGAGGACAGAAGCAGGATAGATCAAGCTCGCCCATTGTGGATGTTGACTTCACATCGAAAACGCAACGCGAAGGCCCTTATCGATAAAAGGAGCACGTGCCCCCAGCCATGCTGACTATTGGTGCCTGAAAATGAAATTGCAACATTTTTCGTCGCGCGCCGTTTTTGCACGCTAACCCCCAATCAGTCTTTGCATGATGCCTCGAGCTCTCTCCGACTTCTTCTGTTCTCCCTTCCCTCTCTCCTCGTATACAACCATGAGGTACTCATCGCTCTTGAAGCTGCAGCCATGGCTTGGGTTTCTGGTTATTCTCCGGTTATGTTGTGCAGCGGAGTCGCCTCTCTTCAAAATTGACCCGGATGACTTTGATCTCCAGGCTACATTGTCCGGCATCTTCCTGATGACCTGTATGTTGCTAATGCCCTTGCACTGTAGTATTATGTACTAACTGGCTGCTATGAAAGTTTGTATAGTGAGTTTTGATTTTCGGAATGGAATCTGAGTCTCTTTTGTCTTTATTTTACTTCGTGCTAAGTCTTATTCTGCACCGGCCAGGACTGGTTGTATGATTTACCACATGCTATCTGCTGTTGGGCAATATATTGACTATGGCTCAGTGAACCTTGTAAAGCCCTACACAGACAGCTCGTAGATGCTGCCGAGGCGTTGAGACAAGTCTCACAAGTTGGTATCTATGAAGTTGATTGTTCGGAGCACGCCAAGTTCTGTGCATCTCTGGACGTCCTGTCCTTTCCGACAATTCGTGTCTTTGATCATCAGCAATGGTCACGCTACCGGGGTCCACAAAGAACATCGCAGTATGGCTTCTATGTAATCAATAATTTGACTCACCGAAGCTGATTGGATCCCCATTTTAGAATCGTGACCCATGTGTTGAAGCAAGTCATGGAACCCGTCATCGAACTAGACGAGCAACGCTTAGCCGTGATGAAAAACTTGTCTCTTCCTCTGATGGTCATGACAGGCGACCAGAACGATTATGCATCGCTTGATATTCTTACTGCACTGGCAAAAGCAGAACTGTCGCAAAATTTTTTTGTAGGGGTCATGTGGGATCCGTCGTTTCCTAATATCCACCATAAGACTACCCCCTCTGTCACAGTCTTCAATTCTCTGGACGAAACCACACCCAGATACGGTGGTCGTTTTGATCGAGAAGGTCTTTTAGGTTTTGCCAGCCTAGTCTCCCAACCGCTTGTCAGACAATTCGACATGTCATCATTAGTGAGCTTCATGAAGGTATGGTCTTCCATACATCGCCGTTTCAAGAATATATCTGATAATAAATTAAACAGTCCGGATTGCCTATTGGGATGGTTTATTCTACTAAAGAAGATGAACGCAAGGCGCTTGCCGACGTCCTCTCAGTTGTGGCAATGAAACACAGAGAAGATATTAATTTTGCTACCGTCGATGCCACCAAAAGCGAATTTTTTCTTGAGCCCTTGGGCTTGCAGGTCGATCAGCTTCCAGCTTTCGTTATTCAGACCGACGATCGTGTTTTCAAATTCAGTCCAGATATGACAATCACACCAGAAGCGATTGAGGATTTCATTCAAAGGACGCTTTACTCGCAGACAACTCCCATAGCTGCACAAAAATAAGCTTATTCAAGCCTTAGAAGCCTAAACTACACAATCCAGAGTAATTCACTGGGTAATTGCAATTTCAATGGTCAAGACCATCAAATCAAAGCTATCGATCTATGTAGGCCCAGGGCAATGGGCCAAAATGACGAGAACAACCATTGAGACACTAGGCAAGGCCATCAGGCATTTTTTTCAGGGAGGAGATCACTGAGTATATCATTTTAACAGCTGTTCCAGGCCGCGTTGCATCATATGATCACACAATATATTCACAAAATATGCACGATCACGCAGAACCCAATTTTCATCGCGACCTAAGACAATCCAGTGCCAGTTTGAGCCAGAGAACTCAGCACTGTTATTGATTGATTGGTAAATCCATTCGGAAAACTTCTCTTGCACAACACTTCCATAAGTGATATCTTTAGTCTCTTGGGCCAACTTCAGGAGATCCGCCTGGCAACCAGGTCCCCTACCCATGCCGGCAAGAATTTTCCCCGTGATGTACTCGTAAAAGACGATGTTCGGCTTATCGTATGCAGTCATGGCCCCATTTTTCTTAATATCACTCTCCAAAGATGGGAAGATGATGCGGTGAAAATCTTCTAGACGAGGCTTTGCGAACTTTTGGGACCACTCAATTTTCCCGTTAAGCAAATTTTGCACGTATTGAATTCGATTGACGGCTCCAACAATCCCATTTGGATCATAGGGCTGTTCTCCAACGCCAGTATCTTTTACGACGAAGAAAAACTCTTTGAAATAGACCTTTACGCCTTTGCTGGCAAATAACCGTTCGGCATAGCCCTTTAGCATTTCACGCAGTGGTGCGACCTTGACTTCCTTCTCTGTAGTGTAAAACACAGCGACTTCTGTTTTGCACTCCCTCAATGGAAGTAATGTTTCGAGCTTGGTCAAACGTTGATCAACTATCGTGTATGTGTCAACAATTTGGCAGTCACCATAAGCCTCTTGAGCATATAAATTTAGCCCATTTTTGCAACAGACAATTTTCTGTTCGTCGGTCATATTGCTTCGGTGTTAAAGGATTTGTCTGAACTGATTTGAGAATGTAGTAAATATTTATGAAAGAAAAAAATGCTTGCAAATAGAAGATACTATTCTACGCCTTTTATATTGCTTTATGACTTAGTTCAGTTTCAGGCTGGTCACTACTGATTACTCACTTCAACTGAGATGTCTTTGTGAATGTGGTCATTCTTTGAGTAGAGTAATTGTCAGCCTGGGTGTCAATATTTCGATGGCTATAATGAAATTCTTTCGCGCGTTTCATCTCATTGCAGGGGCCTACTTCGTTCATCGACAATAATGAAAGACAGAAAGAATAGTTTGGACAGTGAATGTCACAATTTATCTGATAGCAGGGCTGTACAACCGAGAGCAGTTTGAGGCCTTGTCTTTGCCAGAGTCTCAACTTGTTTAAAAGGTTTCAGGCTACGTCTTATGTTGGAAGACTCCCGAGTTTAGCCTCGCAGTAAGTGGTTGATCGTGTCCATTAGGTGTTAATCTCGAATCCGAACTCTCGGCTTTGACGGTGGAAGGAATATAAACAAAGCCAGAGTATAATTTAGGGATTGTCATGTGTCGTTCACCTTACCTAGGTAGAATTTTCATCACTTAGAAGCAAGTTTTACAAGCATCAATCATAGGGATTGCGGATGATAATTATAAACTCTGAAATACTTAGATAGCTAACACGTACTTTGATGTTTAGCCAGAAATAACCAGTTGACTTGAAATGCAGGCTTATATACCCAGAACACGCTTCACAGTCTCCTTGACACTTTCCGGCTTCAAGCCAAGCAGGGAGTTGGCTAGCTTTTCATCCGTTGCATAGTTGGCACGGAGCCCAGGAACATCAGCAAAGCTTGTACCCCGAACAAGAGTCAACGCACCACTAAAATCACCAACACTGAGCTTCTTGACACCATCGCTTATCTCCTTATCAGTGGTAGTATCAATGACTGTCCACTTAGAAGCGGTCTCTTCTTCTAGACAGCTGAGAATCTCTTTCTGGGAGGTCTCAACAGACGAAATGTAAAGGTATTGGTTCGCTGTCTCTTGTGGGCGTTTCAAAACGCCAATGATAGCGTCTCCAAGTTCCTTCTCATTGACAAGGGTGAACTTTTTGTGTCCCCCATCCCATATGGTCGCAGTACGAGAAGGAATATCATAGCCCAGAAAGCCATTTGCGAGTCCCTACCAGAAAAAAAATTATAAGAATCAAAATCGTGCGTAACTCTCGAATGGTATACATACCCAATCAAACAATAGAGCAGTCGCAATGCCTGTCCAGGTGAGGCCATCGGACTCTTTAGACTTCAAGTAGTCAAGGAGAGCCTGCTTTTGCGCAAAAAGTGGCAATAACTGTATTACAGAGTCGCTTAGAGTGTTTGCGGAGAACTCAGATGGTATAAACCTCTTGATACCAGCACGAACGGCGGCATCAACGAACTTCTTCTGCTCTCCGAATCCAGTTGCGCCCACTGCCGACACCACAGCATCTTGTCCCTTAAAGGCAAGTTCCAGATCACCCTCGGAGAAATCGGTTTTGCGGACAGTAACACCCGGACTGAAAACTGCCTCGCTCGACTCACGAGACAATACGGTTACATGGAATTCACGCGAGGCGAGAAGTGCATTCAGAATAATCGGGCCGACATTTCCACTGGCCTGAAATGAGTGTATTAGCTTTGGATTCTAGGTGAACGGAGAGATAACCTACTCCAATGAGCACGACATTTTCCAAATGGGCTGCCATGGCGCCTTGTTAAATGGTGCCTGTTTAGTAAGGTATGTTTCGGTGTCTGAGTTGACTGGATGACTGAAGAGAGGACAAGGGCCCCGATATTTATATATGTATGTCGGTCAGACCCAAATCGCGGTATACCAGCATTCGAGCATTCTTTCAAATTTTGACTAATGATGTCTCCCTCTCTGGCGTATAGGCCTGATTGCTAATTGATGCATCTATTTCCATTTTGTCAGCAAATCCAAATCCAGCGGAGGGCCCTCCGCTTTCTCCGCGCCAACCAATGTGGCTGCCGTACAATGAGAGACCGCCCCCCCAAACGTCGTGAAGATCTCTCAGCAAACTCTTTCACTCACAATCACCGCACACCTGAGCGCTGTAAGCCTAAAACATGTCGCGCAGAGTCACCGCGGACGGAAATTCCTGTCTGGAATGCCGCCGTCGCAAAATCAAGTGCGATCGGTCGTGTCCGTGCTCGTACTGCGTTAGAAAACAGATCGATTGCGCCTATCCGCCTCGGAGAGCCACAACTTCTAACACAGAGAGCGATATCCTGGCCCGCATAGAGAGGATTGAGCAGAGGTTTGCGTCCTTGGCGGAGGGCCTCTCGGAGGTCAAACGGTTGCTGCAGTCGTGGTCTCCAATCGTGCCGTCCCAATCAGGCAAAAGTGGCAGCCCCCAGCAATCGTCTCGAGTTGCAGGAGGCGGAGATGATAGCACCCGAAACGACACAGTACAAGGTGATAAACCAAGTTATGTCGATAGAATGAGTCCAAATGTTGAACACTAGTCCTTCCTTCCGCAGAAACAGCATGCTAAGACCACTGCAGGGTTCTGCTGTCAACTCGAGCAGCCCATTGATGATACAGTCCATCCAAGAGAACCACACGCCCCTTCTCTTCGAGTCGACGAAGACAGTAGATCTCGAAACTGTGCGCCCGCCTTCAGACATGATGTCTTTGCTGTGGTTGAATTATTTGAAAAATGTCGACCGTGTCCTCAAGATATTTCACACTCCCACGGTGCAGAAACTAGTAATGGAGGCCATTCGATATCGTAACAGACTTGATGCTGCGCCGGAGTCTTTGTTGTTCTCCATTTATTACGCGACTGTGGTCGGGCTATCTGTGTCCGAGTGCCATGCAGAGTTTGGGGAGGAAAGATCGGTTCTACTTCAGAGGTATTTTACAGTACTATTGCTGTTGGTCATCGGATTTTGCTGAATAATTTTAGATATCGCACTGGGCTTGAATGCTCTCTTTCCCGTGCGGACTTTGCCGAGGCCCCAAGCATGATTACCTTGCAAGCATTTGCTATCTATCTGGTGAGCAATAAATACTCTCGTCATGGTCAATTCAAAATTGACAAAAGTTAGATCACTGGGAGACGCGATGAAGAGGGTCCGGACGTGTACAGCCTGACTGGGCTTGCTGTTGGGCTTGCCTTCAGGCTTGGTCTTCATCGCGATGCAGAAGCTAGGAATGTTTCTCCATTCGAGGTAGAATTGCGGCGTCGGCTATGGTGGCAAATTTGTATTCTGGATGTACACACAGCAGAGGAGAAGGGGTGTGATCCATGCATTCTTGAATCTTCTTTCAACACCAAATTGCCATTAAACATCGCAGACAGCAGCCTTGACCCGCATATGAGTAACATTCCTCAAACGATGCCTGGAAAAACAGAGATGCTGTTCAGTTTGCTGCAGGTTGAAGTCAGCTACTTTGCACGACAGCTTCTATTTTCCAAAGAGTTTGTTCGGGCCAATTCATATATGCCCATGTCAGGCGCCCAGAAATGTGATGCTATTGACTTATTCCAAACAAGGATTGAAAATCAGTACCTATCATACTGTGATACGAAGATTGCCTTTGACTTTGTTACAGTAAATTTCACCCGCTTCATTCTAGTGAAGCTTAAATTGGCGATCAGTCAAGCAGACAACCAGGATGATCATTCTGACATGAAGGAGAATTTGAGAGCAATTTGTACTCAGATCCTGCACTATGCTAGTACAATGCGAAGCTGCGAAAATGGACTGAAAGGGCTTTGACTCTACTAGTATATACCAGAAAATCTTCTCTAAGATGCACGCTCCGGTCGGGCTGCACCAGCGATTTGCGTTACCAGTTGCCTACATCAGCTTCAGGAGAACGTTAGAAAGACACTTTAAATTGTTTGATATTCATAAACTCAACATTTCTGTATATATAACATCAGAGATTAATGTTTATAGTTCCATTCTGGTAGAGGTGCGAAATCGTCTCTCAAATGCAAAATTACGCTCGCCTCCTCGGCTTCTATGGCTACTTTTGCACATTGCTCCTTGTAGGCATTATCTGCGTCTCTATGGTGCGACAGATATATCTTCTGAAGAGCAGGGACTTGGGATTTCTTATTGGCAGCAAAATCATGAAACATAGCTTCCAAAGCTCTTTCATGCTGGTCTTTCCCTCTTGATAACAGAGATAGCTCTGAAACTGATGCGGGTACGAGGTCGCAAAGAAAAAACACCGGATATTTTATTTCGCATTCTGTTGATATAGATGCGGTAAGATTGCTCATTGCAATCTCGAGGGGAAACTGCAACTTCTCGAGACGTTGAAAGCCACGCATTAACGCTTTGCCACGAACAACACAGTCGCGTAAAGTGTCAATAGTGATACTGAGCTTGACGAGGTGGGTGCCCACCTGGCATCCTATTGCATTAATCACTCCGCAAAAATCCCAGTCTTGGAGGACAAATGGGCGTACTGATGAATGTGCATAGTGCAGCGACTTGAGGCATGGAGTGTGACTAAGAAAGGCTGCCATAGATTCCTCGTCAAACGTAGCGTGGACCAGGGCGATTTCTTCAATTTTTTCAAGGGGTCTAGGGTGCTGGTACGCAGATAATGAATCAGCTTGACTGTTGACAGGCCGGAAGCCTTGGGAGCATTTTAAGTGTCGAACTTGGGGCAGACTCAGGAACGCGGCTGTCGTATGCAGACTGCGCGTGGACGTGAACGCTGTGACTTGGGCAATACTAGCTCTGCCATGAGGAGGACTTGCCTGTCTGGCTCTTAGAATGATGGCATCGATGAGCTTATCGGTGGCTTCGAGAGACTCCCATCGCCAGGGTAGCGTGAAGCTCTTGACGTTGGGGAGCAGCGTGAGAAGAAATGCAGCGGCATACTGTGAGTAGCGACGTTGGTAGAAGTCTTCTTTGATTGTGGTATAATATTCCCTCCAGTCAAGGCCAGCCTCTTGCAAGTACGAAGAGTCGGCAAGTAGTTTCATCACTTTTTCTTCACAACAAGCATCCGCCTTTAGCTTTTGGAATGACTTTTCACAGTATCGATTAGGCTGACTGTCAGCATACAAGTCCGCCTCCTGGACATGGCGTGCAACGACCGGATCAATCGCAATTTGGGCAATGAACATGTATGCCGACAGCAATGGATAGGGACGTGTGACGAGCATGTCTGCTTTCATTCTTGGTCGGTACCCGTACCTGAACCGTCGGAAGTGCAAGCGAAGTTTGCTGTGGTGTGCAATGAATGGACTGCACAGCGCAAATATTTCCTTGCAGGTCAACGCCAGATTCTCGAAGCTCTCTGGTAAGCTAAGTATAATGATCTCTCGGAGGAGCTCGTTTGGCAGATGCGTGAACGCCATGCTGCAATATCGATATGCATCTCATTTGGAGGAGGAGTCGGGCGGAACGCAGCAGCAGAAGAGACTGCCCCGCTAGGTAGCATCCAAGTTCCGCACAGCTCATTTTCATGGCGTTTTTCGACAACGCGAGCAGAAAAGGGTGTTTTCCGGGGGTTTCCCAACATTGATATTTCCTGGACTGTCCTGTCTATTGCCTGGGCGCCAGAGCTAGCTAGAATCGCAACGCATCGCTGTACTGTTGATATCCTATGCAATGCCGACAAAACGCACATAATCAATCTCAAATATGCCTCTGTCCACTGATGTCGATGGAGGAAAGCCGGTTCCGGGGTTGACGCCGGGACCGAAGGCCGGAACCGCTCGCGCGCATGCATGATATCAACGCCCAACAAAGTCTGTAGCAGTTTCTCTGCTTCCATCTTCCCCATTCGCGTTTCCAGCAGCACTGCCTGACAATGCCAGACATTTCCAAGCACTTAGAGGTCCTCGAGGGCTTCAAGAATGGCTCCTATCCCACGCTGGGCCTGAGCCTGGGCTCGCGACAGGTCACTCCGGGGGAGAAGATTCCCAGAGCAGGTTAGGCAATCTTTTTATGAGCCCAGTACAGATATCGTACAGCAGATTAACAGCTATGTCAAAAAGATACCAAAGCAACACCAACTCTCTTGGCACCGCCTGACCTTCCCCAGGGTTCCTATGCTATCATCTCCATCGACCTAGACGTGCCCTTCGCTTCCTTCAATATCCTCAGTCCAGGCGCTCACTGGGTCCAAACAGGCTTCAAAATCACTGATCAGCCAAACCGCGAGCTCAAAAGTGACGATCCTGCAGTTGCATACTGGGCTGCTGCTGCCCCGCCGCCTGGTGCAGCGCCGCATCGTTACGTGTTTTTCCTCTACAAGCAGATGCCTGATTCAAGCATCCCGCAAAACTACAAAGAGAAACCGTTTGGCAATTCTCAACGGGTGAGATTTGATGTTGACGGGATGGTGAAGCAGTTGAAATTGGGGGAGATTGTCGCAGTCAATTATTTTGTCTCGAACTGAACGGATGCTTTTTCTTTCTAATCTCAATCATATGTTTTCAGGTTCCTGCGTGAGGAAGCCTACTCGCTTGTGTTTGTTCATGATTAAATAGCTGGGTAGAGACTGCACCTAGACTGCCAAGTGTTCAGATATTTGTGGCATTTCCCCCCAATATGTCAATTTCTTGCTAAGATTTACTATTAGTTGTCCAATGCTCCATCCCGTCCACTTTCAATGATGTCTATAGTCTAGGGCTACACCTCAGCTACCGCTTTCAGTCTTTCCTTTCACAGAAATGTGTGGCTTTGCTTGACTATAGAGCAGATATTGAAAGGCTATTATTAAAAGCTGAGGGGGCCGACAAAACTACCTGGGATGGTCATAGAGCAATTCTGCTTTCATCATTATCTATAAAATTCCCGAGTACAGTCGTTTATCAAAAGGCAGGTAACAAATAAACCACATGCCGCACGTATGGTCGTGAGTTCCCATAGTACTTAATGTTGCGGGTATTTTGGTCTATTTCTTTGAACAGACATAGTATACGAAGAACCCATTCATTCAATATAATAAAACCAAAGGATTCTCGTAACTCATTTTCTTTTATCTCGGCACAGTCAGACTGTTTCACGACAGGCTCAGGCTTGGACATGGCCTCCGTACAGAGCTCCGGAGATTGATGGCGAGCCGTAAGAATACCAGCATCTACCTAGTTGACGGCAGATCTCATACAATATTAGCCACATGAGTAATTATATTTAATAAATACAAACAATACCGCAAGCCACCATTTCATATCAATCTAGTTGCACGCATTCTCATTTAGGAAACATAAAACGATTTGGCGGTTACAAGAATGGCAAGACATTGTGTAAATCTGTTTCTTGTCGCAGTTCTGTAGCAAGTTTCTTCAAGTATCTCTTTGAGGAGAAAGATCTCCATGGAGAAGCCCTGACACGAGCTATGGCAGGACAGAAAAATTAGAGATAGCCTCTTAAAACTCCTGCAAAAGTCCAGATATCTTGAAGGCCTGCTAGATATAAGTATGAGTGCACAGCTAGCTTCTCCTGCATAGTCCACAAGCAATCAAAACAGCCTCTGCTAGTCAGAAACAACGAAAACTTCCTCTCCACGCAAGCAGCAACACCTCAATCACCACATTCGAACAAACGAATCAATCAAAATGGCAGGTAACATGGCTGTTCAAGATATTTCCGTTACCGATATGGGTCGCGGTTTCTACGATACTACTGGCGTGAAAAAGCCATCCCAGCCAAAGCCTCCCAAGCGTGGTGGACTCTAACTCAACTACAAGTCTATCATCAAGATATGACGCTCCACTCTATCCTTGCGCCTACAATTTAGAGTGTGTGAAATTCAATGCTTGGTACTCGGTTGGCCCCGGTGTTAACGCACTTTTTAGGTCTCAGACAATCTTCTACGGATTTTCTTTCTTGTCTTATAAACACGACTAATAGAACTACCTCTCATTGATTTCGGGCATCTTTCTTACAACATGACCAACAGTTCTTTCGAGCTCTCCGTGTTGTTTTGGCCTTGCACGCACATACAAAGAAACAATCACAAAAGGTCCTATGACAAGTCATTCCTTTTTACGGTTTTGGATATGTGAACAGCAGCACGGTGGGAATAACCTCGGATGGCTCCTGCTGAATCAACACACTCGTTTACCTGTTAATATAATAGCTTGATTCTTATTGCAATACTCGCACCATACAAGAATAAAATAATCAAACAAAAACATCTACTCATATTACCGGTCTCTTGGTTCCCTTTGGAATCTGGAAGATAGTTGCTTGAGTACACAGTAATTGTCGGATCGATGTGCGAATATCGTTTGCCATCTCTACTTTCCCGTTCAACATCTCTTATCAGAAAGTATGTAGTTAGGGCTAGCAGTCCTCCCCACCAGCGCCAACTTGCCAAGCCGATTGATAATCATTTTGACGCCGAGACTGGCTTGGCCGCCCCTATATGTATTGGACAATTCCAATTTCGATTCCTGTATCATTTGTCTTTTGTTTATCGCTCACTTGAGTGCTTTAAATGCTTCGACCCCCTCGAAGGAAGCCTTCGACAGGGTGTAAGCGACGCGATTCTCGTAATGGTTGTCGCTTTCCGTTGGCACGGAAAATAGTTCGGAATATGATGGATGGAATCTTCAACGCAGCGTCCAGTCAAGAAATGGCTGACTCATTGAGCCAAAACTGTCGAGTCTCATTGAGGGTAGCTTTCAGCTTGAGATGTCTCCCTCCCCTTCCTATCAACATAACGGTACACACAAGGCTACGGCATCTGCTGGCGAGCGGAGTTCTCGCAATGTCCCATCGGCAATTGTCCACTCCTAGTTTCCACAGCAACGAGCCAGTGGCTTTTCTTCGCTTCTGTCAAAGCAAGAACTACATGACCGAACCAATAGAAGTGGCAACAGCATACACTAACGACAGGGGGTGGTCGCGGAAGACAACGAGCAGAAGGACCGGGACAAATGCTGAGCAGATCAAGCTACGCTTATGTTATTGCCAACGCGTCCGGGGATGTGTACCTATCGTCGGGGATGTGCGCGTACGTTTCCTCCCCTGCTGAGATTGCTAGTCCCACTCCAGGATTGTCACTAACCCTAACAACCATTTGATGGCTGTTCAGCGGTGACAAGTACAGAGTAGCCCGTGTAGTCACCGTCTCGATTGATTGTTGCGTTGTTTTTGATCATCCATCCTCTTCTGCCTTCCAACCTTCCATGCCAACTTACCCTTGCTTCAGCAACAGCGAAAGTCTCAGGCAATAAATATGTGGAAGTGGCTCTCAAGATGTGTGCCCGGGCTAAGCTTGTTGTTACTCATCGCTCTACTGTGTCTTGCCTTTCCAGATGCTATGAGCAGGCCTCCTGACATTTTACCTTGGTCGAGGAATCATCATCCTCCTCCCACAACTCCTCATGGGAACGGCCCCCCGAGACATCCAATGCCCTTGTCATTAACTCAGAAGACCTTTCTTGGATATACCCTGCTAGTTCACTTTAATGCTTTCACTTTCGTGTGCAGGTTAGCCCAGGCATTCTCGCGGATGCTTAAGGAGACACGCGCCGTACTGCGCCGACGTCCATCGTCCCAATCCTCCTCCTGCACACCTTCCTTTTGTGACAGCCCGATGATGACTCCTAGTATATCGACCGAACACCCTATCTGCTTCGATTTGGGATCCCTAGAAGACGGCAAGGAGGGTGAAGTTATTCATGCAATAATATTGCCCAATTACTCCGACGATCTGGGCACGCTTCAAACAACATTAAGAGTTCTTGCTTATCATCCCCGCGCTGCCACTCAATACGAGGTAAGAAGGCAGGAAACGTCCGGACAAATGTGGCCTGTCAATCTGACAGAGTGTTAGGTCTTCCTTGCCATGGAACAAAAAGAGATCACTGCCCCCGAAAAAGCGGCAACTCTTATTTCAACCTTTCAAGAACGCTTTCGGGATATTTCTGGCACCTTTCATCCTGCTGGCCTCGCGGGGGAAATCAGCGGCATGGGTTCTAACGTGGCTTGGGCTGCTAAACATATTGTAGAAACACGCACAGAGGACACCGTGGACTGTCGCGATGTGATAATCACTGTCAAATGGATGGCAAGTGACACTCTTTTTCTTTTTTCCTTCCCCCATTTTTTCATCACTTCCCTTCCGGGTGTTACTAATTGTTTCTCCAGCCGACACCCACCTCTCGCAGGATTATTTCAACGAGATTCGCCATAAGCATTGGCAACACAACGCCGAGGCTGAACGCGCATTTTACGCCTCTCCAATCATTTTCGATCGTAATTCGAATAGTGTCCCAATTCTTGTCCGATGTGCCGATCTGCTGTGGGCGTTTGCTGGTGTCTCGGCCATGTACCCCGGCTGTTCGATCATCATTCCCACCTCTGTTTACTCTTTACCGCTAGCTCTCGCAAAGAGAGTTGGTGGATGGGATGGAGATCCAACTGCCATTGGCGAGGACATGCACATGCTTCTGAAATGCTATTTTGAGACGGCTGGTGACATTGTTACGCACGTTATCGCCAGCCCCGCGAGTCAATGTAATATCCAAAGCACGGGTGATGACAACTGGGGCCCAGGTGCCTTGACCCTTTTTGCAAGATACCGACAAGCCCTGCGTCACATGTGGGGATCTCTAGACACCGGATACTCGGTTCGTCAGAGCGTAGGATGCCTTGTCGGCAAAGGATCTCGTCGTTTTCAGCTGAAAGTTCGACATTTGGCCTTGTTTCATCTTCTCTTTGAGGCACATTTCCTTCCGTGCCATTTAACAGTCCTACTTGTGTTCTCTGCTGTGTACACGGCCTGTGTCCCTGCATCAAGCATGAACCCGACCCTGGCGTGGGCATTTTGGATCACCGGAGTGCTCCGCGGACTAGTGCTCCGCGGACTGTCCTTTGTTGGAATGAATGCATGCATCACGCTTTATGATTCTTGGTATGATATCTGCGTTGGAGCTCGTGCTCGTGACATGACCAAAGCTGGCGTGAATGATACTGGATTCTCATTCAGGAAATGGTATCACCCACGACAGCTTGCTGAAAGAGTCTGTTTCCCCATCGCGGGTACAGTTTTCGGGTCGATTCCAGCTATTCATGCCGAATTATCTCATTTCTGGACTGATCGATTGGTGTACCGTGTCAGCAAAAAACCAACGTTTGCTTCGGCTCCAGTCGCTCTTCCTGTCTAGTCATTTAAATGCGGAGGAACCGATATGGGGCATATGCGTTTTTCTATAATAGACATTTAGCAGTTGATTTATCAGTGAGCCCCGACGTGGATTGTGATTCAGGGTACATATATAACACGAAAAGGTACATGTAACATGTGCAATTACGACCTGAAATCCGCATACAATCAGTCCTCGGGAATTCGATGTCCCCGAAGAAATGTAATTCTAGATGACATGGCCTTTTATTCAGCTATGTATTGACTTAGATGTGACAAATTGTAGTAGCAGAGACCTGTAAACTCAATCTACGATAGCAAGGTCCAAGTCTCCTCGAGCCTTTCCGTTCTTGAATAACGAAGCATTGCCTATCTAAAACGGCGTTGGAAAACTATTGTCCAATGCACCCTTAATTGGCCCCTCCAGGTCCTGTCCCTTGCATGTGCTCGGAATCGTCCATGGAAGCTTATTACCTACTATGCATATGCATTGGTTCCCATTTTTGGACTTGAAACTAAACTCGGACCTAAGGGCGGGCGCGTCGCTCATGGACATACTATTTATTCCCCATCATCTTACGAGGATGAAGGGTAGGGTAGAAAAGAGAGTGTCTGCCCATTATTTATGTCTCTCGCTACCCTCAAGGTTAAACGGTCTCTATATCGTTTTATTCATCAGAAATCACCCACCAAACCCGAACGATTTCCACAGTTTCTTCGCAGCGGTGATAGTGGCGGCACAAAGCAACAGGGCTGTGGCTGGATCGTCGACCATGGCCCAATTCCTGGTGCTTTCAAACCTTTTCTTCTTGCCAGTCTCTTTAGGGTCGCTGACGTTCCAGCCGGATGGGAGACCCATTTGCATCAAACCAGAAGAACGTATGACAGGCAGCTAAACACTCCAGGTATCACCTGCCGTGTTTGCGTGCTCTAGGTTCTAGCTCTTCTGCAGAAGCCCATCAGCGGACGAGTCATTTTGAAATGCAACAATTTGGGAGCCACTGGGGACGGGAGTTAGGCATTGGCGTAATGAGAGTGCGATGGGTGCAGTGAACAATGATCAACCAAGGCCAGTAGGCGCTTCTTCGCTATGCGGGTTGTGAACGACTTGTCATGATGAGCAAGGTATGCTAAGTGCATCCATCTTCTTCGTTAGTTAGTAACTGACCTAGTTCAATATCAATTATTCTTGAAATCCCCCCTCATCCCTGTGCTACCAGTAATATGATGAACTAGTCAGCGAAGTTAATGCGTACTCGCATTCCAATTCTGGCAGGTACTTGTCTCCCCCCCCCTCGAGTCCAAGCACAAAGCTATACCACCAAAAATCTTTCAATGTGAACCTCAAGGCTGTAGTATATTCCCAGTAATCAGGATACCAACCTGCTGATTCCCAATCTAGAAAGCCTGTAATTCGTCCGCCTTGCACTAAGATATTATGATGTTTTAAATCACCGTGTAAACACTTTTTGATGAGATAGCTTGTGCATTTCTTTAGTGCGATCAAGTGCATTTTCGTATTCAGTCTCCGATGAAAATCCACCTGACCACGCAGGTTTTATAAGGTACTCGTAGAATTCTTGTTCTGACTCCAACGGACCAGCAGAATGATTAGGTATGCGAACAGTGCGGATAGAAGTCCCTATTAAAGAACAAATCCTATCTCCACCCCATGGGTTTTTCCATTTTCGGATGATCTAAAGATAAGATTTTAACTCCCGTGAGATTGAGTTCCTATGTTCTTCGCTAAGGGTTTTGTATGTCTGGCCTGATTCATTCCCGGGAATACGGGTCATAAGAATCGAGAGCGGCGCATGCGGAGTATCTGGGTGGTCTCCGTAGCATATAACCCTGGGCACTGGGAGGCCTGCCTTTCAAGCAAACTGCATAGTCAAGACTTCCTCGAGACGCGTACCATCAGACCATTTTAGAATCAGACCAAAGGGAAGCTGAGCAATCTGGTTGTCGTAAGGTATTTCAACCCAGGCGCAATATGAGCGAGAAAATCGCCTGAGGTATGGGCGCACCATTCCCCAGAATCGGCGTATGTAGGGGTGTGTTGCGAGGGGAGTCGAAGGCATTTCGTCTTGCAAGCCATGTTGTTGGATGTGGTCTGGCCACGTGAAGTCGGGCAAGAAAAAGCGAGGTAATAGCCAACGTATCATCTTAGGCGGGACTTTTGTGTCTGCAGAGTCGAAAAGAATTTGAGGTTTCTCTATCGTTTGTTTATGCGGTCGCCGAAGTAAATATACGTAACTAACCGCAATAGGAATAGTGGTGATTGGGCTCCGCCGCTCCGCAGCCTGAGGCCGCCAAAGGTGCGTGCCATTTCTTATACAACAACCATCCATGTCCACGTCATGCGTTCTATTCTTCACAGATGCCTTCAAAGGGCCCGGTGGCGGCCAAAATCCCAGCAAATAACAGAAATAACAGAGTCGGACAGCGAGGATTACGCGCCGTCTCCCGAAGACTATCCGGTTTTCCACCGCCGCCGCGAAGTATTATCGAGAACCCATTTCAGTACTGGGACGCCATATTGGCGAGGAAATTCGGAGCTCCTCAAGGCTATTTTGAAGACTCCTCTCTTTTCGCCCTCTACAGGTTATATGAATTCATCATTCTAGATCATGTTTTTGCCTACCGGGATACCCTCGAAGCCTTCTGGCGTCAACGCCAATGGGATGTTCAAAGTATTCCCGATCCGCAAGACGACGACACGGAGAGGTACGCTTTCCTCGCCGGTTGTGCGTACCTCCTTGTTCGATCCTTCAATGAAAGAGTCAAGCTAGGCCTTAGGCGTGACAATTCCCCCTTGATCACGCCGGAAGAAGCAGAGAGAGCGAGGAACATTCCCGACCAGCTCTGCCAGTGGGAAAAAGTCCCAGAATGGGCAAAAAATGTCCCGCCATTAAGGGCTACTCTCGTCTTCCCTACCCATGATGGAGTCATCACAAAGGATGAAGATGACCCTAGAGCTGATCCAGATTTCTTAGCTAAGAATATCTTGCTTTGGACACCCCACATCTCTTTCACATGACTTATTCCAACACTGCGTGGCTATCGGTGACTGTCTATATTGAGTATGATTTATTGTACGAAATCCATCAAATACGACGTACTACCCAACAGTATCCTCTCCTCGTTGCCTTAAAATCACAAAAGAACAAAAAAAAGGGGGGGCTTGAAATTTCGTGAAGCGTGACAACTGCCTATAGTAATTTCAAAGAATCGAAAAAGAAAATCGCCCAGTCATAGTTGCAGTCCATTTGCAATTTATGAACGAATACACTGATCAGTCTCGCACTAATCAATCTAAAAAGTTCATTAAACGAAAGCGTTGACACCATACCGCCTCCGGTAGGCCTGGTTGACCTGCGTGCGGAGAAGATTTGCCGTGCTCTTGTGATGAAATTGCTTGGCCCAATCCAACGCCAACGCCGTTGTTATTGACACTGGCCGGTTACCTTGATTGTGAATATACTTGTGGATGTATGTGACCGCGTCGTCAAGATCGTATGGCCGGGCTTGATCACCGTCCGTTAGAATGCGATTCACATTTGCCGAAAAGGCATAATTCCACGGAGCTGCATACATGGTCAACCCTGGCTGATTGAATATCTTGACGTTTTGTCTCTCGGCAGCTACGGTTAACCGATCATGTAATGACCCCGGCATACACATCTGTGTCTCTGTGTTGATCCAATCGGTTCCGAGGTCTCGGTAATGTCGCTGGGCGTCTTGCATCGCTTCATCTAGGAGCATTCGAGCTTTATTGGTAAATGTGGAACCGAAAACGTCAACGTCGTGTGTCGTTCCGCGAGACTGAAGATAGGGGGTATTGACAGCTCCGCCCACAGCGATGACCGTGATGCTCTGGCCGCGATGGGATATATATCTGGCAACGTGTTGTAATGCGGCGAAGAGTACATTTCGATCTATATCCCGTGTGACTTGTTGTATAGGAACCCCGTGTCGGTCGAGCCGGTTTCGAGGAACATGTATCACAACTTCTTGTGGCGCTCCAATGGTGATATTGCCTCCTTGTTTTTGGCGGCACCGTAGCGAAACTGGTGGGCTTTCATTGTCCGGTTGGGAGATGGAATTTCCCATGATCGGATTGTGTAGATCAGAAATTATATAGCAATGCAATGTTCACTCTTTTAGTGGACAGTGTATTCACGATTTTGGTCAACTCGGAACGTATTTGGGAATTCCATTAGTGGACGTTTTCGCTCTTCAGGGCCTGTTAAATATTTATAAACATGCGGACAAGATGTTTGTCCGACCCTATATTTATTTTAGTAGACGATGTAAGTAGTACAGGACAAGTGTGCAGCCTGCTACCTATGTATGGGAAGAATATGTAGTGTAAATCACTAAATAGAGTCAATAAGCAAGCAACCCCTGATTGTGACAACTCAATGACTCTGATTTTACTGCAGTTAAAATTATAATCTCTATAACTCCTCTCCGTGGTTATAGTCCGGTCATGCGAGATAATGTAACAAGGCTATTTCGGGTGACGGTGTGTTGAAGCCTACGGGGCCTATCTATTATGGCCGTGGTTAGAAGTCTCAGCTTCAGAAGACGAGTGAGCAATGGATTGCTCAGTCATAGCATAAGTTAACAAACTAACTAGTTAAGTCAACTACAAGTGCTAGCTGAATATATGTATGTAGTACATGTGTCTCTGGGGCATTGCTCGGGAACTTTGCGACTGGTCATCGACGGTAAAAAGTAGACCTCAGTTGTCATTTGAAAGCGCCCTAGAACATTGCTCTACATTTGACTGAACACTGTGGTGTCTTTTTGATCAAACGATTATCACTGTGCGTAATGTCTTCTGCCGAACAGCCTCGTACCATTATCAAGACTCGTGGGCATCGAAGGCGCAGGGTGGTTGATGCTCTCATCAAGTTACACCGAGTCAACGATGCTCCCTCTTCGCCAAAGGACTCACCTCCTCTTCGCATAGTCTGCATTTCTGATACACACAACAAACATCCGGTAGTGCCGCTGGGAGATATCCTGATCCACGCCGGCGATCTGACAGAGAGCGGATCGTTTGAGGAAATGCAGAATGGGTTAACGTGGCTTTCGTCACAGCCTCATGCACACAAAATCCTAGTTGCTGGGAATCATGATGTCTTGTTTGATGACGAGTTTCTTGCGAAATATCCCGAACGGCGTTACGGGCAGAGCAAGACTAAGAAAGACCTTGACTGGGGAAGTGTAGTTTATCTTCAAGACACGATCCTTACTTTCGAGATCCCCGCAAGCAAGCAAAGCCAACACGCGTGCACAAGGAGTCTCACGATTTTTGGTAGCCCATGGACGCCACGGTACGGAATCTCGGCTTTCCAATACCATCCGAACAATTCAAGTCACTGGAAAGAAATTTTTGCCTCCATTGATAGAATCCCACAAATCATTGTTACCCATGGCCCGCCGCACCTTTACCTCGATAGACGTGATTTCCATCGTGCTGGGTGTACATACCTAGCCGAGGAAGTGTACCGCATTCGACCTCGTCTCCACGTATTCGGTCATATCCATGCGTCGTACGGACGTCAGGACGTGCTGCTAGATAACGCAGAAGGCCAATGACACTGTGGTTGCCGGCTTCGGGGGTTGGAGTGGTATCGTATGGATGGCCATCATGGTTATATGGGCTCTGATAAAAAGTATTTTCACGAAGGGCAAGATAACAACTTTCGTTAATGCTGCGGTAATCGTCGACTTCTAGAAAGTTCACTGGGCTTTTATCTTCATGCTATTGAAGTTACCTAGGTGTTCGCTAACTATATAACTACACGAAATACCTCTATATCAGCATATGACCATATGTGAGTACTTCCAAATAATTTGTTTAAATCTTCATAAATTTCAGTGTTGGTGGTGGTACTGCCAATAAGAGGAAGCATAGGCGTCCTGCATTCTAATACTTGAATAATAACGTTGAAATCCACCCGCTCTCCGGCTATCCCTTACGGATGATCTATTGAATGACTTCATCAAGGTGATAGAAACCTAGCTATCAAAGGCTAATAAGGTCTTCCAGCAGCACATAGTTTAATCTTCCAGCTCACTATCATGCACAATATATGCGTAGAGAGCCGAGGCATCATTTTCACGTTTTGCCTTGATTTGGTCCAATTCCGAATCCTCGACAATGTAAGCATAGAGTGCCGATGCATCGTTTTCACGCTTTTCCTTGTTTCTCTCTAATTCCGAGTCCTCGACAATATAAGCGTAAAGAGCAGACGCATGATCGGCGGGAGTTGGGTCTCTAGATTCAAGAGAGCGCACTGCATCCATGTCAATTGACAGTCAGAATCTGGAAAAGGAACTCGCCAAAATGACCAGAGACTAGGGCGAAATGTGAAAAAAGAGAGAAAAAAGAAGAAAGTGAATGAAGAAAACAAAGAGCACTGCCAATACGTACAGTCGAGAACAGGCATGGAACTCGCAGTCCTACTCATCAAGAGAGTATAGGTTGCCAACAGGGCAAATGATGACTTCATCTTGAGGAATAAGATGGCCCTTTCTATACAATTTGTGGATAAGGAATGATATTTTGTAGTAATTGATGTTTCGTGAACGTGGGAGAAAGGGGTCGTGTCCAGGACCCTTAAATACTTATGTCGAGAATGGGAGGACAATGACATATGCCTAGTTTTCCACCTGAACCCTCCCATTATCTGCTCTCTCACTCTTTTTTCTTAATTCCTGTCGCTGCATCTCCTCCAATCCTGTATGTATTGACCACACCCTACCCCTCATCATCAACCCTTCCTATGGAGGCCCATCATATGATTCTTATCGTCGTGCATGGAGCACGTAGCTGCAGCGACTTTCGTACACGGAATTACTAGTGAGGATCCTATTGCGTAAACTTGATTCCCCATAGGATCAGCAAACCAAAGTCTGTGCGCAAAGGGTAGAAAAAGGGACGATATCTTACCCCGTTCGTTGTTCTCAGCTTGACTGCAGACAATCGTACCTTTCGATACGAAATGTCTGCTCGTGACAAGCCTTGTTCCGAGATGCAATCCATCAAGTACGAAAGCGTGGATTCTAGCGAGGCAGATGCTCTCGAGCATGAAGCCACAGATTCTATCGACCCGTCTAATGAGACCGAAGAGCCATCACAATACAACCGAATCTTCGTCACCCGGCAGAAATGGTTGCTCTGGCTGAATTCCTTCATTTTCTGTCTCTCCGCTGTTCTGCTTTTGCTCAACGTGAGTCTTATCCAAAAGGGGCATGATGATCCCAATGACTTGTTGAGAAAGACCTCGGAACACTGTACGTGAGCCATTTTATGCCACCTCCTCTTGCATGCATTCCTGACCACCTAGAGCTCACTTAGCTCCAATATTCGACCACATCAACATCCCCTTGATTACCAAGAGAATGAATGCAACATTAGTCGAGCCAGACCCATTGCCTATCTACCGCCGTCCGCCGAGTCCTGAAGTCGACGCAGCTTGGAACCGCCTGGCTAACATCAAACCCATTGTGATTAGTCGCTCCGACGTCATCAAACTTGGGCGCGATCCCTCGATAGCAGCTAAATGGCCAGAAAGCTTCGGATTTGGGCCCGAAGCGTATATTGGCCGCATCGATGTGTTCCACCAGATCCACTGCTTGGACTGGCTTCGACGAGAAGCGCACTTTGACCACTACTATGGTAGGAAGTGGCCTCCCGGCACTCCTACGTCTGATATGCATCGGACTCATGTGTCACACTGCATCTACCTGCTCCTCCAGAACCTGATGTGTAGCGCGAATGTCGATATCTACACGCACTACTGGGCCGACGCACAGCTCAATGCCTTTCCGGATTTTAGTGTCAACCATAAATGTCGCGATTTTGACGCGATCCTGAAATGGCAGGAAGACAACTCTATCGACGTTGACTTGTTTGGAGCTATTCGCAAGCCGCCCGACTATGAGGAGAGAATCATGTCGCATCGCTTCAAAGAGCTCTTTGGCTGGTTTGATTCGAACCCGGACGACGGTTCTGACAGTGGGCAGATCGGTTAGATCGACCCTTGAGCGCAATTGTGGCCCCTCGTGACTGCATACATGTGGTACTTGACCACCAGTCCGATGCAGGAGGCGCATTGTGCATGGTTCAATGAGAGAGAGAGGAATTGGTCGAGGGTGAAGTGATCTGCAATGCGGCAAAGTGCATTGCGGCAAAGTAGATAAGATGGGTTCTCATTTCAATTGGTCTATCATAGGCATATTTATTTGCTAACTCGAGATAACTTCGAATGCTGGAAAGTCTGTATCATGTGGATTTGGCCCCTCACTTCTTCCTAGGTATACGTAGTACGAGTCTCGATTTAGGAAATGCCGTCCGGGATGACTGCTTGACGGATTTCCTGGAAAAAGGTCAGCGAAGAATTGGTCAGAGCCACGAGCCAACTGTAGAATTAGCTTGCCGCGGCATATATATTCCCTTTGCTGAGGCTATGTACCTAAAATGAGGCCGTGGAGAGAGTTCTGGTTGCGTGCCACCCTGTATCAGATTTAAAGACATTAGCCTTGCCTTTTTTTTCTTTTCGTTGGGACGGATATTGACCATCCAGAAAATGCAGTTACGAGTTTACTTGTTTCCCGTGGTGGTTCTTTTTGTTCTGTTTGCCCTGGGCGTTGCACTGTATTCTTCCGATGCAAGTCTGCGTCGTCTTCAAAGGCATATTTGCCCAGAGCTGCCTTTGTCGAATACCCGCTCCGTATTGAGAACCTTCCGAACTCTGAGACTGCTCGAGGAAGATAGGGTTAGCCTCAACGGCACATCTGGACTACTACTCTTACCACAAAATGGGGGGTTCTTGAAGGTCCGAATGTCCGACGACCCAGAGGCAGTCACTGACTACGGAATATCAATGTTTCATCAACTTCATTGCTTGATGGCCCTCAGAGACGTGGTGTTTTCTAGCAATCTATCAAGCCAGACCGGACATCACCATCACGCTCAAGACGAGCTTGTCCATTGGACACATTGTTTCGATTATCTTGCTCAGGTAGGTCCGACACGGATATATCGTTCGCTTACTGCTGGACCCTGACATTGTTTTTGTTTTTTTTTTAAAAAAAAATAGGGAATTATTTGCGCTGCAGACGACACGCTTGAACCACCTAAGATAATGTTAAATGAACAGGGAGAGAAGGTCCATTTTGTGGACGGAGTTGGACATATTACCCATCAATGCCATGATCCAGCCCCATTATGGCATGCGGTCAGAGAGAGTAACACTTGTCCGTATGATGAGGGAGTCGTTCACCATAGTCTCGGGGCCAGTTATCTTCCCACAGGAACAGAATATCATGAAGATATACCGGAGGTTTACACCGCTGAATAGATAGATTTGTTCTACTTTGGAGTCCATCTCAAGTTGTTTCTTCTAGTCGACACAAACTATTGCATGTTTATAACCCTTGAAATAAGAGCACTCGTAGACCCCTCGTGCGTTTCAAAAATGACAAAAGAAAGAAGAAATAGAAAAAGAATGAAAAAAGAAAAGAAAAGGTGCAAGGGATGCAACCCAAGGGATGGCCTGAGCTTCCAGGAGTCTACAGATAATTTGTAGGCTAACTGCATTCAGTCGCCGACAACGACTACTGCATTAGTTAGTGGGCGACTGTACCCCGTAACTAACTACATAACTACCTTGGAGCTTGATGGTTGTTGTCGTACACTCTCAACCGCCACAAGGCGTCGTACATAGCCCTTTCTGAGAGCATCAAGATGGACGCCAGCTGCCCGCAAGCAGCGGACAACTCCTTTGGCCCTGCCATTTCTTGTCCGCGCGTATTCGACTTCACCCTGGTGTTCGAGCAGAGCATCCTCTCCATTGGCCCCTCTGCCCTGTTCCTGCTGCTGGTGCCCTGGAGAGTGTGGAATCTCTATGGAAAGAGCATTAAAACCTCACAGATCGCCAATGCTGTTCTGTGGTTCAAACTGGCGATCGCACTCACTCTGACCGGGATCCAAATCGCTACATTAATCTTATGGGTCCAAAACAACACAATTCGCACTGCTATCCCGGCCGTGGCTCTATCTGTGTTAGACGTGCTGTTCATCACTGTGCTGTCATTCATCGAGCACAGTCGCTCCGTCCGGCCATCGTCATTGCTGAGCGTGTACTTGCTACTCTCCATTCTCTTTGACTGCGTGCAGGTTCGTACTTTATTCTTGCGACCATACTTTCCATCCTCACTTGCAGGAACAGCCACTGCAGCGGTTGGATTGAAAACAGCGCTGCTATTAGTAGAAATTCAGCACAAAGGAAAGTATCTGAATCCCGCACATCGCGAAAAACATCCACCAGAAGAATTAAGCGGGATATTCGGTCGGACTGTCTTCTCATGGCTCAATGCATTATTTGTTCAAGGATTTCGCAAACTCTTGACCTTGGATGATCTCTTTCCCACAGACGACGGATTGAACTCGGAATATTTGATGAACAGATTGAAAGTGACCTGGGCAAAGTGTATGTTTCTCTGTATCTCTGCAGATTTCTGAGAGAGTAGCAGTCGCCGAAATAGAGAAATTCTACTGAAAATCATGCTGTGACCTAGACAAATCGAACCGTCCACGCAGCATTATATATGCGACAGTGTCCTGCCTGCGATGGCCAATTTTCCGTGTCGTCTTTCCGCGCCTGTGTCTGATAGGATTTAGCTACGCGCAAACATTTTTCATTGAACGCGCACTAAACCTTCTGAACCAGCCGGAAACACAGAGTTCGAGGAATGATGGATATGGTCTAGTTGGCGCTGCCGCGCTCATCTACGGCGGCATAGCGGTTGGTGCAAGCAATTCATTACGCTTTCCACAAATGCCATACTAATAAAAAAGCAAGATATCGTCCGTACATTATCAGCATCAACTCTATCGCATGATCACCATGTTCCGAGGTGCATTCGTTGCTCTGATCTACGGCCACTCGATGACTCTTCGCGACGGACAATATGATGAATCTGCGGTAATCACGCACATGAGCACAGATGTAGATATGATCGCCAGATCTCTAGAGCAGCTAAATGAACTCTGGGCGCGTGTATTGGAGATTGCCATAGGGATATGGCTTCTGGAAAGACAAATGGGAGCGATTTGTGTAGCTCCTGTGCTGGTGGTTCTTTGTAGGCTGAATCAATCTCTCTTTCTTCCTTTTACTCCGCCTGTCCGATGATTGTCCTCAGCTAATAGCCTCTAGTTTGTACATCCCTCCAGACATATATGGCAACATTTATGCCGGCACGGCAGAAGTTATGGATGGGAGCCATCGAGCGCCGTATAGGCGTCATCTCCATGACACTAAAATCTATGAGGAGTGTCAAAATGTTGGGTCTCTCAGATTCTCTTGGTACCATGCTCCAAGACCGTAGAAGGCGTGAACTAGATCTTTCAAGACAATTTCGATGGTTGATTGTGTGGCTAAATGTGGTTGGTGAGAGAACAGTGTACCTCCAAGATACATAGGAAGCAGTAATCAACCGAGCTAACTATACGCCTCTCATAAACAGCCAGCCTACCCCAAATGTGCGCTTCCTTGGTGACATTCGCGGCGTTTGTCATTCGATCTCAGATAGACGGGTCCGATCCTCTATCAACTGCACAGGCGTTTACCTCCCTGTCCATTATTACTCTCATTACCTCTCCGGCACTACAACTACTGGCCTCTATTCCTGCATTAACTGCCTCGAATGCTGCCTTTGACCGTGTGTATAAGTTTTTGACATGCTCTGCTGGAGATGAAGGATTAAATAGGACGCCTATCGAGGACTCGAATTATTTTAGTGCGGAGTGCGATAAAAACGTCGATCAAATCCCTATATCCGACAATAATATGACTTGTTTTAATGTTGGGAAGAACTCATCATCTGCATCCTTCACTCCCTCTGACCAGTTGATATTGACAGTGTCAGAAGCTCATATCAGACCAACCCCTAGTTCGCAGTTTTGTATGCAAAGCATCAATCTAGCTGTCAAACCAGGATCGATCACAGTCCTCACGGGACCAATTGGCTCTGGTAAATCAACCCTCCTCAAAGCTATTATGGGAGAAATACCCTGTGAGAAAGGGCGTATCACGCTTCATAACAACAACGGTATTGCTTATTGCGAACAAACCCCCTGGTTTCAGAATACAACAATTCGAAATAACATTTGTGGATATTCCGGTCTTATGCATCTAGAATGGTACAATGAGGTCATTGATGCATGCGCGTTGAAAGATGATTTGGATAGGATGCCTAGTGGTGATGGATCCGTCGTCGGAAGCCAGGGACTCACATTGAGTGGGGGGCAGAAACAACGTCTGGCGTTGGCTCGTGCGCTCTACTCGAGGAAAAGGCTTCTCATTCTTGATGATGTACTAAGCGCAGTTGATTGGCAGACGGAGCAAATCATTCTCAACAGAGTGTTTGGTAAGGAGGGGATTTGCCGGAGGACAGGCCTAACTGTGTTGATGACAGCACATTCCCGTAAGCTTTATCTTTCTATACGTTGATCATTTCTTTACTAATAATTAATCCACGATCCGAAGGAAGACATCTCAGTCTAGCCGACGAGGTCATGGTTTTGAATACAAAGGGTTATGTTGTGAAACAGGGGTCCTTCGAGCCTACGCTACTCACAGACGAAGCAACACAGCTGGAGCAATCCGGCTTGCCTGGTAGTTCTGACGAAGGTTCTTCTCTGAGGGAAAAGAAAGTCACAGTTCCAAAATTATTAACACCGGAGATTGTGTCGGATATGTCTCGTCAGACCGGCGATATCGCAGTTTACTCGTACTACTTGAGAGCCATTGGGTGGCCTTTGGTTCTCGGGGCAAGTTTTATAATCCTTGTCTACACATTTTCGGCCAGCTTTCCCCGTCAGTTTGCTCCAATGCGGATAATTGTATGCTGAATTACTGATTGCAAATATCTACAGAGGTGTGGTTGGATATGTTCACCGACAATAACGAAATAGATCCCGGTCTGTTTATTGGAATATACATTCTTCTCGCTGTCGCTGCCTCAGCGTCACAAGGTTTTATGATATGGTATGTTCAGTTGGTATTAGATTGCGATGAGTGCAAAATTAACTCTGATTTGCTCTTCCAGGCAGATTATGATCAATATTGTTGTCAAGTCAGGATTGGCGTTACATAAGGTCCTTGTGCACTCCGTGATGAATGCTCCCATGCAACTATTCACCGAAGTTGATTCCGGGGTTATTTTGAATCTGTTCAGTCAGGATATGACTATCGTGGATGCTGTTTTACCGACTATGGCCTTCGGGACTATCCTAGGTAGATATTTCTACCCTTCACATTTTAGGGTATGCTGTGGCTAAGGAGAGCTAACAATCTGTCTTAATAAAAACAAGGCACAGCACAATGCCTAGCCCAAGCTGCTTTGATATCATTAGGCTCAAGCTACATGGCTCTCACTATCATCCCGACCCTTGTTGTTCTATACCTGACACAGAAGGTCTATTTGCGAACATCCCGGCAAATTCGATTTCTCGACCTGGAAGCGAAAAGTCCTCTCTACACCCACTTTGCGGAGACTCTCACTGGTTTAACTACTATTCGAGGATTTGGGTGGCAGGCCAACTTCCTGTCTGATTGCCTCCGGCGCCTGGATATCTCTCAAAGGCCGTATTATCTCCTCTTCTGTATTCAGCGATGGCTCAATGTGGTCCTTGACCTTCTAGTCGCTATTCTGGCAGTTATATTAACTGCATTGGCGACATCTCTACGCGAATCAACTGATTCTGGAAAGCTGGGAGTTTCTCTGACAGCTATCATGGCGTTTAACCAGTCCCTTCAGGACTTAGTGAGTAGCTGGACTGCGATGGAGACGTCTCTGGGTGCTGTTTCAAGAACGAGATCGTTTGAATTGAATACTCCATCCGAGCATCAATCTGGAGAGGACTTAGACCCGCCTTCAGACTGGCCATCATGTGGAAAAGTCGAGGTGCAATCTGTCTCTGCATCATACGAGTGAGACTATCCACTTCTCTTATATAAATACTGGCTAACGAAAGGTCACGTATAGTGGGGTCACGAACGTCTTAGAAAACATCAGTTTCACAATTCGTGCTGGGGAAACGGTTGGAATATGTGGAAGGACTGGCAGGTACGTTACATAAAGGTATTGGGATTTCTCTGTTCAAGCAGTTTACATGAATTCCAGTGGTAAAAGTACTTTGCTGTCAATGCTCCTTCGCCTTCATGAGCCCAAAGCCGGTAAAATTTTTATCGATAATATTGATATCAGCACCATCCCACGCAACATACTGCGCACACGCCTGATCACCATTACTCAGGATCATCTACCAGCCATTCCAGGCTGCTCAATCCGGTTAAATGCCGATCCAAGAGGGATTGCACAGGATGCAGAGATTATGTCAGCCATGGAGAAGGTCGGTCTACTCGCATTGATCCAATCCCGTGGAGGTTTAGACGGTGAGGATTTGAACACGCACCCGCTATCTCAAGGAGAACAGAAATTATTTGCGCTAGCCAGAGCACTGATCACCAAATGGACACGGGACAAGGGTATTACCCATTGTAGGGGGATCCTAATACTTGATGAATTTACGGCTGGTACAGACGAAGAGACTGAGCGATTGATGCTTGACATTATTGACGAAGAATTTGCGGGCTACACAATCATTGAAATTACCCATCAGATTGGCGTGGCGAGGAAAAGGTTGAACAGGATATTGAACTTAGTATCTGGCCAACTAGATGATGTTACTTCCAGTTCGCATTAGTTAGCTTCTTTCGTATAGCTGTGAGAAGTAAGAATGTTTTTAAGCGGATTAGACGTGTTTTCTCCACACATGCCTTAAAACCCGCGTGGTGGGCTCATATCTATTTGCCACGTAGGTTGAATTCATGATGTTTAAATCCAGAAGAAGACATAAAAAGTAATTATTAATAATTACAAATAGTTCGTTAGATACACATTGACCCTGCGAAAGATACCCGCTACAAAACACTCGCACGATAGAAACACTGTCTCACAAGCATACACCATTGAGACCGTTGCAAGCAACCCATTCCCTCTGTTTACTCAACCGTAACTCATTTTGTATACTTTGTTTTGATGATGTCCGATGCCTTTTCAGCCACGGCATAGAGAGTGCTTGTCAAGTGACCACACAGTTGGAATGGCAAGACAGAAGCATCAACTACTCGGACATTTTCCGTTCCATAAACCTTGAGTTCAGCGTTCACAACGCCACCTTTCTCTCGAGGAAGCATGCTAGCAGTGCCAATAGGGTGGAAATTTGACCTATCTGAAAGCAGGTTTCAGAACTTGAAACATAGGGGCAAGATACGTAAGAAAGCACTCACAGGTAGACTTAACCCAACTGGCCCATGTGGAATCGGATGCATTCTCAGGGAGAAGCTCAAGTCCCGGTGCAAATTCATCCCCTACAAGGTCGCTTAGAGGAGCGGTACGAAATGTCTTTCGTATAAATCGAGCCACGTCCGCCTGGGCGTTAAGATCGTGTTCAAACATGAAATAATTTGGATTAATAGCACCTGTTTGAGATGGATCTGCGGAATTTATGTGTACACTACCTCTTGAAAAGGGCAGCAGATGCCAATATTCGGTCGAGAACGAATGTGCGATAGGAAGCAAAACAACCTCCGCATATGGTACGTGTGATTCAAATATCAAATCATACTGAAGCTGGAACGCAGCCAAAGCATTGGCTTCCAGTACCGCTCCATTCGAAAAGTTGGATACAGCCTTTGCGTAACCTGCGAGACTTGAGTTGACAAAGGCAGCAACCGCAGATACATTGTCACCATATATTTGGTTGGCTGATGGTAAGACAGAGAAAGTCGGCATGCCAAACCAGAACTCCTTCCCGTCGTAAGAGAGACCATTGTTTGTCTGATCCTGCAAGTTCTCACCCACAGTAGAGATTTCAACCTTGACGGGAATGTTATACCTTTTAAGTATATCTGGGTTTCCAACACCAGATAACTCAAGGAGAAGAGGCGATTTCAATGATCCAGCGGACAGGATTACCTCCTTTGAAACGTAGATGGTTTCAGTTCCATTCACGCCTGTAACCTCAACTCCAATCGCAATAGCCTGACTTTGAGACCCTTCATCCCAAATGATCTTAGTTGCCTGGGTGTTTGAGATAATTTTTAGATTTGGCCGGTCTTCGTAGGGCCAGTAGTAGGATCTGGCTGCGTCTTGACGAATATTAGCATCTCTGTCGATAGTGTCCGGATGGGAAGTGAGCCCAATCATATTGCCATCATTGATATCACGGTTGTAAGAGACACCAAGCTTCGAGAGGGTCTCATCGAGCACAGGAAGCATGCTGGTATTGGTCATTGCTTTCGGCCAGCCAACTTTTACCGGGCCGTCTTCCCCGTGATAGCTAATAAAGTAATCGGCGCCATGATCGATCTGGTCGAGAGAGGGCACCTGAAATCCTTCTGACTTCCTATAGTATGGGATGAGGCTGTTCCAATTCCAACCCTTGTTCCCAACGAGTTCCCAGTTGTCAATTTGTTGGGCTTGGGCTCGAGTATACGACATTCCTGCGAGGGAAAAGTGAAATTAGCACAAGTATCGCGTTTCTCTACGTGACTGGCAACCCTTGCCATTTATAGTACTTGTGCCCCCGATGGCCTTTCCGGCACGCATGACCTGCTTGGATCCTCCGGCATATATTTGGTTTTCGGTTTGGTAGGCCCAGTCAATATCTGTTCCGAAACCCAAACCGTACCCCATGATCTCAGTGACCTCGTGTCTATTGAGAACCGAATCTCCAGCCTCGATAACTGCCACGGTGACGTCGGGTAGTTCTGTAAGTCTGTTTGCAACAACCAGTCCGGCGGTGCCTCCGCCGACGATAATAAAGTCATATTGCGGAGAAGGGCCATTCTGGCCCTTCACTCCACGCAGCAAAATTGCAGTGAGAGCAAGGCTGAGGAAGTGCATGTTCGTTCAGGTCATCAGATTATTTAGAAATTCGAACTTTGCCAAGTGCAACAACTCCAAAGTCACTCATTAATTAAGACAGCAGGTTCCTCCACTATTTACGTCCAGCGTGGTGCACCGGCCAACGGTGGAATGCTGGCCTCATTCCCGGGTTGTTGACATTCCTCATTCCTCAGACGCACAATCTAGTCCTAACTTCAACCCACCGTAATAATGATACGAGGTTTGCCATTGAATCGACATTGTCCATCCCATGGTGACAAATTACTGTGTGGTCAAATTTGATGATCATGTCTATATTCAGGAATTTCTACTGCATAGAAACTTCGCATCAGGAATTTGCTCGGCTTTTATACCACTTCACTCAAGCCATAACTATACATACCCAGAACCACAATTACCTATATAGGATAGATGTGATTAAATAACCCCAAGTTTTCGAATTTCTAGTTCCAACTATACCGCTACGTATGAGCCTGAGTCGTATCAGTAGCATATGAGTTCTAATAACTAGTTATAACAAGCTAGTAGACCCTTCATGCCTAAAGCAGTTGGCGAAGACTTAGATATTCTTCCTCATAGTTTAAAAAGGACACTGAGGCTACTTTACTCTGTCATGGAAGCCAGCGAGAGTAGCGGCATTTACGTATCTTTAAATCTAATAAGTAACAATCGCAATAAGCAAAATGTACGGTGTATGTCCTGTGCACTATAATTATCTGTGTTTAGCTTTCATTAGTTTTATTTCTATAGCATGCGCCTTCTGATTTTATCCCCTCTCAATGTCCAAAAATTGTGACTATGAACAAGTACTAGTGTAGGTATGAACCATTCAGTTGAATCTTAACATCACCCGTACACAATTCAATATATATTTCAGGAGTGTAGTACTCTAGACCAGGTATCTGAATCCCTTGCGCATACGCAACGACTCATCAGTACTCTCCATGAAGATGACCTCACCTGTTTGAGTATCAGAAGTATGTTCTGCATCCCACGCAGCTTCGCTCTCCTCAAGCTTTTTGTTTAAATTCACAAGAATCATGCGGAAAGCCCAAAATCCGATGACGGTAATACCGTACATGGCAGTCACGACGCCGTAGCTCTTGCGGTATCCATTATCGGAAAGATTCCAAACGTACGAGCCAGCTATATTACCAAGTTGACTGAACGCGTTGATCAAAGCAAGAGCCACGGCTCGCTTGGCGGGTGGTCTTGGGAAGGAGGAGCTGATCCAAGAGTAGAAAACAATGAAGCCTGCATAGGAGCCTGCCTGGAGAAAAAGCGCCACGTAGCGGGCTGCTACGTTCAAAGTCGACATGCTGATGATGAACCCAGCCAAACCCATAAAGATTGGAATGTAAATGTGCCAAATCTGACCAAGGTAACGGTTAGTTGATTCTAGTGTTGAACTGACCACTTGGAGTATTCATAGAAACTGACCTTTTCTTGGGTTCTGTCAGCGTGCCACGCATTGATCAGGGAGAAGATACATGAGAACACCCATGGGGGAGCACTCATAAGCAGAGTGGGTACATAGGCAAATCCGAGGGTACTGGTAAGGGTGGGCTATTAAGATGTAGTAGGGTGTGGTTAGTATTACTCTAGTAACAAAGTATTTGGGTCTGAGTCTAGGACTTACGAAGAATGCATTGAAGGACAACCCTACGACATAGGCAGTAAAAGATACCATCATAAGATAGATCTTAAAGTCTTTCAGTGTCATCATGAGACCAGCGAAGGGACTCTGCTCTTCGGAATCAGTATCAGCCTCACCAACATCCTCCATGATACGAATCTGGGCGACGAGACGCTCTTCCTCCGTAAATCCTCGGGCATTGGTGGGAAGGTCGGGCAGAATAAATCCGGAGGAAATGGCAATAGTCATGGTGATGGCACCCTCGATCCAAAACAGCCACCGCCAAGCAGCATGGCCCAGGACACCTTGCATATTGGACAGGATCCCAGCCGCAATGAGTGACGAGAAGGCGTTTGAAATAAGGTTACCACAGAACAGAATGGCGTTTCGGGTGGTCAGTTCTTTGCGGGTGTACCACTTGGAGAGAATGAGGAGAGCGCCAGGAAGAAAAGCAGCCTCAACGAAACCCAGCAAGAAACGAATACCCACCATATTGCCGAAATTGGTTGCGAATCCAGAACATGTAGAGACAAGACCCCAGAGGGTCATAGAGATGGAAATGTAGATGGAAGGGCGTTGAATACGGTTGATAAACATATTGGAGGGCACCTGCATCAAGATATATCCAACATACAAAATACTCAGGCACGTTGAGTACTGGCTGTCGGTGAGGTTAAGGTCGGTCTGCAGGCCCTTGAGACGGGCAGCAGAGATGTTGTTACGATCGAGATAGTTCATGATATAAATCAGAACAAACACGCTGCAACGGGCGTCGAGCTTGCGCTTGAGACTTTTCTCGACGACGGCTCGACGAGCAGGGTCAATGTGAGGGAAGACGGCAATCTGTGGCTCGGCTACCAACTCGAGATTCTCGGTCCTCTCCTTCTCGGCGTCGACATCGATGCGGTTGCTGTTATTCCGTGAGATATGGTCTGTCATTGTGTGTGCGTGTGTTAAGCAGACCGACTTCCTTCCCACGCCGAGAGGAACAAAATATTGGCGGGTTTCTTCAGCTTCTTCATCCTCCTACCCGTACATTTATTTTCCCCAGCCCCCAGCAGTTGAACCCCCACGCCGAGTGAAGCTAAGACGCGGGGGGTTTGCTTGGAAGTTGGGACGTGCGAGTATATTTCCGGCAAAGCATTTCTCGTCTCGAGGCGATGATTGGACTGGTCGGCCCGGATTCAGGCAAAAAGCGGTGGGAAATCGGGCCGCGGCGGGGAGAGATCAAGAGCTTCAGGCCGTCCCGAAGGATTTTCGTCGCTTATTTCCCGAGTTTGTCGGGCTCAGATAAATAGAGCAAGAGTACACACCATGATGACCATGAGTATATATATATACGTGTGTGCGTGTGTGTGTCTATTGTTGCTGCTCAACCCATCTGAACCGCACACCAGTGTCTCTTAGGAGGTAAAACCAGCAGAAGGCCTTCAAGAAACCTGGCCCCCCAGGCACGCAAGGAGTGCTCGCTTACCAGAACTCCGGCTCTATACTCGGACTTTGCCGATTGAAAACACCTACATGCTCCGTGGTATCCGTCAGCAGGACCTGGATCCATAACAAACTCCAGCTGCTAGTTTTTGCTCCACCATATCATATGCCCCAGTGCCATGCTAGCCGTCATAGAGAGTACATTCGTGTGTTTGCGTGTACAGAGTTTGTGTGTGTGTTCTGTTATTGTAAGACCGGTCGGTCACAGTTTCTACAATGTGCTCATCTGCTGTATCAAGATGCAAAGATCTATCTACCATTCCAATCGTGTCTGACATGTATCAGACCTGGAGATGGTTGCCAGATGAAAAACTGCCGGTGGTCACGTGTGCGTATACTTTGTATTTTTCCACCAATTAACGTGGACTTACAAGCTTGGTCTCGACTCTTCTTTTCGGGGCAGCACTATGCCGTAGTCTCAGCAATCAAAATATCCGAAAGTCGGTAGAAGCTTATTTGAGTTTCTGTGGGGATTTTCTTTCCGTTCCTGTTGATTTTTGTGCATGCCTAATTCTCGCAGAATATTTTGTGCCGTGTACTACCTGGAACTTATAGTGCATCAAGAAAGGAATCGCATGTCAGTTTCCGGAATCTCTAAGGCCTGTAAAGCCTTTTTGAGATCCGAAGTCGTAGGACATGTCTATCGTAACCAACTTCTGTTGTGGAGACGGGCACGGTGCGCGAGTCTATGGATATTCAAGGCAAACACCTGTCGACCGATCTCTGTTGTCAACAATAGTCAATGCTTATTATCCAAGGCAAGATATACGAGTTAGGTGAGCATAAGGTTAGCTTGAAGCAATGGACCCAGTCTCGGCCATACAGTTGCCAAACTAACCACGGTATCTCAAGAGAACCCTCGAAATGTGATCAATAGTGGTTTCGTGACCATGAGAGACTTGGAGAATGGCACTGATGTCTAAGCCCAGCGTCGCAACGAATGCAATAATACCGCCTAAGTCTGAACCTGAAATGTAGATGAGTGCATAAAAAGCCACTGTGTAGAGGTGCATATCCTGGTATTGTCGGCACATATTTCGATATACCCTAGCTTCCAGGGTACTGCGTTTACTGATAAGCTTTTTTGCAGTATGCAATAAACCCCTTGCAGCGTGTTTAACAACTTGAACCATTGAGGATAAATCACACATGACCACTGCCTATGTATCCAAACTACACATCCGTGAACCGGTATTAAACCGCAGCTATATAACTATCTGGGCCACAACACTCTCGGCAACGAGCTCCATGTCTTCTAAGGCAGGCTCAACAGCCACCTCAACATTGTCCACCAGCAATCATTATCAGAGGACACCATTACAAATTCTATTCGCAGAGACCAATAACTGATTATGCACTACTACTGCAATTTCCAGTATAGGTGCTAGATTGAGACCATGACAAGTGATTGGCCCGGTATTTAATTGGCTGATTGACTCGTGACTATGAACTCGGCGAGTTGTCAGCCATCTTTCTCTAACTTAGTCCTACTCTGTCAACATAAACATAACGTTTCTATAGTGAAGTTGCATAATTATTCACAGTACTCAGAGTCGAAACGTATCAGGGTACAGTGCTTTCTCGTGGCATTTCAACTTTCTCTAATTGACATAAAGGTCCCTGGATTCTAGAATTCCTTGGTTATTGATGCCGGGAAATTCATGTTACTGAAACGATTCCAAGTATTTATAATAATATTACAACATACGCCTCCCAGAAATAGTAAGTTTAGTAGCACTTTTAGGCTGTCTACAAATAAGCAAAGGAAATAACAATAGCCCTGAGTGTATCAAATAGGGGACATCAGTACGCAATACGAAGTATAACTCGAATATCAACATCCAGTAATTTTTAGTTAATATTCAACATCCCTGACGCTCTATTTTTTTATATTGTCATGGCTGCAGAAGGATATGAACAAGGTACTGAAATATTTGAATCGACTCCTGGAGAGGTTTCTGCAGAGACTGAGAATCAAGGTGGGCCAGCAAAAATCTATTTATTCAAAGGCTGCTAAAACAAGAACATCATTCTTTGCAATTACAGGTGATATCTAGTATAAGATTAATACTCGTTTTTATGAGCTGAAGTAGATTTTAATTATCGAGATATGAAGCTAGATACCATGGAGGGAAATAGTGAGCGGAAGCCTCATCTTGGGATCGAAGAGGGCAAGCAAGACCCAGTATCAACAATTGGCACGTCGTCTCTCTGGTACGAGTGTAAGAAACCCAAAGGTTTTAGTCCAAGACAGCTTTTAAGGACCGCCAACAAACAAATCTCGGTACGTGGACTTGGTCAAAGGAGCAAATCTTCAAGGTTCCACAGCAGGGCAGAAAATCGATTTATTTTACATTATCTCAATTGCCACAGCTTCTCACATATTATACTGGCTCAAACTATTCTATTATTGGGGCCTTGCCAAGATATACAAAAGGGTTTTGAGACATATAGGAATTGCGCAGCCTACTTTTTCCATATCGAAGCTGAACTAGTGGCTAGCCTTGTTAAGTGAATTCCCTGCATACATGTTCACATCATTGGATAAGTACTATATACATTTCTAGTACAGACTGTGCGTCAGAATACCCGATGAATATTGATATACAATCCGACGTCTACTTGGACTTTGATGGTGCAAGATATACACGCGCTCTCGCCACAAATTCGAGCTATATGATACGGTTTTTTCTAGCCGCTCCAGACACTGCTTTCAGTATGAACCCTGTGTTTCATCGTACAAAAAGTTTTGCCCTAGTTTGAAAGATGAAAAATATTCCCTTCAATATCCCAGAACTGACGTTTACTCAAAAAAAAAAGAGGGGGAGGGGGGCTAGCATGTACAGTCCCTCAAGTGACTAGGATCATGAGCAAGAAAACTGACGATCAATATATCAATAAGTCTTACAATAGAAGAGTATAATATCAAGGCTTTATATGATATATATAATCATTATTAACGAGAGAACGAGCCTTACCAAAACCGGCAAAGAATTTCTGAATGTAATGAATCGATTGATTGTCACTCCTGATAGCATCTCAACTAAGCAGTACGTATGCTCTCTTCCCCAACATAGTATCATGATAGAAGCAGATAATAAAAGGAACAAAATGGCTAGTGCATGATATCAAAGGGTCAAAATAAATCTAGTTTCAGACATATCTCCTTAATTCATGCCCCCCCAAAACAAACCAAAAGAGCTATAAAGCAAAGACGTTGAATTGATATTTTACCCAAAGACATTACTTAATAATGCTACAGCTACTCCTTAATCTGATTATATTCATCCTGAAACTATCACTCGTCATAGTTGCTGCCAACAAAGCGGGATTACTGGGATAACTGGCCTCTTTATCAGGAAAAATACACCGAAACACAACCACTTGTTCAGGGTTCCATTTAGCCATATAATTCAATCAACTTTATTCTTAAAACTAGTAACTATTGCACGCGAATCTTGGTGGATTCAAACAAATCGAAGTCAATCAGAATTAGAGACTGATATTCCAAGCCTCCGGAAACCCATAAATGTCAGCCATCAACATGTAACGTTCTAAGCTATTTTATGTCTAATCTTAGGTACTTTGGATCTATTCTATATAAATACCCGAATGATATGATCCGACACCTAGCGCCGACTGATATCGTCAAGTGATGGAACTCCGCAGGATTTACCTCGTTCACATTCATCATTTATAGGACGGGAATTGTGACTCGCAAACCTACAAACAATACACCTTGGAGTGTCTAGGTTCCAAGGTAGTGACCCTTTATGCCACACGGAAAACATTCAAAACTGTGAACAAGACATCCTGTGTCAAATGTACAGTGATCCATCTTCCGGAGATGACGATATTATAGTGGTAACCCTGACACCGAATAATAAAGTTACCAGTTGACTCTTCATCTCCTATAAAAGAGTTTACGCTTAGTCAAGATGGGAATTGGGCGATAATGAAGCAGTAGATGTGCAATTATATTATGATGACGCATGTGTGATGTAAAGGTTATTCAACGTAACACACAATCAATGTATATGCCGTTAGCGATATAAATATTATTATATAACTATAGACTAGTGTCTGAGTGCTTGATATGAGAACATGAACAGTTGGTGTGGCTTCACGTTAGTATGGTCGTTCTGGCAATTGCTTGTGTCACAAATTGGACTAAGTGTGTGTGTATTGGACTCACCTGGCTCCCTTCGACATATCGCCAAAATGAAGAAAGGCTTGCATTAGTCACAATAGAGATACTCCGTATTTTTTCTAAACAAATTGGGTTCGAACAATGCCAAAATGTGTCTAGCATCAGGATGAAGGCAGATCTGAACTGTCACAAGTTAAGATCCATAATAATCATGGCGCTTGTGTTCTTTAGCCCTATCAACACGGCTGATATCCCGGGGACATTCCCCAGACGTCCACCGGGACAGTTCTGTGGTTCAATGTTCTATGCAAACTCATGGCAGCTCTGATCGGCATTGGCTATATTTCTACGGCCTTCCCTAACTCAGATACCTAGGTACGCGTGGGACTAAAATCAAATTATTTTGGAAAGACGTGCAAGTCTTACCTCGACCCGAACGGAACGCAACGATCGTCAAATTCCCTCTCTCTTTTCCCCGTTAGCTATGGGATTGGTGAAGGCGCCGGGGGAAAGAGACGGTATACGTAACTTTGATAAATTTAACCAATCCGAGAATCAATAAAACTATCTTGTTGTAGGCATTTGAGCCTAAAAGATCATTAAACTGAAAACATGAAATAATATATATAATGTAGCAATGGGTTAATCCTAATCAAAGTGAGCAAGCACACAGAAACGCTACTTGACGTGTTACACCAATAAGGGACTAGATACGTGAGCCGACATACTACCTCGGCACATCTTATTTTACAAATTCTTCATATCCTAATAGTGGCAGTCTCGATCATGATTTGGACTTATTCTACAGACTAGATAATCCCTACTTAATAAAATACAGAAACCAGTTACCAGAAGGTATCGATATATAAAAGTTGTTTCATAATAAGATGTTAAACAGCTGCTTCAGAGACAAGGCAGCCTTAGGGTAAATAATAACTGAGTCAACTACGAGATTCGTATAGGACATTTCGGTTTTCCAATCAAGACATGTTCTTCACAGAGGGTTTTATTTATTACACTTTTTCTCCTGTGTTTAGGTACGATGTACAGAGTAGGCAGAGTGAGGAAATAATACTTAGTTAGACCCGTACGGTAATATTCGGATTTCGGAAAGCGCCCAAGGTCCTCATTTATTAATAGAGCTTATGTCTGCTGAGTGGAGTTTCCTAAACTGCTGATCAAGAGCTTGGCAAAGCTTGTCAAAATCTTGTTTGAAAGTCGCGTAAGCAAGGGTGAAGCTGATTGGCGGCATCGTCTCGGCAACAATACCGTACCACTCCGTCAGCCCACCGGAATTAATTACAGAGATCAGCCGCAAGCAACAATGATACCGTAGTAAACTGCTAGCGTTGTATTGTCTGGTCCACTTCTTCGATGGAAATTTTCAATAGCAATAACTAGCTAGCTAGGTATTAGGCAGGCGCATTTCGCTGCATTTTGGTAATTTTGGACCGATACTTTTCATAATATTCCGTTACTCTTTTTGTCCCTTCCTCCGAGCGGCTTACATATAGGCTTCGTCTGATTGGATATGTTCGACTTGGGCTGTGAATGCTGGTCTGTATTCTATTAAAGTGCACCGGTTGATTATATCGATATAGCAACAAAAAAAAATACAATGCCGGGATTCAGATTCCTTGCAGGCGCTGTCCACCTCGGCCGCCGCGCCGTCCGCCATAAACACCATTTTCTTTCCATATCTTTCACTCTCTTCTTCATTCTCCCCATTTGCACCTACATTCTACTTGGCACCTTTCTGCAAAATGACCCGAGGCTAGTCCCCCACGCAATCCGCAATGCGCAAAACGTCCTGCTGATTACGGCGCATCCCGATGATGAGTGCTTATTTTTCACGCCAAGTATACTCCAGAGCTCGGGCAAGGCGCACGTGAATCGTCATTTGCTTGTTCTGTCATCTGGTACTTTGCCTCATGTTTCATCATCGTAAAGAACACACCATATTAACGTGATCCAGGTAACTATGAAGGCCGCGGCGAACAACGCCGCACCGAAGCCAAAGCGTCCTGTGCCGAACTCGGCATCGCAGTCGACAAATGCCTAATTCTCGAACACAAACAGCTGCAAGACAACCCTAGGGAATGGTGGGATGAGAAGGTGGTGGAGCAGATCCTCGACCACTACGTTCGTCAATGGAGCATCGATCTAATCATCACATTCGACTCATACGGCGTCTCGGGACATGTCAATCACAGGTCCGTTAGCAAAGGCGTGCGCAAATTTTCCAGCGACAACGACCATAATCCACCAGCGTACGCGGTGCAGTCGAAATTCGTACTGCGCAAGTACTCATCATTGGCGGACCTAATCCCGACTTCGTTACCGTTTACCTGGAGGATCCTTGAGGCCCTCTTCACACCAGTGCCTGAGGGCTATGCGACCATGCTGTCGATGGGAGGGAAAAAGGTACCGCTTCCACAAGGTGGGGATAGGTATGGTGATAAGGCATTGTTGGTCACAAATTGGGCACAGTATATGAAAGGGCGAGCGGCGTTTAACCAACATGCATCACAATATTCGTGGGATAGGGTATTGTATATGGTGTTGAGTCGTTATATGTGGTTTAATGATTTGAGGCGAATGTAAATGGGGAGGGGAAAAACAAAAAATATCGATACGCGAACCAGAATTCAAATGCTATTCTAACAACTAATAAGAGTTATTGTGTCATTTTGTCAACACAATAGGGGTTAATAGATTTTATGTAGCTTTACTATGCTTGTCAATGAGTTTGCCCTTGTATTGAGTACTCATCAAATCACTCCTTATAAAGCAGCAGCTACAGACAGCTTCTAGAAGAAATCGAAATTATTCCAAGAAAAAAAAAGTTTACAAACAAGAAAAGTATAAATTACAATGCAGGATACACATGTTTCCCAGATAAACAAACGCCCAATAAGATCCCGAAAGAGATGTGAAAATATTAGAATAAGAATATCGAACCGCTAAATGCCCCCTTAGAAATCCACGCCACCAGAGGTTATGCCACATCACGTAATCAGAAATTTAAACATTGGGAGAAAAGAAGAAAAGAAAAGAAACATATATACCCTAGGTATATAATAAAGACGAAATGAAGAGAAAATGACTTTCAGACATCCTTGATTATAAGTCCAGGGGTTTCCTCAGACCCCATCATAGATTTTCCTTTTCGGTGACGATATACTGTCACTAATAGCCCAATGACAAAGGAAAAAACAAAGAAGGAAACCATTATAGGTCTCTTAAACTGATGCCCCAGCCAAGTAATCATAAAGGCGTCAGAGTTGTGCCAGGAAGACGACCCGAGATGGCGGAACAGTGGTGTATCAACTTGCCCGTTTAGCATATGCAAGCGCGGAGCTTGGACTGTGCCGCCGAGGATACGGAAGGGAGTACGAAGATTTTGAAGGGTGAAAATTGTTCTGTGTACAGCAAGTGAGCAAATGGCATAGGCGTAGCTGTAGCTGTAGAGAAAATGTCGCAGACTTACGATGCGTAATGACAGCCAGTACTGAACATGACTGTTGCATAGGGAATAAAGAACCAAGCATGGTTGTATGCGGCAAGGCTATCGACAAGGGAACGGACGAAGTAATTGCCTGGTCTAGCCATCATGAAGCCAACCGAGAATCCAGTAGGATACGCCGCCGGTGCAACGAAGTCGAAGCGCCTCAGCGGGCCCAAACTTCTCTTACATTCTAGATCAAAATCCAGCACAACACCTGCACTGATGTCAGATCTCACGGTCAATAAGCGTAAAGGGCTATAGTATCTCGCTACTACGTAAACAGACTTGCCTCCAAATTTATAAAGCACCATATATCGCAGCGCATCAACCTTTTCAACCGGGTAGCGATAGCTATGCCACATATTCTTCAAATGAGGAAACTCCTCGGCAACAAACTTGTAAGATTTCTCATCATCCCAGATAATTGCTTCCCAGTCAGGGTGATGCTTAATGCATTCATCTCGAGCCGCAAGCCATTCTTCACGAGGTGGGTTTGAGCCGAGACTCATATGATGTAGAATTGGTGGGACAACGTCTTGGTATTGCGGTCCAGAGGTGGACTGGTTCACACTGTAGGCGGCAAATGTCACATCGAAGTCATCTCGGTCCTGGGAAATGTAAGAGAGAGCAGCGCTATGATGCCAGCGATTGGGGAGGGCAGCGAGATTGACGAGCATGCCCAGAAGTGGCAGCCAATATCGCTGTGCGATGACCAACAAGAAGCATAGCACCAGCAATAGCCTTGTGCGCGAAAAGGGCATGTCTAGACTCTAATGTAGCTCCAATAGAATAGTAGACGAAGCAAATGAATAATGGGGATTAGACTCAAATATCCGAGGTCAATATGGCGACGAACGAGCATGGACATATGGGGTTTAATGTAAATAGTAATAATATGTGGGTGGCATTCCTACCTTGTATATACTTTCTAGGCATCTCCATTATTGGGGACACCGAGCAGTGGAGATTGATTCCACTAGAAATGACAAAAGTTCAATGACAGGTTATTACAACTGCGTAATTGCGATACCATACCAGATGTACCGAAGAATCCTAAAGTAAGAGCCAATTTCTTAATCCCTTTTGGGGTTTTTAGACACGCAGCTTCACCTTAGGCGTTATTGGTAACTAATGTCATGCACGCACAGTTTCCAGCATGTTTAGAGCAATTGGCTTTTCTACACAACAACTATATCACCACTTCACCCGCTTCACCTGAATAAAGGAAATGATCACGTAAATCGAGGAGAAATTAGGCGACAAATCTAAAAATACCGCATCTAGTAACGTACTGGATGGTTCCCATCATGATTAGCCACTACTCCGCACGGTAATTAAACGGTAAACTATTTATTTTTCATGCGGTACTAGCGCTGTTTAGCCTTGTCGAAGAAATCCGGAACTAGTAAATGGCAGTTACTTTCTTTTTTTGGCCTCGGACCACGCGCATAACCCGGAGCGTCTCCATGGACCTTTATTTCGTTATACTCTCGTTATCATCTCTCAAGCTTCTAATACCTTAGCTGTTCAATTAACGTAACCGGTAAGCCACCCGGCCATGTAAGCGACCCGGCCACCTCCGCCCGGAAACGCGTTCTATTTCGATCTTATAACTTCAACGCGTCAATATGCCACCAATTTGCAAGAAAAATCCTTCAAAATCAGCTGAATTAGAAGGAAAGATTCAATTAGCTATTTCTGATTTAAAAAATGGGAATATTCAAAGTATTTGTGAAGCTATATGGGTTTATATTATCCCTTGTATAACTCTCTAAGACTGACTGAAGGGAATACAATATAAACATATAAAATGTGCTAACAGTTATAAATTCACTCAGTTTGAAGAGGAATCGCTTATTAGATGGATATTAGATCTAAATAGGCAAAGATTATCTCCCCAGCTATTTATAGTATGAGAAATGGCCAACTATCTTCTTTCTTAACATAGAAATCAACAGGTTAGAGAAAAATAGGTTTATAATCTGGTTTAATGTTGCTTAGAGCTCAAATCGCGATTTTCTTGAAGATATAACTATGAATGTGCTAAATATGAAGATCTAAAGATAATCTAAGAATATTTTGACTGCGTATGAGAGGCTATATTAGAATATAGTATCTTATTGGAAGATATTTATAACTTTAATGAGACTAGCTTTACTATAAGACTCTGTGCAATTATAAAGATTATTATTAGGAGTGATTAATATGTCTGTTTAAAGCTATTATAATCTAGTAATTGAGAATGGGTAACTTCAATTAAGGTAATTAATTCTATTGGATAGACTTTGCTTTCATATATAATTTTTAAAGTAATAAAATATATGTAAGAAGGCTGATTTGAGATTTTTTTAGATAATTAGAAAATTAATATTAGTGATAATGGATAGATAACTGATAATATTAATATAGATTGGCTTTAAAATCACTTTATTCCTCTTATAAATAGTTATATAATAGGAAGATATTGAATGCTGATTTTTGATGGTTATAAAAGTTATTTGACTGTGGAATTTGACTGTATATGCATTAAGAATAATATTATTTTAGTTTATATGTCTTTATATTTCTTTTATCTTTTATAGTCTCTCAATATTAGCTGTTTTGTAATTATAAAGTGAAAATATGGATAGTTTGTTGAGTAGTGGATGAGGCTTAGATTTAATTATATTGATAAAATTGATTTTCTTATTATATTTTTAGAGGCTTATATAATAGTATATAAAGCTGAGACTATTTGGAAGGGTTTTATAGTTATTGGATTAGTGTTATATAATCTAGATTAAGTCTATTAACAGTTTATTGTTTAGTTTAAGACTTCTATACTTTCTCTAAGTTGATTGAGTAATATTTAATCATTCTGTTTATAAATATCTTAAAATCTATACTAATTTAAATATTAATTAAATATAATAAAGAGGCGTATAAGCTAGTGTATAGGAAGCCTATTAAGTTCAATTAATGAGGCAATTAATTAGATATTTAAGGTGTATGAAATGACTGTAAATAGCTTTATACTTCTAGGGAAAGAAGTTTATGATTTATGGGTTACACATGAGAAGAAGAAGTAAAAATATAGATAATCTAGAAAGTAGATAGAATATAAGTAAGGAATTACTAGAAAGAAAGCTTAGGCATTTATATAAAATTAGATTAAGGTATCTCAAAGTATTACTACTGCTCTGGCTAAGCTTGAGCTGCTAGTCTTGCAAGCGATTGTATGCTGTTAATTTAAGTATAGTGAGTATGGTATTCTTAGGTATAGAAGGCCTCAATGCCCTCATCATACTAGTAATTAGTTTTTTTATATATAATTATTATTTTGGGTTGAAAATTGTGATTAGAAATTCATATAGAACGCGTTTCCGGGCGGAGGTGGCCGGGTCGCTTACATGGCCGGGTGGCTTACCGGTTACGTTACTTTAGTTTATGCTGACATAATTCGCCGAAAGCTTGAGTCCAGAAACTGCAACTGCTTAGATATTATGGAGACGGAGCTTGCCCAGTGACAACCCGGCTGACTGGCATCATTTCGAGATGGTGTTGATCCGACTTGGTGTCAAAACCAAGTTGGCGATGGTTCAAGTTGGTTTCAATTAAGCTGAATCTATATCCTTTGAATTTACTTACAGATAATATTCGGTTCGTTTTCGTGTTCTCTTGATTACTATTACAGGGAAATATCTGCTGTATTCCTGGTTGGACCTTTGTGTGTTGGCTGCCTATTCATACGCCACCAAATGCTTCTTCCTATCCCCATGCTTAGCTTTTCGTCGATACTGGCATATCCACGTTATGATATTGCAGTTTGGCCTCATGTCACATCACCAAATCACCTCCAAAACTGTAAGGGCCTGGTATTGCTAATGGAGGCTTGGGCACAGAATAAATTGAATACTGGCCATAAACCCTTACCCTGGCACATTTATAGGTCGGTGAAGGTACCTACACCATTAAAATAACCCCTGGAAAGCAGCTGCTCTCAGAGTTCAAGGACGGGTTTTAAGGCCTTAAAGGCTACCACTAATCAAGCACCAACTCAAGACAAAAGGAATTTATTTGTTAGGAGAGCTAAAGCTATTTAGATAACTATAGACAGCACCCTCACTACAAAGGCTAGGCTGACAAGGTCTATCCAGAGACCCAGCTGCTGCGAAGGTGCTCAAGCCAATATCATTGGGTAGCTATACGCCGAGAAAATTAGATATGGATATAGCAAGAAAATTAGCATCTAGCTGGGGGTCTGGTGGCGTATAAATAACCAGGAATACACCGGATATCTCCCTGTAATAGTTAATAGTTCGATACAAAGATCCGGCACGTACAGCGCGGAGAGTAGCGGCACGGTAGACAGATTTATATCACAAAGACACCTCACAAAGCCTATGGGAGGGGAGCCATCACATTTACCTACTTTCCTAACAAAATCCTCACACAGGATTTTTACTCGACCACGCCAACTAAATGCAGTGACACTTCCCATAGTTTCTTCTCCTTTTCAGGGCTGTAAGCATACAGAAAATAGCCAGGTGCCTATTGTCCTTCGCTGGGGTCATACGCCTTGGCAATCTGGACATCCTCAAGGTACCTCCCGTGCTTTCCCACGAGGGACTTAGATACGGCCGCCCAAACAGAAGTTGTGTCACCTTGCTCTGGATTCTTAAACTGCGGTCCTATGTTTGGATCATCGAGTCCTTGTCTCTCTTCCTCAGACATATGCTGTAATAAATCAGTCTGAACGCCGCCGGGTTGGACACTAAGCCATGAAGGCCCTGGGAGGTGTAGTGGCGATTGATCTCATTCGCCGCCCATAGTAGCGCACACTTACTCTATCCGTAAGCCTTCCACTTATCATACGCGCCATCAAAGTTGAGATTGTCAAATACCACCTCCGAGTATCTGTGGGCTATGGAGGAGAGGAAAACCACACGGGAATTAGACTCCGGGGTCACTGCGGCCAGAAGCATGGGACGCAGGAGGAGGAAGAGCAGAAAATGGCCCAGGTAGTTGGTCCCAAATTGTGTCTCAAATCCGTCCTTGGTGCGCCCTTCGGGGGTGGCCATAACGCCGGCGTTGGCGATGTAGATACTGAGGGTTTTAGTCTTGGAAAGGAGTGCAGCAGCGCAGGCGCGCACGCTGGATAGGGATTCCAAGTCTAATTTCAGCAAGTGCACACGCGGAGAGGAAACCATGTCGCCGAGAGCGTGCATTACCTTGTCCAGATTCCTGGCCGTCAGGTAGAGAGTTGCACTGGTAGTGAAGAGCGCTTTGGCTGTCTCTACACCGATGCCCGAGGACGTGCCGGTAATAAGGATCGATGAGCCAGTCAGTTGGCCCTCCAGGCCTTCGTCGCGGAATGATCTGCATGGCTGTTGGGCGGGCATCCCCTGGGCCCTGGGGGGTTCTTGTGAACCTCCGCATAGCGTTCCGTCATAATGTTGACCTGGTTATCACACCGGAATTGAGAGAAGGATGATAGTAAAATGTACGCTCTTATGATTTACAAGAAGTTTGACCATGCTGGACTGGGATAGAGACCGAGGGGGACTTTATGTCTGGTTATTGTCTCAACCCCGCAGTCACCTTACTTATTCAAACTTCTTGCAACTTCTGAGAGCGAGCATTCTGAAACCATGTAATCCACGGTCCAATCACGGAGTTCATGGATGATCGTAAACCAGGCGAGCTTTATGTTTGTATAATCCTCTTTAATAGAGGATTTTAGCAAAGGCTCCATGAAACTCCTAGCGTGGGAAACACTCCCGAAATAGGTTAGATAGTGTGGATCTAGTAAAACTGGTAGAAAAAGTAAAATGCTATATCTAATATAGAAGTCTCCTAATCTTATATAATGCGTCTAAATCTTTAAAAAATAACAAATATTAGGGCTTTTTATAGGTAAGAATATAGAACTAGGCCATTAATAATAAGGTTAGTATCTTATAAATATTAATCTACTATTAATAATATTACTTTAAATTAAATTTAAAAAAAATAATTAATTCCTTGCAAGTTATTCTATATATTTTTTATTTTTAATATTAATATATTTCCTGATATAATACTTATAGAGTATTATTAATAAGTTATTAATTATATTATTATTATAAATAAATATTAACTTTATATATAGATTTAAATATTAAAAATTTATTTAATTATTATACTTATTTAATCTAGAATAAATTGATTATTAAAAAAGAGTTTAAATATTATCTAAGACTATACTTATTATCTTATTAATCTAATTATTTTATTTTTAAAGATTTTATAATTTTAAGTACTTCTTTAGATACTTAAATATCTAGATCTTAATTATTGTCGGAAACTTCGGTTGGATTACCGTCAAGTATAGCTAGGATAGCTATTAATGGGCGAAGTTAATAGGCTTCTGGTATACGAAAGTTGTAAAGAAATAAATAAAGTCTTAAACAAGATAGAATATCTTAATTAATAGAAGATTGTATACTCAAGTTATCTTAGTTAATTTAAAATGATAGAAGAAAACTAAATACATAATAAATAAGTATCCTTATATAATTTTCTTTTATTATAGCTATTATAGTTATTTTCTTGTATAGGACTCTAATGAGTCTAATCATATCTATTATAGTCATATACTAACACCTAGCTCTAATAGTTATGATAGCCCTAACCCTAATATGTTCTAGCTCTACTTATAGTATCTTTAGATAATCCTTTGTTCCTATATATTAATATTTTATATCTATTGACTATAATATTCTGATTTTCTAATAATTCCCTTCTCTAAAGGCTGGCATCTTAATAGCTTAATAAATAGCCTATATCTTCTAAAATATAAATAACTAATTTTAACTTCTTAAATATTTTAAATATATAATCTTATAGTTTTATATTAATTATATCTTTAAAAAAAAATATTTCTAAGAAGAATCTTTTCTTAAGAATTAAGTCTATTAAAGTTATTCTTATAATTCTTTATTTTTATTATATTAATCTTAAAAAATTATATATAAAATCTAAAATTTTAAAGCATTATAGCAAGTATATTTATATAACTAATTATTATTATATAGATATATTGTTTTCTGATCTTACTTAGAAGAAGCTAATTAAAGTATAAGATAAGATTTATATTTAATAGAAAGAGGCTTACTTAAAGCTTTTAGAAATAGTAGCTTATCTAGAATAACTTAAGAAGTAAGATAGCCTTTTTAGGAAGTATGTAGGCAAATTTATTCAAATAAATATAAAGAATATTAAAGAACTAGAAAAATTAGAAAAAATAGAAGAAAAGATAAAAATAAAATAAATAAAAAAATAATAAGAGGCTAAAGAGCTTCTAGCTATTACTTTTACTTTATAAAATAATAATTTTATCCTTAATACTAATTTTAATTCTTTTATCTTTCTTAACTATACTTTTATTTTTATTTCTAAATCTTTTTAGGATAATTTAAATACTTAATAGGTTCCTATATATCTTCTTTAGGTCTATATTCTTTCTATCTTATAAGATAATAGATATATTCTTTTTCTAATTTATACTGCAGTATTCTTTTAATTTTATATTTCTTATTATCTACTACTTTATCTTTATTTATTAAATTAATTATTAATTCTAATAATAAGATATAAAATATTAAATATATTTATATTCTTACTAGTAACTAGAGTTTATAATTATTATTTATAAGTTTTTCTTTAATAGTAAATAGTCTAAATTTAACTATATTAAATTTATTACTTAGTCTTATACTTTTGATATTAAAATTTTTTAATTCTAATATTTATTATAAAAGGTAAACTTTCTTTCTCTTTTTAAGTGCTAGCACATCCTCGCGCTTCTTATTATAATATTTCTTTATTTTTATTTCTGCTTATTTAATATTTTTTAATAGATTATTATACATCAATTATATATACATTATTTAGATATTTACTTCATTTAATACTCCTTCTTATTTAATATTTTCCCAACTTATCTTTAAAATTCTTTCTAGATTAGCAAAATACAATACTTATCCTATTAATATATTTATTATATTATTTATTGCAAACTAAGCAATTAGTAGTAACTTTACTTAATTATCTTAGTTCTAATCTAAGTAATATCTTAGATATTATTCAACTGCTTAAATTATTTATTTAGTCTAGCTATTAGTCTATTAATGATATACTATTAATAGATTATATTCTATTTTATAATTTTTTATAATTATTTACCAAAATTTAGATATAAATAACTTATTTTAGTTAGATATAATTTCACTTAATAACCTAAATATTATAAATATTTCTTATAATATTAGTATTATATATTATTATATTATTAAACTCTTTAGTATTAGCTTTAAAATAATATATTTTATAAGTTTATCTATAATAATAATAGCTTTAGTATATATAATTCCTAAAATAAGATCTTTTAACTCTAGTAAGCCTTATATAAAATCTATTATGATCTTCTATCATACTTTTATTAGTATTTTTAGAATCTACATTTTTCTATATAATTAGTGATTAATTGATTTATTATAATTATAACTATCATATTTCTTAATATAATCTTTAATTAATTTTCTTATTTTTAGAAAATAATATATTTATTATATTTTTTCTACTATTTAGTCAATTCTATAATATCCTTTAATTAGCAAATTATGATTTATTTAAATAACTTCTATAATTATTAAAAATGATATTAATATTAATCTTTTTTAAATGACTAATCTGTTCTTAATTACTGTTTTGTTATTATGTAGTACTATTTATAATATTTTATTATTCCTAGTAATCTCTACTATCTTTTTATAAAAATCTATGCTTTCTATTATAATTATTATTATTAATATTATTTTATTATTATAATAAATTCTATTTTTATCTTCTACTAATATATTTATTTATAGCTATTATATTTTAATTATATAATTAGCTTTTTTACTTAATATATTAATAATAATATTTTTTTTCTCTTTAATATATTTAATTTGAAACTTAAATTTTAATAGATATTTTAATTATCTAACTTATCTATTAATAAGCTTTTTTATTATTATAAAGTATTTCAGATTATAGTAGTTATTTTTTATAACTATTTTTTCTTTAACTTCTTATAAATAGTATCTTTATTACTTAAATGTTTTAACTACTATAAGTAGTTTTCTATTATAAATATTATAATTCTTTTCTATGATAGTAAATTATCTAAAATAGAAAATAATAGATCTTAATTTTTTATTATCTTCTAATTATTCTAAAATAATTTCTAATATATATTCTAATATATCTAGTTAAATTATATTTAGTTTTTCTTAATTATAAAATATAAGAATTAATACTTCTTTAACTAACTTTTTAACTTTCTTAAATATTTATTATTATTATTCTATCTAATTAAATTCTTAATCTTTTCTTAATAATTCTATAATTAATTATATTATTTCTACATAATTCTTTAAATATCTTCTAATATATCCTATTACATCTAGAAACTACTATATTTTATTAATATTTATTAAAATAGACCAGTTAAGTATTATATCTTTCTTTTCTAATTAGATCTTTAATCCTTTTGGTGTATAAACTATTCCTAAATAATTAATAGTTATAATGTCAAACTCACACTTCTTGATCTTAAGTGTTAATCCTTTATTTATAAGTATTGTTATAACTAGTTGTATATATTCTTCATATTCTTCTAAATTTTATAAGTATATAATAATATCATTAAAGTAGACTGCAATAAACTTGTTTAGATATTTCTATAGAATATATATTATATATCATGCAAATTGTATTAGTAGATTCTTTAAATCTATAAATATAACTACTTATTTAAATAGTTCTTTATCTATAAGAAAAATTATTTTTTAAATATTATCTTTAGCTATTTATAGATTATAATAATCCTATTAAATATTAAAAACTATTATAATCTTTACTCCTTATAAAAGATCTCTCTTTTATTCTTAATAAAGCATCTTATTTATGTTATTTACTATTCTATTATTTAGTATTTTATAATTAATAATTATTTACTTAATTATATCTTTTTTATTAATAAATATTAATTATACTAATACTTTTCTATATTCTAGTTATATATACATTACTTCATAAAACTTATTAGTAAACTTATTCTTAAATTTTAACTCATCTTTTAATTTATAGTATTACTTAACTAAAAATAATATAAATCCTTTTTTTAGTTTAATTTATATTTTAAATTCTTTATTATATATTAATAATTATTATTCTTTCTTCATAAATAATTTAATAAACTTATAATATTTCTTAAATAACTTTACTAAGACTTCTATAAATTCCTTTTTATATAACTTTTTTAATTTTAATTTTATCTTCTATATCTTTTTTATAATTCTTATTTTCTTAATTA